CTTTATTTTTTTAATAAAAAAAATGTGGAAAATTCTGTGACTTTCTAATTGGATGGCTTTTGCTTAGAATCCAGTAAATAGTTAACAGAAAAACGACAATGATATGTAAGCTTGAAAGTCTGGCTGTTGTGTTTGCGTTCAGAAAGAAAAGACACTCCCTTTATGCTGAAATACTTGTTATGTGTTGAATCAGGAGGCTGCTACACCTTCATCAATCAGGCTGCAGCCCAAATCAATAGCTGTGCTGCTAGGTTTTGTGAGGTGATTACTCTTAATTTTTCTTGGATGCTTTGAAAAGATTGCATCAAGCCATTAGCTGAAAAATTACATCTGCGGCAGACATGATAGGGTGGTATTTTCTGCCGGGAAAAGGGTTCAGTACGAGGCGGGAGATAGTTATATGTGCTTCATCCTTTGGCTATCATTACACAGAACTGTAGATGTGATGTTCAGCGGTACCATGGAGGCAAAAGAATCAAACTAGATGTGATGTCAGTTGCATTGAAGGAATGACTGTGGCAGAGCCCAATCAAGATTGGGATTGCAGCAGGCAGAACAGGAGTTAAGACTTTCTTCTGCCATAGTCCTGATGACCACCACTGGTACTATTAGTCTCAGGAGGGAAGCTTTCACTCCTTGCATGTTAAAGTTCAAGCTCTGCTTTGACCCCATCTCTTCATTTTAATTAGGCATTACTTGGCTAAGAAGAATGACATGCTAATGCCAATTTGCCCAATACCGACAGCTTTAGACTACTCAATCCATTGTGTTGACTACTGATACAAACAACCAATGGGGCAACCTCTGTCATTTGCAGGTGTTTCAAATGCTACACTTGCTGCTGTATTTTGCACTAGCTGTGAACTCTGGAATGTCTTCAAATGCAACCCCACATAGAGCACATCCCAATAGTCTAACCTGCAGGTTACCTGGGAATGGGTAACAGTAGACAGGCTATCCCCATCCAGGAAAAGCAATAGCTGGTGCATCAGCCAAAGCCACACATGGGAACTCCTAGCCACCAAGTCTACCTGAGCCTCTAGTGACCATGATGGTTTCAGGAATACCCAACTATTCACTTGCTCCTCCAAGGGGAGTCAAATCCTGTCTAGAACAGGGAGTTTTACCAATTCCTATATATGAGAATTGTTCACACGCAACAGATTCATCTTGCTTGGATTCAATTTCAATTTATTGGCCCATATTAAGCCCATTACTGCCTGTAACCACTTGTTAAAGATTTGAACTGCATCTCTTGATAGCAATGAAAGAGAGAGAGAGGGACAGACAGACAGACAGACAGACAGACTGCATATTGATGATACCTCTACAACTCTTCATATAAGTCTTCATATCAATATTAAACAAGATGGGTAGGTTTGTATAGGATTGCAGTCCAAACCCCTGTCGCTTTCCTGATATTGTTATCAGCTTTTGGGGACGGTTAGGCTGAATGCCTGGGTTTTCTTCTAATTCTTGGAATAGCCAGGCTAGCTTCCTGGTGAGGTAATGGGTCATTAAGGGAACAAAGGAAGGGGCTCTGTATGAGATAGCAAATGGGTGGGGCCCCTTCCCGCAATTCACAGGTAATTAGAAAGACAAAGCAGAGAGCATAGTGTTTTTGGAGTGATGAGAGCTTAAAGCAAAGCAACAAGCTCGGAAGATAGAGCGATGTTTGATTTCTGCTTGACTCCAAGGTTGCGGCTCTGGGGGATGCAAGACCCTCTTGGGGTGTTAATGCTGTAAAGCTGATCAGGTTTTATATATAAACCATAAATGATAAAGACACCGCAGTCTTTGCCATGCCTAATTCTGAAGAAAACATGAACCTTGGGTAAGCACTTGGAACCCCTGAAATCTCATACAGCTCAGAGTTTGGGATGGTGTGCAACAATATTGTACCTTTGACCTAAGGGCAAAGAGAGTGGTTAAGTCAGTCTTAGCCCTTGGATGTATGAGGCTTGGATAAGTGCCTTTTGGAGCGATGATCTTTTATGCAGGTTATCCAAACGCAAAGCCCATGTTTCTGACAACCGTCCTCCACTGTGAAAAATACAGGGGAGGGGGGAATACTCCATTTGGCCTATGATGGAATGAAACCCATCTAGAACAGAATAATGGTTGCAAAGACTTTTATAGGATTTAAAAGCTTGCCACTTTAGGATTAGTTCTCATTAAACCAGTAAAGCTGTACCTGGGCTCAATAATCCTCCCAACAAGCAACAGAGTTCCCACAGATAATAAAAGAAAATAGTCAGGGAGAAAGGTTCTCATACGGAGTCCCTATAGCATCTGGAGGATTTCTTTTTAAAGGGCAAGTGCATTGAATCATGTGCATCTCAACTTGTAGTGTGAGGCAGTCCAGTCCAGACAATGGTGTACCACCTAATTCAAAACTAGACCTTTGAGACCAGTTCCATCCTGAATTCCAAACCACTTAGCACAAGCAGTCCTGAAAAGTGCTAGTAAAAAGGCAGCGTAATTTATAATAACTAGAGTACAATTTGTACCAACATGTATCTAAAGCGCAGTTTGTTAAATGAGCCCCGTGATCAATGAGACATCTATCTCAGTGCTTGCTGCCAACCAGCCTTCCCCCTAAATAGCTGATGGATTTTCTCACAAGGTCACAACTGACACATAAGTGCATAAAGGGTGTCGACTAGATCAGGTTCATGCTTTCTCAAAAAACACACACAACTGAATAGCAGCATTAGGCTCAAGTACTTTGCAGCTCAAAACAAACTTCAGCATTAGCAATGCAGTATCCAACAGATACTGCACATGGTGTCTGCTGAAATGAATCATTTCCTGTATTAAAGCACACACGGAGAGGAATTTTGGTTTAATTCGCAGGGAGATAAACACCGACAGACACCGCAGAGGTTTGTACAAGACACACTGAAATTCAGCTTAATGGCATAAATCATTCACAAGCCAGCAAGCATGTGAAAAGAGAGCACCGGGGAAGTCTCCAGAGGAGTGGGAGGCTGCAGTGGCAACCAGCTAGCAGGATGATCAAGAAAGTGGGCAAAAGCAGCTGGAACGATGCAATTTCTGAGAACCTCTGGATCCCCAGGAAGTAGGACATGTTGTACTGTAACCCAGCCAAATGATCTGACTTTGAACTATCATGGGACATTTTCCTTTCCTGTTTCCTTTTGCTAGAGAAAAGGCTGCATCCCTTGTCCTTTCAATAGGTATTTCCATCACCGACCAATGCAGAGCTCCAACTTCACCCACCCCTTTCACCATAAAGTATTGTGCATTGGTTGTGCAAGGTAAAGGTAAAGGACCCTTGGACAGTTAAGTCCAGTCTCACTTTCAGGCCAAGGGAGCCAGCGTTTGTCCACAGACAGCTTTCTGGGTCATGTGGCCAGCAATGACTAAGCCGCTTCTGGCGCAACGGAACACCGAAATCAGAGCAGTGTACGGAACCACCGTTTACCTTCCCGCTGCAGCGGTACCTATTTATCTACTTGCACTGGCATGCTTTTGAACTGCTAGGTTGGCAGGAGCTGGGACTGAGCAATGGGAGCTCACCCCATCACGGGAATTTGAACCGCCAACCTTCCGATCTGCAAGCCCAAGAGGCTCAGTGGTTTAGACCACAGTGCCACCCGCGTCCCTATTGGTTGTGCACACAAGAGCTGGCATTTGGCAGATTCTTCCACTTCCTGTTTTCCTAAGGACAGTTGCATTTACCTTGTCATCCATATGTGGGACTACACAGAGGCCTCAAGGAAAAATAGCAGGTTGCTTACATGTAACTGATATTCTTTGAGAGATCACCTATGAAGTCGCACAACCTGAAGTTGGTTCTGTAGACAGATATTTTGATATTTTGAGATCTTTTATCCAGAGTTGTTGCACATGAAGATTGCACAGTAACTTCCGTTACCTGAATTATTTAGAGGAATTGGCAAGGACCACCGATGTGGGTTTGAAGAGAAAAATGCTTATTTACAGAACTAAAATTTGAATGTGTAATTGCTTTGTGGTTTGAGTAAGCAAGTGCTTGGAACAGCTTGGGTGAGGATCCATAAAGATTTTAGAAAGTGGTTTCTTGGGGACAAACCATAAGGGACTTAGAAGGTGGTTTAAAGTAAGGTTACCTGAGGGAAAAAATGTAATTATATTGAAGCAGAGGCTAGAGGAAAGTTTACTTCAAGACTAAAATTTGTAGACGTAGAGCGGTACAATTTTCCAACAGTACGACTGAGCATTTTCAGGGAGCAAAGGTAAGGATCATGAGCCCATCAAGACAGCATGCCATATTTGGCTCATGGCAGTTGATAAATTGATCAAGTGTTGAGTTAGGTATTAGCATATATCTCAACCCCATGAGATACAAGTAGTCTCATTCTGATGAGGGCAGCCAGGGTACACCCAGGTTTGCTTTCTCTGTTGCGCTTGGAAAGAATCTGGACTCATAGGAGTTGTGTCGCCTGCAGGTTGGTACCTCGGGTTACAGACGCTTCAGGTTACAGACGCTTCAGGTTACAGACTCCGCTAAGCCAGAAATAGTACCTCGGGTTAAGAAGAGCTCACAGCCAGAGGCTCCATGGGTTGATTAGAAGCAATGGCTGGCGATGATACAGTTTCTTTTGGAAGTTGAGGCTGGAATTCCAGCCACCTCCACCTCCATCCATCATAAATAACTTGTTAATTTTTCTTTCAGTCTTATCCCTGAAGATTGTGGCTCTACAGTGGTACCTCGGGTTAAGTACTTAATTCGTTCCGGAGGTCCGTACTTAACCTGAAACTGTTCTTAACCTGAAGCACCACTTTAGCTAATGGGGCCTCCTGCTGCTGCCGCGCTGCCGGAGCATGATTTCTGTTCTCATCCTGAAGCAAAGTTCTTAACTTGAAGCACTATTTCTTGGTTAGCGGAGTGTGTAACCTGAAGCGTATGTAACCTGAAGCGTATGTAACCCAAGGTACCACTGTACTTACATTCATTTAATAAAAGAGAAACAAAAATGGACAAGGGTATCTTTGACTGAATCAAAATTTAATGGCAAACTTTTGAAACTCAGTCTCAATATGCATTTATAATACAAAACATTATGAAAGTCAGAATAATGTACCGTTACATAAAGCACGCACACAAGCTTTGATTATTTAAACATCCATTTTCATATTTCCTGCTGCGCTTCACAATGCTCTGAATCTGTTCTATTGTTTGTCAGTTTAATATTCGAAGTTCTTGTTTTTATTGACATCAGCTGCTAAGCAAGTTGCATTGCAGATGCACCAACACCTAAAGGCAGCTTTGCTGGACTAGGTAACTGAAAAACAAACTTTCAGGAAGCAAGCAGAAGATTTTCCATTCACAGGCCTTGTTCACATGTCAAAGAGCCAGACTATGGCTTAGTGTGAACACACAAGCATTAGATTAGATCATTGTGGCTTACTTCTCTGCCATTCTGCTGCTCCACTGAGCTAAGTCATGGTTTGGCATGTTGTCCAAATCCAGGTTTGTCTTAATAGTTCATGGCTAGTGATTGGTCCAGGAGAGCAAAACTATGATCCCCTGACACACTGAGGTAAATGATAGTGTAGCTCAGTGCAGTTGTAGGACTACTGAGGACAAGAAAAATGGCTAAGTTCTCTTCTTTGGAAGCCTGTGTATTTGCGCTAAGCCATGTTTTGGCTTAATGTGACACCGGTGTGCAAACCAGGTCACTGTCTTATCTACGCAGCTAGTATAACATTGATCCTTTTGTGAACTTGTCCTTCTGTAGTCAAAAGAAATCCACCCCGAGATATATTTCTGTTTCCTCTGTGGAAATTGCCCTCCTGATTGCCTTATCTGACTCTCAGTCATGTTATAGGCAAGGATTTCGTAAAGGGGATCGCCTGCTGCATTTTGATTTTACCCAAGTGCTTTGGGTAAAATCAGAAGTCCAAGATCATTGGGGGGGGGAGGGGAATCACAGTAACGCAGCTTCCCATTCCAGCATGGAAACAGGGGCAACGCTCTAGTGCTGTAGTGAGGAACATCATAGTCCTCCAGATGTTGTTGGATTGCAACTCCTGTCTATCCCAAACAGTATGACCAATGGTCAGAGACAACAGAAGTTTTAATGCAGTAGCACTCGGAAGGCTAAAAGCCCTGGGGCTAAGTTATTCAAGGAGTATGGAAAGAAGCCATGCTGCGGCAGCTTCCATGATACTTGGATAATGGAACCAGGGTACTCAAACAACTTCTCCTCAAGCAGTACTGAATACACTTATTTCAGCTCAGCACATCACATGCTGACTGGCAGTCTGAACCATTGGGGACATATCCATATGTCCACTCATCAAGAGCAACCTGTTAAGAATTGTCCATCACATTTCAACTGTTCTTGAAAGGATACACCTGACCTTTCAAGAATGTCAAACTTAGTCCTGTTTTTTTACCTTGTTTTCTGGAGTCAGCGCTAATCTATTGGTTTTGTCAAGTATAACAAAACTAGACTCTTCTTTGTAGCTTAAGAAATGTAAACTGTTTACTTTCACTTTATTGAGGCCCTGAGCAGAACCTATCAAAACCTGTTTATAAATGATATTTATGCTTCTTTGAATAAGAGTGCTATTCTCATGCTACAAGATAAAATGCATGAAATTCTACTGTAGAAGTCTAATCTCTCAAACTGGGAAAATTAAAAGAATCGCACAGGTCTTCAAAAATGCAATTGGGTGGGGAATTTCAGTGGAGATTTCAAGCGAACGATCTTATTATGGCAGCTGGTAAGCTAGTGTGGTGCCACATTTTAAGAAGTAAACACCTAAAGACTTAGAGCCTAGTACTGTGGCAAATGTTGGTATTTAACAAAAAAGACAGGCAAAAAGACTTTTCTCAGTAGTAACAGAACAGAAAGCTTAGCTACCTGTGAATATAAGTAGAAATTAAAAATTCAAAGAATTACATGATTTTCCTGAGTGTACCAGATAGTTGAGCTACAGTGAACAATTGGGTAAGCTTATTTAGAAAGACAAAGGCTGAGAAGAGAAATTACTGTGGAAATCAGAATCAAGGCACTTATAATCTCTGTCAGATTTGACTCTATTTGCCATTATATATACACACAGTCCAATCAAAGATCAGTGTCCTGTGATTATATTCATATTCCTTGGCAGTGGGACATATCAGTGCAAATATTTGTCTTAACATAATTTTTTATGGCTACAAATAAATAATAATGGCTGTGCTCAATCCAGTAACAATATTCGCACAGGGAGATAATTATGGGTTATGGGCTCTGTGTAGCGTTTCATTAGTGCTCCTCTAACAGCACATTTAACTACTAAACTTTTCTGATTAAAAGCCCCAACATCTTAGCAAGTCAGGAGCATTTCATGTATATATTTATCTCTTTTACATAGGGCTGCAAAAATCAAGTGGGAGGACCTTTAATTAGAAACATGATACATGCGAACCTGTATCTGTACACCACATGTTGGGCATTTTAATTGACTTTCTATGGTGACCAAGCTAAAAGATTTACTCCATTGCCAATATGTTTTTAGCTTTTGCTGCGGCAGACACTGTGGCTTGTTGGGGGCAGGGATGAGGTGGTTGCCTCCATATGGTACCTGTTTCTTGTGCGTGAGTCCTAAGCTTTGCCTTTTCTTCTCATTTGTATCTTTCAAGACAAAAGCCCTAACGCGCCCCCCCCACCCTCAATGCACATACAGTTATTCTGGATCATATCCAAGAATGGGCCCCAGCCATTTTTCCACATCTGCCACAGGCATCTTTTTCCTTAAGGCATAATCTTCAACCTGCAGAATGAACCAAGAGAGGGATAATTTAGCATTTTAACAGCTAAGGCTTCAACTTCTCTGTGCAATCAAAGTATCTGGGAAATTAAGTCTCACCACCTCTGCTCTCTACACTTGCATCCTTTTTTATTTTAAAAAAAATGCATTTCTACATATAAAGTATAAAACACACAAAATAAGACAAAAAAAAGACAAAAAACTAGACAAACTACAAAGACTTCCAAACTACTGCATCAAACACAAAATGTTCAAATTAGAATGTCAAAAATTGCAGATCCAAATTGGACATTTAAAAAATGATCCCAATGTATCTGCTTCTCCCCAAATAAACTGACTTGGACTCTGCAATCATCATCTGAGGCCCTTCTTTGTGTGCCTCCTCCATGAGAGGTCATTCCGCAGAGGGTGGCAGCACAAGAATGGCCTTTTCTGTGGCGGCTTTCCATCTGTGGAATGCTCTCCCCAGGGAGGCTTCCCTGGCGCCTTCATTATATAACTTTAGATGCCAGGAAAAAAATGTTTCTCTGTAACTAGGCTGTTGGCTCATTAAACAATCTATGGCCTTTTAAATGTGTTTGTTGGTTCATTCCAGTGAAACAACAGGTCCAGGGCTAGTTGGTGTGACTGCAGTCCTGTGTAATGTGTGTCTGCAGAGGCTGAAATGGAATACAGGGCAACTCATCCGCTTTGCCAAGAGACGAAATCCACTTGGCTCCACCATGCCCTGAACTGTTTCTATTCCAGGTGGTATTTATAAGTATTGCTATGTAATTTTGAGAGTTTCTTCTTCCCTTCTCATCTCCTTTTTTAGGCCATAGTATGCCTTTTAGATTGCCATGTCTTTTAGACAGTCCCTGCCCATCAGCTTAACAATCTTGGGGTTTTTTATTCATCTTATGTAAGTTACTCTGAAAGCCTTTTCTCCTAAGGAGCTAGAGAGCGTGGGCCTTTTTAAAAAAAAAAGTGTTTGTGATACTTCTTTTGGGATAGAAATCTTTAAAGACACAAAAGGTCTAAGGGAGTTCATGTCAGAAAGATCTTGTTTACAGATCTAAGAACTATTTTCAAGAAGTTTGTGTGTTTTACAGCATCCACCACATTTAAAAGAAATGGCTCTTATCAGATTGAAATATATAGTGCTGGGAAGGCAAGAAAGGATGTCAAACAACTGCTACAGGTACTCAGGCCTTACCTGATCTTTCAATATTTTCCCAACAGCAAAGTACTTGGATTCAGGGTTGGAAAAGTAGAGACCTGACACTGCTGAAGCAGGCAGCATGGCTAAGGATTCTGTCAGCTGAATACCTGCAAGCATCAACAGAAAACATTTGTGGTTTATTACTTAGAAGAGTGTGTTGTGGCTGGAGAATGAGCTGTGTGATGTGCTTTGATTCAAATCCCACCTCAGTGAGGAACTTACAGCATGGCAAGCTACAGTGCTACCCCATGTTACCCAATGTATAATATGGATGTTACGACACTGGCGTGCCTCACCTGAGGGTTAACAAGATAATTAACAGAATCATTTCAAGCACTTAAAGAGGTACTGCTTTGGAAATAGGTACTTATGCTAATAACCCAATTTAAGGGCCATGGATCAGTGGATCCATGGATCAGTGGCCTGTTAGCTAGGGGTTGATGGAGTTGTAGTACAAAACAGCTGCGAGGCAGCAGGATGGAGGAGGCTGTCCCCCAGCATTCTTATACATTCTTATTTGGTTATACCTTAGTGATTACAAAAAAGTATATTCTGTGAATGAGCTATTGTCATGGACTGGCTGAATGCAGAGGAGTGGTGGGAGGCACCAGTTGGGGAACCCCCCCCCCAAAGGGAAGAAGGCTCAGAGCCAGGGGATTGGTGGTGGGATGACAATGAGTGGTCAGAGGGAGAAGAGGGAGTAGAGTGGGAGGAGGTGGTGTCGGAAGCTGAAGAGGTAACAGGGTTTAGTGAGGAGGGAGAGTCCGTGGCAGAGAGCAGTCCAGGATCAGAGGCAGAAGCAGAGGCTGGAGAGGAAGGGGTCAAGAGGCAGAGATGAGCAGGTTGCTAAAACCGCCAGGAGGTCCCTGTCCTGCTGCAACCAGGTCTATTCTGTGGTAAGAATTTGCTTCTACACCACTTGTTTGTAATCCAGGTGAGAGTCCTTCTAACTAGCAGCAGAGCAGTGGGTTGGCAAGGCTGTCCTATTGTAACAGTTTTAATAAATGCTGGGTCCCTCCTGGATGCTGGGCTTGAGTTTACTTCCTTGGTTCCATGTTTTATTTAATGTTCCCTCAACTGAGTACGAACAAGGTGGTGGTGTAGAAGTTAATTCTTATCACACCTCCCCACCCCCCCGGTCTCCCAGAACCAGAAGACGATGGAGTAAAGACAGGCAAGGTGACAGAGTTATCAGACTGCTTGGGAAGGACCCAGGGGAGGAGGAGACTTAGGGAGGTGTTGGAAGGCCAAAAAAGAGAAAATGTAAAAGGTTCTTTAAAAACAAAAACAAAAAAGTAAGTTTAAAATCAGACTTCAGCTAAAGTACCTGTTGCCTCCTCAATGTTTGCAAGTCTCCACATGGTGAGTTTTTCCAGGTGGTCAGGTTGACAGGGATATCCAGGGGCAGGACGAATCCCCTCATATCTGATCCTACGCAGGTCTGAAAATTCCAGCTGTTCACCCTCAGAGTAAGCCCAAAATTCTTTCCGGACCCTTTCATGCAGCTCCTCGGCAAATGCCTTGGAACAAAGCAGAAGCAAGTTGCAATCTGAATCCAAGTACTTAACACACAGTTATTTTTATCTATCACTTAAATGTGTTTCAGTATACTTTACTCATGACTTCAATTCATTACAGACAAGAGCCTTGAAGAAACCAGGTTCTTTCCTACATCTCCTTAGTTATACTGAAATGTTCATATAAAAATAAGCTAGGCCATTATTTCTGTGCTTTTAACATAGTCTTAAAAAATTCAGAACAGCTAAGCTGTGGAAAGACACAAACCCTGCTCCTTTGGCCTCCTGATATTCATATATTTGGGAGAGTATGATAACAGAAAAACTACCTCAGCAAATTAGATTTTCCAAAAGCCTGTTGAAACAGGAAAATTGGTATACTTTTATTTATTACTATGTTTATAAGAAATATGACTCCATAGGGACTTTGGAACAATATGCTCTTTTTCTGGCCCTTCCAGATGCATGTAAGTGGCAAGTCTGATTATTCCCTTGCAAAAAAATTAAAATCTTCAAGAAAGTGTACTTATTTGGTTGTTTTCTGTCCATGAAACCAGTTTTAAATTGCTTATCATGTTTGCTTCATTGTTTTCAACACAGCCAGCTCAAACAAAAAAAAATTGTCATTGTAACAATCCAGCGGGAATTCTCTTAACTGACAATATTGATCACAAAATTACTAGGAGGGAAGGCAATGTGTGCAAAAGTTGTAAGGCAAAAGGTTTCAGAAACAGGGAGTACTAAGCGGGTTTATGTTGCAAGTTCACAAAATTATGGATGACTATGGTATAGCAATGTTTCCTCAGAGCAATAAAAGCTACTAGCTTAATTGGTCTACCAACAACTAGTAGTCATAATAATGAAGAAGACGCCCTTCCACATTCTCTCGTGTTCACAGCAACATACCTTGTTGGGGAAATCCCAGTGCGAATTTGATGTCTGATTTGAAATTGGAAGATTTGTTTACCTGCATCCTTTCTTTCTACTTGTTCACCAGACAGAAGTCTGCTTGGGGCTGGACTAGGACACACCTCCCACCAGCTCTTTAATCCCTCTTGTCAATTAATTCACCTGGATCTCAGTCTCCTAGAAAACTGTTACATGAAACTTAACAGAAGTATAATTACCTCTGCTAAGCGATCTCCCAGCGCTTTCACCATTATGATATTGTAATCGTCAGACTGCTTCTCATATTCTGTGCATAGCTCATCTACTCCAAAGCATGCCACAGCGAAAAGACCCAAATAGTCAGGTATACCCGACTCCAGAGGGGATATGAAATCAGACAAGCAGTAATAGGGATCAGTAGAAGAAGAGTCTTTCTCAGCCTGCAATAATAAATGAAGATCTAGTTGTATTTCTCACCCAATATGTTCAAACCCAATATGAAAACTTTTATGAGATTATATTAAGATGGTGCATAATGCCAAAAGGCTGCACAAGATAAACAGAAACTCACAATTCTTCTTCCAAAATTAAATATATAAAAATAGAACACATATCAAAAGACTATGATATACCACTTACAGCCATATGAACTGTAACAAACTCATCATCCTACATCTAATTCAAAAGTTAATTTAATGGTGTTTAAATATTTATTGAAAAGAATTATAAACAGATCTTTAACTTACAAGGCAAAGCAAAGCAAAGCAAACACACACACACACACACACACACACACACTGAGAACCCCAAGGTCCACCAACCAGATGCAGGTGCAAAATAGTGGCTCAGGCAGGTGTACATACACTAAGAATTAAAGAAAAGGGTGCCTCTGAGCACATATTCAGTCCAAGAATGTGTAATCAGTACCAAAAACTAGGAACCAAACTCTCAAGTCCTTTCACACGAAAATCCACTCCAGATTTCCCCTGCCAAGTGCTCCTTTCCAGTAACTTAATTTAGCATGGAGCTTTTTAGTTGTGGCTATTGTTAGAAAACTGGATGTCAAAAACTGATATAGATATCTGGCAGATCACCCAGATTTCTACCACTGGGTCCGAATATGTCAACCTCTGGTTTACCTGAATGAACACCTTAATTATACAAACTCCAAAACTATTTCGGGCACACAAGCCAACATACTTTTGATGTTAAGTAGAAGAGTTTTACATCCTACCTGTTGCCTTAACCCACAGAATTTAGCTATTGGTTCTGAAGACTGCACTTCCTCTTCTGTGGCATATAAATAAATGTCATCTTGAACACTCCGAGCTGGCCAGAATCCAACCAGACCTTTAGCTTTAAATCTGTTTTGCATAATCAAAGTTTTCAGCAAATTCTGCGCATCATTATAAACTTTTTTTGCCTCTTCCCCTAATAAAGGAGAAAGAATCCTTAAGCACATACGAAAAAATTAACTTAAAAAACGGTTGGGTGATCATTTTTCATTGTTTTGCAGCTATATCATAAAGTTCACTTCCTTTATTTTCACTGTTCTAGTCTATTAATGACAACACATGGACAAGACTAAATACAGTACGAACCTGGGCTAGCATCATATGTTTCAGAGCAAAACAAATTTACTGCAAACACAGTAAATGTGAACAGAACAGCATTGTAACCAAGTCTTCCATAAAAGCTACTAGGCTGCAACATTTTATTACACACTAGTCTATCAACACACGCCTACGTTAATAAAATGTGGCCTTTTTTAAAAAAAGTCAAATACTGCTTGGTCTTCTGAAAGTGATTCATAATCACCACAAGCAACTAGCTGAGTTGTTTATTCACAAACCTTTCATAAGATCTATTTGCTTTAAACCAAGGGTGGGGAACCTTTGGCCTGGGGAGCAAATGAGGCCTGCAAGCCTTGATCCAGCCCTTAAGACTCTTTTTGAGCCATGGCTCCACCTGAACGCCACGCCCTTCACTGCTCTATATGTGCTTTAGGCTGTCTGGAACGTGTCCTCCAGCTGGGATAATAAGCCTTTTTGCTTGTCTGGAAGGAACAACGTGTGTTGGGATACAGAAACTCACATCCATTGCCCTCCACTTTTGTCTTGCCACCACGGCAGTGTGGCTCCCAGAAGATCTGTCATGCGTCTACCCTAAGATGAATGGGGTATGGGTGGGATGTTGAATTCTTTGCTTTCGCCTGCTCCTGACCGTTTACAGCTGATGTTTCATAGCTGTCACAATTTTCCTACTGCACCAGCACATTAAAGGTAAAGGTAAAGGTACCCCTGCCCGTACGGGCCAGTCTTGACAGACTCTAGGGTTGTGCGCTCATCTCACTCTATAGGCTGGGAGCCAGCGCTGTCCGCAGACACTTCCGGGTCACGTGGCCAGCGTGACAAGCTGCATCTGACGAACCAGCGCAGCACACAGAACGCCGTTTACCTTCCCGCTGGTAAGCGGTCCCTATTTATCTACTTGCACCCGGGGGTGCTTTCGAACTGCTAGGTTGGCAGGCGCTGGGACCGAACGACGGGAGCACACCCCGCCGCGGGGATTTAGTGAGCTTCAAAATGACTGACCAATCTCTCTCTCATTAACATGGCTCTCATGTGTACTGTTGGTTCTACTTTGTGCATATTCACACAATTTGAAGATACAGTGGTACCTCGGGTTACAAACGCTTCAGGTTAGAGACTCCGCTAACCCAGAAATAGTACCCCAGGTTAAGAACTTTACCTCAGGATGAGAACAGAAATCGTGCGGCAGCAGCAGCGGGAGGCCCCATTAGCTAAAGTGGTACCTCAGGTTAAGAACAGTTTCAGGTTAAGAACGGACCTCTGGAACGAATTAAGTTCTTAACCAGAGTTCCCACTGTATTCTATCTACCTTTTAGATTCTCCACCACAGAACGCTACTGTGTTACTCACCCACTGTTTTATCGTTGAAGATTTTAGGAAATCCCCGGTTGGGATATTTGCCTCTGAGCTGCCAGACATCGAAAAAGGGCTTCCAGTCAATGTATTCCACCAGCTTCTGCACATCATAATCTTCAAAGACTCTAGTGCCGAGGAACAGCGGTTTAACTGTAAAAAGCACAATGTGCAGATTTTGTAATTTGGAACATACTATGTGGGCTGCATCTACATCTGATGCACAGTGCATACCACTGCAGGTATTTAAAGCCTCAATACTATGGCAACCAAAATACAATCTTAAACTAGACGGGCAGGTTTACAGAAAATGTCTGCCTCTTTGGAAGGATGGCGGAATAAGAGTGTGTGGAATATCCAATGAGTCCAAGTTATAGGACAACCACTGGTTTTAAGTTTGACTCCCTCATACCAATTGATCTGTTTAAATATTACCAGCTAAAATTTCAAGCGTAAGCTGTGCTGCTCTGCAGCAAGGGTGGCAAAACAATTAATTTTACGGAATAACTTGTTTATGATGGCTTGAGATTTTGTAAAAAACAATTTGCTCCAACAGATGAAGTAAGCCATTGTTATGTGAAAAATCATGCCAGCATAAAGCCATTGGTCACTTGGGTAGCCCCCCTTACATGCTGTATTCTGCAGTGCTCAACTGCAGACTGTAGTGGAACGTCTCCAATGTTAAGTAATGTAAATCTCATACAATCCTCTCTACATGTCCATATTTGAAAAGACAATCTTGCTTTGATGCAAGGCTGCTCATAGCTACCATTTGCTGATTGTCACTTCACCCTGGACCCTGAATCTGCGTTGAGGAGGAAAAATGCAGACTTGGCTCTACAGTATGTCCAAAACTAGTACTATTCCTAAATCAGGTCATAGCCTCATGTCAGTATCACACAGCTAAGTTTTCAATAACTATACAGTACATCCAAGTCTTCTCTTAAGAAGATAAGGGTCTCCAGCCTGGAGTTAGCAAAAGTGCTCCCTCGATGCAGTTATGTTCTGTGAAGAAAACCGGACAAAGAGAGACTCAAAACGTCTGCCTTTGCTACAGGTATTCTGTAGTGATATCTAGAACCTACCTGGCAATTGTATCTATAAGGAACTAGAACCATGTTGTTCTTTCTGTTTCATTAACTAACTAGGGACATAAGGCGCTGCCTTATACTGAGTCAGACCATTGGGCCATCTAGCTTGTCTACACTATACTACCTACACTGACTGGCAGCAGCTCCCCTGGGTTCAGGCAAGGAATGTTTCCCAGCCTGACTTGGGAGATGCCAGGAACTGAACCCAGGACCTTCTTATATGAAAAGCAGATGCTCAAGCACTGAGCTATGGTCCTTACCAAGCTCTCTCTCTGTATGAATAGGCCTAACGTAAGCAAAACTATGTTCTGATGCAAACAGATTTTAATGATTTTTACTTAGCCTTTTCAGCCATTACTGATAATAGTGTATGGTAAACCTTTAGGGAAGCTGAAACTTAGTAGCTCAATTAGATCTCCAAGCTGAGGAAGTCATCCACTCTTCAAAACATGCAGGAGCCGTACTAGTCTTGAAACTCAGTAGGAGATATAGATAGAACTTCTAGCCCAGGGGTGGGGAATCTCAAGCCTGGAAGCTGCTTATGGTACTCCAGGCCTCTCTATCTGATCCCAGGGATTCTCTCTAGGACACACCCTCTCCCTGGCCCTACTCTGCATCCTCCTAGTGTTTCTTGCCTGGCTGGAATGTGTCCTTGAACTCCCACCATACCTCTTGCTTTCCTGGCTGGATGATACACAAGGTTAGACAGACGTGTGTAGAAACTAGCCTATTGTACAAAAGGTAACATTTACAGACATCTGGCATGTGGCCCCCAGAAAATGGTCCAGATGGGAATATATAGCCTGTGGGCTGAAAAGGGTTCTCCATCTTATCCAAATCACCAAGTGACTCCTTAGGGAGGGAATATGAGGGGAGGGTAAGGAGCGGGGGAGAACCCTCTAGACGATCCCAGGGATGTGGCATAGGCATTTGGCTTCTGCCCATAACTTAAAATAATTATTTGTAACATTTTGTGACAAAAAGCTAAAATCCGAAGAAATACTCAGATTAACTGAAGTCAAGATTGGTTTTCAAATCGGTTAGTCCTCCTGAAAAGAATAAATCTTCTGTAATCTTATAAGGCAGAAAATGGTTTCTTAAAAGGCAAACTAACCTGGTTTTGATTCAGTTCGCCAATCATAATAAAAGCCCTTATTCCTCGCCTGCTCTAGTGATAAATATCTCCTTTCCTGTGTAGGGAAAAAAAGACAGGTCTTCAGTTCTGAGCAAGCAACTATATCAGTTGATTTATCTGGTTTTTTAAAAATAAATGGCATGAAAGAAAAGCTAGTAATGACTAATGACTAGTACACTTGACATTAAGAAGGTCTGTTAGTGCTCTTTACCTTGAGAGAATCATAGTGGTCCTGTCTAATGTCTTCATATTCCTCTTGTATTTCTTCAAAGAAGTCATCCTTTAGATTCTCATCTAAAAGCTGAGAGCACTGAAATGAACACAGCATGCTGATTAGACTTGAGGGTGATGTAATGCAACTCAATACCTCTCCATCTCTCTCCGTCAGGCACTTAAATTCCCTCATGAAGTTATCAAGTCCATAAGAATATGGCTAATAACGCCCACCCCCAGCAGAAAAAATAAAAATGAAGTTAAACTGCCAGGGAAAATATGATTGCTTTGAAGTGCTTCTGGGTATGGTTCCTCTTTATCTTTTCTCAAGAGGGCTATTTAACACACAAAGCTTGCATGTGAGGTGCTGGAGCTCACACAGAGACTTAAAAAATAAACATGTGAATGAGTTCCAACAGTAAGACTGAAAGGGAGGGAGTGGTATGAGGGGGGAGGTTTATCTTTAAGCTTTTTCTACTATAAACTCAAGTTTATATGAAGGCAAAACGTCACTTATTCTTGTCCCATTAAAAAACCTTTAAATAGGCCCAGGTGCCTTCTTACTGCCACTTAAAAAGGACCGAAGGCTATAGATTCCATTTACAGAGCAGTAAGGAGTGTCAATATTTCCCTCCACAGAACTGGAAAACCATTTAACTCTATACAGAGGCAGCAGAAGCCATTTTAAATCCTAGTGACACGGTTTAGAGGGCTTGTGTCTCATCTGTAAGAGGGAAGAGTCTGAAAATGCAGTAGCTGAAACATAAGCCTAGCAAAGCATATCAAATATATTTCCAAATCACAGGCAAGCCACTTCTGAGATTTCTATTATTCATTAAGCAAGCTGTTATAGTCAGATTTAATTAAACCCTTGACTGCCTTAAGCATTCAAAAACAGCACCCCAAACAGAAAAACACGGTATGATATACAGAAGTCTTTACAAACGCAGGATTTGTTTGGTAATATCTTACATTTTCTCGTGTAAATTGAGACATTCTTAAAATAGTTATGACCAAATGTATAATAAGAGTTCAGTTTCATGGATACTGCAAGTACCAACTGTTACAAGCTCAAACAAAGCTTCAAACCACTGTCTGCCTCATGAAGGCAAAGGCAGGGGCCTGTATTCAATTGTCCTGTTGGGGGAAAAAAAATCCTAAAGCATAATAATTTGGTCACTGATGGAAATATAATGCTGTGCTGAATTAGCTAAATCTGGTCCACTAGAATTAATCTTACCTTTGTAAAATACATTACAGGCAGTAACCATTTTGTGCGCGGGTTCCGTTCCTGCCCCCCCTCCAGGTGTCATAACACATAACACATAAGCCTGCATCACCCTACCCTTCCGGGTCCAAAATGACCCACACATCAGCCGTCACGCATCAGTTGGACTTGCAGAAAATGTTCACCGCCTATACTAAAGATGGGACTAAAAATCACAACTTACAACCACCACACTCTTGGAGGCATCTAGGACATGGACAACAGGAGCGCTGTATCGTGGAGCAATTTTTACAGCTGTATGTGTCCTGAAACGACAGAATAGGCACATAGGAAAGCAACAGTATGAGCACATACAGACTCAGCATCAAGCTAACGTTCAAGAATTTTTGTGCCCCAATGGGAATGCTATAACATAAATTGCGCAAAACTCTCCCGTTCTCCGTTTAATGGAAATGATAGTCCATCTGCATGCAAAAAGGGGCACACTCCACACTATTTACAAGATCTTCAAGGACCTGTACTGTTTTGCTAATTCCTAACAGGGTACACAGCAATCACAACATGTCAAGACTGGGGAGCAGAGGTTGTCTTAAGGCATCCCTATCCCTCTGGCAGGCCTTCAATCCTTAAAAGAATGTCAGAGTTTCATTTGTGAATATATATATTTTTAAAAACCACTGGTTCTTTCGGAATGATTTTCTTAGGGAGAAGTGTCCGCTGCAAATGAAAGCAATTTTACACTGCTGCATTTCCTCTTTTTTTTGGCATCATTCTTTAGCTGTGCCTACAGACACTCCAGATTTTACTTAGGGGGTGGAGGTTGCTAAGCTCTACCTTCCCCTCCAGCACATAATGTTGTACTGTGCACGACAATGGAGTGGGAGGGAAAATTTGTGCCTAACTGTTCTCAGCCAACATCTTCAGCTGTCACGTTCATCTAAGTCTCTCTTCTGACAGCATATCCCCTTCAGAGCAACCTTTTTTCCCAGTCTTCTAAATGCATTCCCCTAGGCTTGGATAAAGCTCCTTTTTGACAGTCCATTGAGCCCTTCATGCCAGGATTTAGAATCCTGACACGCAAAATCCTGAGAATGCCAACTTTAATTTATTTTTGAACCATGAATTAATTTCCGTGGCTGCAGCAGCAGCAAGAGTGGATGGCAGCAAGTATTTCTAGCATGGTTTTCAAGATAGAATAAGTTGTCCCAACTTCACATTCATAAATTGATATCTGGACTACAATGCAACTGGAAGAAACTATTTGGAAACTTTGTGGCACAAATATATTTGCTGTTCCCATCAAGCCCAGTTTTCCTCATTCAACAACATATTGGGTAGGATCTAGACTTCACAAACTTCTATTGAAAGAAGGGACAAAGATCCAGCGGAGCCTCCCACTAGAGAAAGGGAAAGGAAACACTTATTGCCTATTTCCCCTTCTGCCTACAGCACCACCTGCCAGATCCTTCAGAGCAGATTTTCAAAAATAGCCTCTCATTTTCCTCCAGTAGAAGAAGAAGAAGAAGAGTTTGGATTTGATATCCCGCTTTATCACTACCCGAAGGAGTCTCAAAGCAGCTAACAATCTTTTTTCCCTTCCTCCCCCACAACAAACACTCTGTGAGGTGAGTGGGGCTGAGGGACTTCAAAGAAGTGTGACTGGCCCAAGGTCACCCAGCAGCTGCATGTGGAGGAGCGGAGACGCAAACCCGGTTCCCCAGATTACGAGACTACCGCTCTTAACCACTACACCACACTGGCTCTCACTGGCTACTCACAGTAGAGTACCCCATGGGTAGAGCTCCACCCAAGCGCAGTCTGGATCAGGCCCATTATATTGGTTAATAAATGATCTTCTTCTGTTCTTCATGTTTATATTTAATTATTTCTAAATGCATAGGGTGATTATTTCTTTTAACTGTTTTTGAAGTCTTAATTTTGCTACAGCAAATCTGTACTTCTGAAAAAAGAAAAATTCACACTGTATATCTCATAAGTCGTCTACTTAATCCCCTTGAAATATCAGCTTCAACATTACTTTTTTATTTAAAAAACCCACTTTTTTTACTTCACTTTAAACACGCTAGAGCAAGTACTTGAATGCATTTTAATTAATAAATATTGGTTTAAATAATGATAGTTATCCAAAAGTTACATTTAAAAGGTTAAATTAAGAATAATACTGCCTCTATTAGATGCCTAACATTCTGGAGAACAACGTATTGCATATTTACATTTGCTTCTCCGTTGGGCATACCAAAAAGGACCCAACTTACTTGGAAGTAGTTGCTCCTCCAATCAGCAAAGGAATCTTGATCTCTAATCTCTCCATCTCCTTGGCAACAAATATCATCTCATCCAAAGAGGGTGTGATGAGGCCAGACAAACCAATGATATCTAAAAAATAAATGGTTAGAACTCCTTTTATCCACAAGGTTCAATAGCCATTTCAGAGAACAGCAACAAGAAGCAACCAGCCAACTGTGCAGTGAGCTCATGGCCTTGTCTAGATGTTTCCACTAACATTCCATTGCCCTAGACATAGTTCTAGGACAGTGGCGGGAAAACCACTGTCCCTGCAGATGTTGTAAGAGCCCAACTCCCAACAGGCTTATGCAGGGCTGGAAGAAGGAACTGTAACATTGCCCCCCACTACTCCATCCTCCACAGTGGCACACTCCACCTCTTCCTCACCCTGTTCCCCATTGCCTTGGTTTGTTTTTTGCATTGCCACATGATAACATCAGAGGGAGTGTTGGGGCACACCATTCTGCTTCCCCAAACAGTTGAGAAAATTGCTCCATTCCACCTCATGACTGGGCCAGCGCTGACCCCAGCCAGTATGGCCAACAGCCAGGGATTGTGGGAATTGTAGTCCACAACTTCTGGAAAGACACACGTTTCCAATCCTGCTCTCAGCACTCTATTAATCTATGAAAGGGGTATCAATGAAATATACAACATCCAGAATATCTGCCTGACACCAGCATTGTTATGCTTTTGCTGCCAAGCAAATATACTTCTATTCCTCCAGGAATTTGATGTAACATGATGCAACTTTCTTATAATGTTGATTTCTGTACGGTAGTATACAAATCTTTTAAATACATAAAACACAACTGTAGTGTGTAACATTTTAGGAGGTAAAAGGATTCAGTAAGACCAGAAAAAACACATACAAACTCCAATAGATTCAGATCAACCCATTATTTGTTACTCAAAGTCACAGCATGCCTGTTTTTTCCAACCTCCTAAAGGCATCTTAGCAACTGAAGTTCAAACAAACCAAAGATTGTACTGATCTATCTGCTCAGCATTTCCCCAAGATTACTGAAAATTAACCTTTCAAGATGCAAATTCAAGATCATAATTTCAATGTGTGGGTTTTTTGTTTTGTTTTTTAAGATTGACGAATGGTGATGAAGCTCTCCTACCTGCTTTGTTCTCAAGAGCAGCTCTGAGTATCTTGTCACATGGCGTCATGACTCCCAAATCAATAACTCTGGAGGGGGAGGGAAAATGGTACTTTGCTAGTCATCATGTGCATGTGCTTAATTAATCCATTTCTGCTATAAGGTATTATGAAGATCACTTATCCTGTTAGGAAGGCCAAAGGGAACAGCATTTGGCTTTTAATCTTTCCAGACAGCTGAGCAGCCAGACATCAGCCTTTCCCCAGCACTTTATTCCCCCACTCCATCAACCTCCCTCCCCATTCTGAGTTGCTACCACATTTGCTCAAGACAAGTATATCTGGCCTGCATCTGAACCTGATTCCGTGGCCTGCAACTTCTTCCCTTGGAAACAACAGATATGACTGGGGAAATACTGTGGTACTAGGGGAACCAATTCCTCTGCAACACCTGGTTCTGTTTAGGACAAATTGCTCATCTGTCAAGCACAGCTGACTCAGAGAACTAGCAGCTTAGTCAAAATGTTGTACACTCCACTCGAAGAAGGTGATTCTAATATTCCCAGTGACAATACAAAGCAAGCGGGGTGTGGGAAACGGGACCCACAAGGGCACGAGGTCTAGTCTAATTACCTGAAATTATTGCAGCCCAGAACAACTCCCACAATGTTCTTGCCAATGTCATGCACGTCACCTTTCACAGTAGCTAAAACAATTGTGCCATGGTAGGGGTCCTGCAAGAGTTAAAACAAAATCTGCAGGATTTATGAATATTTCCCACCTGAGCAACCTGCACAGTATAAATGGCTGGTTTATTGAAGCAGCTGTTATTACCAGCTTTTTTAAAGGCAGAAACAAATATTTATGAATCACGTAGCATAGTTGTTTTTTGTATACAAATATACATCTTCCTTATGGGCTTCTCATAGGCATCTATTCTAGATGGCCACTCCATCAAACAGAATGCTGGACTAAGTAGGCCTTTGGTCTGATACAACTATTACTGTACTATTACTATTACTATTACTGCACACATAATTTAACTAATCACAGGATGGAAGGCATAACAGAAAGAATGAGCATGGCTTCAACAAACAACCCATTTGGAGAGCTCCCTCACTGGTCACTGAAAGAAAATGTGTTCATTGAGGAGAAGTAGCTGCTAATACTTTATAGCATTCCTGTGGGGTCGTCTACAGGGTTCCTTCATTCTCTACTGTAATATTCGAGGGATAGTCAAGGATATGCCCTCCAGATGTTGTTGGCTACAACTCCCATGACCCCCAACCATTGGCCTTGCTGGCTAGAGTTTATGCGAGTAGTCCCTATATCTGGAGGAGACCAGCATTGACTACTTCTGAATTAGGCTTTTGGAAGAGACCTATTCCCTCCCCCCCCCGCCCCAAGGCTGTGCTAACTCAATTCGTGCAAAACCCTTTTCGAACTGCACCTATTGATGGCGCATCCAGCTGTTTAAACCTGCATCTGCCCCAATCATGCAGATGGCAAAGAGTGGGGAGTCCAGTTTTAAAAGAGACAGGGGTGCATGGATGAGGAAAGGTGAACCTCCCCTCCCGAATTACATTAATTCCCCCATAGCACTTTTTAACAGGACTCACATTCAAAATCCAACGGTGGGGGGGACAGGGAGGGGTAGGAATTGGGAAGTTCTGACAATGTGGCTTCTTTGCCCCATAGCCCAGGATGTGCCTGAACCCTTTTTGTTGTGAATCCGTTGTGCTTTCCAAATATGTGCCTCTAGCCCAAGTTTTATACAAGGCTGAAACACACCTGGGCTCAAAACAAACAGATCTGGAGCCATGATGTGCAATCTGGGCCTTCAAAATATTTTACATCACCTATAATATTTAATAAACAAACAGCAGCAGCAGCAACAACACAACAACAACAATGATAATCTTTGATGCCTGAGAAACATTGTATTTACTACAATGATTAATCTCCTCTGTCTTCCTAAAATGTAGAGGTTTGGGGAGAATTGAACATTCGAGACTATGCCAAGTGACTGCGCCATCCAGCATCATTCTGCATTGTATTCATGAACACTCAAAAGCCTGCACAGCTGGGGCAGAAAGGCACATTCATTTAATCAAGCTGAAAGAAAACAAGTAAGTATAGTGGACCGGTCCAGCAATGATTGCAGATCTAATTGGTGATGGAAATCCTACAAACAAACAGGAATGAAGTACTGAAGGAGAAGGGGGGAAATCACCCAACCGCAGACAGTGCTGCAATGTGGACCAGGACATGCGTTTGATTTAAAGATGTCTTCTACGTAAAAACAAGACCATTTCAAGCATTAAATGAATTGGAGCATTCTAATACTGGGCAGAGAACCAAATAGCTTTCCTTTTCGATCCTGGCACAAGCCTGCAGGCACAGCCATTCATTCTAAAACATAATAACCAGTGCTCTGTATTTGCTGATGTTCTGGCACCACAGTTACTGCTCTGGGGGTAACTGCACTCCAGAGAGAAGCCATGCCAGCAGATATGTATATTATTTTAATGCAGGACAGCAGTGTTTTCTCATTGTTAATGCACACCATTTAGGGGCTAACAGAATCTCTCTCTCTTATTGTTTTGCTAGCAATAGCATCCAGAATTTTCTGTAGCACCAACCAAACCATACAGGATTGGCCAAATTCTGTAAACATACATACATTTCCCCATTTAAATACCAATATGCCTATAAGATAAAGACACACACCCCAGTAGACACACACACTCCTAAGCTAGCTATCAATTGTTTTAAATGTTTCCAATAGCCTTTTTCTTTTTGGTCTTAGCTCATTCTGGTTTCTTACCCAAATGTCAAAGACAGCATAACTGTCTCAGTTTGTTCCCAAATCCAATACAACCTTCGCAACAATTGGAACTACAAGAACAATTGCTGTCATTTAATTTTCACGCTTGTTAGGAATGAAAAATCCTGCTATAGCAACAATCCTCAGGTTCTTTCGAGCCCTATGATTATTTCCAATATGGGAGCAACTAAACACCAGTTTGACATATGCTTCCCAAGGAGGCACAGATCTGTATGTAAAAACAGGAGGCGTTCCATTCTGGAGAGCATTTCACCATGTTGCTGTCATGTGATCAGTCTCCTCTTGGGAATCAACCTCAAGGGGGGGGGGGGGGAATGATGCCAGTCCAAGGCAGATGAAGCTGTGCAAATGGCTCGGCCCTTGTGCTGCCAAAAAGCACCCTCCCCACAGTAATTTTTCAGCTTAAAAACAAACAATTGTGCTGTGCTGTGTGTTTGTGTGTTTAATAAATCAGCCTCTTGTAAACTGTTTGAATGTGCAATCGTACAAATAGCTCTTCAGAACTAGTAAAGGTACCCCTGCCCGTACGGGCCAGTCTTGACAGACTCTAGGGTTGTGCGCTCATCTCACTCTAGAGGCCGGGAGCCAGCGCTGTCCGCAGACACTTCCGGGTCACGTGGCCAGCGTGACGAAGCTGCTCTGGCGAACCGGCACCAGAGCAGCACACGGAAACGCCATTTACCTTCCCGCTATAAAGCGGTACCTATTTATCTACTTGCACTTAAGGGTGCTTTCGAACTGCTAGGTGGGCAGGAGCTGGGACCGAACGACGGGAGCTCACTCCGCCGCGGGGATTCGAACCGCCGACCATGCGATCGGCAAATCCTAGGCGCTGAGGTTTTACCCACAGCGCCACCCGCGTCCCCTTCTTCAGAACTACATACACCATAAAAAGGCAGACACCAATCAGAAGCATAGGAGAACAGGCAAAACGGACAAGGAGATCAGGTTTTGCTATGGGAGGTGTGTGTAGCATTTGAAGAGGGAAGATGGAGGGAAGCTGGGGTCACTCCACTGAGACAAAAAGCCATGCTTTTATATCTGCTGCACACGCCGCAAGGTATTTGGTGAAAGTGCATGCAATGTCCAGGACAATTAGGTGCAGAGTTTATCATGATAGATCTCTGTGCAGCATTGGCTACCGTTAGTTACTGGGCATCTGTTTTTATTGGGGAAAGTGTCAAAAGGCAAATTTTATATGTTACAACCAACCACTTGTTTCCAAAACCAAATCTACTTGTCTGTTTTACAGTGATTGCTGCAACCAGCATTATATGAATACATGCCTCACAAGAAACTTTGCTATAACCTGCAAGGCTCTAAGACAACCATGGAAAAAAATCATTAAAGAGAACCAAACAATGTAGCGTGCAAACTTGCCTCTTCTTCTGTGGAACCTGACAATGCACGCATTTCCTCTCTTTCCTTTTCCATGAAGGGAATCAGATGACCAACAGCCTTCTTCATAACACGAGCAGATTTGATAACCTGGATGCCCAGATTCAAGGGAAGAACCAATTACAGCTATGTGTTTAGCTAAGAGTTCATTTTTAAAACAACAACAACAACAACAACAACAACCTCGATCCATCATGCAAATTAAACCAGACTATCAATAACCTCCAATTAAAAACACACTTTAGTATCTTCCCTATTCTCTGCTGCCTAGAAACTCCTGCACTGATCATATTAACATGCCTCCATGCTGCTTAGCCCATTCACAAATCCATCTCTATGGGCTTGCTCAATCATTGTGTTGGGCTGTTGGCCAAAAAATGTGAATCAATATCTGGATTAATGGAGTGCCATTGGACAACTGTCTGCAAATGTAAGGAGAGCCCACATCAGCTAAACTGGCCCTACTGTGAGGCACAAGTGCTTTTGAGGAACTTGTAGATAAAGCTAGAAATAAATTAACAAACAAAAAAAAAACAACAACTCTGTGAACACATTACCACTATACTAAGAGTGAATACCAAGAAAAGGAATAGACAAATTAAAAGAATTATGTTGCAGGCTGGCCTGCCAACATATAGTAGTGGATAACAGCACATCCAGAAAGCTACTAGTCTAGAAGGAATTGTTGCTCATCCTGGAAGGCTGAATATAGGAATGCCTGTAGCTATTAGGGAAGATGAAAACAGCATCCATTTCACTGTTTAGGGTATGCCTAGATTCTTGAACTGTGGAATGGTGGAGGGACTACTGATCAGTGGTATAGCACATTCTTTGCATGCAGGAGATTCCAGGTTCATTCTCTGGCACCTCTAGTTAAAATGGGCTCAGTTAGCAGGTGACAGGAGAGTCACTGCCAGAAATATAGACAATGCTGTTTTGTTTTACTGTTCTGCTGGGAGCTACCCAGAGTGGCTGAGGGAACCCAACCAGATGGGAAGGATATAAATAATACAATACAATACAATACAATACAATACAATACAATACAATACAATACAATACTCGGTGCTTTTTTCTGGGGGGACACAGGGATACGCATACCCCTAAACATTTTGTGAATCGAAGTTTGGCCTCGTTGAGGGGCAGTACAGTGGTACCTCAGGTTAAGAACTTAATTCATTCTGGAGGTCCGTTCTTAACCTGAAACTGTTCTTAACCTGAAGCACCACTTTAGCTAATGGGGTCTCCCGCTGCTGCCGCACGATTTCTGTTCTCATCCTGAAACAAAGTTCTTAACCTGAAGTACTATTTCTGGGTTAGCAGAGTCTGTAACCTGAAGTGTCTGTAACCTGAAGCGTCTGTAACCCGAGGTACCACTGTATTTCAATATGAGTAGGAAAATGAGACTATCCCTAAACATTTTTTAAAGAAAAAAAGCACTGAATACAATACAATGCAATACAATACAATACAATACTAATACTGATGATGATGTAGTCTGATCTGGTATAAAACAACTTCTGTGTTCTACTGGTACAATTCAGATGAAGCCACTGTCTAGGGCACACCCTAGGTGGAACAGGCTATTGGTCTGGCAATTAAATTATCTATAAATCATTCATTTTCATAGATAACTTATTAATGGTTAATAGAAAATTCTCATCATTCTTCTTTACCTGTGGTAGAAACATCTTGCCAGCTCCAAAAAGATCACCAACTGTTTTCATGCCGTTCATCAGAGGCCCCTCAATTATATTCAGAGGTCTGGGATACTTTTCTTTGTTTAATCTAGCTTCTTCTGTGTCTTCAATCACATACTTCTCAATACCCTGGGGGCGGGGAGAGAGAGAGACATAGTATTAGTGTGCTCATGCACTGCTAAAATAAGCATAATCATATTACACTAACCAGAGTGGGGAGCTGCAGAGTCTCCGAAAAACGAGGAAAGGACAGGGGCAAAGTAGAGAGAGGAAAGTCTCCCTCCTCTTTATCTACAGCTGCTTTTGCTGGAAGTCTGCAGGGGGAAGGACTGGGTCTTAACCAGCAGACAAAAACACAGCCCATCTCTATGAAGGAGTGTTAAGTCAAAGAAAGTCATCAACGAGTAAAACAAATCAGCAACAGAAACCAAACATTATACACGCAACATCAAATCAAGTTGAAAGCAGCAGAAAACTTTTTCAGGAGTGAGTCTGACAAAACAGGAAGTGAGAAGGCCACTCATAGTTATCCCAGGAGCAAGGTGGCTCTGCTCTTAATTGCCTCAAATCAAAAGGGAGGGGGCACGTCAAGCAAGGCTTCTGAAGGAAGTTCTAAAGAGTGACAGATGGTTCTTCTGTTCTTCTGTTGATACCACATCCCTCTTCACACTTGTAGCCAGAGGTACGCTCAGTAAGGCCAAGTGGGTAAAAAACCAGTTAAGCCAAAATGAGCTTAGTCTGTTGCTTTCAACCTCAGTTTAAAATCTGTACCACTTTCTTTCCTCCTTGAGCATAAGTCTGGATTGATATTTAAGATAATTAAAAATAAACTTGTGAAATTTTTGTTATTATAATAAAAAATGACTTCTTTTAAAAAGAAAGACAGGCAGATCTGTTACACCTTTGGTGATTTTTCTCATATACTGATTTATGTTTTAATATCAGCTTTTCATTTTATATGTTATATAGCAAGAGTTGACTTGCGGCTGATACAGCCTTAGAATAACATAATCTGCAAAACCATCCATGGTAGGAGTCAGTAATCAATACATTTACAATCACCATGATTGCAAGGAGTTGTTGCAAAGTTATCTCAGGTGAGCAGATTTTCCAGATTTCATTACCTGTGAATTACAAGGTTGTGTGTCTTGGAAAGCTGGCTTGTGCAATTTTGTAACGTTGTGAAGTACATGGGTTGCATCTAACATTAGTTCTGCACAGAATGGACCCACTGAAATTAACAGACATGACTAACTCAGGTCCTTTAATTTCAGTGGATCTATCATAGTATAACTTGGTACAACCCTATGTCTGTAAGAAGTGGTTAATACTCACTCATTTCCATTCATTAAGATAAGTCCTGCCAAACACGTTTATACCTGAATTCTATCTGTATTCCTCCTTCCATCACAAAGAAATCCTGGGAGGATTTAAGTTGGACAGGCTAAGAATATTACACTGACACCTTCCAACAACCTTCTCCTCAAATCATTCTTCAATCAAGGAATTCTACTCTTTAGAGGTTCAAAGTGCTTGGTAATAAAGAAGTATACAAAATTATAATTTAAGTAGAGTCTGTTTGAAGAGAACAGACACTGGCTTTGATATGGAAAAACACATAAAAAATCACCTTGACAAGGGCATACTCCAGTCTTTCCTCCACAGAGCCATTTCTCCATTCATCTGTCTGTACCACTTTCTTTCCTCCTTGAGCATGAGTCTGGATTGATATTTAAGGTAATTAAAAATAAAGTTGGGAAATTAGATTTTTGTTGTTATAATAATAATAAATGACTTCTTTAAAAAAGAAAAAGAAAAACTTAAAAGCATTTGCCATTTCGAATCATACAGCTTGAACCCCCTCTCAAGTGGAGATTTCTGGCCCAAGGAAAAGATACAGACTAAAAGTCTTTCCCCACCCCCCCAGCATTCCAGATACCTTCTGTAGATGGAAGGCTAATTGGGTGAGGACTTAAGTAGATGGTGAATGTGCAGTCTTTCATACATTGTTAAATTACAACTCACATCATCCCTGATCATTTGCATGCCATCTTAGCTGTGAGTCCTAGTAGACCTGCTCCCTGCCTTGCAGATCTTTTTCCACCTAGCCCAGGAGGGTGGGGTCCTGACTGACTCCAACTACAAAAGCTGAGGCTGCCGAACAAGATTCTTGGGCTGACTACTTTTGTTACCGTTTGTAGTTACCTAATTTTTTTCATGCTGTATGCCACCTTGAGCATGGCTTGAGCTATGGAAAGGCGGCATACAAATAAAATGATTGATTGTATTTTCATTCAAAGGAATCTCAAAGCGGCTTACAAACAAAATAACAACAACATTCTAGAACCTAATAGAACATCATAAGTACAGCTGAAAACATATAAACTAATTAACAAATCATCAGTAAAACAATTAAAATCTATAAAACACTATTAACAAAGCAGCAACTAAAACAATAAGCTAAACATCACAATTACAGCAAAAGTCATATCATATTATTAACTAAACAATTCAGCATTTACAATACATAAAACAATATTAACATTAGCTAAATAGCAACTAAAAAAACAAGCTAAGCACTGTTTAGTTCATGCACACTCCACGTCCCTAAGACTCATAATAGTTCACTCTATTCCATTCATTGGCTCTGCCCCTGCATGCATTCAGGATAAGGGCTGAAGTGTATACAAACTATATATGCAAGTCTCCATCTACATGACTGAGAAGGCTCAGAATAGGAGCATTCCTGATCACGTGCTCAGAGCCAAGGTGCATAGAGCAGCAAGGAGGAACCTCCAGCCTATGGGCCAGATCTGGCCCACCAGCCTTCTCCATCCAGCTTGCTAGGCCTCTGCTGTCATGCTGTGCCTATTTTGATCCTGAATAAAGCCTTTTCTCTGTGTGTGCTGAAAAAAGACTCCCCTTTCCCAACACACAAAGAGAAAATGATGCAAATCTGGCTATGTAGGAACCCTCTTGCACGGTCAATTTGCTTAAATGAGTGTGTGTGTGTGTGAGAGAGAGAGAGGGAAAGAGGTGTGCATGTCTGAAAAGGTGATGTGCGTGAGTGAGTGAGAGAGAGGGAGAGGAAATGTGATATTTGTTTATGTGAGAAAGGGTTGCATGTTCTGTCTGTGCCCACTTTGTGTGTGAGCAGCGCCCACTTTGAGCGTGTTGTTTCTGACTACAGTGGTACCTCGGGTTAGGTACTTAATTTGTTCCGGAGGTCCGTAGTTAACCTGAAACTGTTCTTAACCTGAAGCACCACTTTAGCTAATGGGGCCTCCCGCTGCTGCCGTGCCGCTGGAGCCTGATTTCTGTTCTTATCCTGAAGCAAAGTTCTTAACCTGAAGCACTATATCTAGGTTAGGGGAGTGTGTAACCTGAAGCGCATGTAACCTGAAGCGTATGTAACCCGAGGTACCACTGTATTTCCTCTCAAGGAAATATGACCCTCGGGGAGGTCAAAGGCTTCCCACTCCTAGCATACAGACCCTTTCAGACCTTGCACTGAATGTGTGTGGAGGGTTGCGATCAACATGCGAATTATTCAATTGCCTTATGTGGCTCTCCTATACCTGACACCTGAACAGATGATTCCCCCCCCACACACACACCCCAGCCAGACACTGGGAAACCTGGATCCCTGCCTTCCAATCGCTAACTTGTGCTCAGGATATTTTAATGTAGATGTTTTTGAACCCGTGTAAACAGACAAGGCTAAAGATTGCTTTACACTAACCATTTAAAGGTATTTCCTTCTGAAGAGGCAAGGCATCGAACCATAACTGGCTCATCAATAGAAAAAGAGATGCCTCAAGGACTGAAGTTTTGGATTTTTATTTCTGGGAATTTAATTTAAATTAACTTTATCCCTGGCCGACCTAACAGTTTTATTTCAATAACCTAACAAATTAATTTGGCTTTGGTACAGTTCCTGTTGGCTATAGTTTATGTTCTGTCACGTAATGGATCACTAATGAATCAAAATCTGTACTTCATCAGCTTAAGAAAGCACCTCATTCTAAATCCCCTTCTACCTCACATTACCTAAGGCACCTTCAGAGAGAACCCAGGGAACTTTGGGAGGCTGTTTGGTGGCAGCAAGTACTTCAAACGGGGCGGAGAGGGGAGGCAGGGTACAAGAGAGGGGTACAACCTGTTGTGGCTAGATGGGCCCACAATGACACTCCTCATTCGGGAGTTACTCCAACCCCCTTAATCATCCTGGTTGCCTGTTGTGAGCCTTTCAAGTTCTGTAATATCCATTTTGAGGTGAGGCGATCAGAACGTACACAATATGCCAAGTGAGGTCCCAACATAGATTTGTATACTGTAATGGCATTATGGTATCAGCCGTTTTATTTTCAGTAAGTTTCCTATTTATCCCTAACATGGACGTTGCCGTTTTCACAGCTGCCACACACTGGGTCAACATCTCCATTGAGCTATTCACCGCAACTCCCAAAGCCTCATTGCTGGGCCAGTCATTGCCAGTCCAGAGCCCATTAACATATATATTAGAAATCTCTATCAGCCGTCTTAGGCTGGACTGAGGGGAACTGAAACTGTTCCCCTTATAGACGGCAGAAATTAGGGTCTTTATAGTGTCCAAAACTCCAGGCACATTTCTAACAGGAGAAAAAGCAGCTTGGAAGAAGTCTGAGCTGTTTTCTCATTAAATAGGCTGGGGTTCACCAAAGGAACAGTAATTTTATTCCCTCCTTTGAGAGCTTCTAAGCATAATTATTCTTGCCTTGGGTGGGGGGAATGCTCATTTAACAAGCTACAAAATATTTACATCAAAACACATGTTCAGAAGAATCCTATGGTATAGTCTTCCTGAGTCTATACCACTTGAGAATGATGTGGGGAAATTGCATGATTGAATGCTCAAAACCTCCCTGCCTGTGGGTAGCTATACTATCAAGGAAACAGATACTAGTTTAGAAAGTTAGAAGAAAAAGGCATAGTATTACTTAGGGTAATATTCAAATCATATTTGCGAGCACATACACACACACACAGCATTCTGAAATGGTATTGTCACTATGGGCTAGACATTGAGATTCTTCAGAATGTATACCTTGGTTCTTAATAACATTGAATGTACTATAAACAAGCATGTATACACTTGCATATTAAAACAGTATGCTTTAATATAACAGTGAACGCAGAACACAGAGACTGAGTAATTATCAAATATGATTTTCTCTAGGTATTTCTTGCTATGCTTATATCTCGCTCTTCCTTTGGAAAAATTTCCACAGGGCTGCCAGACAACTCTCCTTCCAGGCTCAGACCTGCTTATCTTTGACATATAACATTATCATGTGCCCTCAGAATATTCCCCCCACCCCCACCTCCCAATGTGATTTTGCATCTTGGCAGAAAAATTGCACCACTCACCAAGGAAGACAAATACATAAAGCATTTTTTTAAAAAATCCCCAAGGTTCAATGTTTGAATGCCACGGCTTGCATTTTAAAAAAGAAAGAAGGCAAAATATAAAAATTACCTGGGCGTAACGCAGAAGCTTCTCTGTGGCCTCTGGATCCTTATTCCAAATCAAATCTTCACACAACTGCAACAGCTCCTTGTGGATATCATCATACACAGGCAAGTTTCCCGCATTCACAATCCCCATGTCCAATCCATACTGACGATACAGGAATAGGAGAGGGAAGATAATGAACACTACAAGATATGCATTCTGATCAGAAGCTGTTTTGTCAAAATGCTCGCATTACCTTAATGGCATGGTACAGAAAAACTCCATGCATCGCTTCTCGAATAGCTTCCATTCCCCGAAAGGAAAAAGACAGATTGGAAAGGCCTCCACTTATTTTGGCTCCAGGCAGAGTTTCCTGACAACAATAGGATAAGCAGCAAGCTCATGATAAAAACCTATTTTCATACAAGAGGCCTAAGGGCCATCAGTGAATTCATGAAGCACATCTTTGTGGTCTAAAGGACAGTAAGCTACCCAGGCACACAGCAGTGTCTGGGCACCATAGAAACAGCAGGTGAAAAACAGCTATCACTCCAGGCAAGGTTTCTCTCAAAACATAGCCTATCCCACATTCAAGGCTATGCATTGTCCTACTTGGATTATTTTAACATTCTATTTGCTATTCCTCATGGATAAGGTGTGAAAATCCTTGAAAACAGGAGCAGGTCAGTCTACAGATTACCATAGATAACTTGCTCATTTATTTCCCTTAAGTTAACCTTACATTCATTAAACTAAGGAATTTCACCTCTGACTTTAAATGGCCATATTAGAGCCAGATGTATCTGCATGACTATGAGAAATATTAATCCAGTAGATAGAAGACTGTAACTAGACAGAGGAAATATGAGTTAAGAGTCCCATCTCAAGGCTCCTTCACTACAAAATTCCTAAGATGATTAATTCACAGGCTGCAGAGACAGAGGGACAGAGATCCCAACATGCTATCATACATAGATGGAAATCACTGCACATGTGCCTGCAGAGGAGCTGCAATTAGCTTACTAGCACATGCAAACAGAGCTATTTATATGAACATGAAGAAGAAGAAGAAGAAGAAGAATAGTAGTAGTAGTAGTTTGGATTTGATATCCCGCTTTATCACTACCCGAAGGAGTCTCAAAGCGGCTAACATTCTCCTTTCCCTTCCTCCCCCACAACAAACCCCTGTGAGATGGGTGGGGCTGAGAGACTTCAGAGAAGTGTGACTAGCCCAAGGTCACCCAGCAGCTGCATGTGCAGGAGCGAGGAATCGAACCCGGTTCACCAGATTACGAGTCCACCGCTCTTAACCACTACACCACAAGTTACTGTGTGCGTTTATATTGCAAAGAATTTCTACCCAGCCATTGTTGCTTGTGAAGCACAAGCTGGCCAACCTGAGCTCCTTCAGAAGGAAGGGTGAGATAAATCAAATAAATAATAGTAACAGTGGTTGCCTTTTTGGGAGATCATACTCCTTTGTCGTATATCAGGATCTGTCAAATCATAACATTGGCCTACCTCACAGGGGTGGTGCAGAGATAAGTAAAGGAATTATTATCCTTGCTTTTATCCCCCCTCAGCTTTAGAAAGAAGGTGCGTTATAAATCCACACCAATAAAGATGGTAATAGGTAATTACTATATTTTTGCCCTTTATTTACAGGTAACATACGCACACGCGCATTTGTAATAAAGTATTTGAAGGAGATCCTGTTCAGAGTACAATCAAACTAGAGACAGAATACACTGCAATAATGGAGCTTGTGCTAATTAAATGAGGCAGCTTTCACGTAGCTTGTCAAAGACCTTTTGGCTAATCTGCCAACATTTTGCTAAAATTGCCCCATTTAATTACTATAAGTATATTTACACTACAGATAATTGTCTGGGATATTTTTAGACTGATATATAATTTATAATATCTTTGCTATCCGAAGCAGGGCTGAGGAGCTAGTACAGTACGAAGAGAGCTGCATCATTCCACACAGGCCATTGCTTATTTTCCGGTGTGCTCCCCTTCTCCCTCCACCACAATACTTTAAAAGATAATAATAATAATCAAACCCCACCACACCCTCCGTTAAAGAACTCCCCAGACTCACTTTTATGGTTTTAGTCGCATTGATAAAGTTAATTGCATACAGATTGTGTTCCTCCATTCCAGTACCAATGGTAAGAATGTTGGGATCAAAAATGATATCGTTTGGATTAAAGCCCACTTTGTTCACTAGGAGGTTGTAGGCTCTGGTGCAGATTGCAATTTTTTCATCAGATTCAGTGGCCTGAAAAGGGGGAAGGGGGGGGGAGGAGTGAGAAGGAAAGGTAAGTTTCCTGTCTGCAAGGTTTGACCAGTGAATCTCTTATTTTCCATGAGTTACACCAAGGCACCAATGAGCTTATTATCTGAGTGGATGATAATTTCAACACCCCTATATCAATTCTGTTACTCAGGGGTGTATCATATTCTGTTAGTTCCTCATTTCCTGCTGGTTTCATTCCCAGATGGCATACATACCATATATTTAAAGCTCATCACTTCCCCCACTTTCCTGGGAACTGCAGTTTAAGAATTGCAGCTCTGTGAGGAGTAAATGACAGTTCCAATATTTTTTTGGGGGGGGGAGACGTGCTCTTTCAGTGTGCAGTAAATGTGTGATATGTATGCTGCCCCCCCAGCTCCTTTACTACTCCGGATTGTGAATATAACAAAAATATTATGGGACCTTCCTCAAAGCCAGTAAGGTATGTTCAAGTGGTACTGACCTGACCCACTTCATCAAAAGCCATAACCACCACAGCTGCACCATATCTCTTTATCTTTCTCGCTTTTGCCAGGAAGTCTTCTTCGCCTTCCTTCAAACTGATGCTATTCACTATGCATTTACCTTGGCAACACTTCAACCCAGCCTCTATCACTGCGAAATTTGAAGAATCGATACAGAGTGGCACCTGATACCGGGGAGTGCAAATTTACAAGTTAGCATAGCTAAGTAGCTACTTTTTTCTTTGTCAACAACTAAAACATCAACAGGAAAATGTCACAACAGTGTTGATGTTTTCTAACCTGTTATGTAGTTATGCATATAAAAAATAATGTTAAAAATCCAAAGTTAAAAGAAACACGAAGGAACTTGCAAGCAACTGCCAACAGTGTGGTTTATCATCCCACTTTGTTTCCCCTAAACCAGGGGTCTGCAACCCGCGGCTCCGGAGCCGCATGTGGCTCTTTTACACCTTTGCCGCGGCTCCGGGGCGGATACTAGCAAGGGGAGGAGGCGCATTGTGCGCCCCGACACTTCCCACTGTGGCGGGCGCTGGACTGGCTGTGACGTCGCATGGGGGCGGTGTGTGCGTTAGTCACGCACCGTCCCGACGTCACCTTCCCGCCCGCTGTCAGATTAAGGTAAGAAACAATATATGCAGTGTTATATTTGTTTTAAATGTCGCAATGGTTTTGTGGCTCCCAGTTTTTTTTCTTCGGAAACGGGTCCAAGTGGCTCTTTTTGTCTTAAAGGTTGCAGACCCCTGCACTAAACCATAGATCAGACTAGCTAGAGTTTTAGGTTTGAACATAACACTTTGCTTTTCATTTATGTAGTACCTTGGATCCCGAATGCCTTGCAAGTCGAACGTTTTGGCTCCTGAACACCACAAACCCGGAAGTGAGTGTTCCAGTTTGCAAACGTTCTTTGGAACCCGAACGTCTGACAGGGCTTCCGATTGGCTGCAGGAGGTTCTTGCAGCCAGTGAGAAGCCACACTTTGGTTTCTGAACGTTTTGGAGGTTGAACAGATTTCCGGAACGAATTCTGTTCAACTTCCTAGGTACAACTGAATCTTCATGGTGAGCCATCTGCATTTCAAACTGTTGCAGTCCTTCAAAAGAAGAAAAGCAATAATCCTCCCCGCCATTAATAACCCAGCACTTCGAAATGTTTCCTTGCAATACGGGAGCTGTTTTTCTGCATGGGCTCATCCCACAGCATTACTGCAACATTTAGGTACTCTGCATCACCACATGAGCAGAGCGAATTGCACAGGCTCTGACCACACCATGGTCACCTTGCTAGGATCAGGGGTAACGTTTGAGTGGCTGAGAACCCTTGTACATCTTGGTGGGACCTCTAGCATTACTGCAGTGCCATAGGATGAACTTTCAGGAAAGTGACAAGTCGGTAGAAATGCAGTCACTAAATACTGTCTGTAGAATTAAAAGATTATTCCTAATACTGTATACGCCCCTCCCCCAATTTGCAGCTCTATCTGAAAGAACATCTGTTTTAATCTGACATCAGAAGTTGTGCATACAACCTTGGCAATGTCAGGTTCTGAAGCAATGAAGTTGCAGAATCTGGCCATAGCACATGGCCCATCTAGCATCCCGTCGTCCATATTGAGATCCAAAATTTGGGCTCCCATCTCAACCTGGGCCTTGGCTACACTCAGGGCATCCTAAAAAGGGATCACAAAATATATATATATATATTTGTAAAAAATATAGTAAATGCCTAAGTTGGGCCTAGCATTAGTGAGTCCTTTTTATATTCCTCTTTGTTGGTGATCATCTCCAATTCTGAATTACATCAAACAGATCCCCACTCCCTTAAAACAAAACATTAATATAAACATCTCCCATCCTCTCTTGTCTTACGCAGATTCCTCTTCTCTTTGTTAAGGGTTTGGCTTCACACAGCATATTGGACTGAAATTAGTTTCTTGGGCCGAAACAGAGCCCCATTTGCACATAACCATAGGAGTTTGGAAGCTTCTTTCCTGCAACTTATTCCCACACTGCCCTAGTAATGTATCAATTCAGAAACCCTGCAGGCAGAAGCAACAGTGTGGAACCTGTGTGGAAGTCAGGAATTCATGACTCCACTTCTCTCTTTCAGCTGTCCAAGCACAGATGAAGAAATTCAAATGCTTGAGCACTGTGATGCCTATTAACAAAAAATGCTTCCATGCTAGGCCTTTCACCTTTACAAGAGAAGTGCCTCGACACTTTTTTTCATGCTGAACCAAATTAGTACACTTCCACCAACTGCATGGAAAAAAAGTTCCCTGCCGATAACTTATCTACTACAGACTGAATATGCAAACTCTTAAAATATGGTAAGTCAGAGACAAACTAAGTTGAATGCTTACTTCATAATTGCCGGCCATGATGAGTTTGGCAAACCTCCGTGATCCTGCAACATTGCAGCGTTCACCAATGTTCACAAAGTTGGTGTACTGCCCAATCCTGAAGGGTTCCAAGCCTTGAAAGGAAAAAACAACGACAACAATCAACACAGGTTAAAAAGCAGAACATACAACCTACTCTCAATTCACATAAAGCCCCTGTATAGCAGATGTAGCTCATATGCAAAGCCTAATGAGCTATGCTTTAGACTTACAAGAATATACAGGCAACTCCCATTTTCCGAGCGTTTGATGCATATGCAACCATGCACATGCATGCTGTGTTGAGCACCAGAAGAGGGTGGAACAGGGCAGGCTGACACATGCATGGTGACCCAGAATGTAACCCGCACATGAACGGAGGGTTGCCTGTACTCTTCTTTATATTTATGCGACTAATGAAACAACTCTGTCCTCTACATGGATGGGAAAAAGCACTAATTCCCCTTGTAACTACAGAACACGGTATGACTAGTGTACCAAAGTTTACTATTTATTGATAAAAAATACTTGTAATGTATTTTGATTTTTTTAAAATGAAATAGCGGTATACAACAGTTATATAAAGACCACATAAAAAGTTAAAATCACAGGTCATCTGCTAACTATTACAGACAATGTTTTCATAATTGTCTGCATAAGCTTGGCAGCATAGAAAGGTTTTCAACAAATAGTTTGAAGACTGAAACAGAAGGTGCCTGTTGAATCGCTATCGACAAAGCACGACAAAGCACTCCACAGGACTGGGCCAATGGCAATTAGGGCTTGGGTTTTGTGCCAATAGCAAATGAGCCTCTCCAACTCAGGGGTCAGAAAATGACGCTCCTACATGTGATCTCAGTGGTCAAGCTGGCATACAAGGGCTCAAGTGGTCCCTATGCTAAGCCCGGCGTGGTAGTAAATGGACAGCCAGAGTTGATGTTCTAACAATGCTGTTGCATGTTGTCAGCCATGTGCCCCCATCAGCAGTTTGGCTGCTGCATTCTGCACAAACAGCAGCTTCCAGAGTAGGTCCAAAGATAGCCCCACATAGAGTGCATTGAACTAATCCAGCCTTAAGTTTACCAACCCATTGATTACAGTGGTCAGACATTATCTAACTACATCCATCCATCCCTCTCTCTTGGTTTTGTAAACCCTCTCAATTTAATAGCTAGTCTATAACGACATAAATGACATATGCATTCCCAGTAAAATATAGATATCTCAAGGTAAATCAGCAAATAGAGGCATTCTAAAATATACTTTAACAGAATGCAAATCAGGGCAGCTGGATACATCAGTCTTTCTCACCTGAGAGCAGCATGTAGCCTTCTGAAAAAGAGGAGGTAGGAATGCGAGGCTTGCATGTCTTTACTGCTTCAGCTATCGCCCTGCATTACAAAACAGCAAAACACAAAACAGCAGCTCAGGGCTATACAAGTATGGATTATGTTCAACTGGAACATGTTAAGAGACCAATACATATTTGCTTATTACAGTCCCCTCTCACTTCTCCTCTAAGGAGCTCACAGGAATGTACTAGATAGATAGATAGATAGATAGATAATGCAACTCTTAGTAAAAATAGTAATTAACATACTAACCTTTGAACACCACCCAAGAAATACTGAAGAGTGCCCAAAATTGCCTGTATAATTAATTTTCGTGACAAGAAGGCATTGCTTGCAATACCTGACATTCAGAAGTTAACTGCTCCAGATAAAATGATTATGTAAGCTGGCTCTTAATCAGGCAGAAGTTATTAACAATGAAAAGCTATGTGCCCTGCATTAACACCCATTCTCTTCAGTTTTCCACCATATTTTAATTTTATTGACATCCTATGAGAATCCAGGCATACACAGTAATACAAAATGCTTGTGGTCACTTATGACCTCAAGTACTGCCTCACGTACTACCTCCCATTTCCTCATGAAGCCTTAAAATTCAGCTCCATCACTTTTTATTACAAGAGAAAGATGGCTAAACTCTTGCCATCAGGGAAGAAATAGAGAGGTTTTCCAATTAACTTTATAAGGAGATTGCTGAAAAACATTTTACCAAAGTAGCTATAGCTGAACAAATATTTAATTTAATTAACTTAATTAGCAGTGGTTTTCATGCATCATTCAATCAACATTTTCTGCAATTGGCGCACAAGTCCTTTAAATCCCGAAGGGGAAAGAAAAAGATTGCTTAGCCTGAAGGACAATGAATGTAAATTTCCCCAAAATGGTTGTCACCACACATCTGCAGCCTGAAACTCCTGGTTCTGGAATATATCTGGGGGCTGTTCCTCTTCTTAGAACATGAATCACGAATGTGTGACCCTCCAGATGTTGTTGGGCTCCAACTCCTATCAGCCCCAGCCAGCATAACCAATGGTCAGCATTGTTGAGAGTTGTAGTCTAACAACATCTAGAGGGCCACACATTCCCTACCCCTAGATCCCTCATACGTTGATGATTTCCCCGATCCACCCATCAGGTGGACTGCATGAAGAAACCTCAGTGCCTCATGAACCTCCACACAAATTCCAGATTAGCCCAGATCAGGGTAGACACAATGTACAACATTGATCAGAACCAAAGACATGGGCCAGTCCATCAGAAGATTCCTCTGCAAGAGGCCCCATGAAGGAACTTGCTGATATACATAGTAGTTGCTGTCACCAACACACTTGGCGAATAGCCTTCCAAGGACATGCCTGCTAGCTGTGACTAGTCTATCCAAGCCACCTTTTTATCAGGGCAACCACAAGGTATGCAGTGACCACTATTGACGAAGTGCTCAGCCAGGGATATCCCAAAGCTGATTTGCACATAATAAACACACCATTGTGGTGGTTGCTATGTGAGGAAAACAGAATCAGCTTTCCTTCATTTTCCAGCAAACCTGGAATGTGTCTAGGACCCCTAAACTGTGCAGCAACCCACTACCCCACCCTCCAAACAGCTTCTTTGGTTGTCTGCATAGATGGCTGAAGCTGATGTTAATATATCAAGTTACCGGATATGCGCTGGAGTGGTTCCACAGCAGCCACCTACTATGTTCACCAAACCATCTAAGGCAAAATCCTGCAGATAAGGAAAAACAGTATTTAGATATAATTGAACTAGGGGAGCTGGTGGGGATGAATTAACAGTAATATAAAAGTAGCATGTCACATATTACTGGTATGAGCCCAATTAGTGCAGTAGGACCTTCAACTGATTCCTGCTAGCTAACAAGAATATAGCTGGAGCTGCCCACGCAACCACATTTGGAAAGAATTTTCTCATCTTCACAGTTTCATTCACCCTCCCCCCCCCCCAAGTGTGTGTTTGAAATATAGATCTATATGATTTCTGGGAAGCCTGCCTCAAGTTCTGCTTGCTTAAGAGATCTACTTCCTTCCTAGTCACCAATGTAGCACTTCAGGATTGGAGATGAATTACTACACTGGCAACGCTATCCTGAACCAAGTCACTCTTTGCATAGGTACCTCCTTGTCTTTTACACAGCCCATATCCTTCAGCACAATCAAAGCAAAGCCCCACAATGCTATTATAAAGCAGCTGTCTGGGTCATGTGAGGCTCCTATAAACCATTTCCATCTGTCCTTCTTGTGAGTCCACATGTCTACCAACATGTCTTCCGTAATCTGAGATCAACAGGGACAAACTTGAGATCCTGAACCAGCAGCCCCATTCCATAAGGCTGCAATCCTATAAAATTTATTTACCTATGAGTAAGCCCCATCGAACACTATATTACTTACTTCTCAGTAGACAAATACAGGCTTTGATTTACATGCAAATATTTTTCCCCTCTACATTTGGAAGAAATACACACACAATAAATATTATCCCCTACCTTTAGGTGCTTGGCAGTCACTTCAGGTGTTTCATCATAACCACCAAAGGTGTTAGGAAGACCTGAAGAAATATAAGAAAGTGCTTGAACCTCACGTGATCTATACGTAACTTTTCACGTGATCTATAGGTAACTATAGGGGAGTTTTGTTTCCATTTATTATTTCAGCTGGATAATACAATTTATAATTTGCTCGATAACACACATCCATATGCATCTGGCACATCCATATACATAAATCTTGGGAAGTTTTTCTTCTGAGAGGTTTGGTAAAAGGTCTTAACTTCTAAAGCTTTGATCTGCTTAGAAAGAAAAAAAACATCACTGCAGCTGTAGTTTTCAATGGGATTAATGAGTATGTGCTACATTGCTAATAAATAAAAAACTCATTAGTCTTTTCTTAATTAGATTTTCCCAGGCAACAACCTGCCTTAGCTTTAAAATATTAGCTTTTCAAGGTTATTTATTATTTCCAGGTTTTCCCTCCCTTTCTTTCTAAAAACAAATGTCCTTTTTTACTAAAACATCAGCAAATGCATTAGCAGAATGGAGAAGCAGTTGTTTCAGTGTTTAAATGGTAGGCACCAATTTAAGTGTCATCCAAAGATTCATTCACATCTTTTTCCACAGAAAATGTTTGCTTACCGCAGAAAATAATAGTATGTAACCAATTATACATCAAAATTAGCGCTTCAAATTTCAAGCATACAGACTTCAGTGGAAGACATCACAATACCAAGGAAGCATTACAAGACCGGGCTCAAAATGGTTACTCATATCAGCTCACTTAACCTACCATCAAGAGTTTTTATCAAGGCTCTTTTGATCATAAATCTGCCTCACTTGGAGGTTTAATATCTGTCATGAGCTTCTGGACCGAAGTCACTTCCATTCAGATACTGGCAAGGCGAAGTAGAAATAGGGTCCCTATTCTGAGCAACATTATACTCCATTTTCCAGTTCTGGCTGCTGACATCATACTCTCCAGTGCTCATACACACACAAACATAGAGAAACAAAGATCTTGGATAAACCATATACAAACTGGAGCCAGTATGGGGCAGACTATTTTAATACTGATTGTGCTACCTTGGATATTTTATAAAAAAGCAGGACATAAATCTTGGTTGGCTGATATATTAAAAAGAACCAGCGTGTCAAAATAGAACAGGCAAATCCACACAACCGTGAATTTCACTGGGGAACCACAAAAATGATAGACTACGCAGAATTGGACAGAATGACAGGAAGGATCCGAAACCGACAAGATCAAAGATTCACAGAAGATTGGGAAAAATTTATTGAATATTTGCAAAAATTAAGTGATAATCAGATTACGTTTGTAAGTTTTAATGAAGCATTGTGATGGGAAATAAGTATTAAAATGGGATGAAGTTCACAGTAATAATATAAACAATAAAATAGAAATGTGTTTAAAGTTAAAATATGAAGGATTCGCAGACAAGTTGAGGGAAGTTGAAAAAAGAGAAATAAGATGTAACTAAGATGTATGGCGTGTATAATTTTGTTTTGTATTTGAATATATATATATATATATATATATATATATATATATATATATATATATGAATTTCACTGGGGAACCTTGTGCCAGTCACGGTATCCCAGCCTAATCTACCGTGGATACAAGGGCAATATATAGAAAATCCATTCGTAAGTCCTAAATCACATCAGGTCTCTTCTGTAGAAGAAAATTCCTAGAGCTGCTCATCTATGCCCCTGAGCTTGTCTGCAATGCTTATTCAAAAGGATCCAGGATAGTTTTTATAAGGGGATGCACACACATGTAGTAGTGGTGGAAAAGGGGGGGGGCATTCCATCAGTTCCGCTTTAAGACCAGCTTCTTCTGTCCCTGAATGGTTTCCATTCCAGTTGGTCATTGCAAAAAAACCCCACAAAACTTTAATTTTAAGAACTGGTGCCAGTTTGTTTTGCCCCCTCTTCCCTCTACATCTCTTTCTCCTTTTGTGTCATGTGGTTTGGATTGCAAGTCAGCAGGCAGGGTCTGTCTTTATTTTAAGTAAACTACTCTGGGGATCTCTTCAGCTGAGAAGCAGAGTAAGAAAGACTCTAAAATAAATAAAGAGCAGGGATAAACAAATTGCCAGGCAAGAGTTTTCACTCTGTGTGAGCTCCGATTTACAACCTTCAAATGTATCACTGTATCCCATTTTGCGCCTTGCCTATAATCTAGATTTCCTAAATGGAAAGATGTATGAAGAATTTGGCTACATAATGGACAGTCTAATAGCACCTAGTCTTCATACAGCTAAGACACAGCCACTGCTCATCTATCCCATCAAGACGTAACCAGACAGTGGAGAGACAGAAAGGTATCAACCAGGCCCCCTCCAAGGGTGCTTCCACATGTTCAAACCATAATAATTGTCTTGAATTTGGCAGGGTTTTATCATGCAGCTTCATTTGCATAACAATTAAGTTGACTGCAGATAACATAATTATGAAGTATGCTGTTGCAGCTGTGTTAGAAATGCACATCATGTTGATTTACAAGATTTATCACTTAATGATAAGCAAAAACAGAAAATTCCCACAAATCTGTCCATACCTGCATTGGGATAGCAAATAATGTAGGCTGTTGTACACTTCCCAATAGTTTCAATGAAGGGCCTCATTTCCACTGCCCCCAAGGCACAGTTTAGTCCGATGCTAGAAAGACCAATATAGATTATAGGTATGTATGTAGATATATTATTTGTTTTGATTGAGACACAAAAAAAAACCCCACTGAAAATACTAGTTTGTTAGCTTGTTACAAACAAACTGCTGTTAAAAAAAAAGAACCATTCAGACACCCACAAAGTCCCAGGTTGTGATCTGAGGGCACATGATGCACCCACCTTGCTGAAGCTAAGCAGGTCTGTCTGGTCAGTAGCTGGAGACCACACCACTTGAGACCACCACATATATGAGGTTGAAGTCACAAAAGCCTGCTATCAAATCACCTACCTGGTTATTTTCCTGCTTTTGATAATATTTTTAAACCAGGGAAGAACTTGAGTGTACACCTGCCTCATATGCCTAGGGATAGTGTTAAGATTGTGTAATTGAATTATTCACCTTTGATTCTTTTGAGGCTGATTTATTTTATTTTTTACACAGAAAGAGCCTCAGCAGCCTCTCACCAGGTTATTAGTGTAAATATCTGCATCAGAAATATGAACAAAGTCAGGTCTTAAGCTCAAATTCTAAGCAGAGGTTCTCTCCTCAGATCTCAAATACAGTTGAATAAAAATATTTTTCCTGTGGTCATTTGTTTCATCCTATCAAATTCAGGAACGCAACAATTAAGTACAAACACCAGAACTAGAAAAATTCTTAGGCCCCATCTGAACCTTATGTTTAAAACAGTATTGTATCACTTTAAATAGTCCTTGCTTCCCCTAAATAATCCTGGTAATTGTAGTTTATTATAGTTGCTGAGAGTTCTTATTAGACCGCTATTCCCCTCACAGAACTACAATTCTCAGAGTGGTTTAACAATCAATTCCTCTTGCCAGGAAACTCTGAAAAGATTAATGATGAAAACAACAAGCTCGTAAGTCTGACAAATTGTGCATCTAGCCCATGAGTGGCAATATGTTTGTTTGTTTACTGAAATGTTTATAAACTGCTATTCATTAAAAAAATCAGAGCTGTTTACTATTATACATAAGACTACAAGAAAGTCCATATAAAAAAAAAGTTAAAATCAGAAATCAGCTAACTATTATTGAAAGGTGTATTCTTAATTGCCTGCCTAAGCTTAATGGTGTAGGGACGCGGGTGGCGCTGTGGGTAAAACCACAGTGCCTAGGGCTTGCCGATCGTATGGTCGGTGGTTCGAATCCCCGCAGCGGGGTGAGCTCCCGTCTTTCGGTCCCAGCTCCTGCCCACCTAGCAGTTCGAAAGCACCCTAAGTGCAAGTAGATAAATAGGTACCGCTTAATAGCGGGAAGGTAAACGGCGTTTCCATGTGCTGCGCTGGTGCCAGCTCGCCAGAGCAGCTTCGTCACGCTGGCCACGTGACCCGGAAGTGTCTCTGGACAGCGCTGGCCCTCGGCCTCTTAAATGAGATGGGCGCACAACCCTAGAGTCGGACACGACTGGCCCTTACGGGCAGGGATACCTTTACCTTTACCTTTAAGCTTAATGGAATAGAAGAGTTTTCAGCTTAAAGCGGAAGGGTTACTGGAGACCACAAACAGAGAAATTATTGAATACTTGCTACCCAAGATTCTGGAGTTCAAATTCAGGAGTTCAGATATGCAATATGTAAACTCTTCCACTAACAAGCATCTTTTCTGTCCTGAAAGCCAACAACAACAGCAAAATCCTTCCTGGGGCCACGCTGGAAGGAACCAACAGTAAATAAGAATCCTGAGGTGTGTGTGCCAAATGAATAGCTCCCTGCAGTGTTAGCATACTCATTCCTCTTTCCCAGTAAGGCATTATGATGTCTTTGAGCACCAGAGACCACCCTCGTCTAAAGATGCCCAGTATAGTTCCTTCTCTGAAGCTAGGCACATCTGATTCTGGACCTGGCTAGTACCTTCTTCTGGAAGCTCTGCAGTAGCTTCTCTGCAACAGGTGGAAGCTTCTTCAGCCCACACTGTCCAAGATAAGAGGATCTATGTGGTTATCAGCATAGCAAGATCACTAACAACATTTCTGACCTCTTTGGCTTGACCCACAAGCAAACAGCTGACATATTTTAAACTAATCAAATAGTTTAAAAAGAGGTTTTATACAATTACTTGTAAAATAGGTCTCCACACAGCTGTGTGTGTGTGCGCGCACACACACACACACACACACTTATAACATTGTTTAGAAAGGCTGTCCAAAAAAAGAGAAAAATGAACAAGAAAGGGAGGCCATTTAAAACAAAACACACAAAAAACAACCCCTGAATTTAACTTATAGACCCATTACTCAACAAATGCTGGAGCACAGATAAGGATAGCTAATGCTGTCATCCTTATCAAACCACAGATAAATACAATTTCACTCTATGCTGCTAAGTCATGGTTGATTTATAAGCTTCCGCCTTCTTTCTCTTTGGCTCAGGCTCCTTTTTCACCTTAAGCTGCTGAATTTCTCTCTGCGTCATTTCACCACCATCTGTCTCTGTCTGTCTCTACAAGCCTCATCTGGTGATCTCCCTGAAGCTCCAGGGTGGCAAGAGTAAGGTAAGGAGGAAGGCAAGCCCCAAAATGACTCAAGAATGCTTATATTCTCACTGTGCATCGTGTACCTAGTCCTTTTCTGTAATTCCCACTGGAAGTTATAAAAGGTTGCACTTAAAAAACAACAACAAATCAGTGCATTGGTCCAAAGCACTGGCGGAAGGAATGAACAAACATTTTGCCCCCAAGAGACATACACGGGGCAGTAGGTGGGCAGTTGGAAGCCCCATGTCAGCAGATGTGGTCAGAGCGGGTCACATACTCACACTCACACGATTTACAAATGGAGAACGACACATGGGAGTGACCTGCCTACACGTTCATCCTCCACAACCATCTCACACTTCCACCTAGCCCAGCAAACAGCTATTTGGCAGGCTGGATGCAGCATGATTTATATGGGGAGAAAGAAGAGTAGGGATGACCCTCCCTGCATGCCGTCCTCCACATCACAATGGCATGACAGGCTAAAAAAACTCAGTAGGTGGAGAGATTTGGCAGAGGAGAGGGAAAGGCTGGCTTGACAATCCAAAATGGGATGCATTGAAGGTCACTGAGGGCCAAGGACTGCCAATATGCAATGACAGCAAGAAGTGGACAACAGATTGGCAAGGGCAGGAAATAGGTTGATGCTCTGCCTCCTGCCCATCAAGATGCACACCAGGAGAGAGCTGTGAGTGACTTAGGTCTACATGTCCCTAAGGAGGCTGTCTATACAATTTGAAAATCAGTGCTTTGAAAAGCAGAACAGATGGATACATTAGACTGGGGTCCAAACATTGTCCGCACAATCCTACCGCAACCCCCATTCATCTGAATCGATTTTAGAAAAACTGGCACAGAGCCTATCAATACTGAATAGCTTTATTGTAAGTAAATTTACTTCTCTCACCAAAGTGGGTCACAGTGAGATATACTGATGACGAAAGCTTCCCCAGTCTGGCCAGAGAGAGTACGGCCGCTTTTATCGACAATGGTTCCCGATACCTAAACACCACAAGGGAAGCAGCGAGAGAGACAAAAAAAAAAAACTTGTATGAAGACGGCTGCAACAGCAGATCTGAAATGAACAATGCCTGGTTAAAAATTAACAAGAGGCAATCAGAATGATGAAGGTTCTGTGCAACAACCTCTGCAAACAATGTTTTAGCTGTCACAAAGATTGATCTGTAAATGAATAGCTCCCTTCTCCATTTGAAGACAAAGGAAGGGAGGGAGGAAGAAACTTTTATCTGAATTTGCACTTGGGATATTAGGAAATTGTACAGAGAACACAAATATGCTAAAAAATTAACCAGATTTTTGAGATTCTGCTCAGACGATCAGCTTCCCACCCCTCCTTTAAGAGGAATACTCACCTATTCTATACCAAGGCAAAGAAAGGAAGAAAAAACCTCCTCCTCCTCCCCCATAACCGTATAATTTGGCATTTGAGGCATTCATTTTCACATTCTTTTGAACACCACAGGTCCTCAACCCTTCCCTTATTTAATACTATGCTTCCAACGTTGCCTATAACTAGAATCTGATGGTTCCAATGTTCTCATTATGGAACAATCTTCAAAACCACAAAGGATTTCCATGGAAACAATAATGTATTACACAACTGATGCTAGCAGCAACATAACTGCAAAATACTAGCCTTTTTAATTACATGATGGTCACATCTGCACGTCACAATAACCCAGGGTTGCTGGCTTATTATGGTTTATTGGGTACAAGCAGCATGCTGGTGCACATCATTCCTACTTCGCTCCTCTCCTGGCACAAGTAGGGGGAATAAACTAGGAAGACACAATTAAGCTGGGTTTCCCATGACTACTGAACTGAGGATGGTTTTTCTCCAACAAGCCAAGAGTCGCAAGCCAACAATAAGAAATAGTTTATGGCATGCTAGTGATCCTGGCTTATTAGGCAGAAACAAACCACGATTCTGGGTTCAGACTGTGACTTCCTAATTTGTTTCAACCATCCAAGCCAGAAAGTATTGTGCCCTGTGCCCCAGCATGCTGTTAAAACATAGTAAGCAAGCAAACTAGGATCATGACATATGAATGCAGTCAATAAACCTGTAGTTCAATCAATTATAACTCCTCCATGTTGCAGCCTTAAGATGCTGTAAGTGTGACAGACAAAATACAATGGTACCTCGGGTTACATATGCTTCAGGTTACATACGCTTCAGGTTACAGACTCCACTAACCCAGAAATAGTACCTCGGGTTAAGAACTTTGCTTCAGGATGAGAACAGAAATTGTGCGGTGGTGGTGCAACGGCAGAGGGAGGCCTCATTAGCTAAAGTGATGCTTCGGGTTAAGAACAGTTTCAGGTTAAGAACGGACCTCCGGAACGAATTAAGTACTTAACCCGAGGTACCACTTATAACCCGAGGTATAAGGTATCTTTTACTGAACCAGGCTGATGCATTTCCTAACACCCTGATCTAATGGAAGCTCTCATGCATGCTTCTAATGAATAAGAACCACAGTACAGCTTTTGGTATCTGAGATACTGAGAGACATTAGGGTGAACCAGTATGTTAGATATATATTATTTGAACCACATAAGTAGTGGTAGCTGAACCACATAATAAGTGGAAGTTAACCCAATGGTCTATCTCAGCTTGGATCTCAAGGGATAGCTGTCCAAAGTGATAAGGCGTTCATGTGACAAGAGAAGCACAATGGTTGTTTCCCACCTTCCTGTCACAGTGGGCAGAAGGCTTCCCACAGGACTCTATGACAAACTTCTCCCCCCCCTGCCAGCTGCTCCCATGTGTGCCCTTCTCAGCATGCTGCAATCTGCAGGGTCCATTCAACAGCACATTTTACTGTCCGCTCTTGTCCCAGGCACGCAGGCTTCTCCCAGCAGGAGCAGACAGTTGTGCATGGGGGCCATATGGAAGAGCTGGCAAAAAAATGCTGTTGGTTAAAGACACAGGAGGCCTTCAGCTGCTATTGAAGTATGCCCAGGAGAATCTCAGCACACTTGGAAGAGCAAACGTGACAGCAGATGGCACGGAAAGACAGAGTCCAGTGAGAGTCACTCCGTGACCACGGAGTGCAGAATTGCACACTAGAAGTTTGCACATTTACATATATATTTACACAGCAGAACCAGAGGGGTTCCTGGCAGTATATTTTGACTAACATATTTTAAACTCAAAGAACAGCCAAATGGGGAAAGGTAGTATAGCTTCTGAAACTACAGCTTTTCCACTATTGCTGCTGTACTGTGGAAGGCCCTTTTCTCTGCAATATATGAAGAAGTAACCATTAGTTGCTTCAGACATCTTTCAGTGACCTCCTTTTTGGCCTCAGCTTTCTCCAGCCGGCAAGATAGGACCCTGCTTTTATTTGTTCACAGTCTCTGAATTCCTATTTTTGTTTTTATAATACTGTTTTACTGGCTCCATGTTGCATTTTTTATTTTAATTACATTGTTGTTGCTTATTTTGTATACCGCTGAAGAGACGTTTTAAATATTAAGCGGTTTCTAAATGCCAACGCATATTTATTTATAGTTATCATAAGAGGATACTGATGCTCTAGAACATAGGTCGGGAACTTTAATGAAAGGAACCTTGAAGTGCAAGGTAACATACAAGACCGTATAGTTTGTAAAACAAAGTGTTCATTTCTTAGATGGTTGAGCATTAACTAATGAATTACAGAGATGCGGTTACTCTTTCAGTTCTATTACTTACAAACAATGGTCTGGGGTCATACTCTTCCTCAAACAATTTCTGGAGCGCAAAGAGAGCTGCCTGTGCAATGAAAACATCACAAAAATTAAGGGTGGGTGATATGCCTTCCTTCCACTTTGGAGTTTTCAAACATCTTACACATTTTTAGGTTTTGTTTTGTTGTAGGGAGGGAAGGATTAGACCAGCACCAACAGCTTTTTCTTTAGAGGAGACCAATGACCCCCTAAATAAAAACAAGACCAACAATAAAGGAGCCACAATATAGTCTCTCATGTGGCTCTGTGACTGCAGGAAAAGTTGCCCAACAGCAATTTCACAGTGAGAAGAAATCCATGCCAGACTGCATGAATCTATGGCAGGTGCGGGAAACCTTTTTCAGCCTGAGGTCCACACTGCCTCTAACCTTCCAGTCAGTTCATGTCAGTGGTGGGTGAGGCCCATTCAAAAGGTTGGTGGGAACACCCCACTCTTTCTCATCCACATCCACACACATATATATTCATACAAACACACGAACATATACGTCCATTCTTGCACAAAGCACATACATAAAACAGCCACACGTGTGTGTGTGTGTGTGTGTGTGTGTGTGTGTATACACTGCCTCTAGAATCAGAGGAAGAATGCTGGTTGCTGGGGATCCCAATGAAGAAAATGCTATCACACTGCTGTCCTTGTTGTGAGTTCCCTAAAAGCATCAGGTTGGCCACTGAGAGAACCAAATGCTGGACTACAGAGGCCTTTAGACTGATCCAGCAGCATTCTTCTTATCTCCAGCCTCTAACTCAGGGCTTCAGCAAGCCTGGAGGAGTCATGTAGTCCTGTTCAGGCTTCACCAAGGGGAAGGAAAGGACACTTCTCTCATTCTACATCCACCCAAAACACTGCCCCTCTGTGCTATGTAACGCTAAAGGGCTCGGATTTGGAGCACTGTTGTTTAATTATCAAGAGAAAGGTTTCCATAAAGTGGGGGAAAGGGCTCGTTTTTCTCCTTTCCTCTTTCCTGAAGCTTCCCCATCCAGTGCAAGGAAGAGGAGCTTCTTAACTTCATGTCATACATGGCATCCCCTTCCAGGAACTTTTAACGGTCCCATCCAGAATACTACAAGCTATTAAGGACTCCAGCAGAACAGTTCCAGCGCCCCCCCCCCCAATCGTTCCTTGTTTAATGCACTTGTACAAAGAGAATCAATATTATCATTTTAAATAAAATGAGTTTTATCTGCTTTTGACTTGTGTCATCTAACTTTGTGATCAATTAAATTATAGTTCACATGGGGTGGGGTGGGGTTTGTTTGTTTGTTTGTTTTTTTAAATGGCACTTTCAAGGGTTTGCTTTGAATTCTCACCTTGGCATTGGCTGTATCAAATATGGTTTCAACTAACATGATATCTGCTCCACCATCAAGAAGTCCTTTGGCTTGTTCGGTGTATGCTTCCACAAGCTCATCAAAAGCTGCAACACAATAATAACAGATTCCCTTTTATGCTAGAAGTGACAATGAAACACCTATTCCGACTACAAATGTGGTTCTCATATCCTCCGCAACTGGTGGACATGGAAGAAGGTAACTTTGCACTGCAATTCTTTATTATTTGGCACAATGTACAGCAGAATGAGATTAGTTATTAGGCTCTCAAATAATTCTAATTAGCTTCCTCAAAGATATTGTGGACACCTCTAATATGGAATTAGAAATAGATTTATGAACCACAACAAAAACTTTAACTGGCATCAAAATTGGAAGTCTCTGGACTCACCAAAAACACGTTAATGGGTCAGCCTATATTATAAAAGTGGTGTTGGTGTTAAACTGATAGAAACAGAAAAAGCAAAATAAATAATATTTGCCCTCTGTCTTTGGAATAACAATCTAAATACTTACTGACATTTCTGTAATCTGGCTTTTCCACTGAAGGGGAGACAGAAAGGGTCTTGTTTGTGGGACCCATTGCACCAGCCACGTATCTTTTCCTTCCTTTACAAAGAAGAGACATAATATTTGAGAAACAGGCTTTGGATGATGGGGCAGAGACACAGCAGTGTTTCATCATGTGCTATCCAGACCAATTGATAAAAGTATGGCACTGCACTTGGGAACAATTATGAGAGGGGCAAAACCTGCCTGCCATGCCGATGCTGAGTGGCACAATCCTGCAGCAAGGAACTTCAAAGGATCCAGGGGGCGGAGTTCCAAAGTACCAATATAGGAAATACATTTAAAAAATAATAATACAAAAACTATTTAGCATTGTAGTGATAATACAGTTTGGGTGAGCAGGTGTTGTATTTTGTCATAGTTCAGCTGCTCAAGTAATACAACTGTTTGCAGTCCAGCTCCAATGTGGGGAAGGGAAGTTATCATTTTGGCAGGAATTAAAACAGCATCCAGCATATGGATGACAACTGGGAAGAAGTCTCAGAGAAACAAAAGAGCCTAAAGGAAAGGTTAGTGAAGAATATAGCTTGAATTAGGCTAATGAGAGAAGCGGTTCTGACTAAACTTTGTGATGCTATTTGTTATGGGTGGAGGGAAGGAAAAAGGAGATAGACAGGCTGTCAAGAGACAGGGTAGCTATAGGAAGTGGGACACAGCAGAAAGTGATCTGAAATGCACAGAACTGAGGAAACAACAGGTGGTGAACAGGCAGAGTTGGGGGGGGAGGAGCCAAAAAGAATATAGGGCTGGACAAAACTATACATAGGGACAAAGGGACTTGTGGGGTACAGTGGTGCCCCGCAAGACGAATGCCTCGCAAGACGGAAAAACCGCTAGACGAAAGGGTTTTCCGTTTTGAAGTTGCTTCGCAGGACGAATTCCCCTATGGGCTTGCTTCGCAAGACGAAAATACCTTGCGAGTCTTGAGATTTTTTTCGCTTTTCCCCCTTTATCTAATCTGCTAAGCCTTTAATAGCCTTTAAGAGCCTTTGAGCAGCTAATCCCCGAAGCCTTGACGCCTTTAATAGCCGCTAAACCGCTAATAGCGCTAATAGCGCTAATCCGTCAATGGGCTTGCTTCGCAAGACGAAAAAACCGCTAGACGAAGACTCTCGCGGAACGGATTAATTTCGTCTTGCGAGGCACCACTGTATTGGCAGGAAGGACAAGTAGATAGGCAGATGAGACAAGGCAAGCCCCTTCACTCTACGCTTTTCAGACCTGCTAAAAGCATTATTATTTAGATAAGCCTATCCAGATATGTAGAATGTGGATCATGTGTTTCAATCTGTTTTTAGCCTATAGTTGATTTTAATTATTTTTGTGGCTTCTATTGTCACAACAAACCTCAAGGCGCAACAAGGGCAGAAAGCCCAAATTTCACATATTGACAAACTTAGCAATCAGCATTTGGCTGAAGGCTTCTACAAGAAGAACCGAGATTCTAATTATCAAGACTAGTTAGATACTCCAAGATCAAAATGTGCAGTAGATTCTGGAGATTTTTTTTTTTTTTAATAGTCTCATAGGTGAGCTAGACTGAAGAGATCTCTCTTTAACTATTACTGGTCTCTTCTAGTCTTGATTTTGAGAAAACAACACCTTCTCTTTAAAGCTATTAAAGCCTTGAAACCAGACAGTGGGTTTTTGCTGGAATTTAAGAAAACCATGTTTTCCAGTCAGCACTTGAGTTGCCTATTGCTGGAATCTGCAAGAAACTAAAGCCAGTTTACTTGACCTTCAGGTCATTTTGTATAAATAAGAAACCAAGTATGCAAGCTGCAATGTTTTGGGAATAGCACTGACTGACACTAACATCTGGAATCTAAGCAGAATTTGGAACCCACAAGAGCCCCTAATGAATAGTGCCTATTTTATTATGCATTATTATGTTTCACTGAAGGACACCTCCAGCAATTACATACTCCAGCCTAATGAGAAACAGTAATCCTAGGCTAATGTGTGAACTAATTGGAAGCCAGTAGGTTAGAAATATTGGAATGTCATTTACCTGTCTCAGCAGTGACATCATCGGCTGCTTTTCGGGCTACCTGTGCTGATATTTTGTTTAACCGATAAGCCTGGGAAGTACAGGGGTAGGAGAAAGTGGAGAAGACATCAAAACAATCAAGCATCCAGAAAGCATCCATTATATTCAGAGTTTAACTAACTCTATTTTGAACTACATTTTAGAGTGTTCATTGCAATGCATTTTATAGCCAATTCACAAGTCATGGTATATATAGAAGAAGAAAAAACCCCACCACCGCATGTTTCCAAAGAGTTGGCCTCCATTTTGGATCCCTAAACTATCAACTTGGCTCAAAAGTCTCTACCTTGCTAGAAATGTTAGCTGGCAAGGGCATAGCTATCACTATGATAGGAATTTTTTCTGCAGCTCTCATCAACACCGTCTACTGAAATGCGAAAGAGGAAGAACTCTAGAAGACACAAAAGCCTAATCTCACCCCTCCCCACCAAATTCAACCAAGGCATGCTGTACCAATGGGTTACTGAGAGTGCCCAGTTAGTATGTGATCCTCCAATCAGGATCAACACATATCCAACCTGGAGTCAAGCATCCCACACCCTTGGTCATTAGGAAGAATGTACACTCATCTTCCTTTTTTGTGCACTAGCAGATCTTTCTTCCAGTGTTCATTCTGATCTTGTTAGTCTTGTCTTTCTAAGACAGCAGCAGAGAACGTCAGCCTGTGGGTCAACACAGACCCCTCCAAGGTCATCAGAGGCGCTCTTCTGATTGCCCTTTTTGACACAAGCTTTAAGGGTAGCAACGAGAGAGAGGTTCTTTTCAGTGGTGCACCCTCGCATTTGGGGAATGCTCTCCCCAAGGACATTCATCTAGTTGCCTACATCAACACATTTTTGGTACCAAAGACTTTCCTCTTCTCCCATGCATCTAATGATTAACATTTCTGTGGGTGCTTTAGCTTGCTCACTTTTTGATGATCACAATCATGTGCATGTGGTTGGGAAGAGGTGAATGTTTCCATCTGTTGCTTTTAGAATTAAGCCTGTGGTTATTTTAGTGCCCAGTAAAGTGTAAAGTACTTTTTGTACTGTAAGTTGCCTCAGGATTTTTTTGTAGTAGGCTTCCAACAAATGATTGTTTAGTGTTACGTGCAGAAGCCTTAGGCTGTGGGCTCTCATTTTCCTTTCTTCTGATATTGCCACGTGGGGTAGATTGAAAACAGATGTAAAGCTTCCAATTAACCATGGTTTATTGTTGCATCTGAACCTAGAACTGCAGTTAATCTTATGTTTAGGGAACAAACCAGAATCAGCAACCACAGTTTTGAGTTGGATAGTTTCCCTAAACCATAGTTAAGGTTTAAGGTTGTTGTTGTTGTTGTTTTAAAAAAACAGACATCATAGGTAAACACAGATAGCTGGAAATTCTCACTTTTGTTTTCAATCTCCTACTAATATTGGAGAGCTGTGGGGAGCTCAGATGTCCTTGTCCATTCGCATAAAGCTATGCCATAGTTTAGCTTTATGTCTGAATGTGATCAGCATCACAAATTTACTTACCTCAAGAACTCAGGAAAGGATTTCAAATGTCACAAGACAGCATAAATCAGTCATGACTGTCCACATTTATTAATTTATTTAAAAATGTGTATTTAGAGCTCGGTTGAAACCAAGCCACAGGAGTGTCACGGTCTTGCTATGAAGCAAGAGTTCTCCATTAGAGAAAAATTATTCGGAAAGTACTCTTTTGAGAAATTAATGTCCCTCAAACCCACATTGATAAGACTAAATAAGCCCCTCATGCCACATTGCACCAATGATGGGGGAACTCCTTTATCCCCTTTAACAGAATAAAAAGAACCGAAGTGAGGCACTCTTGTTTCACTGATCCTTTAGGATCCTTTGATGAGTAGCCAAACAGGGCATGGGCATGTTTGATTTTGATCCAGAATGTATGCTAACGCAAGAATGCATTACAAGAGATCACTCAGCCTTGTAATTAGGCATTGGCTTGGCTGCCTAGTAAAACTGCTTCTAGGGGATCAGGCATGCCCCCTTAACACTACTACATGCAAACTCTTCTTCTCTCAGCAGAAACAAGGTACTGCAGCTGCTGACCTTGAGCTGCAAACTTACAATGGAGCACTGTGGCTGCTAATCCTTGCACGTTCTCTCTCCTACTCATTCAATCTTCATTTGCTAGGCTGGGCCTGGGATAATCTTTCATCAGAAAGAAGCAAATCAAAACTACGTTACCTATAACGTCTCAGACAAATGTTATTTTTATATAGTGCCATGATTGTACATGGCACAGTGCAGAATAAAATAAGCAAAAGGGGCAGGCATGTGCCGCATCTAAATTTCAACAGGGGGTGGCGAGACAGCCACGTGAAGGAGAACAGTAAATGTGAACAAGCTAGAAAACCCCACCTTGATTAACAAGAAATTCAAAATTCTTACCACATGTTCAAGGCCATAGTCAGCTTGTGCTATTCTGGTGCTGCTGAAAGTGTTCGTCTCAATGATATCAGCACCAGACATCAAGTATTCCTGCAAGAAAAAGAGAATGATTAGGGGGTTTCTTTGGGAGCGGGGGGGGGGGGGGAGAAAAGTTGTTTTTCAAATGCAAGTTAAGCCTCTTTACAAATGTCAAACAAGGAATTTAAGCTATTCTACAGTCCTTCACAGGAGAAACCCATCTGCTCTCTGTATTTAAAGTAGTGCCATACCGCTTTAAACTTTAAACAGTCCTGACTTCCTCCAAAGAATCCTGGGAACTATAGTTTGGCAAGGGTGCTGAGGGTTTTTCGGAGACCACTATTCTCTTCACAGAGCTAAAAATTCCTCAAGTGGTTTAACAACCAATCCATTTTCCACACAGAACTCTAGGAACTGTAGTTCTGTGAGGGGAACAGGTTTGCCTACCACTCTCAGTAAGTAACCAGGTGTAAAATAGGGCTTTCTCTCATCACTTTTAATTCTGCAATTAATCTTAAGAGATTAGAGGGAAAGCTTAAAAAGTCCTACCATCTGCAAAGTCAGCTAGTGCCTTTTCATTATTTGAACAGCAGGAGAGGAAAATCTACCATATATTATGTAATTAAATTATAACTGAAAGTGGCAATAGCAGTAATTCCTCTTGGGTACTCATGCTGTTCTCCAAAATGAAGACACTTCAGTTCCTTAAAGAAATGTGCATACTTCTTTCTAGACTTGGAAGTACTGATGTGACTGTTTAGAATATCAATATAATGATGTGGTACGGTTTAAACCCTTGAGATTTTTCTCAGTGAAAAATAAAAATAAATGAGGACAAGGGTAATTAAAGCCAATTATATTTTAATCAAAATGCTAGAAGAGAAATTCCCAGCTTAGATTTTCAAGGAAACTTATTGATAAGTGACAAGGTCTGTCTGGATGCAAACACACTTTTCAAAAACTAAGGTTGAACTTGCATGATTATTTATGACAGGAAATGACACAAAGAGGGTTGGGAGACAGATTGACCTCCCTTCTCTGGTAATAACTTTTTTTCTTTTCTTTTTTGCAAATGCATCCCATGCACTTCAATATTTAAGCAGATGCTTACCCTACTGCAGATGAAACCTTGCCTGTCAACTGGGACCCAGTAACATATATAGATTTGCAAGTGGGCCTTGAATGTGCTGCTTGTCTACCCCTTTCCCACCCCTGAGGTGGCTGGATTGTCCAGGTGAGACCACTCACAGAGGCTTCAGCACACATTTCACATGCAGTGAGAGGGTGCAGAGAACACTATTGTGCAGGGGCAGCACTACATCAAGGCAACACAAGCAGTTACCTGGGAAGCCTAACTTCAGCAGGGTGCCATCATCACCTGCACCAACACACACAAGACAGGAAGCTTCTCTGTCATAGCTTCGAGGTCTCTCTTGTGGATATTGCCTCCGCATTTGCATTGGTTTCTCCTCTGCTGGACTGAATAGTAGCAGCAGACCCCATTCAGTTTCAGCATTTGTCAACAATAGTAGAAGCAACAAATGAGAGGTAGGGCATGGATATATTTTTCCATTTTTTCAGTAAGTGATGGTGTCAGAAGGGATGGGGAGGAGGAAACCCCTCACACATTTGATGGGAATTTGATGTTGCAGAGCTTAAGTTTCCTTCTCCCCCCTTATTGTTTTTTTTAAACACAAACACATTTATCCAACACATATTCCCCCATGTCCTTATCCCAAGTGAATGGAGTGCAGCTGGAGGATGGACGGCGGTTAACAGACTGAGGTTGAATCCTGACAAGTACTGTTTTTGGGGGACAGGGGCCGGGGCAGGTGTAGGGGTCTCTCTGGTCCAGAATGGGGTAACTGTGCCCCAGGAGGACTAGGTGTGCAGCCTGGGAGTCATTTTGGACTCACAGCTGTCCATGGAGGCACAGGTCAATTCTGTGTCTAGCGCATCTTCTACCAGCTCCATCTGGTACACAGGCTGAGACCCTACCTGCCTGAGCACTGTCTTGCCAGAGTGGTACGTGCTCTGGTTATCTCCTGCTTGGACTACTGCAATGCGCTCTACATGGGGCTACCTTTGAAGGTGACCTGGAAACTACAACTAATCCAGAATGCAGCAGCTAGACTGGTGGCCAGGAGTGGCTGTCAGGATCATAGAACTCCGGTCCCAAAAGATCTTCATTGGCTCCCAGTACATTTCCAAGCACAATTCAAAGTGTTGGTGCTGAGCTTAAAAGCCCTAAACGGCCTTGGCTCAGTATACCTGAAGGAGTGTCTCCACCCCCATCGCTCAGCCTCCATCACTGAGGTCCTCCTCCAAAGCTCTTCTGACGGTTCCCTCACTGCAAGAAGTGAGGTTACAGGGAACCAGACAGAGGGCCTTCTTCGTAGTGGTGCCCTCCCTGTGGAACACCCTCCCTTCAGATGTCAATGAAATAAACAACTATCTGGCTTTCAGAAAACATCTGAGGGCCGCCCTGTTTAGGGAAGTTTTTAATATTTGATGTTTTATCATGTTTTTACTATTCTGCTGGGAGCCGCACTAAGTGGCTGGGGAAACCCATCAGGTGGGTAGTGTATAAACAACAACATTAGTAGTAGTAGTAGTAGTACTAAACTTAACAGGGAAAAGAAATTAACTCTATTCTCAGAGGTTCCATACATTGTTTCCCTATGTTTTCAGCTATTAAGCAGCTCAAATCCCTAGTTTTCAACCTTTTCAGCTTTCCCAAATTCACCCCCCACAACACACATTTTCCCTGCCTTTCAACCTGCCACTGTGTTGCAGATCTTCCCATCACCTGTTTTTTTCTTATAATGAACCAAATCCTCTTTTCTCTTCTCATGTCTGCTTAGCTTCCCCCCTCTACCTAGCGATGCTTCTAAACTGGAGGCTCCTAGCAGTATCCAATCAAGGCTCTTCCATGGCAAACTGCATGTGAAATTAAAATTGAGTGGAGAAGCAGGTACTGCACTTTGTCTGCATGTAAACCTCTCAATATTCCACCCACACAAATGGGCCGACATAAGTGTGTAGGTGGGGGAAATTCAATTCACTCAAGCACGCCATTTCCAAAGCACTTACTCTATCACCTTTTAAAATGTACACTCAATTTTTTAAAAATTTACTGCTATTGAACCATTACGTAAGTAGCTTTTTAAAGAGTTGGAAGTATTTTATTGCTAACTATAGAGTAGGGGGGATAGAAAACTGTGCTAAAATGGAAGACAGCATATGTTTCATTTTAATAATCTAAAAACATTACAGGGAACCAGGCAGTGGGTCTTCTCAGTAGTGACGCCCACCCTGTGGAACGCCCTCCCAGCAGATGTCAAAGAAATAAACAACTACCTTACTTTTAAAAGACATCTGAAGGCAGCCCTGTTTAGGGAAGTTTTTAATGTTTGATGTTTTATTGTGTTTTTAATATACCGTTGGGAGCTGTCCAGAGTGGCTGGGGGAACCCAGTCAGATGGGCTGAGTATAAAATTATTATTATTATTATTATTATTATTATTATTATTAAGACATAAGAAGATCCTGCTGGATCAGGCCAATGACACATGAAGTCCAGGATCCAACCAGGCAACTGCGGGAAGTCCGCAAACAGTCTGCAATAAAATTCTTTGTTTTATTTTATTAAAGCATCAAATACTTTAAGAAATTTCTTTTGAAGGTGAAAAGATTAAGAAATTTTTAAAAATCAATTAAAAATAAAATAGATACAATGATAGAATGATACCAAGAGACCAGGCAATACTGAAAGTGATTCAAGGTATAGATGCCTGATAAAAGAGTTATATGCCAAACCACATCTCATTAAAAAAAAGAGAGAGAGAGAGAGAGAGAAGGGTACTGCTAAGATGGTTACCACCTGCGGAAGTTGCACTACCCTATCATTCTTTCCACTGGAAACTTCCAGGCTGAACTACTGGAATGCATTCTACATGGGGCTGCTCTTGAGAAACGCCAGTTGCTGCAAAATGCATGAGCTCCACTGCTTGTCAGGGCAGGGTATTGCAAATATGCTGCCCCACTGCTGAAAAAATTGCACCGGCTGCCAATTAGCTACTAGACTTAGCTCAAGGTGCTGGTTTTGGTATATAAATACAGCCTGAGACCATGATATCTGAAAAATCATCTCACTGCTTATATATCCAATCAATTAAAGTACAGTGGTGCCTCGCAAGACGAAATTAATCCGTTCCGCGAGAGTCTTCGTCTAGCGGTTTTTTCGTCTTGCGAAGCAACCCTATTAGCGGCTTAACAGATTAGCGCTATTAGCGGTTTAGCGGCTATTAAAGGCTTAAAGGCTTAGGGATTAGCTGCTAAAAGGCTATTAAAGGCTATTAAAGGCTTAGCATATTAGATAAAGGGGGAAGCGAAAAAAAAATCTCAAGACTCGCAAGACATTTTCGTCTTGCGAAGCAAGCCCATAGGGGAATTCGTCCTGCGAAGCAACTCCAAAACGGAAAACCCTTTCGTCTAGCGGTTTTTCCGTCTTGCGAGGCATTCGTCTTGCGGGGCACCACTGTACTATGTTCTGCAGGTGAGGGCCTCCTCCTGCAGATACCATCTTCATAGGAGGTCTGTTACACACAATATAGGAATCAGGCTTTTAGTGCTGTGGCACCTACACTTGGAATGCTCTCCCCTGGAATATTAGACAGGTGCCATCTCTGTTGTCGTTTTGGTGCCTAGTGTGTAGACCTTACTCTTCCAACACGCATTCCTAGTCTACCTCTGTACTGTAAATGTTTTAAATTGTTTTCTCACTTGTTCTTTGCCACCCAGGGCTCCTTCTGGGGGAAGGGCAGGATATAAATTAATTCAGTGAATAAAAAGCAACAAAACAATTCTGTAAAGAATATTCAGTGAAATCAGAGTCCATTCAAACTGATAAAAGTTTTTTAGTCCAATGCAGTGGGGCCTTATTGGTTGTTACAATTCTCAAGTTTTTACTAAAGAAAGAGAAAGTATGCAATATACTCAGCAATTACTTCTACATACATTATAATTCACACAAGTTTTTCAGCAAAAGGAACCATGATAATTATTGTCATCTAAGTTATCTGCATATGCCTTTGCAAATAATCAGTATTCTCCCAGTGAAATCCTCATAAAACAAACCATACTGACCTTGTGAATTTTGTAGATTATGTCAGGCTGAGTTATGCTTAACAGATCATTGTTTCCCTTTAGCGGTTTCATATGATCCTTAAATTCTTCACCTTGAAATTGCTCTTCTGTTAAGTTATGTTGCTGGATCATGGTCCCCATGCCTCCATCCAAAACCATAATGCGTTCCCGCAAAACCATTTCAATTTCATCTTTCAGGCTTTTCTTCGTAGCTGTGTTAGGAACAGGGTCAAGTGAGAAATGCATATTCAAAGCCAGTGTGGATAAAAATCAATGATTTTTTAAAAAATTAATAATTTTTAAAAATTTAAATAGGATTTTTAAAATCAGGATTTAAGTTTTTCATGTGTGCTAAAACTGAGTCTAAGATTTTTTTAAAAAAAGAATTGTTTAACCACATCAGTTAACAAACATGGATACATATGATATAATGTTATTGTTTTAGTTAAATAAATTGTTTAAATTGTTATTAAGGAAATGATTGTTTTCCTCCTTCCAATAAAGTACAGCAGAAAAATTATCCAAATATAAACAGTTAACTTATTAAACTTCACCATAATTTCATAATTATCTGTCTATGTATTTCTAATAGTATAACCAAATCAGTAATTTTTGACATAACTGTAAAAACTACTCTAAAAATTAATTATTCCAAAAATGAAACCTTCATCTGGTTGTAAATATTAAGGTTATACAATGGTGCCTCACAAGACGAAATTAATTCGTTCCGCAAGTTTTTTTGTCTAGCGAATTTTTTGTCTTGCGAAGCACGAAATCCCATAGGAATGCATTGAAATTCAATTAATGCGTTCCTATGGTCAAAAAAAGTCCAAACAAAGCCAAATTCGGTACAACAAGAGTTTATTAAGTGCTCTTTAAAGTCACACATACTGTAAAGAGCATTTCAAAAATTGAAGGAACCATAAATTAAGTTTCTAAACATGACAGAAAAACATTTAAAAATCAACAAAGTGTACAGTACATTTTCTAAGACTCTGGGGGACAACTCGAAGAAGGTTCCTCTTCCACTCGTTGCTTCTTGCTGAAGAACCCCCTCCTCAAATGTTCCCCCAGCCACCCACCACACAGAAATTCAAATCCAGAAATTTTTTTTAAAAAACAGCAGAGTGGCCCAATGGTCACAGAAAATCATAAAAATGCAGGAAAAAACCACACAAGCTTCCAGATTCTTGCAAACCCCTCCCCAACACCAAGTCCTTGAATTCCAAACACCCCAAACCAAAATCCAAAAACCCCCAAAAAAGTTTTAAAAGTTTAAAAGAAGTTTTGGAAAAGCTTCAAAAATCACCAAAGTCTTCAAAAACCTCAAAAAGGCTACCACACCGCGTTCTATGAGTTGCTCCTCGAAGTCAAGTCGCAACTGTATTAACGGTGTTAAGAAAAAGGAAACAAACTCGCAAGACGGTTTCGTTTTCGTCTTGCGAGCTAAGCCCATAGGGAAATTCGTCTTGCGAAGCAGCTCAAAAAACGGAAAACCCTTTCGTCTAGCGAGTTTTCCGTCTTGCGAGGCATTCGTCTTGCGGGGCACCACTGTATACTATAGAGCTAGATGTAGAACCAGCTCCTAACTCAGCAGCAATACTTTTCCCTGTCTTCTTGCAAGCCTGTAGATTTTAGGGCTTGTTTGCCTGAGGACTAACAGTGCAGCTCTACCATGCTGTGATATACCCAAAGTTAGCCATACTCAAAGTGGACTTTTTGAAGTCATTTTCAATTTCTTTCAATAGGTCTACTTTGAGTATAATCCTCTTTATCACCCATGGAGTGGAAAGAAAGCATAAGTTTCTAATTACAGTAGGTAGGTAGGCATTTTTGCACATGCTCTGTCACACTGTCAAGACATCCAGGAGAGATTATCCACAACTGTGAGCTGTTACACAGCACACAGGCCACACCTCCCCCACATGATTTTTAATCTACACCAGTCCTTCTAAAAAATAAATCAGCTTCCTATTGAGCAAATGGCATTAAGAGGTTAGGTCTCCACACAAGAGCAATCACTGATAGCCCTATCCCAACAATGTTCACTCTGAAGTCCCACAAATTTCAAGGAGATATGATACAGGCAATTTCAGTGAGATAAAACAGAAGCTTAGAAAACCACATTGCATCCAAACTGGAATACAGAGTTTTACCCTGCACCTAGAAAAGATGCTTGGCACATTGTGTCCCATGTTGATTTAAGAGAAGGACAGCACAACTATACAGGGATTTCTTCAGCTCCCATTAAGAAAGCATCACAATAAGATAGAGGTAAAATATGGCACAGAACCTATCACCAGCATTGCACATATTCAAAACAATGCAAAACACGGGAGAAATGTGATTTTCACTGAACTAACCTTGGTGAGTCTTATAACATACAGGGTTTTGAGTCATTTGAGCCCCTTCAAGAGGCAAATTTTAAAGAGAATGAACTTTTACCTATACAAGGAATAAAACATTAAATGCAAAAACCCTACTCACTTTCTTGAACTCATTGAGGGTTACTTCTAAATAAACATGCACACTACAGATTTTTTGACAACCTTCAGTAATATTGTGGACTATTAAGAAACCTTGGGATTCATTTTAATTCCCAAATGTGTATCTCTATGATTACACCTAAGGGGCAAGTTCTATGAACACTTGCAAGCCTGCTCTGTTTTACTCTTTAAGGCGTATATAGATTTAGTGGTATATATGAAGCATGGACCAAAACATTTACATAGCTATGTCCTAAAAGATGTTAAGTCTGCTGGTCCTGCTTTTTTATATTTCTTCCGTGCCTCCCAAAGGTCCTTTAAAATACTGTACTGCAAGATAAAGTTCTCTTTTGAAACCCAAGGCATGTCAATCTAAAACACTGGCAACTAAGAACCACGTTTCATTTAAAGAAAACAAAAACAAGTCAGGACCACAGTACATGTGGTTCCCGAGTGTGTTGATGTATTTTTTCCTGCTGCCAAACACACAGACATATTTAGAAAGCAAGTTACTGTGCCTCTTAATGATGTCTCACAGGGTACTAATGAATACAGAAGATCCATTTATTGCCTACTATCCATTGTCCAGCTCAACACAGCCAAAGGTTTTTCAATCCACATGCTTTATTGCATCATGTTCTGTCCACCACGACAGCTACTAAAGAGAAGAAAGTTATAAAAAACACACACTAATAAGTCTAACTAGGGGAAAGAATTAGGAGTGGAAGGCAACTAACTTTACCCTCAGAGCAGACCTACTGAAATGAAGGGTCCGAACTTTGTCGCGCTCCTTAATTTCAACAGGTCTGCTTATGAGGCAAAGTTAGCTGGAAAGAGTTACCCCCCCCCCAACTTCTTGTTCTGCACCCAGAAACCGCATGAACTATCATCCATTACGTTCTCTGCAAAAAATATCTCCTCTCCCGACACACCGTTAAAGCCTGCCTCAGCGACTACTCTCTTCCCTTAAGTGCCAAATAAAACTTTGCTGCACCAGCTGTAGCGGGACACACGCGCGCGCGCTCCAACCCCCCAGACCCAGCGGGAAGAACGCGAGGCCAGGACCCAAGCTGCGCACCGCGTGACCTGGAGGCTCCCGGCAAACAAACACGCACCGTCCGACTGCTGGCCGCCGGACTGATGAGGCGGCTCGTGGATGGCGGGCGACATCCCGCTCCGCGCTCGCCTTCCGACACCGCAAATGGGAGAAGAGCCCCAATTCGCTGGCTGGGGAGGCCGTAGGCAGGGCAGGGCGGAGAAGGCGCCTGCGCGTCATCCGGGTATTGTACCGGGCTTTCCTTCTTCGCTCGCTCGTGAGCTCCTGTTTTCGCCGCCTCGGCTGTGAGGAGAGGCGGAGCTGAGCGGGTGGCCGGCGTTCCTCTGTGTTCGGTTTCTCTGTCTATTAAAGGCGCCCTCTTTCCCCAACGGCTATTGGTTTTATTCTTCTCTCCCTTCCCCGAAACCACGTACAGTACCCAGATTTAATAAATGAATCAGTGCCGGATTTATGTATAAGCTAAACAAGCTATAGCTTAGGGCCCTACTCTCATGGGCCCCCCCCAAAAAATTAAAGGAAAAAACCACTGGATGTACATTTCCAAAATATAAGAGGAAAAAACAAATAAAATAAAACCTACATACAGCAACAGTGTTTTGTGTTGTGTAGGCTCCTATGGTGTAAGTGATGGGCCCTGCCTGCTAGCCTGCTCCCTAAAATATGCTCATTTCTATATACAGTGGTACCTTGGTTCTCAAACTTAATACGTTCAGAAGTCTGTTCCATATAGCATATATTCAACACAAAAACAGCGACAATTTGTTGACAGAGGACAGCTGGACATATAAAGGGCCCCATTACCTTCAGTAGCTTAGGGCCTCATCAAACCTAAATCCGGCCCTGGTTCAAGGACAGGTTCCCAGAAGAGGCACCATGGCCTCGATCTGAATTAGGGAGGAAGGCAACGCTAGACCTCTTTTGCAAAGGATGCAGAAATGTCGAAAGGGCGCCGTGTCCTAGTTCGGCTTCCAGCACTTGCTCCACACACACTGTGCTCCAAAAGAGTGTGCCATGTAGTGGTTAGAGTGTCGGGACAGGACCTGGGCTAGCAGCGTTCAAATTCTAGCCGGCCGTGAAGCTCCCTGGGTGACCCTGAGCCAGTCGCTGCCTCTCAGCCTAAGCTACCCCACTGGGTTGTTGTGGGGTTTAAATGAGGAGGACTGCCTTGAGCTTCTTGGAGGAAAGGTGGGGCACAAAATAAATAAAATGAAGTGTAGCATCTTGTTTACGAAAGCTCATGCCCTCCAAATTTAATATGTCGTAGGGCTGCGTTTTTACACTACTGATGAGTGCATTTTAAAATGTAGAGCCTATACTTAGGTATACAACTCTTGCTGGGCTAAGAATTGCTGTGGTCGTTTTCCATCCCATCTATTTAGCATTTTTTCTCTTTTGCTTTAGTGCTCTGAATGCTGGATTCTTTTTATTTCTTCCAGGAATTAGTTTGTAGAACTGTCCTTGCCAGTTTCCTAATACTGGATTGACTGATTGATTGACTGGCAGGTGAGACTGCTGGAAGCAAAGGTAGATCTAGGGGAGCACAACCATTGGGTCGCACCAGGTGCTGAGCTTCTGGGGTGCCACAACAAATGCCACAACTATGGAGTCCAATGGAAGGCGGGGGGCAGATTTTGGCGTTGTACAGGGCACCACTGAACTTTGAGATGCCACGGTCCACCACTGCTGGAAGATGGGAGCCAGTTTGCTTCATACTGAGCAGCTGGGTAGAATACTGCCTGCACATTTCCCCCTTACACCTCTGTGCATAAAAGTTTAGGTAAGCAAGAAGCATCTCAGTTCAACGACACATTCCAGCCTGGCAGAAACACTCAAGGGAATACAAAGCAGGGCTGGTAAGTGGTGTGGAAAGTCTCATGGACAAAATATCTCACATCCCTGGTTTAAACTAATGTGCAAAGCAGGCCTAATTCAGTTTCATGTCCTGTGCATATCTACTGTAAGATGCATGACAACTCAAGCAGGCCTCTTGTTCATATTTTATATTTAAGTCATCACAATCTCTTAATAAATTAAGTAAGTTTGCTGGAAGGCTGTCATTGGATGAGTAGCAAAATGATAGAGTCATTAGTTCTCCCATGTCAAAACTTGGCTTCTTGCATTGACTGTGAACTTTTATCATGGTTCTGGTTAACTTATCTGTTAATTATGAAAGTATCAAGTTGTTATTTACTCTGAAGAGCAAGATCTTTCTTGGCACATCCCCAGACCTCACCCCAGATCACTGAGGCACAACCTACCATATGGGCAGTTTTTGAGAATAAGGGGTAACTGTTCCACAGAAACTCATTTTGTATGTGAATTTCATGTTACTGAGTAATCAGCTACTTGGCAGTGACATATAGCTTAAGTAAAGCTTCACAGGTTTCATGACCTGATCTTTGTCACTGATAAGGGTGCATATATTTGAAGCTATTTGAAAAAAATACTTCTTGATGAATGGGTGGGAGTTTTCACTTATTGGGAGCAAGTAAAACTAAAATTATTACAGGAAGGAGCTGTGTTGGTCTGACGCAGTTGAAATATATATATCTAAATAAAAAAAATTGTCCAGTAGCACCTTAGAGACTAATTACATTTGTTCTTGGTATAAGCTTTCGTGTGCATGCACACTGCTTCAGATACGAAGGGGAGATACAGGGAGAAGTATCTGAAGAAGTGTGCATGCACACAAAAGCTTATACCAAGAACAAACAAACTTTGTTGGTCTCTAAGGTGCTACTGGACTATATATATATATATATATATATATATATATATAATTACATTTATGTCCGTTATAATGATTCCATATTCTAATGATATACACACAACACACACACACACATGTATTTGCAAGTTTGGGCCTTTGATGATACAGAAAATAACAATATATTAAAACACTTTGCTAAGGTTAAATACTAAGGAACTCACCCTAAATAGTATTGGTATTTGATAACCAAAGATTATTCACCTACAAAACCATTTATATCTGTTATGAATTTTGGGGAGAGCCAAGCTAGCTCTCTGTGTTGAAGTGATAGCCTGGGTGATGAGGCATTAAGGGAAACAAAGGAAAGTGGATCTGTGTAAGATGCTGTCTACTGGCTGGTAGTTAGAAAAAGACAAAGGCAAAAGTTGAGTGGTAGTGCTATGACCTGGAAGTAGAGCAGTAAGCTGGAGAGAGAGCAATTCTTGAGAGCAATGTTTTATTCCTGTTGGAATCCAAGGCTGCGATTATGGCAGAAAAAAGACTGTTTTCTGATGTCCATGCTGTCAGCCCCTCCATCGCAGGCTAAGATTGTATATATGTAAATAAACCATATATCATAAAGACACCACAATCTCTGCTGTGACTAATTCCCAAAGGAAACATTAACCCAGAGTAAGTGCCTAGAACCCCTGGAATTTTGCACTGTTCAGAGATTGGGGTGGCATGCAACATATCTAAATAAGAGAAGGACAAACAGCAGGAGATCTTGGAGTAGATGAATATTCTCTTTCAATAAAGGCTCAAGGTTTTCCATTTATTTAGATTCCAAAAGAAATTGTATCAAAGAAAGCACTCAAATCTTATTTATTTCTCTGAATGTGATTTTTAAATATAGTAAACTTGCAATCTCCAAAACATTAAAAACCAGGCCAGAAAGATTAAAAATGCAGGAGGGGCTCCTTGATCTTTTCTCTGCCCCTTAATTTACCACCACATCTCCTTCCCCTTGCCTTTTATTCTCAGCTGTCTCAGAAGCTGAACATAAGTCTAGGTGAAAGAGAAAAAGGCCTAGAGGAGAGAAAGAATCAGCGTGTGGCAGCCTGGTTGAGCGTTCTTCTCCTGTCTTCTCATTCGCCTTTGCAGACGTCCTCCCCAGGCAAGTTGAAAGTTATGTCAAAGGAAATATGTGTGTTCGCTGGCATCATATGTAGTTTTACAGTAAAAAATATGCAAGACACATCAAGACGATGAGCATCCCATTGCAGGAGAGAGCGCAGCATTAAATATCTGCTTGTGTTTTTAGTGTAGAACACCAGCTGTCATTTGCCCTGCAGTCTTCTTTGGGGATTAGAAATCTCCTTCATGGATCACAAATCACATGTCAAAGGCCATTTTCTGTTGGTGTTGGCAGGCTTGTTACTGTTGGGTGAGGATGCTGGATGGATCAATCATCCTATGGGAATAATTCCAGGAGAGGGAGGCAGGTAGGCAAAGATCACCTCAGGGCTTGCTCTCTGGCCAGACTTTTATCTCCCCACCCTGAGTGATCTACCATCAGCTGCTCTGGGGAAAGGATCTTTAGTATGTTAAAATTGCTTATTGTGTTTTTAAAATATGCAACTTAATTTATAATCTGCCTTGGAAGAATTTGTATCCTGAAAGATGGGATATAAATAATCGTAACAAATAAATGGAAAATGGAAGATCAATTAAAACAAGACAAAACTATCATGGTTTCTGGAGCAACCCTTAGCTCTGAGTAGCTCGCTAGAGTGATGTGGAATAGACAATTTTCCAGTACTTTATTTTTCCATGGAAACTCTTCCTTAAGTTCATCAGGAATGACAACTGGATGCCAACTGCAAATACACTATTAGACTAGTTTCAACATTTTTAGCTTCATTAACTAAATACAAGTAAAATAAACTTGCTAAATTAGATAACTGTCTAGAGCAGATTGGTCCAATGTGCAGCCCAAGGGCCACACACGACCATCAGTGCCTCTTTTGGCAGCCCTCAGCAACATTTGACACCCCTCCAGCCCTTGCAATGCCTTCTGAAAGCTGAGTAAGCAAGGCGCTGGCCTTTGGGAAGGAGGGCTCTGACAGGGTCCTAGAATCCTTCCACCTCCTTTCCAAAGCCTGGCTAGCGCTTTCCCAACTTTGGGGAGGAGGTGGGAGGGTTCCAGGACCCTGCCAGAGCCTTACAACACCTTCTCAGAACCCGCTCCTCCCTTAGCCAGCTTTGGGAAGGCAACCCTATTCCAGAAAACCCACAACAGTAACTCATTATTATGTTAATTAAAAGAGGTTGAACTGACTTTGTGTTAGCATGCCCAAGCATTCATGCTTATATGCAGTTGGACAATTCAATTCTTATGGGCTTAAAAGTTACCAGTCATACACCTGCAAAATGGGAGCCAAATTGATCTTTGTGTCAAGGCTGGGCTGTTACATGCAAATAGTTCATTCTGTAGAACTCCACATATTCCTTTGCAACGGAGGCTGGTGACACTAAATGCAGGTGGTGTGGACAGGGCCCGAAACCTTTTCGAGGGCTGTTGTAATGACCTACCTGTGTCTGCAGGAGGTCTTAAAGGGGAGCTCAGATCCATCCACTCTATGGTGATAATTTTGATTAAGGGCTGGCTCTCAGAAAGTAATTGCCACCATGTAATGGGTGGTGATGGACCTGCCACTATGCCATTCTCTGATGGAGACTCTGTGTGTGTAAACTGGTACCTCTGTGTGGTGATCTTTCAAGCAGTGCCAGTTTATACAATACCAACTTTACCTTTCAGGTAAATGGGAATATTTGTCAAATGTGAATAAGTCATCAATATAGTGTGGTTAAGAAGCATATAGTATTTGCCATTGACTGCATACTCAACATGATTCCAAAGATGTAGCCTGAACAGAATAATAATAGGCATAGCGTGGTTGAACTTGATATATTTTAACAAATATACTGTCTTCCCAGCAGCTACAAGTAAAAAACCCCAACCCCACGGCATTCTTTAGAGATGGAGTATTGAGGATGAACTGGAGGCATTTTATTCTAAGCTGAGTGTGAAGAATTTCCTGCTGATAACTGCAGACACCTGTACACTTAGATTGTGTTTCAAACGCAAACAGGTGCACCATATCATGTGTGTAACAGATGTTAGACTTGGGATCCTCAGATACCTCTCTTGGCACCCACCACCCTGCCCTTTTAAACATTTTTAAAATGTCAATGAGAATTTTTCCAAATGTGCCCCAACTTCCCAAAACGCTGGAGACCATGTGCTGCTTCATGAGAAAAACAATGTGTAGGGTTCACCCAACTCTCCTGAGTCAACACCTTTGTTGAGAAGCAGTTTGCCACCACTCCTTATGGTCAAATTATTACTTATAAGCATAGTTGACATTTTCTATGTAAAAGAAATAAAAGATGGTCAAGTGGCTTGCTAAGTAGAGTTCTCCAAAGGAAATCAACTAAATTGGGAGAAAATTTGGGGAAAGACACCAAGTATATCTAGTTGTGCATTCTTTTGAAGGTATACTGAATGAATCTCCATAACTAAATCCATTTTAATGTTTGAAAAGCAGGCTTTATTTAACAGGCACATTTTAAGAATACAGGGCTGTATGGTGTTCTTTGCCATTTGCTGATACTTCTAAGTGCTTGCATTGCATCCCCCCCCCCCCACGACTGCTTCAAGTAAAAAAGTTTATTGCTCTATATAGGCTTCTAAGATGACAAATGGTTACCAATAACCTGCCATACATTTGCTGTACTAAGGTAAAAAAAAAAACCTGACTAAAAACTGACATTCAGCATTAATCAAGAACAAATGCAGCAGAACAATGAACACAGCATAAAGCAAAACAGTTTAACACAAACATGTTGAGCTTCTTTATATTATCCTGTTAATTTTGTGCCCTTTCAGCTGCCCAGGTAAAAGCCAGGTATTAGGTGATAACCAATATTAGTCATACTCAAGAGCAGAGCCATTGAAATAAACAGACTTCCGTAACTTGTCTGCTGATTTTAATGGCTGTGCTCTGAATATGACTTAGCTGAATATAATCTATTGCTTTTAATCATCCATCCGTTGACATAGAACTCTTGAGGCTCTGTGACTTTTATGCCAACAGAAAGCCAAACCAAAATTAAAAACAGAGTTACACATTAAAATAAATTAATTAATTAGAGTTCAGTATGATATTAGGTAGTATGTTCTTGGTTTGATTCATTTCCTTGTTTCTCTCGTATATGCAACTCTACCTGCAGAAGCGTGCCAAATCTGGTCTCCACAGATGAGAGCACGACTTCAGCATGAAAGTAAAAAAACAGGCACCTGGAGGGGAGACAGTGAAAGACTCGCATAAAGCGCGGATAATTCTTAAGGAAAACATTTCATGAATTTTAATGTTTTAATGGGCTAAACTTTCAAAAGGTTTCGATATTTTATCTTTTTCCTGAGGCTTCCTAACTTGACACTGAGAGAAATACTTCCTACAGGCTTTGTTTTTTTACTTTAAATTACAACCAGGTAAGGCGTTAGGCAAATGCAGTGGGTAACTATATAAGGCTGACAAACTACATATGAACGATGTAAAAAACTATCAATGCTGCACACTTTATTTGATATACTGGTTACTCACTGAATGTACCTGCTAAACTTATTTTGAAGTCAGCTTGCCGCACTTTTCAATGAGCAAACTGGAGGGTAATACATATATATTCACTTAACATGCCTAAGGTGACCGCTGCTCGTTACAGGTCACTTTCGCCATACAATGCTGATGAAAATGAGGTATAATCCAGAGCTCCAGGAACACCACCTGGACCTTTGTAGGCTGGCATTCTTTTGATGCAGTACTGAGCTTGCTCGGGTGGCAGTTCTCGAAGCAGCTCCTCAGCAAGAATATAAGGCTGCAAAGATTTATAAAAAGGAATTTCTTCAGAGGTTTTCCTGTAGCTTCTCAACATCAGAAAAAAATATGAAATATTTATTGTTTATACCCTACAGTGGCAATTCTATAGGGCTGGTCAGAAGCCCAGGGAAACTGTGATATGCCATAAATATATCATACTGCATTCTCATAGATTTTCCTACCAGTTATGCTAGGGCATTTCTACATATTTTACAGGCCTCTGATACAATTGATTCACACAAGCCACATGACACCCATGTGTAGCTCCTCTGATCCTTGGCATTTTTCACTGCAAGCAAGGATTGTGCAGCAACCTGCCTGGACAAAGTTGTGCTTTCCTCATTAGAAAATTTGAGCTTGCGTGTACTTTTTAATTTCAGCTGCAGAATTTGGGGCCTATAGAATTTGTAAAATTTAGGTCAAGTTTCTCTAGAATTGCCATGAGCGGACTTGTCACTCTGGTTTGCCAAAACCATCCTGCTGCTATCCTTTATTTAAGCCATGTGAATATTATTTAACCTGCTGTTTTTAACCTACGGTATGTTATAGAACATTTTGTTTAGCTTTTCTAGCATTTGGGTACCCTGTATGAGCTGAGGGAAATGGAAAATCCCACCATCTGCAGACAAAAACACTGACCTTATCTGAAGCCAGGATCTTGAAAGAAGCAATAACTTGTTCAGCAGTGTCAGTGTCTGCAGTCTCTCTGGTCATGAAGTCAATAAAAGATTGGAAGGAGACTGTTCCCTGACCGTTGGGATCAACTAAGGACATGATTCGGGCAAACTCAGCTTCACCCTTGGATATGATTCAAAATCAGTCATGGTAGAGGGGAAAATAAGAAAGAATTATATAAGCAAATATATACAACCTCACAGTTTTGCTTTTTAAAATACAAAATTCACTTTTGTGTCCAAATTGTCATTATTTTTATGTACGCAAAAATTTCTTTTAAGTATTTTCAGATAGGAAGGGGTTATTTCACAGCCATGGGTCACAAAGAGAGCTAAGCAGGCTTAAGCCCACTGAAATCTGGTGCTTTATTCAATTGTGGTCTTGAAGCATAGCACAAATTGTGGTCTTGAAGCATAGCACAAATACCAAAACTAAGCATAATAAACCAGAGGTGGAATTAAAAATTGCGCTATTATGATAGTTTGGTCAGCACAAGTGTTTCTGCTTGCCATATGGAACAATCTCCCCTATTCTCCCCTGTATGCTCTTCTGGGGGTCCTCCTGACCACCCAATGCAGGTGGGGGCATGCAGAGGAGGAGACCAGGGAAGTCTCATTGCAACTCATTGTGCTGGCTCCTGCTCACACAAATATTCAGTTGAATCAGGTCTCATGAAATTTTAAACAATCAGTTTATGGAGCTGCTTGGTTTTATTAAAAAAATAATAATAATTAAAAGATTTACTTTATCCAGAAAAGTAATAGAATATATTCTGGTGTATTTGTATGCCTTTGTGGACATAAAATTTATCTGTGGATAAATAATGTTTAAGTTAATGTCTATGTCCACAAAGGCATACAGATACATTTGTACATGGCTATAGGGGGGAAGAAACAAGTTTGGTAAACTAAGATTTTGAGTAACTTGTGTTTGGCTGTGGGTGTTCTATGAAAGCATCCATAATTCTGCTAGGGCACCTGTAGTGTAAAATGCTGTATCTGTAGCACATGGAACACTTTAACAAATCAACTATGTCTTAAAATTCATACCAGATCATAGCCCATGGAAATTAAGCAGGCTCTGAAGTCATCATGGTCCATAAGCCCATTCTTCTTCTGTAGATGGGAAGAAGTACATAGAACATAGCAAGAAAGGTTTCACAAATCACAAGCAAGAAGTTCATCAGGATTCCCATGAAGTTAAAATAACCCCACCATCAATTGCATGATACACTGGGTGTTTTTTTGACGGACCAGTCCAACCATCAGTTGAAGGGAGGAAGAAGTAGATTACATGAAAGCAAACATCACTAGAAATAATGTCAGGAAAGGGCCAATGAGATGCAGCAAACAGAATCAAAGAAGACAAAGTGGCAAGGGAAAGGAAAGTTTAACACTGGAGTGGCATACATTTAATTGTTTTTAACATTAGTGTTGTAACATCTGTCAAGAATTACAGTGCTTTTAAAGACTGATTTGTAATATAGGCATTGTTGGCATGTTCCCCCAAAACTGATTTTTTGAGCAGAAAGTACTTATTTGTGGGACTTGGAATTATTTTATAGTTTTATTTGTTGGAGTGATGGTTTGCTTTGCATCCAATTATTGGATTCCTTTGCCTGGGATCAGGATAAGTGGAATTAAAAGGTTGCATGTTTTACCCTGTGGTGGTTTTTTTAAGCTCCACTGGAAGGCAATTATATTAATTAAAGTAAGGCTATTAACTGCCGAGATCTAACTTTAAATGAGACATTGATGTGGAGGTTACTTGAACTGATTGCCAGAGTTTATTTTACTATTTAGTTTGTTTTCCTGTATTCTTTCCACCTTTTCTAAACTGCAGACGCAAGCTTTATTCCATGGATGGGGTAGTAATAATAATAATTTATTTATACCCCACCCATCTGGCTGGGTTTCCCCAGCCACTCTGGGCGGCTTCCAACAAAATATTAAAATACAGTAGTTCATCAAACATTAAAAGCTTCCCTAAACAGGGTACCTATGACCTCCAGGTCTTGTTGGACTACAGCTTCTAACACCCCTGGCGGTTGGCCAAGCTAGCTGGGGCTGAGTTCAACAACATCTGGAAAGACACAAATCTCTCATATTTGCTTTAACTGCACTGGTACCCAAACTGCCAGATTGTCATGTCATGCAGGGGAACAACAGAAGAGAAGAAGGTACACAAAAAATTAATTTGGGTTATTAAATCAGACCATTGATCTATCTAGCTCAGTACTATCAACATTGACTTTCAACAGTGTTTCAGATGCGACATTCCCAGCCCTATCTGAAGAAGGAATTGAACCTGGGACGTACTGCATGCAAAATGATCCCCTGCCACTGAACTACAGGCCTTCCTTTACTGACCCAGAGAGCAGTGAGAGCGGTTAACACTTTCTGCTTTACCAACTGAAATCACTTGCCTCCTCCATAACTGTTCACCCAGAAGGGCAAACCTGGGTACCATATAGATAGATGACGATAGGGGAAGAGGTGTTCCTTGAACTGGTACTTATGCTAAGGGCCAGATGGAACACCTGCAGAAGTTCCATCAGGGAAGGACTGAGGTCTCTGACCACCAGTTGCTTATCCCTATCAAATATAAGCATGTAACAAAAATGAACTCAAAACAACTCTACTCTCCCTACTCTCCAATAGTAGGGTCCAATGGCATCTAGGGAATGGGGAGTTCTGATGCTCATTGCTTTGTGTCACAAGCACTTTATTCCAAAGGGTCTCAAAAAACACAAACAACTTTCCATAAGGTAATTTCAGTTGTAATTGCTGTTATATGTGGGGAAGAATTAGATTTCTATCCAAATTAGATAGAACTTATTTAAAAATCATTAAATTATATACCAGTGTCAAAATTATTGCCATAAGAAAAGGTATTTGGACAAATTACTAGCTAACAAAAGCACATTTATTGTCTGAAAAGGTCTGTTCTCTCTGACAAACACACATGCAACCCTTCCAGCTATTACCATCTAATTTAAATGGAATAATCCCTAGAAAATCAGATCAAAGACATTAATAATTGGATCCAATATGCACAAGCGTTTAAACCATATTTATCAGGCAGGATCTTAATTTTATGGATCTTTACTGATTGTTCTTCACTGAATTAAACACAGCATTTCCTTTTATTTTTCTGCTTAAGTACATCATCCAATCAAAAGCACTTTTAGAAACAACAGAATTAATTAGCTCGAAAGCAATTTTCTTTTGCAGCTGTTTCTAAACAGGAAGAGTAATACATTCTAGGAGCTGCTTTTTTTGTGCCAGGCATGAATAAGCACATGCATAAGAATGTTATAGAACTATGTCTGAGAGATATGAGCCAGCCAGCCAAACACCACTTAATAATCTAACCCAGTGGTTTTCAACCAGTTTGTCATGGCACCCTGGGGTGCCTTGAAGGATGGTCAGGGGTGTGCAAGCAACACTGGCTTCTGTCCCTCTTTCCTTCCCTCCCTCCTCTGATGCCCTCTCGTGTCTCTGCCTCCCAAAAGCTTGTGTGGCTGTTTGTTGCAGCAGCCCTGGCTACAAGCTCCCTAGGCGAATGGTGCCTCTGGGGCTGGCCAAGGGGTGCTGGTTGCCAGAAGCTGAGGTGGTCTCAGAGTAAGCAAGCATCCAGCGAGGACGCCCAGCCAGCCAGTCCACCAGCCCTTCCTGTTGGGAATGGATAGACAAGTGGGAGGCTGGGCAGGCAGGCAGATGCTGCACTGGCCTTCCTTGGGCTTGCTGTGTGCAAGGCCTGCCTGGGGCTGAAGGGGAGCCTTTCCATCATGCATGCCCAGCAGCGCTCCTTGTTGACACCGCTGCCTCCTAAGGTAAGGTGCTAGCCTCACGTTGACCTTTGGCCACTCTCCGTTGGAGGCCACTCTCCTCTTCCCAGGCCCTTGTGGGGCAATGTGAGGAGGCACCTCTTTTGGGGGCAGTGGGTGGGAGTTCAGAGAACAGGGGCAGTGGCTGCCCAGAGGACTCCCAAGAAGAGTAGCTGATGGAACACTCCACAAGAGAGGGTGTTCGAGAAAGGGTGAGAGGCTGCTAGCTATGCAGGCAAGGGGTGACATAACTGGGTTCCTGAGCCCCACAGGTGTGTCGCAGAAAGAATGGTGGTCGGTCAAGGGAGCCATGGACTCAAAAAGGTTGAAAACCTCTGATCTAACCTATTAATCTGTGCAATTTCTGCTTGATTGGCCTTAGAGACAGGTGTCAACTACTTCAACCATCAACCAATCCCTTTGCGTATTTCACATTATGCTTTGTGCAGCACCTAAACACATGGTTGGTGGAAAATACAAATGAAGTTGTAGGAAAAGTAATAGGGTGCTGTCTGAGATTATGGATGAGTTCTGGGGGTGGTTGTTGGTGAGTTGTTGGAAGGTATTTAGCAGTTCAGGAAGCTGGTATGGAACACTGGAACAGGAAGTACAGGAAATCGATACAGAGAAGACGACCTTTAATTCAACTGGATTACAGACCCAGACCGAGCACTTCAGGGACGGGAATGGATGCTTAGATTATGTCAGACAGATGTCTAATTTCTGGAAATACCTGCTAACTTCTGCAGATTAAATCTAAACAGTCTATATCATTGAGGTCACTAGTATTTTGATTAGTTGGAAATTGGGAGTGAAAGTTACTTCCAGTTTCAAAGCCTGCAGAGGACTGGGGCTCTTTTTCAAATACAAATCCCAACATCGTTGTTCCCTGCACTTTTCCTCTGCCTCCCTGACTCAATTTGTATACATCTTACCAATTTATGCTTCAACATTTCAGCCTTCATTTCTTGATAAGGGAGTATAGGATCACACACACAGAGTATTCATCCACATCCCAAAATACTGAGATATAAAGTGGATTTCTTCAATAATCCTGACTAAACCACGTCATGCACACCCCTCATGCTTTGGAAGTATGTTTGAAGGTTTTGTGGGGTTCTGCTGCATAGACCTGCCCCTGCAGCCACCACATTCTCTAGCCATGGTCTGGCGAAAATCATGTGGAAGAACACTATGTACATACATATGTTAGTTTGCATATAGAGCCCAGGCCCACCCAAAATACAGCTAGAGGGGGCATGACTGGCATGAGCAGGGCTATGCAGAGCAGTCCCATTCACACATTATTTTGATGCACACAGGGGATTTGAATTAAGCTTTTTTCACAGAAATGGGGATGAGTGGGGTGGAGAAAGAAGACAGTGACTTGAGTACAAGGAGAGGAGTACTGCCAGGAAACAGGAGAGACGGGAACTATATCAAGGCTGTGAGGAGACATCTCTGGAATGTTTATGCTTCTCTGGATGAGAAGCTGTGGCTGGCCAGGAGTAAGACATTCCAAGTAGATTTGGGGTTGCCCTGAGCGAGCACTTCTTGGGAAGAAAAGAAGATGTGAATGGCAGGTAGGGGCTTAGGGGAGGACTAAAGGAAGGCTTAATAAACACACATTAAGACAGTAGCAGAGAAGCACACACATGCTTTCTGGCACACCAGTTTCAGGTTAAAAAAAAGAAAGGAAAAGGGCTACTGTACCCTGTCAAAGTGATTAAACGATGCTCTGAATTCATTCATTTGTTGCTGGGTGATTCCTTTGGCATCTCTTGTAAGAATCTGATTCTCAACTTCATTGATCGTTCGGGCAATGGTGGTCAGTAACAGCTCCCATCCAACACGAATATGCTGTGGCAGAGAAACCGGGATGCTTTAAAGACAGCCCAAGAGAAAACCGACTGGCAGATTGATTGAAACTATTGATAAGTAGAACTGCTACCAAATACATAAAAGAATGATAGGTCAGAGGAAACCTACTCACTTAAACCAATTTGTATTCTGGTTTTCTATTTATCTACATTGTTCAATTAGCAACTGAATTTCAGACAATGTTTTGACAAGCTTATTTATAAAACACCAGTTACTGGCTAATAAATATTGTAGAAATATTGCCGTAAACAACATTTCAGGATGAGGACTAACCTGGCAGATTTGGAAAGGCTATGATGGGTGACTGCTGGAGAGATCCACTGCTAGGAATATTTGGGTTTGACTGTGAATAGACCTGCCTATTATTGTGGTGTAGCAGAAGTGACACAATCCCTAGATTATATGATCAGAGGTGGAGTCATTGGGGGGGGGCACTACGACAGTAACACAGTGACCAAGGCTAATCATGGGGGTATATAAAGCGAGATTCAGCATTTTATAGTATAGGGAGGTACAAGGTGTGCCTCAGGAAAGCAAATCCTCAGCTACAACAAGCCTATCCCTGACTATCCCTGACTGATAATGATCAGTGAAATACAAGCCAGGTATGCTCTTCCTATGTCTTATTTTCAGATGTAAGATGGAGGTTGAGGACAGGAGGGTGGGGACAAAGAGGAGGGTGGGAGTCAGAAGTGAAAACAGGCTTGTGTGTGTCTTAAGTGTATGTGTGTTTGTGATGTGTGCACTGAGGGTGTGTGAGGGTGTTCTGTGCGTGTTCATGTGATGTGTATGTGTGTGCACAAGAGAGTATGGATTACCACAATCGTTTGTTTTGGCCACACCCACTTTTGCTTTGGCCACACCCCCACAAACACGTGGAGGACTGGCCAAGGGACAATGTAGCCCTCAAGCCCTAGTCTAGAAGGAATGGGGCACCATCCCTGCATTTTTCCAGATCATGGGCAATGCTAGGGACTACTTTTCACAACTTCATTTGGTAAGGAAGCTATGCCTCAGGTTTGGATGTAGCAAATGCCATTCCTCCCATCGCAACTTTTGATATTCAGTCTTGCAGTGTGCCTGAGGTTTTCTAGAAGATGGGAGATGGTACCCAGCTTGGTGCTCATCTACATGATGAAGAAGACTCTCTGGAAGCAAGTATAGCAGTACTCTAGCATCTGCACTGGTTTCCTGTGGCTTTTAGGGAACAATTTAAGAGAACTGGGCGTCCTCCAAATGACCCAAAAGACTGCTAAGGGGAGAAAGAGAAGTATTCTTAATGGCTGCCTATTTCTCAGCTCTGCTACTGCCTTCCTCTGGGAGTCTGTGACAAAACAGTAGCATCTTCTGAAGGCAGCTAAGTCCATTCTATTTTGCAAGCATTTAGTGGAGATAAATAGAGGGTTATTTTAGCTGTTATTTTTCTACAAGACACAATCTTTTACGATCCCATTTCATAAATCCTGTTTTATTGTTGTTGTTTTCCGACTTGAGCCCTGAGGGATATTGGGTGAGATATAAATCAAATAAACAAATGATTTGTTGGGCTTTCTATTGTGAAATGCAAGAGCAAGTTCATGGTTCATTTTTTAAAATGCCACCCATTTAAAGAGTGAAGGGGTGAATGCATTCCATTGCTATTTTTCCTGTGCAACTATCTACATTTAAGATCAGAAGCTGCCAAGGTACACAGCAACTTAATCTTCTTAAGCAGCTTGCAATAGGACAGATGTCTTATAGCAGAATTAAAAAAACGTAAAGGGCTTTCTACAGCAGAAAGCATTCCATAGCTGAACCAGTTTTAGAACTGAGGCAGCAAAAAAACTAAATGTTAAAGCTATGAGACAGGCATTTGCCATGAACTGACAAGATGGGCTTAGGCTAGGCACACTTCAGTCTCAGGTGTGCAGGATGGTGACAGAGTTGAGCGTTTAAATGTAGATCTGGCTCAATTACCAAAAGAGTGGCAGGTGCCCATTTTTAACAGGGGCATGAGTTTGAGGAAAAAGGACTGGGGAATAGTAAAGAGGCTGGGAGTTCTTCTCTGGGAGCCCACTCTGGGAACCCTAGTTTGCTGTGTGAACCAAGCCACTATCTGTGAAGCTCACTGAACAGTCTAAAACATTATATAAACACTAAGTATTGTTCTATTGCAATGCACATTTTCCTGTTCTAGAACTGCATGAAAACACCCTTGATTTCTCATTTGAATTCACACAAGAATGCACCATAAAGTTGTGACTATCACCTTGAAAATCATGCAAACAGCAGTGATGCTGCAGATAGGATACGTAACTAAAGAATGCGCTATGTAACTAAATGGCATAGAAAGGACTCAGTAGCTACCTCCATTGTGTAATTGGTGTGCTTATTATCGAACACCAGGGCTTCTTGAATCAGTTGATGGTCTCCTTCTAGTTTGTCAATATTAAGTTTGTAATTTATGATATTGTGCTCAAACTGCTTTAATTGGTTCATCTGGTCCTCTAATGGCCCTGCTATGTCAACAGAGCTCCGGGCAATTTCCTGCCAAAGGGGGAGAGTGAGAGAGAGAGGAAAAAGTGTTAGTTTGCAAAATATATTTCTTCGTGGTAAATACATTTTAAAGCAGCAGTAAACTTAATTTACAAAAATCACAAAGGGAGGTAGGAACACTCATATTTGTGCATTGGCATAGATAGGTATCTGTATATAATAATCAGACGTGTGGGGAAATTTTGGTGCTCCAGATGTCATTGGGCCACAGGCCATGCTAGGTGGGCTGATGGGAGTGGGGGGGCCAACAACATCTGGAGAGCCACAGGTGCCCCACCCTTGATCGCGACACTTGTGGATGTTACAGAAGATGGGTTACTGCCTAGTTCCTATTAGCTGAAAACCATACTGTCCAACTCAAAGAGTGGAAAGGTGTGCCTCCAGGAAGGATTTGACACTGTGGTCATGGTCCTGCTCACCCACCCTAGTAGCAATCAGCATGGAGATCACCCACAGATCTGGAACGCAGAACACCTGCAAAACCCTTCATCTGGAAACACCCCAAATTGTGCATGCTCTACTTAGAAAGCTATTCCAAAATGTTTCTCCACCTGCACCACCCTCTTTGATGGTATGAAAATGTTCACTTTTTTTTACTGTGAGGATGAGTCATAACACTATTATGACCTCAAGCAGCGTGTAAAACATATACAGACCTTTCTGCTTCTGTTTCCGCTCCACATCTTCTCTTATGTACCTTGTCATTGTCTCTGTTCTGCATGTCACATCCCTCTTGGTCTCCTCCTTTCAATCCTGTCTCCGTGGTCACATCCACACCATGCATTTAAAGCACTCTTAAACCATTTAAACAGGCATGGTTTCCCTCAAAGAATCCTGAGAAGGGTGATTGTAACTGTAGCTCTACAAGGGGTTGCCTAACAATTTTCAGGACCCTGAACAAACTACAGTTCCCAGAATTCTTTGAGGGAAGCCACAACTATGTTTGGAACTGTATCCCCACCATTCAGTTGGGCTATGTACCTTTCCTTATGGAGGCACTCCTCAGTAGCAAAATTGCTCTGCATCAACCACACTAGTCTCTCCTTCCCTGGACCTCCAGTACAACAAGATTCTCCCCATAATGCCTTTGTCAAATTCCCAGTTTTCTTGCTTTGGACTTACGCTGCCAGACACACCCACTCCTGACAAGGAGTATCCCATTTTTTCTGTTGTGTATTTTCTGGCACTTAAAAAAAGATGGTAAGATTATAACTGATAGCGAGATAAAGTTACCGTTCGTTAGTTTAGCACCTGTGGAGTGATGGAACCTTTGACATTCTGCATACACCTCTAAGGAAACAGTAAAAGCTGCACATCTCAGTCAGAATTACCTCCATCTTGCTTTGGATCCAGGGTCCAATGACATTGGCCTGAGCAGCAAACTGGCGACGCAGGCGTTCATTTGCATGCTGGCGGGCCAGCTCCTCTTGCAGTGATTGATCCCTTACTGGGACAAGCTGTTTTACCTGCCAATGTGCAAAATTGAGTTGGTATGTAGGAAGTCAGATGCTGAAACATAAGAGGATTGGGGGCAGCAGGAGGCTACAAATGCATGTGGCTGATCGTACTGAAATCGCTGACCTCGCTAAAAACATAGGCCATTAACTGTTAACAACTCATTATCAAATTGCCCCCCTGTGTGGGGGGGTGCCCCATGTTGGGAACCACGCCTTAGATATTTTCACACATGAAGAAAGTAGTTTTAGGAAAGAATGACCCTTTCCACCCTTTCTTTCTTTTTTTTTTTACGTAATACAGAGAAAAAGGGAAATGGGATTTCTGGAATCTGCTGCCTAAACTGACAGCTTCACCTTGTCTTATCGCTTTCACTCTTCCCACTGAATGCTTTGCACCAACTGCAGCCATAGTAGGTGTGGTGGCAGCAGCCTATTGTTGAGGACCATTTAGCACAGTCAGTTTTTAATTAAATAAATGCTTCTACCATCTGATATCCAAGCCCAGAAGTCTGGCTTTCACATTTTGCTTCAGTAGCCCAAATGTAATATTTTACTTCAAGGAAAAAATTTCTACCGTGAGCATATTGCAATTACCATGTGAAATGCAGGTGCAAACAAATATTGGCTTGTATCTACGATATTTTTGGTGACAGCAGTACAGCCTCTCTCACTATCACTGCTGTTTTGTGAATTCTTACTTTTAATTCGCCCCCTTTAAAAAAATTCCTTAGTGTGTTATTCACTCAGTATTAGGGTTTTTCTTAAGTTTTGAAAAGCAGCAAGAGCAGTCTCTGCTCCGATACTTCCCTGCCATTTCAAGCCCTTTTCTTGAAATGTTTTTAAAACCAATATCAGAAACACTAATCATAATCTGGCTGTGGGTCTCACTGCTGTCCCTACTTACCTGCAAAGCCATCCCCACAACAGACACCCATAATTATTTAAAAGAGCAAACAGCTTCATGCATAGCTATAACACCCACTCCAATCCTTTTTACTAGCTTCAGACCAACACTAAAAGTACAAAATTCCATTTTCAGGGTGGAATATTACCCCACCTGTATGGAACCGTTTGTAAAGTGTTAAAAATAATGTCAAATTCTGGAAAGGATGCATTTTCACTACACTTCCATGAGCTATAAACTAAATTATTTTTCTGCTTACAGTACCTTATCCCATTTGGTACGGATCTCATCCAGAGTGACAGTGGAGTAAGGGTTGTTAGGACTTATCCTGAGGCTGTAACTGTTAATCACTTTTTCCACTTCATTATGGATTGATACAATAGCTTGCCTTTCACCATCTGCCTCAGGCAAAGTGGCCTTAAACTGTTCGTGGGCAGTGATCAAACTCTGAAATCAGAAACAAAGGAATAAATGAAAGGATACATACAGTTGCATTGCCAGCTATATGGGCCTGTGTCATATTCCCTCTCCCATCTCAATATGTATGCAAATATAAGCAAGGTTGCATAGCTGATAAATTCCACAGACTCAATGTAAAGCCACCACTTCATCATTATTGGTAAGACAGACAAGAGGAGGCCCAGAGCTGAACACTGAGGGGTTAACTACATGTTACACAGAAATGCATGTAACAGAGTCCTGTTTTCCCCCTTGGAAAAGCAGCTTGGAGGGGATTCTGAGTTGTTTAAAACACATGTTCTGAACCTTCCAAGGCGAAAATAATTATTGGGAAACTACCTGAAGTAAAAACAAACAAACAAACAAACAACAACAACAAAACAGCAGGCAGAGAAAGTGTTAAGAATCCCTGAAATTGGGAGCACTTGTGTGTTGAATAGGGTTGTCATACTTCAAACAGTGAAAATCCATACAGAAAAGTTGAGCTTTTCTTAGTTTTGCCCAAATTTGGCAAATTAGCATGTTGTTGAGCTATTTTTAAAGAAACCCACCAAAGACATTGCGATACATCTGAATTTTCCCATATTCCAGCTATGTCTGGGAAACACATACATAACATTTAATTAGCACATCAGTACACTGGTGCATGAAAACTTCTGTATGGGCATGAATTTAAGGGAGTTACAGTACTTGTGGCCATGATTGATTGTTCTAAGTTGTTCATCTCAAACTAAGAAGTTCTGCAGAAAATATTTTCAAGGGAAAGTTAACAAACCTACCCAGAACTCTCAAAAAGACAGCCCTAGCAATTAGTAAAAAAATAAAATAAAAAAATCATATATCCATTACTGGTAAAGGGGGTGGCCTTGTCAGGAAGCTGCCACACCCCACACCCCAGCAGAGGGCCCACTGAACCCCAAGAGCCTCTTCCTCCTTGCATGCTGCTTGTGAGCATGCAAGTGGTGGCAAGAATGAGGAGATGGAACAGTGTCCTACACTGTCTCTCTGAGCATTTGTGTGGATTAGGCGAAAGTGAGGGGGTCAAACAATGTACAGTGGATGCAGTTTAATTCAGAGAGGGAGGCCAGCTGAGGCCCAAAAATCTGGAGCTGGTGCTAGACGGAGTTCTCTCCCAAACCCTGAAAGGCCAGCCAAATAGCACACTTAGCTGATGATTAGGTCTGTGCTGATCTCACAGTCTGTGCTGGCTCCATGCACAGAAGAAAAGAGGACGTCCTGTACTAAACATTATATTGAGGCTTGCCCGATGGCAGAAGCGCTACATTTACAAATTTGGAAATGGTCCCTCCACTCAGTTACAATGACCTCCCCCTGGGCAGAGAAGGATGGGGATATATCTGTGCAACATGGGAAATAATGAAATGAGCAGGACTGAATTCAAGTCTCCCTGATGCATGTCTGGCAGTTTAATCATTACAAAATAGTACAGTGGTGCCTCGCAAGACGAAATTAATCCGTTCCGCGAGAGTCTTCGTCTAGCGGTTTTTTCGTCTTGCGAAGCAACCCTATTAGCGGCTTAACGGATTAGCGCTATTAGCAGTTTAGCGGCTATTAAAGGCTTAAAGGCTTAGCGGATTAGCTGCTAAAAGGCTATTAAAGGCTATTAAAGGCTTAGCAGATTAGATAAAGGGGGGGGGGAAGCGAAAAAAAAATCTCAAGACTCGCAAGACATTTTCGTCTTGCGAAGCAAGCCCATAGGGAAATTCGTCCTGCGAAGCAACTCAAAAACGGAAAACCCTTTCGTCTAGCGGGTTTTCCGTCTTGCGAGGCATTCGTCTTGCGGGGCACCACTGTATCTCTTGCCTCTCCGCACCCCATCACCACCATAAGATCCTGAAGATGCACGTGTCAGGATGAATGTGCCTAGTCTTTGCACATTTATAAAATTCATGACTTGGGATTTATTTTTTCTTCTAACACACAAATAAGGACAAGCAATATCTGAAGCGTCTTTTAATAGGGCTGCAATAGTATAGGCGCTTTCTTCACAGTGAAAAGGGAACATCTTCACTTCTCTAGGCTCACAATGAAAAATAAGAATAATATTATTACCTGGATCTCCTCTATGCTATGAACAATAAACATGTCTTGCAAGTCTTCCATTGCACCTTCCATCCAGTTGTTGAATGGAGCAGCTCTCTTAGCAAACTCCAGGTGAAGCTGGTCAATTGTTTCCAACAATTTCTCTGTCCTCTGTGAAGTAAATATACAGAAATGGACAAAGTGAGCCTTGCTTTTAGAAGCGTACACTCACTTTGGCTTACAGTTTGGATAGGCTCTGCAACCCTTTAGAAAACGCTACCAAAGTTAAAGGAAGTTCCGAGTGTACACAGGTAAGGGAAAGCAAAAGGGATTCCTGGGGACAGGCACTTGGGAGGTCATTGCTGGCTGTGTCACCACCAGTGCTACTGGATTTGACTGCTGTGGCATTGCTGTGTGTGCTGCGATTCAGAGGTTTGCACTGGAAGCATGTTCACATCATTCTGAGTTCACTGACTCCTTCCATATATCACCATTGCCACTTGCCCTTCTCCTCACTGGTGACCTTGGCTTTGTTTCCAGAGAGGCATGTCTCTTTCTTTTTAAGGTTTTCTTTTTGTTTGTGTGTTGTGTGCTTTCTCCTCTATTTCTATGCTGAGTAGGCATGGATGTGGCAGCCATTCCCTCACTCCCCCAGCACAAGGGGCATATAGGATTGGGAAGAGCCATAGCTCAGTGGCAGAATACATGTTCTGCTTTGCATGCAAACGGATCCAGGTTCAATCCCCAGCATCTCCTGGTCGGACTGGGAATGGTCCAGTTTTGAAAACCCAGAGAACCACTGTCAGTCAGCGCGGAGAATACAGAGCAAGATGCACCAATTGTCTGACTCGGTATATAGAATCACTGAATTTTAGTGTTGGAAGGTACCATGCGGGTCATCTATTTTTTTTTTTTAATTAATATTTATTAAGTTTTCAAAGAATAACAACAAAAATTTCCAAAAAAAAAAATTTGAAAATACAAAAAACCAAAATGATAAAGAAATAAAAAAGAAAAAACCCAACCATAAAGAAAAAAAAAGAAAAAAAGAAAAACAAAAGTATAAAATCATTTACGATCTCTGTGCTTCCTTTCTAGACTTCTCCTCCTCCTCTCTTGTTTCTTAAATTTTTAATTTTTACAGCTTAAATCCTTTCTATTTTCATTAACAGTCTATCATTACATTTCCTTATTCTATTTTCCCTCTTGTCATGAAACTTTAGAGGCTCAAACATATTCAGTATTTACCAAATTCTTACATCATTACCTTTTGCAAATCATTAACCAATCATTACTTAAGCCATATAGTTTCATTCAACATCTTTCAAACATTTATGAACGTTCCCAATATTGAAAAGTAGAAAAATGAAATAAAAAGAGCAATAAGTCAGACACAATCCAGTCCTTGCGCCCCTCCCCTGGACCCAGGGATTGTCAGTCCTTTACTAACCTCAATAGTCCGGCTCCTTAACCTGGTTGTCACCGTGTCCGAGGCCCTCAAATCTCTTTCTTGCCCCTTTCGCAGCTCTTCTTGATGTTCCCTTTTCAGTCGTGGGTACTCCAGCAGAAAGATGCCTGACCCTTTGCAGCAAGTCCATCCCATGCCCATTGTCCAAGCCAGACCTTGAATAGCCACTTCAAGTTTCCTTGAAGCTTGGAGCTCCGACCTACTCCAGTCCTCTGATGGCCCATCACCAGACTCGGAAAGTCAGATAACCATATAAGGGAGGTCAGTCCATCCCCCATTTCCAAATCTAACCACATTTTCATCTTTCGAATCTGGTTATCGGATTCATTTATCAGTTCAAAGGCTGATCCCTGCCGGTCCAAGGTCCCTCCATCTCGAAGCTCCATCACTACAGCAGGTTCATACTTGTGAATGTGCAACAGGTTCCATTTACTTGCTGCTGTGCTCTGGCCTTCCGTCATCAAGGTGCGTCTCCCAGCGCATCTGGTCAGCCTGGGCACTTAATTTTAAGCCTTCCAGGAACATTTGTTCAAGCCTTTGTATGACATTGTCCTTCAAAGGTCAAAATTCTTTCCCACGATTATAGTCCTTCACTTGCCAGCTCTCTGCGTTGCAGTTTACTGAAATCCCACTGGAAGAAACCTTTTTTTTCTTTTTCTTTTTATAAGGAGAAAACATCAGCAGCAGTCTTTCTTTCCAGATACCACTTTATCAGTTCCCCCTTCAAAATTCAAAGAACCCAACAGTAGAGTCACAATGTTACCCTTCTTTAACTATCTGTCGAGCTGGACAAGCTTCAAAGCGTCCAGTTCGACAGCCCGCTCCTGGTTCAGGGTTGAAGGCACTGTTTTAAACTCCCTTCCCTTGGGGTTAAAAGTCCGAAACCTTGCCTTCTCCTGCAGTCAAGGGGTTCAGAAATCTTAGATGTTGAATTCTAGTTCTCTCAGAATTTAATTTTCAAACTTTAGTATATTTTGTCTTTGCTTCTTCACGTAACAAAAGAGCAGGCTGACTTCCTATTGAACCTTCCCATTCAGGTCAATTAAATTCATTAGGTCCAATTTATTTGTTATTCACCAGTCTTAAAAGTAATTCAGCTCTTCAGATCAGGTACTCACGGATGATGTTTTAGATGCTGGTGTCCCAGGAAAAGCTGGCGCTCTCCAGGCAGCTGAAAGTGCGGCACACACGAAAAACAGTCGACTCACAGCACCACGCACCTCCACTCCGGGCCGTTACCGGGCTCCTGTACAGGGAAGGCGCTCCACGGTGCCCGCTGAGTCCGTCCACAAGCCGTCCGCCTGTGGGTTTTAAGGGTCCCCGCTGCGCCGTAGCGGTAGGACCCAAACTTCCGTGCAGCGGGTTCCCTTCAACTTGAAGGGAATTCCGCCATTTTCCGGAGGCGCCACCCCGGAAGTCCCATGCGGGTCATCTAGTCCAACCCCCTGCAATATGGGGATCTTTTGCCCAACATGGGGCTCGAACCTACAACCCTGATGTTAATGTTCTCAGGCTCTATCAACTGAGTGGTGACAGCTGCCTGCATTCCTGTACTAATATGCAGTTGATTTTTGAGGCGTGTTGATTCTATATTTTCATTGTACTCTGAAAATTATCATGAGCGGCTTTGTGATCCAGAAATGGCGGGGGAAAGGATACAGATTAGTTAAACTAAATCAGTCGTGAATTGTAAAAAGAAATTCGCACCATGCCATGCACCAGCTTTCCAAAGGGTGGTGCTAGAAGCATCCCCTCAACTCTAACATCCACTTGTGTAATTTCTTTTGGCAGTAATGCGGGGACAAGTCTTTTATAAGCAAGTCAGCCTTTTTTTATACACACACACACACACACACACAACCAAAAAAGAAGACGAAGTTAAGGGTAATGGAGCACCATAGAAAATGTTCACTCCGCATCACTCAGTAGTCTACCACAATCTGTTAAAAACCCTCAGCCAGCCTGAGAAATCCAAGCTGCACCTTGATGTCAGGTTTACCTCCAATGCTTCTCTCCTCTTCTGAGTGAGTGTTCCCAGCCTGTCCCACTGATCACATATCTTCTGGCACCGATCGTTGACACTTGCAGCATCATGGTAGTCCAGTTCACTAAAAGAAAAGGACCGCCGTCATTAAGAACCAACAAAAGTAGGGAATGTGGTGGTAGAGACCATGCACCAAGACATGACCACACATTCTTCTTATTCCTACTACTACTACTACTACTACTACTACTACTACTGTGATACCTTGGTTTACAACCATAATCCATTCCAGAGGTCTGGTTGTAAACCAAAACAGGTTGTAACCCAAGGTGTGCTTTTCTGGTTTTTCACAGCAGGGAAAACTGGATCAAATGGGGGGGGGCTGGCATGGGCTGACACTGCGATGATGACATTAATGTCCAGCGGACGTTGCAAAAAACTTGTGAGCATGAGCAGAACCAGTTCCACCATCATCTCCAGTCGAGAATAGTGCTGAAACCGCTTTTCAACCCGTTTGCCTTGGAGGTCTGTCGTTTGAGAAAGTGGGGGGAAAGTCTAAAGCCCCTAGAGCTCATGGAACAAGTTTCATGGTTCCTTGGATCCTACCCTTGATTTCTGAAGTTTGAGACAAGACTTTATCTAGACTAGTTTTCTGCCAGATTAGCTGTGCGATTCTGGTGAGAGCCAATACATGCACTTTATCCTCAAGCTAGTTGACTTTTATGACTGGCTCATCATATGCTGCATTTAGCTTTTGGCTGCTACCAGCATGCTCTCTGCATGCCATTATCTAACACAGACATTGTTATGGTGTGAGTACATCCATACCAATTTGAAATTTAATCTAACAGGAAAACACCCTTTAAAATCCAGACAAGGAAAGGGGTGTTTGATGCCCTACACCTCAAAGGGCTTTAAGTCAGGGCAAAGAGTTTCATGTGAATAAACAATAAAAACAAAATCTGGCTGGACTTGTGCGATGAGACTTCACCTTCCTCTCCTACCTCTGTCAGCTACCCCAAAACTGTGAACCCCAAAAACTTTCTCTGGAAGGTTCCTCAGCCACTTGGATCATATTTTGAGGGTGCACAGAGGGCTGCAGAAGGGGTGAGGGTATAAAGTCCATTGCATGAGCATAAGTCAATTCTGCTCACATATAGATAGCATTGGATACAACCCATTGTGCCTTGCATTGATTTTTACTGGCATCTTAAAGGGACAGAACTTGTTAAAATAAGTCACTGATTCCCAGTATCATTAATCAAATGAAATTTCACCTGTGTTAAACACACTAATGGAAGACACTACTAGTAGGGATCAAAACAAACACTTACCTTCTCTATATGAGAACATTGGACCAGTATAATTTTATTTCTATGTGAGTGGAAAGAGATGTCCTAGCAGTATTCAGAATATGATAAATGTGTAAGCAAGTACTATATGAGATAAATTCCAAAGGGAGCATATGCAAACCCTTACAACAAATAAGCAGTGCTTAGGACTATGAGTCAATTGGCTATTAGTATTCAATGTATTAGTATTCAATTGTTTTAGTTTATAAATGGGGAATCCATTGCTTCATCCCTTCACGATTTTGAATGGCTTTGCAACTGAAGTCTTGTCACTTACACATTGACTACTATTTCTGGGACTTTACACTCTGGCAGTCAATAGCGGTTGTGAGTTGAAGCAGTCTTGCTCACATACACATGCATGCAGGATGTAGCCAGACACCCATCGGTCAACAAGCCTTTAAGAACTTTAACCTTTATGCTCTTAGCAGCTCTCAGCTGCTAAGAGAAAATGGTTGGGCTGACACTGAACTGTAACCAGTGTAGCTCAAGGTCACACACTCCAATTGTTCTCCAAAAATAGCAACCCTGCACTGCCAAGAGATGAAGACCAGAAAATATGGAGCCATGCCGACCCAGAAAGCAGAAAGGGAATAATTATCTCTCCAAAGGCCTGATTCAGTAACCAGCAGAGCTAATTGAAAAGCTATAATCAACATCATGTCCCAAGTTTCTTAGACAACCCATCTTTCTCAGAACCATTTCTAGAGAGGAAGACTTACTTTTTATATCTCTAATCTGCTATTCTGTGAAAACTGTTTTGGGAAATGATAAAAAGGCTAGTTTAAGTGGAACTAAATTCTTGTAGCAGTGACTGATTTGCCACTGATATTTAGCACTGTTCAACTTACCATCACATGGGGAAAGAAGTGCTAATTCAGGTTGCAATATCCTATTCACTTACTTGAAATTAAGACCCACTGAAATCAGCAGCAATGATTAACTCTGATGAATTGTGCTATTCTTCCCAAGTACTATTTGTCTGATTATCTATATGCAGATGAAATGAATAAACGATTGAATGATAACAGGAACCATGGCACAATTCAAAACAACTGTAACGGGTCCATTTCCCTTGAAAAGCATTCAGAATCTTCAATTAGTGCAAAATGCTGGAACCAGGAGCTTGATGTTTTGAATTCATCGTGATGGTTCTACTTGATTTGCACTGGCTGCCAATTAGTTTCCAGGCTCAGTTCAAGGTGTTGGTCTTAAGCTTTAAAGCCCTTACTGGTTTAGGACCTGGCTATGTTAGGATCTGTCTTTTCGTATATTTTTCTCCCCACACCATCTTATAATCTTGGGCCCTTCCCCAAATCCTCTGACATCGGAACGTGAAGCTGGTGTCAGCTATGGGTCGGGCCTTCTGCCATTAAGTTCACCAGCCCTATCACTAGACTGCTTCAGGCAGTTGATGAAAGGCCTTTGGCTAACTCTGCCATTTTTTCTGCATCGGTTCTATGTTACTTATTGTGCTGCTGGAACTGGTTAAAGCAGATTGGATATTGTTAATTTATAAATTTAAATATGCATTGGGATGTTTTAGGGATTGTGGTCGCTTTACTTTGTGTTCATTACCACCTGCTAGTCAACCATCTTCAGTTTCCTTGCAGAAATAGTTGATGCAGACATTTTTAAAATAAAAAAGTGAATTCAACCTTTCTAAGTCCCACTGACCTTTGAAATCAGAATGTGTTAAAAATGTTTCTTGTTGAAATCAATGGGGCATAACACAAGTGTAACAAGCGATGAAAAAGAGCAAATAAACACAAAAATAAAAATATGCACAGCTTGTATTAATGATCAACAAGACCAAAAAATATACATGTCCTAATCAGAGAACTCCATTATTCATGTACATAGGTTTGCAGATTGACACTTTAGGTGGTATTCAACTTAGATTTCCTCACAATCGACCACTTTAAATTAATGGACCTCCTATAGTCATGGTCATTATTTTAAATAGGTTTACTCTGAGTAAAATTAAGTTGAATACTTCTCTGTGCTTTTCTGGTGACCTTATTAATTTACAACTCCCTATATCACATCACAAGTGGCATTTTATATTTGTGCAAGCTTGACTATGACATAGGAGAGAGAAATTTGGGAGTGCCAGGGCCATGGTATTAAAAAGGGCATTGATTATGTCTACAAACCTATTTGACAGCAAGGGATCTCTTTGCAAACAATACATTATTTTTAAATTTGTATATCTATATTTAACATTGCTAGACACACATAAAACAACAAACCTCTTTCAAACTTCTGTTTGGCTCTTTCTCCCTTTGGCATCCCTCAAGCAAAACATGTAAAATCAGAAATGACATCTCACATGTCAGAGTTACTGATGAGGAAGCAGACAGAAAAGAAGGTTTGTTATTAGCCTTTGCCCTGCAAAGGCTTTTATTTTTAGTTTGGGAAGAAATAAGGAAGGTTTTCAACGAGGAGGCCAAGATAATAACACTTACAAAGCTATCTGTGGAATTCTTACATTGTACCTATGACACTATCGAATTTATTGGAAAGAGTTTATCGGGTAAATGTCAGCAGCTGCGTGCCTCTAAATGGAACATACTTCAGCTCTTGGGCTATGGCAGCGATCTGTTCCACTCTGTCCTGGTGAGCAGCCAAGTCACTCTCAAAAGCCTCATGTTTCCTCAACAAAGCACGGATCTCTGTCAGAGTCGCAGCTTCATAATCCTTTTGCTGCAGAATCTGCTCTTTGCCTGGCAGGAGGAAAGAAAATCCAAAACCATTTATGTTTCTCATTAGGAAAGCTGATTGCTAATGGCTCAAGTACACAGAGAAGCAGACCTTTGAAATCTGCTCGTCTTTGAATTTTGCAATGCAGTTTTCCAACCAAATAAAGTGTAAAGAATGTATACATTAGGGGAAGCTTGCATAAAAATGCATATATTGGTGAAAATAGCATTAAAATACATTATATAGGGAAGGTCAGTTTGTAAAAATGTGTAATTTAGGGGAAATTGTACATAAATCTTCATGAGGGCCTTTTCGTTAAAAAATAAATCACAGGCTGATGCAGAAATGTGGAAAACCTAAGAGAAGGAGAAATGAGAAACTTAAGAGAAACCCAAACTGATAGATTTCTCCATCCCTATATGTCTTCTGAGTGACCCAACTGAACACATCTCATCAGTCATGTTTGAATAGGTGCTTGATAAACCTTCTGTTTCTCTGCCTTCTACAAAAATCAGGAGGAGTATCAAACCAAATACATGCCTAGTAGGTTGCACCCCATCCCCCTTGACAGGTCAAAGTTTTCACAGGCCAGACACACATGGAAATGTTGCCTCACCAGCACCAGCCAGTGTGGTGTAGTGGTTAAGAGTGGCAGTCTCGTAATCTGGGGAACCGGGTTCGCGTCTCCGCTCCTCCACATGCAGCTGCTGAGTGACCTTGGGCCAGTCACACTTCTTTGAAGTCTCTCAGCCCCACTCACCTCACAGAGTGTTTGTTGTGGGGGAGGAAGGGAAAGGAGAATGTTAGCCACTTTGAGACTCCTTAAAGGGAGTGAAAGGCGGGATATCAAATCCAAACTCTTCTTCTTCTTCTTTTAATATCTTTCATCCTTAGTTTGGTAGTATCAACTTGCAAAAATGGGTACTTTCTGCAGACTTGTAAAATAGCTCTTGCTCTCTACGACTGCTTTGAACATGCAATATACGGAAAAACTGGGGGCTTTGGATAATGTCACTGTCTGTCTAGGGAAAGGTGGGAACAGGTAAAAATGCCTGAATTTTAAGGCACACTATTCCAGGATAAGAAGATTCACAGTATGAAATTTTCCTGTCCTCTCCCCCACATCATACAGAAAAGCCTCTCCAAAGGGTTAGCTGAAACAATGTGTGATGGGACACCAGGAACCTGTTGAGTGAGGAGGAAATCAGGCAAAACCAGGAGGAGATCTGTCCAATTCTGGGTGTTTCTTAACTCCCCAGGTTCCAGGTATTCCACACAGGATAAAAATGAGAATAACAGCATAATAACATTTTTTAAAAACTGGGATTTCTTCTTGTTGCACTTACAAATTATATTTAATTGAAAGGTTTCTTTCAATGCTTACGGAAGCCATATAAATCTCTCTGGCCCATTTAGCCATGTTTTTGACTCCTCCTACCAAAAAAAGTTTTAAAACGTTGTAAAACTTATTCCGTCTCAGCAGGGCTATATAAGAACCTAAAGAGAGGCCAGTGTGGTGTAGTGGTTAGAGTGTTGGACTAGGGCCTGGAAGACCAGGGTTCGAAACTCCACTTGGCCATAAAACTCACTGGGTGTCCTTGGGCCAGTCACTACCTCTCAGCCTAACCTACCTCACAGGGTTGTTGTGCGGCTTTATTGAGAGAGAAGGGAGAAAACCATGTATGCCACCTTGAGCTCCTTGGAGAAAAAGGTGGTATATAAATGCAATGAAGAAACAAACAAGAAGAAGAAGAAGAAGAGTAGTTTGGATTTGATATCTTGCTTTATCACTACCCTGAGGAGTCTCAAAGCGGCCAACATTCCCCTTTCCCTCCCTCCACCACAACAAACACTCTGTGAGGTGAGTGGGGCTGAGAGACTTCAAAGAAGTGTGACTAGCCTAGAGTCATCCAGCAGCTGCATGTGGAGGAGCGGAGACACAAACCCAGTTCACCAGATTACGAGACTACTGCTCTTAACTACTACACCGCACTGGCTCTCAGCAGGCGGCCTACTTTAGACCAGCAATCCATCTAGTTCAGCATCCTTTTCCCCACAGTGGGCAAGCAGCTGCTTCTACAAAACCCACCAACCAGAGCCTGAAGGCAGCCACCCACCTCCCTTCTCTAGGAAATGGTATTCAGAAGCATAAAGCTTTCAAAACCAGAAATTCCATACAGCCATCGTAACAAGAGGATGTGAAATTGGGTGGATATTGTAGTTAACAACAGGCTTCAAGCTTACCATAAGCCCAGGTTTCATGTGAAGAAGCCTTTTGCCTAAATTTGGCAGCCAAATGTTCAAGTCGCTCAAGCCTTCGAATTTCATTCAGCAACCATTCCTCGTAGCCCTTCTCAGCCTGCTCAAGTCTTTGCCAAGCGCTAGCAATGTCCTAGGAGAGGAATGCAAACAGAACACCTTTAATGGTTTAAATTGTGTGTCTCAAGATTTCCGGGTCTTCTGTGCATATAATCAGCATCTTCCTTGACTCTACTATAATTCCCAGTGTAAAAATTTGGATTGCAATATGCTTGGGTCAATCACCTACCTTTTTGCTATCTTAACTCTGTAAAGCACCATGCATATGCTGTTTCCAGGCTTAATGAACCATTCTAGAACCAACAAGGAAGATTCATAGGCCCCTTTACTTACTGAAACCATCTTCCCTTCTGATGGCATGAAAGCTGGCCTATTGCTGATCCTCAGTTTTGTCTGCAATGTATTGAAATTGATCTCCAGCTGACATTTTTCTTGGACTTTGGGAGGCTTGTGTTTACGGCGATAATCTCTGAAGTCCTCTAACTTCTTCTGCATAGCCGCCATAGTATTCTCTGGGGTCCTGTTTTCCAGCCAAGGAGTTGTGCGACGAATCCATTCTAAAAGCTGTTTTGCACGTACATAAAATTACAAACAAACGATAAAAAAAGATAATTAGAAGTGGCTTCTTCTTCTTTGCATGCTATAGAGAAACATACTGTACTCCCATAGCTTCTGAATTTAGTGCTATTGGAACCCAACAGACAAAGAAGAATGATTTCTTGATGCGTGAAACAGAAGGAAATATTGTTAGCAGGGCTGGGGCTACCTTTAGCTGCAGTTCAGTCAATCTTGGCTTCCACCTATTGTCTGCATGGAGAGGAACAAACCCCATGCCAGGTTCATGCAATACAACAAGTCAGAGTCTAGCTCATTTCTGGCTTGTTTCCTCCATGTATGGAACAGTTGGGAGCAGGAGAAGAGCAAAGCACTTGTGCGTGTTTATCCATAGATTACTTTAAACCAGGCTTCCTCAACCTCGGCCCTCCAGATGTTTTGAGACTACAATTCCCATCATCCCTGACCACTGGTCCTTCTAGCTAGGGATCATGGGAGTTGTAGGCCAGAAATATCTGGAGGGCTGAGGTTGAGGAAGCCTGCTTTAAACTATGTTTTATCATGCTGTCATGAATCCTATTGAGGTGTCTCAGAGGGACCGGTTGGCTCATGAGGAGGAATGGGAGGAACTCAGGCAGTTCCTAGCAAAATGTGGGTGAGTGGAACTGGGATCCCAGAGAGGAGACCAGTAGTCTAGGGACTGGAGAGCCGGATCCAGAGGAAGGACCAAGCAGGTTGGCAGAGCAGTATTCTGCTCCTGTGACACAGGAGATGCCTAGGGACACCTCCTGCTGTGGAACCACCCAGCGCCATCTCCTGCCTGTGTGAAGCCTTCTCTGAAGCAGGTAAAGGTAATGGAAAGTAATTTGTATGCTGGCCCAGCACCAACCTCACCTCCAATTCCAGGGACGCAGAGACGCCAGTGTGAACAAACATCACAAGCCCAACACACTTGAAAGAGTGCCCATTTGCTTGCCCAATCCCCGGACTTGCTCGGTGAAGTGCTATGGCCACCCTGTCCTTCAAAAGGACGGTGAAAGAGATAGGTCACTTACTGGGTCAGCAATTGAGCTTATACTTAGCTACGAATCTATACCTCCTATGAATCTGATGTACCTTGTAAGCTGCGGCTTGTCTTTGTACTGCTCTGAATTATGGGTATTAAAAATCAGCAGAAACCAAACTGAGAATTCTAGTTCTTCATCCAGCAGTGAGAGGCAGAACAGCTGCAGACAAACCAGGCCATTATCTCCTAGTGGTCTTGAACCTTGAACAGTGTGGTGCTGGCTGGCCAGTGGACAGGACATGCTGGAGCAGACTAAATACTGCTTCATTTTGGCCTGTCTCTCAGTCCCTCCACAGATCTAGCTGTGGCCTCTCAGAAGTGATGCCCAAGAGCTATCACTTCCCTGAGAACTCTCAAGTTGTGCTTGGTGGTTTTCCATATGTGAGCTGGGATTGCTTGGGATCCCATCACTACCTCAGGCAAGAAGTAAAGGCTGTCTTGCCTATATCACTTCCCTATGACTGCAAGAACTCCCTCTCTGTTTGGCCTAGAAACCAAAGCCAAACCTAGCCTCGTAGTCTGTATCTGCAAATTATTATAATTTAGGAATCATCAGTGTGAGTGACTGAAATCCTAAAGCTCATTCACGATGCGGTAGCAAGTGTATATGGAAGGTGCAATCAAGGAAGAACTTCGTCCAAATTAAGCTGCAAGCATAGGAAATCTCCACTGCATTTAACATCAAGAACATGCACTTTACAACACTGGATAAAAAGGCAGCAAATATATTTTCAATTAAAATACAGATCATGTTAAATGAAATGGAGCTTTCCTCTCCTCATTTAATGACTATGTTTGAATAAAAAGAGCCTCAGCAGTAGATAACAGCTTTGGGTAAATGTTCTTATTAAATTGCTTATTCAAGCCATCCATGCTTTATTATCAGAATAATTATTTCACTATTGTGTCGGTTTCCTTTACCTCACTTGCTAGCCTTTCATATTCTTCCATCAACTTTTCATTTTCTTGGTTCACAGCAAGTACCTTACAAATCCGATTAGCTGCTGTTTCTGCCTGAAAAACACAGGACATAAACAGTGTGAATATATCATTGCATTCTTAGACTGACACAAACTAAAGAATGACCATATACTGGCTTCTGTAAAGTAGCTGTGTTTACTATTGTAACCTTCAGCTTATACACACTTTCCTTGGAATAAGATCATTTAACTCATTGGGACTCACTTCTTACATAGGCTTGCACTGTGAATGTATTAATCTTAAAGGTGCCTTAGGACTCTCCACACACACACACCCTTTATATTAACTTGCTTTTTAACTAATTTAGCTTAAACATTAGCAAAATACTTGTGGGGAACTTGTGGAGTCATTACCCACAACGACACTGCAATATATTTGATGAATTACTCATTTTCTGTAAGGGCTATTTTGGTTTTCATCTCTGTCAAAGTCGATATAGATATGTTGGCTCAGCATGCTGTGATAGTCCGGCAAGATGATGCTGACTCATGGTAATTCTAATGATGCTACCATCTGGGCACTGTCAGAAAAATAGTGAAATGTAAGGGAGGGGGATGCAAAAAATAATGACTAACATATTTTTTTAAAAAAGCAAAACGATAGCACAACACCAATTTTTTACTTAGGAAAATTTCAGAATAGAAGGAACATAGTGGGGGGGGGGAGGAGTTAATGACAGCCCACTTTTAAACTTTTTTGTGCAGTTTTAAGCTGCTCTCTCCCAGTTCCAATCTGCAACTTTAGTGTTGTGGCTTGTTTTGTTTTTTAAAAAACAGCTTCTTCTTGAGGAAACCCTAGTGAGGAATCACTTAGGCAGCCTGATGATATGATGTCATCAAATGTCAATCTGATTTGGCTGCCTGATGATATCAGAAGCCGAATCAGGATTCCCTTCATCTGGTCAGACTTCATGTTGATACCACATAACCAATTAGATGGGACAATGTGATGCCATCGCGAAGCCAAAATACATTGAGGCTAACATTTCTTACCATCTTACCTTCACCAGTGAGGGTCAACTGTCCTGTTTCACAGTTCCCCATACATTTACTGAAATAGAGGTTTATTTCATGCAGAGCAAAGTTCTTCCTAAATGCCCACCATTTCAATTCAACCCTTCAAAAGAGATTTCATTGCTATAGTGTTGTTACTTTCCATTTTTTCACAAATAGACACATGATTCAATACCATACAGAACAATAATTTAAGTAGCTACATTTGAGTTTATTCCTTCAGTTGTCCCTACCTTTTAAGGAGGGGAGATCAACCTGTTCTCTGCCATTTAATAGACGTTTGCAGGCAAAATATGAGTTTTTTACTGGTATAAAGTGATGTAAGAACTTCACCTACTTACTTTCTAGGGCTCAAGTTGCTGTTAAGAATATTAAGATTGGGATAGCATCAATTTGGCAACCCCAGTCCATACTGATTTCAATAGTGCAGTATCTTTTAAACCCAAGTGGTCTCTTAATCAGTTTTTCAAAATGTTTATGTTCAGGGTATTCATTTCCTGTCTAAATTGCCTGCCAATTAACTCCTGTATATATGCCAGGGAACCGCTGCACATTTCAGAGGATTCTGGACGTCAGTCACTGCCATAGCTACAGGGGAGCTAGCCAGAGTTTTTTGCCCTGGGTGAAGCCTCCAGAGGGAGGCCATTGAGGCTCCCAGCCTGTGTGTGTGGTTCTACGCAAATGTGTGTAGGGGTGGTGCCAAACTGGGTCTTTGACACAGGTAAAATTCACCCCTGCAGTCGGTTCACACAAGGTGCTGGACACAAGCCTGCTAGGCTCCCATGAACACCCTGTAGCATACCAAACACTCCCTTATTGCTACACATTTGTGAGACATTTTGCAGCAAGGGGACATTTTACAGTCTTTCAGGGAAGCTTGTTTGCCATCACAGCTTTTATCATTTAAGAAGCCCTGGTAAGCTTCGAAAGGGACCCCAAGGTTTCCTGGAACATAGTAGTGGCTCTTGTCCATTGGGCCTGGTGGGGTGGAACAGAGGGAAGCCAGCCGTAGGTAGAGCTAGAGCCAATGATAGGCAGAGCCAACGAATTCTAGTTTTGTCTTCATCCTCATCCCTGCTGAGTTGTACACAGGCAGTGCTTTTTTCCTGGGGGTACGCAGACCCCTAAATATTTTGTGAATCTAAGTTTGGCCTCTTTGAGGGGCAGTATTTCAACATGAGTAGGAAAATGACAATACCCCTAAATATTTTTTTAAAGAAAAAAAGCACTGTACACAGGTAAGGCTGAGAAGGAAGAAGCTGGCAGCCAGTGTCATTCTCTGGACTTTTTGTAAAAAAGAAGGCAGGCAGGTGGGAGATGTCAGAGAGGAAATGGAGGATGATGAGGCAGAGCCCCATCTGCTCTTATGGAGCTGGCTTGACCACAGTTTGAAAAATACTGCCATACAAAACATCTGTATGGAGCCTGACCCTCTCATAAGACCCTATTAGAGCAGGTGGAATAATATTTTGTTCACTTCCCTGAAAACTATCATTTTAGGTCAGATAATGTTGCTTCTCATTATAAAGGGTTGTGGTGAGGAAATGCAGCCTTTCTAAAATGGATTGAATGCTCAGTGCAGTTATATTTATTTATGTAATAGGAACTAAAGATTATTGCAGTGCCTGTAATGCCAACAGAGTCAAAAGCAGATTCTGATTAAAACACACAGACCGAGCACACTCACTTAACATATATTTGTCCATGTTAATTAAAGAACAAAGAAACTGTAGAGCAAATGATAAACCCAATGGAAACCTGAAACACACAGAGCAACATTCAGAACGGCAGTCCGAAGGGGACAGATGATAAATACCTGCTCTGCTCCAGCAAAAGCATGGTAGAAGCAGGAAACATAAGTCATGATAGCTCTCTCATCAGGCTTGGGGGTGTTCACAATATCTGCAAGGGAAGAAACAAAACAAACACAAGAAGTGGAAAACTGCTGCCATCCTGCTTTGCTTTCTGTACGCAAGGCAGGTGCTGCTCTGCCAGGCTTCAACAAGCTGAAATTAATCATCTGCTATGTTAATACATGCCGGCTGGAAAGGCAAAATATTGAAACTCAAACTGAGATCCTGGGGCACAGAGGGGACTTGGAACAATTCCATTGCTTTTATGAATAATGTTTGCAAGGAAACATAATCACTGCTCATTGGAGCAATCCCTGATTCAAGGCAAGCTATCTTTACCTATACAGTAAGATGGCTTAAATGAGTACTGTTTGCATGAGTGAACCATCATGCATGAGGTTCAAATGAAGCACATCTAGAAATATATATGTGTAACTTTCCATCTGACAAAGGTCTTCCCTGAAAAAGGCTGTGCTTAATATCTTCACAGTGTTATGTAATTTTTAAAAATGAGATAGCACATTAAGTGCTCTCTTAGTGGCCCTTGCATTGTTCTTTTTCTTTTATTATAAAATTTCAGCTTCCTGGAATACATATACAAATGTCAATGCTATTATGTTTTATTACCACATCATGGAGGTTTCTCAGTATTGACACAACTACAAATAGCAATTAAAATGTAGGTTTTATTATATATAGGAGATCTATACTATAAACTATGAAACTAAACAGAACATGCTGTTGCATTTTTAAGGAAGCATTGAAAACCACTGGTGCATGTTCTCCAGAAGCAAATTCAATCCTCTAAAACATTTCCAAAATAGTCATATAAGATCAGACTGGGAGGAAAGCTACAAAATATCATGGAAAGCAAAGAGCAAAAATTATGCTCAGAACTTTACCTTCTGAGCACCAGCAAACACATGGTACTAAGAGGAAGCATAAATCATAAAAAAAATTGAATTGGATCTGGCAGCTTGAAGCTGCTATTTAAATCAAGCAACTTGAAGCTGCTATTTAAATTTCTCACTATTTCCCAGAACCATTTCCTACGGTGGTGGAGCATTGTGGGAAATGAAAATGGTGGCTCCCAGATCCAGCTGCCTAATAGGGGACTTCAGAGCAGGATCCAATACAATAGCCAGTCATGCCAGGGTGTTGTGTTGCCAACAGCGGAGGAGACTGAAGGACAAAGTTCAGAATGACTGCTCCCCACATCAAATGGGGGGGCGCCTTTTGCGTGGTTGCGTGCAGCCCCCCGGATCCCAGTGCGGCTCCGGGTAGCATGGGCTGGCTTCGCCCTCCCCAGGCTGGATACCTGGAGGTCTCCACCTACCTCAGCCAATCGCCCAATCCTGCCTGGGGAGGCGTTGCCAAGGGATCAGCCAGGTAGGGGGAGGGACCGCCCTGCCCACACAACAGAAGGTGACTCTTACCTGCAAAGCGTCAGTTGGCTCCATAGCTTCTCCCACCCTGCCCTCCCTCAGTTTAGCCTTCTTTTGCAGGTTAACCTCTTCTTCACAGGTACGCGGGCGCTGCTACATCATGGTCGCTGTTGAAGGGCCGGAAAGGAATTTTCCTGCATTGGCAGGTTTTGCCTTCCCCATAGCAAAACGTCACAACTTTGGCGGTTTCAGGCCTTGGGTGGAATCCTTTAGTCTATCTTCCCTAAATGGGGGGGGAGGGGCGTGAAGTGGTGACCCACGCCCCCCTTGCGGTGGTGATCCCAGGGTTCCCCGTTAAAGGGGTCTTGAGGGGAGGCATTGACCATACGCCGAGAGGTTGTCATTGCTCTCCGCTGCGACAGTGGTGGCAGGCTCTTTGCTTGAACATATGTTCTCCAGAGCCAGCCCAATCCCCACACATTCTGGATAACCCTGATGTCCCCCAGATCCCCAGCTGGGGACTGGGAAGGATAAATGCCCAATGCCTGAGCCAAGGTCTCCCTACATCTGAAACTTAATAAAGTTGTGGCCAATTTTAATCCCATAGCATGTTGTCTTGAGTCCTTATTCCATTCGGGAGTCGACTGGGGTTGGGGGGACTCCGCCTGTCCATGCAAATGCCTGGTTCAGGACTTCCCATACTATGTGCTGAGGCAAACCACTCATAGCCTGTGATGTGGATATTAGTTAAATCAAAATATATTCTGCATACGCCAGAATATATAGGACCCAACAACTGAAGTACTGTTCAGTCTGTTTCACAGACACTATGTGAAAAGCTATCCTTTTGAATCCATGTATGGAAACAAAAGATGTTGAAAGGTTACTCAGTCCACTGCTTCTTAAAAGGATGTTAGCTCCCACCTTCTGCGTCCAACATCTTTGGGATATCCAAATGCTTTTCAGCAACTTCCATGGCAAGATTTATATTCCGCAGTGGATCATCCTGCATGAAAGAAGACCACAAATTATAATTACTCATGAATAAATCTATGAAGCATTATACAGTCAGAACCAAAGGACAGAATATTTGAGATTGTTGGGGTTTTTTTACTGAAAGGTAGCAAATAACTTTTTAAAAGTTGCCACAAACTTCCAACTGTAGTTTCAAAGCAAATCCTACATAAATATCAACAGCCTGCCACTTTTTGTTTACTCTGAAGAAAGTGACACATAGTTCAATGGAACTTAATTCAAAATAAGTGCATCGCAGGATTGAAACTCTAGCATTACTAGGGAACTATTTCAAATTACTAATGATGATTTTGCAGTTATCATTTGACATAATAAAGGCACCATGAGATTTACTTACCACGTGAGCAGATTTATGGTCAGACAAATGCCAGAAGCCATCACATGGAGGCATATTCACCATAAATATTCAACTTATTACTACGGCACAGGAAAATCATCCTGTGATGACCTTACCATATTTAAATCAGACCTCATACAACAGCAATGGAAATCGCCACAGGAGGTACAGAATATAAAATAAACTGACCACATTGATTATAGTCCAATTCCTAGACTATTCAAATTTGATTTAGTACCACTGAATTCAGTGGGATTAAATCAACTTAAATCCTATGGCTGCAATCCTATGCGCACATTTTGCTTTAATGATCGTATGGTTTACTGTTAGGTGGATTTCAAACCAAACCAGTTCAAAACCATTTTGAAGGTCCCTTTTGATGAAAAGGTAGTGTGTGTGTGTGTGTGTGTGTGTGTGTGTACATATACATATATATTCATATTCATTCATTCATACCATTGAAGTCAATGCGATTTACTTCTGAATAAACATGTATAGAATTGCACAATATTCAGTTTAACTGGCTTTGAACTGGATTGTTACTCAGAGCTTTGCTTGTTAAAGTCACAATGACCCATTCACACATCACATTGGACCATAGTTTATAACAAATAAGGTAAGCCAAGAACAAATTTTGGTTACTCCTTGAGATTTGTTTGGCAAAAACAAACCACAAGCCTTGGTTCAGGTGGCGCAACAACACAGACTCTGGCTTGTTTCATTCATGGCGCAGAAGGAGCAAAGGAACTTCTGAGCAGCGTGCACAAGCACACAGCTTGTTCAAATTCATCCATAGTTTTAAACTATTGTTCAGTGTAATGTGTGAATCAGGCCAGTGTTTCCAACATAGAATATTCAAAGCTGCAGATCTCCTGCAGAGATACACAGTTAAAGTGTTGTAAGGAAAACCGGCCATGCCAACCGGTGTTGAAGAATTTTAATGGCAAGGCTATTATTCCTGGTGCAACACAAAAGCCAGGAAAGGCATGCAGGAAGTAAAACCACACAACACACTCAAAAAGGCCACAACAAAACATTTGTCAATAGATTCAAAAAACGAAAGAGGAAAACAGAAAGCAAGCATCTGTTGTGTTCAACACATGGTTAATATGTTAACCACCCTGGGATCTTCGGATAAAGGATGGTATATAGATTGAATAAAGAAATATGTTGTTATTGATCATCAGATGTGGTGTGTCCCATTTCACTGCTGGAGGCAAAATAGGAAGTGCTGCCCCAGCCTGCCGCTGCTGCCACCGCCACCAACACTGCCATACCTTTCACTGCCGCTCCTGCACTATCACCTCCGGCATCAGTACTGATTTTAGGTAAGATCTCGCCAATTTTCCAAAGCCAGCAGAGGGCAGTGGCCTCACCCTGCCTAACAGCTGGGCCGGCCCTGTTGATTACTGCAGCTCCTTACAAAGTAACTGTCATGTGCTCTCAGGTAACTTTAAACATGTTTCACACACACAGTCCAGCAAATATTCAGCTGTGATAAAAGCCCCACTGAAATCAGTGGGACTTTAAGAGGGTGGAGAGAGAGTTTGCACTGGGCTTTCCTGTGAAAAGAGTGGTATAAATTGGCAGATGCCTCCAAATGGTGGTATATTTTCGTGGCATACTTCAGCTCCCGTCATGGCGCCCATTTGGGAATCACTGGTGTAATGAGACTATATATACATAAGCAGCTTGAAACGCAGCAAGGTTCCCTCATCCTGCCCTGTATTTCAAGTCACACTTGCTGTATACAACTGAGGGAGGAGCAGACATCTTCATCCAAAGCACATTACCTGATTTTATTCCCCATGCCTGCAACCCTTCCCCACAAAAAACTATTCAAAGAAGTTGTCATCTGCGCATGCACAATGGTTGTCTGAACTGTACAAACCTCATCTTAACTACAACTTGCATTTTCAAAATGGATGGAAGTTAGTTTGAGGGAAAACGATAAAACAGCAGTATTTCTTTAAAATCTACAGGATGCATATGGATTGTGGCTGACATAATGTGTATTCGGCTTCCAACACCAGCAGAGGGAGCACACTGGGGCTGGAGTAAATGGTAATGTGTACACAGCCTGACTTAGGATCGTGTATTACCTCATCTATATTTGTTGGGAAGGAGCCAGGAAGGAAAGCCACTTCATATTACTAAACATACCCCACTTTACCATTAAGGAGACATGCTTAGCATGCAGGAAGTGAGCCAAATCACTGCAAATCACCATGCTCTTTCACCCAGATGGATGACCTTAGATAGCTTGGAGTAGTCAATAAGATCAGGTCGATGTCTATGGATAAGTGCACAGAGGGCAAGGCCGTCTTTCCAGCTTCACAACAAGCAACCAAAAATAAAATGAAAAGATGTTAATGAAATAATGACAACTGATCCTAGCAGCTCAAGGTCTGAAAACATGCAAAAGCTACACAATGTACCCAGTAATTATGTCATCGTCAAATTTGCTACAATTCCAGCGCTTGCTGTGTTTTGTTTTGCAAAACCTCATTTAATGCTCAAAAGCACATTGAGAAGATCAAAGCATGAATTTATGAATCTGGTAATCAAATGGGGTTTATTCTGCTTTTGGCGCATAGTGAAAATGCCCAAATATTTTGAATGACATTTCACATCTACTTTGGGACTCTGGGATGTATCAGACTAAGTCATACTCAGCGCAGACCCATTGTAATTAATAGAAATGACTAACTTAGGTCCATTCATTTCAATGGGTAGAGTAGAACTTAGATACACTCCATTGATTTTAATGGGTCTACTCGAAATATGACTTAGTACAACCTCATATTATAGAAGACCAGTTTCCTAAACAGTGGCCACTTCTGTGTAGGAAGGAACCTAGATAAATTGCATGCATTACGAATGATGAATGGATATGTGTTTAACTTTGGCAAGAAGCTCTAATTGGTAGTAGTAAGACACTTGGCTGAATGGACTATTGCTTTTACCCTGCAATTTGTCTATCTTTAGATGTACTATATGGTACTCTTAAGGTGTCTCAGAAAACTATACCAATGCTAAAAGATTAAACCAGCAATAAGAGAACAGAATACTGACACTTCTTCTTGGTATGTACCGGTAACTTGAAGAATTGGAGTGAATCGTGTATACAAGCATTCATTGCTTTTGAAACACAATACAGTGTTTAAAATCAACACTGAAATCTATTCATTACAACTGTCTGTAAAAACCTAACTAAAAATGCTAGATATTTGATAAAATGAAAATATTTTCAGTCACCTGAAATCCACTTTGTAAATAGTTTGTTATCCATAATGCATATGTTTTCTGCTCTGTTAATGGTCTATTACTAGCAATGCAGATTTTTCAGTCCCTTGAATCTTAATTTGCTCTCTCTATATCCAGAATTCTGTTGCATTTCCATTTTATCTCATCAAGAGTTCTGTGAAGTTTGAAAGCTTGCATACTCAACCTAATTAAATAACCTACTGTATTAGAGTACAACAAAAAAATCTAAGTTGCCTATCCTATGGAAGTTTCCCAGGGAAAAAACCCCACTGAGCACACAGGGACTTGCTTCTGGGTAAACATACATAGGATTGTACTGTTACACAGCAAGCACTGGGGGGGGGGATGTTCATTAAGCGTTCCATAAATGCCCCCATTTTATCCTGTTTATGCTATGGTACCTCTGCAACCTTAATGAACCTCTGAAGCGAATCTTAGTTCCCGTTTTTATGGAAGTGTTGCCATTAAGTTCATGCTGGCAATGCTAATTAATTTATGAGAATCTATATACTGTATATTCATTTCATGCAAACTGGGGCCATGATGAGAAAGAAATATGCAGAGAGCCTTGGGGTTGATTCTTACAATGTAAGAGCAGTGCGGCTGCCAGCTCCCTTTGGCTCCGCCCTATGTTACAATATGGAGTGCTGGCATGTGAGTGAACACACAGTTGCCCCCTCCCAACAATGGTCTTGCTGTCTTAATGGCCAGAGTAACATGGGAAGCATGGAGAGGAATAACAATCATGCCACCCCTGCAAGTTAAGAACCAGCCCTTTCATCAAACTGCAAGGACCAAGGGATGCTCTCCATTCCATCGTTGAAATGGATGGCACAAAATGGCTGTTACCTCAGATGGAAGTTCTGAATGTTCACATTTCTGTACGGTGCTGTTTTCCTCTGGCACCACAGCAGTAGTCCTTCTTTGGCAGATGTCTCTGGAAAGGAGATGTATGAGGGAGGTAATGAAGCTTCGGGTCAAGATCACTTTATGGTGGTTTTTAAGTGTGTTTTGTTGAAACTGTTTAGAAGCCTCTGCAAGACTGGGAATCTTGTGCTTAGAAGTCCCCTTCTGACCTTGCCATTCCATGCAGGAAGGTCAGGGTGGGGTGGAGCCAGAACATTCACAGATATGGACTCGCACTCTTAGATCACCCCTGCATGAGTTGTTTGAACACAGAATAACACCTGACTGTTTTGTGTTTAATATAAGAGAATCTCTGTTTCAAAACATTGTGGTGTAATTCTATGAACAAGTAATGCTTGGGGGGATGACTGAGAGATTCTGATCACGTAAATTCAGGGAGACTTCCCTCATCAGGTAAATATCCATGATTTATTCTTCTAATATTTATATTTGTCTTCATTAGCTCAACACAGGTTTCTAGGGCTGAATATATACTGGATGCACAGACATCCCCCTTCTATGCTGCTTTGGGAATGAGATTTTAGTGGAACTGAACCAAACCGTCAAGCCTCTAAGTTTGTGCCTTCTAATATTTACTGATCAATGTTCTCTCTTGGAAACCTGCAAAAGCATAATTCATATTCAGAAAGAATAGATCAGAAATGCTTGATAGATTTCTTTTCCACTGTATGGTTTAATTGCTACAGTACAATCAAGGTAAAATAAATTTGTCAAGAATAATTATTCTCTAAATCAACAAATGAGGTGGAGGAAACAGTTAATTTGTTACATATTGTACTGCATAATGAAGGACATCTGTTTGCTCAAGCAAACAGTGCATAGCTGGAAATGAATCTACAGCTGCCCGAGTTCTTCATTTAAATATTTTATAAGTTGTTCTTTTATATATATATAAAAAACACTTGTTTAAAAATAAATCTTTAAAACGTAATAGAGTCTGCAACAGAAATCGTTCAAGAAATAACTTTATGATTTCAACACCTAATGCTTACATAGTACAAAATATCCTATTTTTTTCAAACAATTGACAGTTTTAAATTGTTTAATTTGATCAAAACGCATACCTGCAAGGCTCGACAGCCCAACAGCAAGTGCTTTTCTGTTTCAGTGAATGTAAATCTCAACCAAATGCAAAAGGTTCCTTAGGATTTTATCAGTGTCCCTTCTGAACATTCCTTTTCATGTGCACCTGATGCTTCCTATGACTCATTATGCTTACAAGATGGCTGGTCATCCATTAGAAAATAGAAAGCCCATTCCAGGCATTGTCAAACTATCTGACTGGCTGAGCTACATACCAAATTCTTACGTTTCAGAGGTGCCTTAGAACTGTTAATGCTTCTAATTTGTCTGAATGGAGATTTTATCTATCTATCTATAGATATCATCTATCTATAACATTTATTTTTATACTGCCCTTCCTTCATCAATCTCAGGGCAGTTCACAACATAAAAATGTGTGTAGGTATAGAAACCTCTAATTTTTGTACAGCTGGAATGTATTCAGCTGTAGAAAGGTATGAGAAAATGTATCTATTGAGGAGGTATTCCACCATGAAATCCCCTGTCTTCATTCTGAAGTGAAACTGTTCCAGGAGGGTTGTATCACACAAGTCTTCTTAATGTTTTTAAATGGGTGGTGATATTGAATATAAAGAGAACACAGATCTGAGGCTTCAGAGTAATTAGTTCCTTTACTCTCCCCATCAATAAACAGTTGCCATTTAAGTTCACATTTTTTAAAAAAAATATCCTCTGTCTGTTTCTGATGAGAGCTTCCCCTTGCCATAGGGCAGTACTGTGGAGCATAGTCTTACCTTCTACTGAAATATCTTGAATTGCAAAGCGAAGGATGATTGTCCAGATCATGCCCAGGGTCATTTTCACATTGCCATCTACAATTTCTGGTGTGAAACAGAATTGAAATTTTAAGCAATATGCTGTGATCAAAGCGTACATGCCTGCTATGATTTAAGTTTTGTGATTTTATTCATACAGTACGTGTTTATTTCTCAGCAATTGCTTCCAAATTGTTCCTTCTGAAGATGTCTTAAACCAGTCTCACCTAACATGTTATTAAAGGACACAGCAGCAGAGAATTGCTTCTGTTGCTTCCATAGTCTTGTTCACTCCTTGAAATCCCCATAATTCATTTTTATTAATGCTGTTGTCTCACAACTTTCACAGAATTCTGCAAATAGTTATACCTAAGGTATAGAAACTAATCATAACTGTATTGAATGAACTGAACATGAATATGAACTGAACATCCAAAGATGTTGTTGATAAAAGAAACAAATTTGGAACACACGAATGTGTGTGCGCGCACACACAGCGTGCGCGCGCGCGCACACACACACACACACAGAGTATTGGTCCTGATTTCCTAGTTGAGTTTATATGGCGGTTCCATATAAACCTTTATTTCCACCTTCATTGCTCTTTCCCATCCACAGCAGACAATCTCCCCTTTAGGTTTGTTTCCCAATTTTTATTAAAATTGTTGAACTGATTCATGTTCCCTAAATGACCAAACTCCAAGACCTGAATTAAAAATGGTTCCAGGCTTGTTTAAAAATACTACAACCAATCCCAAATTTATTCACAGAGTGTTCTATGCAGCTGCCTGTTGTTTAAACCAGAGCTCTTTGCCTATGTATGAAACATTAATAAGCGCACAACTGAACCGTGAGCTGATGGCCCAGTTCACAAAATGCCTCACAGGTAAAGTCCTTGTTGTTACATGATCTGCATCACATTTAAAGCTAACTTAAACCCAACCTCTGTGTTTTCCTACCTTTTTCTTTCCAACATCTAGTTTTATGCAGTTGATCACAGAGAGGAAATTATAACTAGTGCAGAGGCTATGCTGTGAGTTTTCTTTTAGGTGAAACGTATTAAATTCATAACCTTGGCTGATAAGGTGTAAAATAGTCAGTCTGACATGGAGTTGTGACAGTTTGAGAGAAGACAGAAATGAATGTTCCAAAATGCCCTTTGCCATATACTGAATCAAACCAGCTCTCAGAACTGTAATACATCATGGCTGAAAGCCAAGCCTTGTTGTTGCTATCTTCTACATACCTTCTGCACCAATCGAGACAAGTTTGACACCTTTGCTAGCTATAAAATCCAGGGCTTTGTTGACATTTGCAATTTTATGGAAACGCATCTTTCCTCTGTCTGGCTTTGGAAGTCTTTCTCCTGCAGGGAAGCAAATCAGATATATTTATTGACATTGACATGTGGCTCCAGGCACCACTAGACTGGTGAAGGGAGCATGCTGTTGCTGTAAACTATCTAAAACCATACACCAACCTGCATTACAGGTCTGTCTTATCTCCAGAGCCCATTCTCCCCTCCCTAAAGGCAAGTATAAAAGCGACTCACTTTGGAGATTTTTTTGTGTAGGAGCAAAAATCCCCAGGCCAAATTGTTTTATCTGTCCAAAATATGTCAAATAAACTGTGTGCTCCCTTTTCAGCTTATTTTTTGTTAGCACTTCAGCGTTGGGGAGTGTTTTATTAGCCAATCACATGCAGCCCATTGTGTAAATAATGTATATAAAGCAGATATTGTGGGGGAACTTTCATTCCTCCCCACCACTATGAGCTTAATAAAGAGCATGAAATCCACTCTCGACTCTGAGTATATTTCAATTTCCCAGCTCTTTGCTTCTTCTTCTAGAGCGTGTCCTGTTTGCCACCTCCAAGAACTTGGGTCCATACTATCATCATCTTCCTCCTGCCTGGAAGTCTCTTGGGGTGGAAGTCTCCACCAATGCTCCTCATCTGCCCAGTCCCTGACACTTTGCTAAAATATGTGTCTTAGGCAAAAGTGCATTAAGCAATGGGCATATGATGAGAAATTCACAGTAAAATACTCGTGAATTTTCATGACAACTTTTAAAAACACACATGCACATGCCATAAACTGATGTGGAAATGTGAAACTGGGATAAACTAAAATGAATAGATTCACCTGCTTCTAAAGTGATGGTGAAATACATTTTGACAAGATACATATCATTTGCTGCCTTCTAAAACTAACCTGAAATGACCTCCAAGAGCAACATCAGTTTAAGGCCATTCCTGAAATCCTCTTCAATGTTCTCGATCTGCGTGCCTGCTTTCCGTAGGTGGGAATTGCACCATGCTGTAAATGTCTGCAATCACAGATTAAGTGTGTTAGGAAAAGATGGTAAACAGCTATTAACAGGAAATGTTAGAGCCTTCGATAATTTTTTTTAGGAAACTTAGTTTCAAAGCAATGCTACAGCTTAAGTGAAGATGCTAACATTCCTGAATGTTTAGCTTTGCTGTTGACAAATGCATGAAAGATATGTCTTGTGTATTTATCAATAGCAAGGCCATTTATGGTATTTTACCATTCTTATGTACATATTAAGCATCATGTCACATATTATGCTGTGGGTCTCCATTGGGCACCTTGTATTGCCCTCATAGCACACATATGAAATCAACACACATTATCTGCCTCACCTGTTACAGTACATCCTATAGATTACATGTGGTGTACACACTAGTGGCACAACAATGTCTAGTTGGAATTAAGTCCCATGGATTTTGTTGGGGCTTACAGCAAAGAAAGCATGTATAGAATTGCACCCTAAATTTGTGACATGTGAAGTGGCCTTAAAGTGAGCCAACAGATGCCTGGTGATGTGGTGATATGCTTATAATGGGCAGGGTCTCCTTCCACTGAGAGACCTTAAAAATCACAACATGGTAGAACAGAAGTGGTTTGCCTGGTGGGGCAAAGCCGCTATGGTAGCTTCCTGGGAGGTGGGTCACTATTGCTTACCAGGAGGGACAGTGGGAGGGGCAATGCAGTGCAAGCCAATTCTGTGATGGGAGTTTGAAAAGAGTAGGTTATCAAGTGATAATTTTAGTCACCTAGTGCCATAAGAATCAGCGCTGCTATTAAAAGCAGGGCAGACCCCAAATACTGTGCATGTATTAGCAAAAATGACATACAAAAATGTATTACATTTGGAGAAATTGCCTGGCAGGGATGTGTAATTAGGGGGGAAACACACTAAAATGCTGAGGAGTTTTCATGAGGACTTTAAAAAAATTCTAGAAACATAGGAAATGAAATTCGTAAAAGGCCCAACAAGCCAAATGTGCTGAACTGAGGAAATGCCATTGCCTTTTGTGCTATGTAGTCCTCTTTCTTGAGCCTTTCATAGAATCATAGAGTTGTAGAGTTGGAAGGGACCACAAGAATCATCTAGTTCAACCCCCTCCAATGCAGGAATCTTTTGTCCAACGTGGGGCTCAAACCCACAACCCTGAGATTAAGACCTTCATACTCTACGAACTGAGCTATCTCTTTATTCTGTTTCCATGTGCTGGGACTGGGAGCATGAGCTGCTGTCTCTGACTGATCTATTCTATTAATAGTCATTGCACAACTATTCAAAATATGCTCAGGTCTTAGCGATCAAGCTGTGGCCAGCATCTAGCACTGTGCCCTGCACATTTTTAATCCTTTAGGATTTGAAAAGGTATTGCATTAATTAGACAGAACAAATGCCCCTCCCTCACTGCTCAACACACAGAAGCAGAGCAGGGTATCAGATGGAAGTGAAACACCAGGTGGAACTTGGAAGTCCATGTAGCAACCATGCTGCAAGCAAATACAAGGAAAACTCAATTTTTGCACTTAGTCTCACAAAGATCCCCCCCCCCCATTCAAGCTAAACACACCTGAGCACATCTTTAAAGTGTGGTACCAACAGAAGGCAGAGGAAAAGCCAAAGCCTTTCTAGGATATCAGGATATACCACAACAGTTTTAAGTTTCTTTTCTTTTCTTTTTCCAGTCTAAGGGCCACATTCCGTTGTGAGAAACCTTTCAGGGGCCGCATGCATGCCAGAACAACAGGTACAGCTCTTACATTCTAGAGTAAGATACAATGCAGTCATACAAATGTCAGAGCTGTCCAAAGGCATACATATCTCTCCAATTGAGCAAGCAAAATGCATTATCATAGGATATATTCCACCAAGGAGGGGGGACACCTCAAGAGGGTTTGGAGCAGGGCCAGAAAGGTGTGCGGCTTGGTATGGGGATGTGGCCTATTAAATACCCTGAGGGCCAGATAAAGAAGATTGCAGGACCACATTCAGCCCTGGGCCTGAGGTCTCACACCTTTGACTTGGGGGCTAAGATCCCCTCTTTTTCACCACCAAACAATGAGTATGGCTTATGACCCTCCAATGCAAGCCAGCACAACCAGTAACGCAGCCCAAATAACCAAGTGTTATTCCTCCCTGGGGCTTGTCACGCCATCTCTTTTAGCACCCAGGCAGCAAAAGAAGAGGCTTATCTAGCCCCTAGCAGGCAACAATACATGGCCTGGATCACAAGTTGTGCAGGGCTGTTCTGTTAGAAACATATTGTCTGGTCTAATACTGACTTTTTTTAACAGGTTCAATTGTAAAGGAAAATTGCCAGCAAAATACAAACAATCCACAGAGAAGGAAAGTAAAACGAAATACAATATTGACTTGACATATCAGGAATGGTTTGCTTATTCTGGTTTTTTTTTCCATACTACAGAATCCACAGGTGTGATGCTTTATTAGAATTTAGAGAGCAAAAATAAAAGAAAAAACTTGATTCCTTTTCAGATCTGCAAACAGACTACTTGAATACAGATGAGGACACTTTATCATTCACACAGAATCTAGTAATGTTTGTGCCCAATTTCTACTTTCTATTTTTAATCTGTCACAAAGATGCCACCCTTCATTCAGCATCATGAACTTCCTGGTTTGTTTTTTTAGTGTCTTGGTTTTGCTGTCTGTTTTGGGGTGTATGTAGGTGTTTTGCTTGTGGCTTGGGGGTTCTAAGCATTGTCACTTTTCCTTCTGTGAAATGAGTACAGTGGTACCTCCAGTTAAGAACTTAATTCGTTCCGGAGGTCCATTCTTAACCTGAAAGTGTTCTTAACCTGAGGTACCACTTTAGCTAATGGGGCCTCCCACTGCCGCCACGTGATTTCTGTTCTCATCCTGAGGTAGAGTTCTTAACCCAAGGTACTACTTCCGGGTTAGCAGAGTCTGTAACCTGAAGCATTTGTAACCCAAAGCGTTTGTAACCTGAGGTACCACTGTATTTTGAGATGCCCACACCACTTTTTTAGATTTCCGAATGTGTTTGAGGGCATAAAAAAGTATGGAACCCCTGCATTAGAAAGCAGTCTGTGGCTCCATCTATGCAAAAAAGTGGTCCAAACACGTAAACTCTCAGTGTGTTTGTAAACTATTAATAGACTATTCTATACATTCCCAATGCTCAGAAGCCACAGCACTGCAAGCACAACTGGAATTCCCTGGAAAAGGATCAGATTCAGGCAGCTGCTGCTGACAGAAGCTTTGCAGAAGGGATAGTGATCTTGTAACCAAGGGGACCCAGCCTAAACCCTTACTAGTGGATGTACCAGGGCAAGTGTTCCTGCTTGAAAAGAGAACTGCTTAAAAAAGAGGATGAAAAACTACCACTCAGTTGCAAATACACCCTTTGGGCAGGCTTCTGCTTGCACACTAGAACTTCCCCTTCCTCTCCTTCCCCTGACAGCCTCTTCTGCTCACCAAATCTACTCTGGACCAGATTCTGCAGGTGGTTGGAAGCTGCAGGGAGGAGGCGGAGGAGGCCTGTTGTGCAAACAAAAGTTCAATCCACTCACATACAGGCACTATTGGATTTCACCCATATAAACTAGCACATGCAATATTGTGCAAATCTGCAACCTTTGCAAAAAATAAAATAAAATTGCAATGTCTAAGTGGCCACACTAGCATCTTTAGTGCAGACAATGCAGCTGAATGCACATTTGGAGCTGTGTTGATTTGCACTTGCAGTTCCCAGTAAACATATTCTGACACATGATAAGGTGGTGGTGTGAATCAACCCTATTAATGAATTAAAATAAATCACTGTATTAAAGAGTGGCTGAATCTAACTTTAATTGATCTGATTTTCATTAACTAGTTTTATACATTAAACAATGACTTTCATATAAAGGGACAGTTTTATTAAATCTGCCATCTTTCTTAACTTTAGTTTCTTTCTGTTTCCCACCTATTCCCCTGACACTCTATGCAGTGCCCTACACGTGCACACCACATTTATAGAAAACTTTGAAACCGAGAATTCCCCAGCACTGGGTCTGAATTATTTCAGACCATGAGACCCTATGAGATGGAGTTATAATTAGGCGTCACGTCCATTGTAATCCTAAGGACGTCATCATGTGTAACCAGCAACTGTTGACAGATCTCATACCATGCATATCCTGAAATGGCAAGTCTGGAGAGTGCAGCCCACAATAGAAACAATGGCATTTATTTTTGTCCTGTTCCAAGATTGTCTCATAGAACATGTATGCTAGCCAACTGCCAGGCTTGCTTGAAGATCACCGTTCAATATTATATTACTCGTTTGAACAAAGCTCAACAACCAGGCAGCTACAGTCTTCTCGTCGTATATACGGACATCAGGAATGTACTTTGTGGAGCTTATTATAGCACTATGGAGAAGAGTCTGACACCCTCAGAACTTTTCAAATCCATCAATCCTACTGAGAGAGGATGTTGTTCAGACTGATCTCCAAGCCATGGAAAAAAGAATGCCTTCTATCAGATACTATTTATAGACATGTGCATCCATTTAACATTTGTTTCAAAGGTTCAGGACAATGGAAAGTAATAATGGTTGCAATCCGCTAGCACTACTGTTGCACAGCCTCCATTCACATCTGTGGGACTTGCCAAGACAGGGTTGCCATATTTAAAAAATCAGGACAGAAAAGTTGTTGAGGGGTTTGTTTGTTTTTTGCAAAATCACAAAGAAATTGGGCATTTTTAAACTTTTTTTTTTAAGGGAAATCGGCAAAAATGACACTGCTGACATCAGTTGCTTTACGGCCGAATTTTCCCAGAAATTTAACCGATTTCTCCCAGGACACTGCTTTCAGATACAGTATTCCATGTATGTCCAGGATATTCCAAACATATGGCAAACCTAGAATATGTTCCATTGAAATGAATGGGTGGCTTCTTCAACTGCATCCTGAAATATTGTCTAATTATTGGTGTTAAACCCACAATGTTTTCACAAAACATTATAAATTATAAAAGCAAATGACATGTTCCCTTGGGCCAATAGCATCTTTTCATGCTACTGAAATTCTTTTGGATCACACAAGTAGGTTGTGTGTGTTTTTTTAAAAATCCATGCTTCATTTTCAGAAAATCAAAATAATAAATAAGTGTAAATTATTCTGCTGGGAATCCAAGTAGATAAGGCTGCAATCCAAAGAAAATCAGTCATGCTTTACACTACTGAAACAAATGGGAAATTTATTTAGGCATGACAAACTTTATTGTGGGCTAATAAATGTTTGTATTCAAAGTCTGAAGCAAAAGTTTCAAAAAAACTTTGTCATTTATTTTCTTTTATGGGGCCACAAAACCTTCAGTTTCAGGTGAGAAGACCATTTGTTTGAGAAGTTTTATTGGTGCAAATCAACTGTATAATCAGAACCAACCCTTGATTAGTCCAGATTATAATTATTTCTCATTCCTATAAGAGGGAACCAATAGATTTCACAACAAATTTGTCACACTGCTTTGAAAATATTCTATATCCTATCAGCTTGCTAGCCTTATACAGATTAGTCTTTGACTGGAAGCATGTAAATTCAAAGATTGTCTCTTGAAAGATCAATGGGGCAGGTAGGACCCCGGCTTTGGAATGCCCTCCCTAAAGAGATATGCCTAGTGCTGGCTTAGCCATCCTTTAGCATCAGGTTAAGACACTTTTATTTACTCAGGAATTTTAATGTGTATAGTTCCTGCACCTGCCTAGTTCTTTTTAATTATTAATTTTTTATTTTCCTTTCTTTGACGCTGGTTGCCTTTTGCTAGCGTTTCACTGCATTTTGTATTACCTTTGAATCAATTTGTTATCTATATTGTTGTTTTGATGAAGGAAGCAGGGGTGTAGATCTGGCTCAAATTCATGTTAGGAAATGGTCAACACCATGGAAGGCAATGGATGAGTTCAAAAATACAGAAGTATTTTTTTTAGCTGAAAGCATTTTCAAACAAAATTGGGGGAAGGGGGAATTATCCACGAGTAGATTCTTCCATAGAAATCCTGTAAAAATGAAAAGGTAGCTAAACAAGAGCTACTTCTTTGCTCTTGTGATGTTTTCATTTAATTCCATGGGGTTTTTGCAAGAGAACTTCCTAGGGAAATTATAGTCAAGTGTGCTGTAGAATAGATTACAAGGCTAGGACTGAAAGACCCAGGTTCAAATTTCAACTCAGCCACTGGGTGACTGTGGGCCAGTCGCTATCTCACAGCCTAACCTACCTCACGGGGTTGTTATGAGGATAAAAAGGGGCTGGTGAGAACCATGTATTCTGCTTTGATCTCCTTGTATGAAATATAAGATATAAATTAAATTAAAAACAAACAAACAAAAACCCCACTACATCAGCCTTCCCCAACCTGGTGCTGTCCAAATGTTTTGGACTACAACTCCCATCAGGTGCTAATGGGAGCTGTAGCCCAAAGCATTTGAAGGGTGCCAGGTTGGGAATGCCTGTAGAGTTGTACCTCGGGTTACAGACGCTTCAGGTTACAGACTCCGCTAACCCAGAAATAGTACCTTGGGTTAAGAACTTTGCTTCAGGATGAGAACAGAAATTGTGCAGTGGCAGCGCAGTGGAAGTGGGAGGCCCCATTAGCTAAAGTGGTACCTCAGGTTAAGAACAGTTTCAGGTTAAGAACGGACCTCCAGAATGAATTAAGTTCTTAACCCGAGGTACCACTCTACTACTTTTTACATTAAATATTTAACTGTGTTTAATAAGTCTCTTTTGTTCTATTTGGTTGGGATCCAACTCATGAGTTTCATCAGTGGAAGCCTGCACAAAGAATTCTGGTTGTACAATGGAACTTTCCTCCTTTTCTCCTCCTGTGTGCCCCCTGAAACTGGCTTGGGGACAGGGAGGGACCACAAACCCCTCCCCAAACAGCACACACTCTGGGCGTGGGGGGGGGGAATCATTCCATCAGGCAAGCCAAAATGCTTGCCCTGGTGGAACTATCACCTTAGCGTGACATTGAATTCCTCCCTTTATTTCATTTCATTTAAACAATGCTACAGTAGGCATTCTCAAGTTTGTGATTTTGCTGTTATCGCCACCAATTGTAGCTTCCCTCCCACAGCAAATTGTTCTCCAGGCACCATCCACAGTGCCAAACCTGAGCACCCCTTCCTCACAGCTGCCATTTAAAACAACACCATGGAATAGAATCATATAATCAAAGTGTAGAGTTGGAAGGGACCACAAGGATCATCTAGTCCAACCCCCTGCAACGCAGGAATCTTTTGCCCAACATGGGGCTCGGACCCACAACCCTGAGATGAAGAGTCTCATGCTCTACCAACTGAGCTATCCCTCATCACACATTGAACAGAACATGCACAAAAGTGTACAGGCTCCTTGAGCAAGCGAAGATGAAACTTCACCCGTTTGGTGTCTCTGGGGACCAGTTTACATTTCTCAGTTTAACCTACCTCACAGGGTTGTTGTGAGTATATAATTGGGAAGGGGAAGAGTCATGTACACCACCCTTAGTTCCTTGGAAGAAAGATGGGATATACTGTAAATCCAGTGAATAAGTAAAGAATCTTTCCTGACCTTTCTTTGCTGTTTCTCCCAGGCAGGGTCCAGGAGCAGGTCCCTGTCCCATTCTTCCTCTTGGTTCATATACTCGTCCTCTTCATACTCATAGTTATAATGTATGCTAGTGTCTATTTGGGTTGTCATGTTGTTTTAAGAATCAGATGGCTTTTCACACCTGCAGAGGTTTCTCGGCTCTTAATAAGAAGTTCTCAAAAATAAATTGATCAGGCAGGCAGGCAATTCTGTCTTCTTTTATTTTCTTTCTTCTGCAGGAAAGTCTTGCTGGTGTGTGAGAGAGGGAAGTTTTCAGGTTGCAGGTTAAGAGCTTGCCTTCACTTTCTTCCTGTCTTTCTTTCTTTCTGCCCCTGGACTGCTACTGTGATTCTCCGAAAGGAAGCCTGGCTCGCGCCGAAGGCTGATTCCGATTCTGCCTCTTATCCCCTTGCCTTGTCACGTGTCTCTGAACTGCCTCCCACATCCATCCCCCTCCCCTCTTTTCCCAAGTCCCTCCCTAGATGCTCGCAAGCCGAATTTCAACAGGCTGAACAATCTCCTCCCTCCCGCCTTAAAAAGTGGATAAAATAGACGTGTGTATTTTCAATCTTAGGAAAAAGGACGATAGGCCTGCCATGCCCTATTGTCCTTTTTCTAAGGAACATCAGGAGAGAGAGTTGCAAGAGGAGAGAGGATGCTTTAGAGATAAAGTCTCCGAACCTCTGGGGTTTCTCCACTCAACAGCGCTGGATTTAGGAAGGCAGTTCCCCTTGGATTCAAGCAGAACATGGCTCTTATTCCTTGGCTTCTCAGCCTGCTTTCTTGCTTCTACCTTCTAGCTCACACACCTCAACTCTGGCCTTTGTCTTTCTAACAGACAGTTGAGAGAGGGGTGCCACCCATTTGTTTTCTAGCACAGAACCACTTCCTTAGTTACCTTAATGACTCATACATAGGCCGTTACAAAGAAACTTGCCTGGCTATTCCAGCAATCAAATCCTTGTCGGATCCAGGCATACAGTCTACTGCCCACCCCCCAAATTCACAGCAATACAGATGCTAAGTATCAGGAAAAGGCTTAGTTGGAAAATATGGGAAGTTCAAAAAACAACAAGCCTCTACAATGAAATTAGATTGGTCCATAATTAGTAATGTATTTTGAAATGTTAATTTCTACATAGAAAAGCTTGGAAATAAACATGTGATTTGTACCAAACAAACAAACAAAAAAAACCCACATGGGGGAATTATTCACAGGTGACCAACACCCTAAATTGTAAACATACTCTTTGAAATAATCATTTTTATTTCAATGGAGCTAGTTTTCATGCAAGCACATTTAGCATTGCTGCCTTATTCTGGCGGTCTTATTAAATTTAAAAAAGGTTACCCCAAAATGATCTGTGAATCAGTCTTTCTCCCTGTCCGTTAAGGCACTAGAACTGAAGAAACACCATCCAGGCTTACAATGTAATACACACGGTGACAGGTGGAAAACTACAAATAGTGCTGGCATAAGGTTGGAAAAAATGGTGCGACACATCCAGGATTTTAAAAATGGTTCTACAAAGGGAATGCAAGGGGAGGGAGTGTGGAGCAGAGAGGGAGAGAAAGGGCGGGCAGGACGGGGTTTAGAATAACCTATTACAAGCTTTCAGACAGTCATGTGTACTCAGCTGCATTTCTGTTTCACATTAGCTCGTGAAATTTCCAGAATAATAAGCAAAGGGCAAAAAACCTGGATTTCTAGTGCCAGTCTGAAGTCTAAAATATATACAGTAGTTAGTAAAATCTCTTCCCCCCCCCCCCCGCCCGCAGTGCTTTCACTATTTTGAAATATGTGCCACACTCTTCAACACTGCTTTAGACTCAATCTCTACAGTACAAATTTAGCAGACTGGATAGTTCCTGACTCCATCCCATTGACATCCCTACTGAACCCATCCTGCCCAAGGCTGCCCAACCCCACCTAGACTTCACACTACCTGTTCCAAAGGATGCTGTGCCCTTACCTGGCATCTTTATCAGAAGCACCAGCTGGCCACAAAAGGGTTCTCGCCCTCAGCCCTGGTATCCTTGTCCATAAGAGGGGTTGGCTCAAGACAGCAGCCATGAATCTTGAAGCCAACCATGATGCTGACACGAATCACAATCTGTTTCAGTATTTTAACTTCCTGTGTGTTTTAATGTATTGTAATTATTGCCTTATTTTACAGTTTTATCTTTTTGTAAAGTGATGGATATAATTTTCATGAAATAAAAATAAGTAAATAAATAAATAAATGTCCCCCTACCCCTAGGAAAACAAGCTGGTTAGGCCTCATCTTGATCTAAAGCAAGGGTGAGGAACCTTTATCTTCCCCCATCCTGACAGACCTGCTTTGAGAGGTCGGCAGAACCATCCAAACAGAACTGAACGATCTCACTTTAGCTGGACTTAGATGTCCCTCGGGGTCCCTTCCCACTCCATAATTCTGTGATTCTATTAGTTCCACCCTGCTTTCTGCAGTCACATCTCTACCTGCCCCACAGCTTACAATAAAGAAGTCGTCAGGTGTGTGTGGTTCGGGGCCAAATGAGGAGGTGTGCTTCACCAAGTTTGGCCCAAGAACCATAGGTTCCCAACCCCTGATCTAGTGAGTCCAATCAGGGTCTAGTCAGTTTGAGAAGTTGATGCCAGTAAATTACACCACCCTTTGACCATGTGGCCAAAACTGGACTCAATTTGTTGGCAATCTCTCATTTAAATGCAGTACATTCAAATAATTTCCGCAGGATAATATCCCAAAGGTTGTTCACTGAGGACTATATTCAGCTAAATAATGGTGCCAAGTGGGAAGACTTCTACTTACCCAATGGGACTTTCTCCCCTCCTTGAGTCATCCCCAGATCTGCTTCAGAGGATAGGGGGAACCCCTAGAGCAGATTTAAGGGACACAGGCCAGGAGGAGAGGGGCAGGATGTTTCACTGTGCAAGGACAAAATGGAACTTTGTACTATGTTGAATTCTACCCTGAGGCGTTTTCGGGGCTTACTTTCCAATGCAGCCCCACATGTGCTCGAAGGAGGGATCCTTGAGGACTAGGAGCCCCTCTGAAGTAATATTCACTGTATCACTGGGCTGCAGCTAGAAGGGAAAATCTGTGGAGGTAGAAAACAGACCTGACCCACAGGTGCCTAGATCTGCCAGCGGGAGAATTTAGCAGAGTTGAAAACACTTTCAGCATTAACTAGTAGTATAGCATGGAATATGTTGTTAAACCCAGTGCTTTTTTCTGGGGGGGACGCAGGGGTACGCATACCCTTAAACATTTTGTGAATCTAAGTTTGGCCTCATTGAGGGGCAGTATTTCAATGTGAGTAGGAAAATGAGATGACCCCTAAACATTTTTTAAGGGGGGAAAAAGCACTGGTTAAACCTTTTTGCATATCCCATTTAGTCTGTCTTAAAAACACTTGCCCCTCTCTGCCTGCCTCTCTAGTGATGAACAGACCATCACAGCAATATTTTTAGGAGCACCAGTGAAGTGGTCTGTGATCCTAGGATTCTGTATCCTAGGATTTGGAGAGGAACCACAGCTCAGTGGCAGAGTACATGCTTTGCATACAGGTTTAATCCATGCTATCTCTAGTTAAAAGGAGCAAGCGTCTGGTAATGAGAAAAGATATCTGCCTGAAATGGTAGCTGCTGCCAGTCAGAGTGGGCCATAATGGACTAAAGTGAAAAAAAATTGGCACAGGGCAGTTTCTTATGTTTCCATTATCATTAGCAATGTTGTGGAGAATGCTGGAATGTCACTCATAGACACATGATACAACCACTTAATGTGGGCAGAATGATGTGGGCTCGTCTCCTTGTCTTCTGTGCATTGCAGTATCCTGCCTTCCATTACACCTTCATTCTGGTGAAATCCTCACCTAGGAATCTCTGCTCTCTCATTTATCAGTTTTTCCTATTATCCAGTGCCCGCCGTTCCCTTCATCTAGAATTTCTTCACTGAACACAGAAAATGTGTCACCTCTGTCTCTTAAATTTACAAGCCATGCATTTTCACAGTAAATTACATTTAAAATGATCAGGCGGCAGCCTTGTTCTATTCAGAAAAAGATGCACAATAATATAGATGTGTTGTTAGGAAGAGTGTTGATGTGCTGTGTTGTTGGCGTCACAGCATGCAAAATGATTTATGGGGTAATCCCAAGGTTAAAACAAGTGGGAGGCACAGTGTGAATTACCCTCTAAATCATCGCAGCAATACAAGCCAACATCTGTGCCTGGGGATTCAGTGCTTCTCATTCTTCCTGTGAAAGATGGCACATAAGTTTAATTTGCATTTTAATAATGCCTCCTTCCTTGCAGTACTGTGCAAACATAGGATCCAATCCTTCCTTAGGTGGGTTGAGTGAATGTGATGGAAGAATCTCCATAAGGTGTAAAGAGCCCTCTTTCCTTCTCTCCCCCAGTTCAAGCATGCATGAGTTCACATGGGGAATGGGAGGCATCTGATTCCCATATCCATCCCCCCTTATTGCACTTGGTTGGGGAGCACATGCCGAGTGTGAGAGATTGGATGTGGATGCAAAAAGTGTGAATAGGACTGCCATTTTCTATAATTGCCTAATGCAGTGACCTGGATGTGTGCTCATGGGAGGGAGGGGAGCAAGTAGCTGTTATGGGTCTCTCTCTCTCTCTGCGTGGAGAAAACCAAATCTACGCAGTTTCCGCGTTTCTTTGAGTTTAATCTGGCAGTCCTGCACTCCTATGGGTCTTTACTAAACTATGTCCTACAGTTCAGTGGAGCTTATTCCCTAGTTCACAGATGGCTAGTCCCTTGTTCCGGGCCTAATCCGGCCCTCAAGTAGTTTTTTCTCCCTTCCTCAAAACCCCCCCACCATTTTTTGGCAGCAAAAAGAATAAAAATGACAGTAGGCAAAGCATGGAGGTGGGCTGAGCCCAGCAACTCTGATAGGTTTTACCGACTGAAGCAAATGAGATGTTTCAAACACACACACACACACACACACATAGAAAGACACAAAGTTCCTCTGCCAAATGAAAACGCTATGCCAATGTCGTCTTTCAGATTTCACGTTAACTATGGATAATAAATAAATAAACAAGCGGAGTCTCCAAACAAAGCTGAATTCATTGCGCATCCCCTTGTTTAATTCCTCCCTTCTCAGCAGCGTCAGTCGGCCACGTGGCGGCCGGAGGCCTCGCGGGGGCAGCAGAGAGCAAAGACCGGATGGGAGGAAGGGAATGACGCCGGCTCCGTTACCCTTGCCATTACCCTCTAACGACGGAAGCGGAAGCACGCGTCCCCCGCTCTCGCTTCCGGGTCATAGGTGAAACACCTGGTGGACCTACCCACGTGGAGGAAAACGAAAAAGAAGCACCGTGGGAACCGGCAGCGTCCCAGGTTAGTCCTTTCCGCTCGAGAGCTCGCCTTCTCTCAGCGCGAAGCTCTGTCGGAACAGGCAGCGGCTTCAGATACCGTGAAGAGTTGAGCTCCTTTCTTCCCGGGTCTCCCATTGCCTTTCGAGGCTCACCTGCTCGTGCAGCACTGCAACATTTGATCAGTTGCTGAAGAGTTACGACTGAGTCTTGATTCATTATATAAACTGCAGGCCCACTTTCATTATTGACTATGGAATATTTGTCATTCATTTGCATTTTGCTGTGCTCTTAGTATCTGCCATTTTGCACGGCCAGTTTTTTCTTTGCAGTCCATCTTTCTCGAGAGCTTTCAAGAATTTCTTTCTCAAGCCCCAACTCTGGCTTAATAGCATAGGAATAAGGGGTTGGGGAGAAGGATGCAATACATATGGACAGAGAGCGTGTCCTTTTAGTGGTTATAGGTCATGTAAGGGACATGGGTGGCGCTGTGGTCTAAACCACTGAGCCTCTTGGGCTTGCTGATCAGAAGGTTCAAATCACCGCGATGGGGTGAGCTCCTGTTGCTCTGTCCCAGCTCCTGCCAAGCTAGCAGTTCAAAAGCACACCAGTGCAAGTAGATAAATAGGTACTGCTGCGGTGGGAAGATACATGGTGTTTCTGTGCGCTCTGGTTTCCGTCACGGTGTTCTGTTGCACCAGATGCGGTTTAGTCATGCTGGCCGCATGACCCAGAAAACTGTCTGTGGACAAACGCCGGCTCCCTCGGCCTGAAAGCGAGATGAGCGCTGCAACCCCATAGTCGCCTTTGACTGGACTTAACCATCCAGGGGTCCTTTACCTTATAGGTCATGTACAGAGCGTAGCCGACGGTTGTAGGTCTGGAAAGGTGTGAACACCGCAGACTGTGGTGGAAGGTATAGCCTGGTCCTATGCTTGTTTAACTTGAATTAAGAGCTGAATTAAGGTTCAGGAAGGTGGTGTTCAATAGGGCTTGATTCCATGTAAGTGCGGGATGGTGAGGTTCACAAACACAATTCGTGTGTGACTACCCATCAAGTGATGTTTCCTTGCTCAGGGAGGAAGCTAAACCTGTAAGCTGTCCCCATTTTAAAGTATTGTACAGTAATTATGTTCCTCTATGGCATTTCCCCCGTGATTACAATCTCATGTGCATTAACCGATGAACATGTATATATGAGTTCATACTTAGTGGCAATGTGCATGGAAATAAGGATAGAGAATCTCTTGTTGGGAGGCCTTGTGCCATCAGCTGTAGCCAGCATGGCTGATGATCAGGGATGATGGGCACTGTAGTCCAAGAAACATCAGAAGGGCCACAATTTCCATGTACCTGGTTTAGCTAACCTTGGCCATTATCTCAGTAATATTTGCAATAATGCTGCAAGGTAAGTTGGAAGTGCCTTCATTACAAATATGGAAACAGGGTGAGGTGACTGAAATGGAGAGTTAGTGTCTTGCTGAAATCACCCAGTGAGTTAATGACTGAGCCAAGGTTTGAATATTTTGACAACTTCAGTTCATGACAGGTGTTCTTAACTCGTATGCTGCTTCACTGCTGTTGTTGTTGTTTTGCAGGCTCCTATGCCCTTCTGTAGCTAGCTATTAATGTAGATTTCATGGTTGCTTTTAGCATCAGCCAAAATTGGTGCAACCTACTTATGATTTTGCTAATAGGCAAATTGGTACAAAACTAGAGATTCTTTTGATAGATTTTGGTTTATCTAATACTTCCTAGATCTGTTAAAACCTTTGATTTCCCTCCCACAGGGTTAAAAAATGACATCCCTCGCTCACCAGCTGAAGCGCCTTGCGCTTCCTCAGAATGACCCCAGTCTCTTGTCTCGAAGTGAAGTAGCATCACTACTGTTTGACTGTAAGGAAGCTGCCAATATTGACAGGGATACATTTTTTGCAATAGGTAAGTGAGGGGCTTAAGAACACAGTCTTGTATGATGCCTGAGGGGCCAATAAATTTGGCTGGCCTATGCAACCAGCCAAAATTTGTGGTTACTGCTAACTGTCTTCACTTAAGGAAGAAGAAGATATTGTCTCTCATGCTGGCTTAAGTGTTGGAGTTATCAGAAACAGGGGTCAGGCATCGTTTCTCCAAAATAGAGCATGAAATCAGAAATGCACCTTTCAGTTTGGACTCGGTGAAAAACCATATGTCTGCTCAGCACAGAATATGCTCACCACTGGTGAATGCGTTTGTGGACTCTGAACAAGGTTAATTGTCAGTTTACCATAAAGGGTCATCTGTTTTCTGCTGCTCCAAATGAAGTAAGATTATTTTGGAGAATTTCATATTCATCTCAGGATTATAAGCAGGAATTTCTTTACCTTTAACCTTGGCTGATAATTCATAAACAGTTCATAAACTGTTGTGTAGAAAGGGTGAATTCGCCTAGCTCTTTCTTGCTCAAAAGTATGTTGCCTGAGAGAAATAAAACTTTGCAGTTGTGAGAAGAAAATAAACATTATTTCGATAGCTGTTTAATTCAGGTTGTAAGTTTAATAACAAATTAGGGGCATTCTGTATTACACTCCTGTTATAACTGACACTCCTGCCAACCTAGCAGTTTGAAAGGACGTCAAAATGCAAGTTGATAAATAGGTACCACTCTGGCGGGAAGGTAAACGGTGTTTCCGTGCACTGCCCTGGTTCGCCAGAAGTGGCTTAGTCATGCTGGCCACGTGACCCAGAAGCTGTACGCCAGCTCCCTCCGCCAGTAAAGCGAGATGAGCGCTGCAACCCCAGAGTTGTCCACGACTGGACCTAATGGTCAGGGGTCCCTTTACCTTTATATCTGACACAATAGTGAAAGCCCATCCCCAGCACCCCCCCCCCCCCCATATAAGCAACAGCCTTAAGGTCCTTGCTACTTGCAGCCAGTATGGTTACTCATTTTTACACTGTGTAAGGAGAAACCTACCAGAAACTTGTGTTGCATAAATCTTGTGAGAGATTGCAATTTAGTTGGTTCTGGGGTGATTAAAAGAACAATGTCATGTAGTAGAAACCAAGCTCGCTTATAAAGAAGAATGTAAATATAATAAATACAATTGTGTTGTTTGTATCTTGAGCCTGTGCAGATATCAGTAAATTGCTCCAGACTGAATGGCTCTACAGTGCATCTGCATGGAGAAAGTTAACACCTGGTTTATGATTCTGGCCAATGTGAATTAGCAGCTGTATGTGTGCATTTGCTGGATCAAGCATTATTTGCCCCATGTGGCTTCATCGCCAGGGATCCTCTGCATAGAATGTTTTGTCACTGACTGGACAGGCTCGTAAAACTGTGTGATGTACTGAAAGTATTCCAATATCTTTCCTAGGGTGCACTGGGCTAGATGAGCTGATGGGGATTGATCCTTCCTTTGAGATTTTTCAGCCGACACTTTTCAGTCAAAAGTCCAAAGGTTTGGAACGCAGTGTCCAAACAAAGGCAGTAAACCAGCAGCTGGATGAAAATATTTCATTGTTCCTGATTCACTTGTCTCCTTACTTCATGCTCAAACCAGCGCAGAAGTGCCTAGAGTGGCTGATTCACAGGTAATCCATTCATGCACCTCTAAACCTTGTTTATAGTAAACTGCCCACATCTTCGAGACAGTTACAACAAGCGTTGTCCCAAGAGGGCAATATTCCAGGGCAATTCAGGGAACAGAGGTTATGGCATTAGTCGAGATGTGTAATCAACTTTCACTTTATATTGTGTGAGGCTGGATCTTGTGGTCTGCAATTTGCAAATCAGTCTCAAGCACTGCCCCATGGTAGACGGGCAATACTGTGACCGGTAGGAGCTATTGTAAAGTAAATGTATTTGACACAGAAACTCCTATGTCTAATCATGTGGTTGTGTTATGTCTGTTTGTTAGGTTTCATATCCATCTGTACAACCAGGACAGTTTGATCGGCTGTGTATTGCCCTATCATGAGACAAAGTTGTTTGTGAGAGTTATCCAGCTTCTGAAAATTAGTGACCCAACTCAAAGGTGGCATTGGCTGTATCCAATTCAGGTGAAGTAGCAAAAGATAAATATGTGTGATTATATTTCTAATACTGTTACAGTGGAACCTCTACTCATGACCACAATCCGTTCCGGAGGCCCATCCTTATGGTGAAACGGGTCTCTGGGAGAGGCGCCATTGTGCACAGGTGACAATTGCCCACTTCTGCACAGGTTTGAATGGCGATCGCCACTCCAGCGCAAACCTGCCAATTACTTCCGGGTTTGCCGTGGTTGCAACGTGGAACGTCTGTGAGTGGAGGCGGTTGTAAGTAGAGGTTCTACTGTATTATCCCTGGTCGTCTGCAGCATAACCTCATCAGTGGTTTTAACACTTGGAACTTCATGGGGAGCTCATACCTTTGTTTATCTGCCTTCTTTGCACATTGGCTGTGGGCCTGGTCAGAGTCGACTTACTAAATTGAATGGCTTGCTTTTTTGGCCCCATACTTACAGTTCCCTTTCTACTATGTTCATTTTTCTCTGTATGCCAGGGACTGGGAAGCTGTGGCCCTTCAGAGATTATTGGACTCCAAATCCCATCAAGCCTAGTCAGCATGGGCAATGGATGAAATATGATATCTGATATCCCAGCCAGCATGTTTGGTGGTCTGGGATTATGGGAGTTGTAGTCCAACAACACCCCTAGCGCCACTGATTCCTTATCTCTGCTGTATACTTTCACTGCTTTTTAAGTTTTGCTTTTTCCATATTGTTGACTATACCTTTCAATACATTAAACAGAATAAACCAGGATTTTTATTATGCCTGCTCAGTCTTCCACTGATTTACTTATTTGTCACTAGCCACTCAATTTCATGTATGTCTACAGGGAAGTGTAGGCTGCAATCTTGTACAAAATTACTAGAAAATAATTCCTACTGAATTGCATGGAGTAAACATCGTATTAATTTCTAATACATTTCCCCATCTTTCCTCCAAGGAGCTCAGAACAGCTTATATAATCACTCACCTTCCGCCCTGCCCCCCCCAATTTATAATCACAACAAACTTTTGTGGTAGTTTAGAATGAAAGTGATTGGTCCAGCAGCGCTGCTGGGAGTGCTGGGGCAATCCAGTCAAATGAGTGGCATATAAATAAAAAAATGGTTGTTGTTGTTGTTGTTGTTATAGGTTTGGCCACATGGCTGCACACATATAACTAGTGGCATGTTCACAAATACCATGGGCATCAGTGGTACATAGATTCATGTAACTAGATACAGGATTATTCTCTATGATGTAGAGTGCCTTGAATTTATGATAATGGGAACTACTTATTGTTTTCTATATTTTCTGTCTGAATTTTAATTAACAATTTTTTCTCTTTCTCTTCTGATCCTTTCTTTTTTGCCTCAATTGCAGAAACCAGGAGTCCCTCTTGCAAGGGGAACTTTGATCACACACTGCTACAAAGACCTGGGTTTCATGGATTTCATATGCAGTCTAGTGACAAAATCTTTAAAGGTTGGTGTACTGTTCCAGGGTAGTGTCAATTTGATGTTCTCCACATTTGTTTAAATACCACTTCAGTGAAACACTGAAAGGAAAGGAAAATTGTTTAGAAATTCTAAATAGCAGTTTTTGTGTTGCAGCCCACTTATGCTGGGCAGACCTGAACAATGGCTGCGTTTACCAAATATCACACTATAAAATTATTGGATCAATTTAGCTGATCCTTCATGATTTATTTATTTTTCTTCCAATGAAGGATATTTCCCTGGCAAATGCATTCTTTTAAATAGGGGTTTAGCATTCCTCAATGGGAAATAACTATTATCTTGTTAGGCAGTTGGAATTTCCTGGGGTCCATTTGCATGCTTATCAACTGGTGATCTGGTACATGTGCTTGAGGGTGGTGAGCTTCTCCCTGTTTGGAAGGAATCCCAGGGGTCATCTAGTCCACCCCCGGCAATGCCAGAATGTTGGCTAAAACACGTGTGACTTGTACAGGATCTCTGGTAAGTACGTGAGCTAGCCCAACCTTTCTCAATACGGTATGGAAAGCAAATGATGCCATACAAGTGTTGTTTTTGCCTTTGTTTTATCATTATCCTAAATACACTTCTCACTTCTCTCTCTAGGCCTTTTCACTGTACCCAGGGAACTTATCACAACTGAGAGTCCTGTTTACTTTTTATGCCTCTACAATTGTGTCTGCTCTTGGGGCTGCAGCAAGTATAACAGACTCTCTAGTTTCCAAGCTGCTTCCTTATATCCAAAAGGTACAGTTTTCCAGAAGTGATTAATTTTGCTTTTTCAATTTGCAGTTTTGGTTTGTGAGCATGTATTTTGCAGTAGATAAACAGAGACACCCTTTTTTTAACTAGCCGCATGTTGAATGTTGGCTTTGAAGGGAAAGCCTGTTGATGTTGTCATGGTTTCCAGATGCATCAGCATTATATGAAAATGATACTTAATAATTCTCAGTCTCTCACGTTCTCTCAGCTATTACTTTTTCCACCTGTATTTGAATTGTACAGTATTATATATTGGGGTGGGCGTGTTGTTATCACCTGAGAGCACAAGGCTGTTTATAATCCTCATCCCTGGTGTTTCCAGGTCACCAATGGGACTTCAGTGTTAAATCAATGTTGTAGCCAATGGTAGTGAGAAATTTTACTGTATTTATTGGCAATAGCCCAGTTCTGGGATTGCTTTTCAGAAGCAGGAGCTGCCTTGTTTGCGAAGTGGATATTATTTAATTTATGGAGTAAGGCATTAAAGTTTTTGTAGATGTGAGTCTTCCAAAATACTTTGTTAAATACTCCTCCCAGAGACCTGCCCTGTTTCTCTGTCAAATTGTCAAAAATATTTTCTCACCCTAGGGTTTGAAGTCGACCTTGGTGGATTACAGAGCAGCAACCTACATGATCATAAGCCAGTTGGCTGTGAAGATGACAATGGAAGTGTCTCTGGTTCGTTCCTTGGCGTTGCAAATCAGCAAGACTTTGACCAAAACGCCCTCTCTTATCAAAGAGGGTTTAGGCTGCCTCATCATCCTGCTACAGAGTCAGAAGGAGGAAGGGCTTGGGAAAAAGTAAGTTGAGCTCTCTGTTTCCAGGAGGCCCCAACATACAAGATGCACTGATCAAGTAGTTAAGAGGAGTGGCTAGAATAGCATTGCCCAGCTGGTAAGCAAAGTTGTAAGAATTGGCAAGAGCAGGACAGTCAAATGGGACTGCCTACCAGCAAGCGACCAGGCTGCTTGCATGCTGTTGCATATTTCCCAGGATTTTGCAAAGAAGCGTCAACTGCAAGCTGATCGGAGCAATCCAGTTTAACTGCTTGGCCTGAGTGAATGCTTCCTACCGTGTGCAGAAGAACAAGAGCAGCTAATTTCCTGGCTCTTCGAAGATAACCAGCTGCCCTGAGTCCACAGCTTAGTCACCTTAATAACAAATGACTGACAGATTAAACCTCTTCAAATTGTTAAGAGCTCACATGTGTTGATGGTTGCTTTTGGTGTTTTCTCTTTTGTGCAGGCCGTTTACCTATCTGTGTAATGTTCCCAATGTGATTGCCATCCTTCATGAAATTTCAGCAGCTCACGATGTCAGTCCAATTTTGCATTACCTCTTGCCACACCTAGTTCAATCGGTTATTTATGGAAAAACAGGTATGTCAATGGATTCCTGGCGATTGCTTTTGTGAATGAGGTATAGGAGCTCAGGTGTTTGATTTCCCCTTAGAAGCATAATTATTTTGGGGTCAGCCAGCCTCGCAGTGATGGCCAAACTTGGCCCTCCAGCTGTTTTGGGACTACAATTCCCATCATCCCTGACCACTGGTCCTGTTAGCTAGGGATGATGGGAGTTGTAGTCCCAAAAAAGCTGGAGGGCCAAGTTTGGCCATCACTGTGAAACAAGATATTTCTTACAGCGGCATAGAACCAACATAGGACAGAAAATACTACATTCTGCTGTACTGCAGAATTTTATTTGTGCTCCAATACAGTTTAAACATACGGAACTTTTCAATGTAAATGTATTGCTTTCTTAAAAAAAATTGTTATAATGTATTTATCCTATCTACCTTTTTCAGAAATGGAAGAGAAATCTGACTTGGTTGGTTATGAAACCTCCATAAAACATCTAGAAGCTATAGTTACAAGTATACCTTTAGAAAAAGATTTGGATCGTTTATTGGCCTGGTAAGCTAGCCTCTGTTGAGTGAGTTTGTTTCTTGTCCTTGGTGATCTGGAGAGCATCAGGTAGATTTTTACTCATTTTCATCTTGCAGTGTGACTTTCTAGAATATATCGGTTGCCTGTTCTAGACACAAGCAGAGATCCATAACTTGGAAAATGAAAACATATTCATATTTTAAGTTCCATTGCATTTATGTGAATAAAAGTAACTGTATAGTGCATTCAGGTTTGGCACTGAGAGAGAAAAGTCCTTTGCATGTAGGCTTGCTATTAAAACGAAGAAGCTCACAAGGGAAATAAAATCTAATTACTAGCTTTTGAAATGAATTGAGAACTGTCAAAATGTAAATGGCTTGTTTTATTTCTGTAAGGTGATAATTTATTCATTTTCTTACCACTTCAGTAAATTTCTGGAAGGGTATGTCTCGTATGGTGTAGAGAGTGACTCTGATCCTGGCAAAATGGCTGAGATGAATAAGCAGCTGCTTCCTCTAATCAGGCTTTTTGAAAGAAAGTAAGTGGAGAGAGATGTGTTACCTGTTAAAATCAATATGTCTGTTGTCAGTATTCTGGGGTCATAGGGCAGTGAAGGTCAATGTGCTCCCCTCCAGATGTTCTTGGACTTTACAACTCCCATCATCCCTAGCCAGTGTGGCCAACAGTCAGGAATGACTGGTCCAATATCTGGAGGGGGCACCAGACTGGTTGCTGCTGTCATGGGGCATGGAAAGTATACATGAGCCTTGAATTTGTAACCTAAATGTGTAGGTCCTTTACATTTTATGCCCTTGTGCACTCTTCCAAATGTTAGGGGGAGGTTCATTGCCCCAAATCTCTCCTCAAGAGGAAGGTTTTAGCTACCCTGTGCATAAGGCTTCAAGGTGGATGCAAAACAGTGTTCTTTTGGGAGAGGATTTAAAAGCCTGGGTGCAGCCACTGAGTACGTTCTAATGCTCTAAAAGTATCAGGGACTTAATAGCTTGATAGCAGATTAGTTTCTGATTTACAGTAAGCATCTCTTCGGTGTTTTAGATGTATATAACTTATTGCCCTAAATTAAGTGTTTAATACAGGATAATATATGGTCTCCAATGCACTCATTCCATTAGCACAAGGATTTTACCCATACACACATCCCACAGCATTCCCCAATTTGCTTTGGGTGACTGGGGGAACCCCTGGAGCAGAGGAGAGGGAGAGGAAGTTCTGTTGGTAGCCAAAAGTCCTTACGCTGAGGGATCAAGTTTGTTGAATACTGCTCGGTGTCTTTATAATACCTTGAAAATAATTTTTACCTTCCCTGAAACTCAGGGGAATAGACTGCCCTAAAATGCTCTCTGGAAAACATTTTCTTCTTCTTCTTCTGCCTCTGGCAGATATTCTGCAACACTAGATTTGGTACTGGAGGAATATCTGAAAGATGTTAGAAATCAGAAGGAGCAGGATCTCTTCCACCAGTTTATTTCTCTTTCCATGAGTGGTGGTAAATACCAGGTAAGTCAAAGATCCTCGAGATTTCTTCTTTTTAAATGTGTTTCCGTACCAGCATTATAATCAGTGAGTGTGGTAAAAAAAAATCCTTGTAAAATGAAAGATGACTGCATTGTTATGGCATCTTATCAGTATTGATGAAATCAAGGCATTTTCAGATTTATTATCAATAATATATACATTGCTAACACAGTGACCACTCAATCCTTTGTATGTCTACACAGAAGTAGATCCCATTGAGTTCAGTGGGCCTTACTTGTTGTTAAGTGGGTACAGGATTGCAGCTCAAGTAATCTTCATTTGTATCTCTAGTTTCTAGAAGATTCCGATACGTCTCTGCTGCTTAGCCTGAATCATCCGCAGCCAGCGGTCAGAGTTCTGGCTGTTCAGCAATTGAAAGAAATCATTCAAGCATCAAAGGTTTGTTTGCCTTTTGGGTCCCCCCCCCCCCTTTGTTGCACTTTTAAAAATTAGGATGTGAACTGATTTAGCAAGCAGTGTGCCGGTGGCAACAGAAAAATGTACCTTTACAGTAACCAAAGGTAAATTCCCAGTATTTATATCTCATTGACTCTTCATTTTATCTGTTAACATTAAGGGACAGTCAAATCTCTGTTTTCTTCATGTCAGTAAAAAGGTGAAACAGGCTTAATTGGATCCAGAGTGTCCATTTCACAAACAAAAGGGCTCTATTCCTTCACAGAAGGGACTATGATGCAAGGGGAGCTTGAGGAAATTCATAGAATCATAAAATTGTAGATGACCTGAAGGGTCATCTAGTCCAACCCCCTGCAATGCAGGAATCTCCATGACAGATGGCCATCCAATCTCTGCTTAAAAACCTCCAGTTCTGTGGGAGGCAATTTTCACTGATCTCTTTCTCCTGAAGCCACCTGTGCCACCTGTCCTACTGCTCCATATGGTTCCCCAACCCCTGAAGCAAATCTTCATGGCACTGCATTAGGAAGGAGGGGTCATTGACATTCATACTCCCATCCTACCTTCCTCTTCTGAGTGCAAGCCTAGAATCATAGAATCATAGAGTTGGAAGAGACCACAAGGGCCATCGAGTCCAACCCCCTGCCAAGTAGGAAACACCATCAGAGCACTCCTGACATATGGTTGTCAAGCCTCTGCTTAAAGACCTCCAAAGAAGGAGACTCCACCACACTCCTTGGCAGCAAATTCCACTGTCGAACAGCTCTTACTGTCAGGAAGTTCTTCCTAATGTTTAGGTGGAATCTTCTTTCTTGTAGTTTGGATCCATTGCTCCGTGTCCGCTTCTCTGGAGCAGCCTGGATCCAACCCATCATTGTCAACAACTACTGGGATGGGTGATTAGAACATAAGAAGCTGCTTTATGCTGTGTCAGACTATTGGTCCATCCAGCTCAGTATTGTCTATGCTGACTAGAAACAGCCCTCCCAGGTTTCAGGCAGCATCTTCTGAAGACATACCTGGAGATTTCAGGGATTGAACCTGCATGTTTGCAACCCACACTGCAGGTTGCGATTCGGCGCTTATGCGCAAAGCGTGATTTAGTGCTTCTGCGCATGCGCGACTGCCGAAACCCCGAAGTATCCGGTTCCGGTACTTCCGTGTTTCGGCGGTCCGTAACCTGAAAAAACACAACCTGAAGCAGCTGTAACCCAAGGTATGACTGTATAGCTCTTCCCCAATCAGACTTCTTCCTTCTTTTGTTATTGTTTTACAACATGCAAGCTACTTCCTAATTTAGCCTCTGAACATGAGCAGTCAACTGTTCTCTCACCACTCCTCCTGGGCCTAGTATTTTGGAGAGGAGCGGAGTTTCTACTATGCTTCACTCTTTCCGATTATTGTGTGTTGAGCATGATGTACAGTCAACGCTGTGAGGCTGATCATGGGAATACAGAAAAGCCTTCGGCTAATTATAGTTTGTGATTATGTCATTAGACACAGTCTGTTGCCATATGAATTCTACAACTGTGATTCTATAGACCATCTGTCTTGCAGCTTACTGTCATAAGTAATGTGTAATTATCTAAATAATATTGTGTCTGCTACTGAACTGGAATTGGCGTTTTACTAAAAGTATTAGTCCACGTCTTTTGAATGTAATTGAATTGTATGATGATTTCTCGCCCTTCCTCTCTTTTCAGGAAGGCTTTGACGACTCATTTATAGAAGAAGCAATTTTAGCACGACTTAAGGATGATAATCTAGATGTGATTATGTCATCTCTTGGTACATTGGAGGTAGGCCTTCATCTCTTCAAGGGCCCAGAAATTCTTGGTATTTATTATCATTTGTGATTGCCTGACTTACGATGGCATGCGTTTCTGGAAAAGCATTCTTTTTTCGGTATCGGCCATGCAGTAAGATAAACATACTAAAGTATGTTTGATAGTTCTCAGTTTCATCGCTTATTCTTAGGTTGCAGTCCTATCACAATGCATTTGAGAGCAAACGTAGACAGTTCTTACGCTCAGGAGTTAAAGTGTTTAGATAGTTATTCCAGGTTGTGGGTGTAGATATCCTCTTAACATGTTATGGCTTTGTTCACTTAGTTTTAGTGGAGACCAATGTTCTGTCTTGCCACTAAATTAAAATTCAAGAGATTTCCTTTTCTCTCCCTTGAAAGAGAGGAGTTTAATAACAATATTCACAGAGCAATCTAGAAATCCCAAGGTTTTTCTCTTCAAAAGCAATTTCCCATGAATATAAAATGCACTTCTTGAAAATATTTTTTAGTAAACCTGAAATTTTGCTTTAGACCTACACAATTGCTTCTAGTTTTTGTCCATACATATGTGGGGTTTTTTATACTGGTTCCTTTTTTTCTAGACCTGGTTGCTTAATTCAAAGACTTTTGATGAACAAATTGGCTTCAGTCTGTTGTGTCTTTTTGAAAGAGCTGACCTCTCAAAGGATGAAAAATGGTAAGTGTTCATTTTTACAGTTCCCTTCTGGATTCTTTAAAGGCAACCTTTGCTAAGGGTCTCTTCATACCTTCTCAGAATTTTAGTTATTTTACAAATTTCATTTAATTTCTTGTCTGGAGATCAGGTTATACAATACACTTTGCTGATTTAGTGGCATATTGTTACTTACTTTATTCTGGAATTATTGTGTATTGAAGGAATATGAATTAAGTGCTTCCCATCTGACAGAGACTTCTGCTGGCATTTGCTGATTTCCCCCTTTCCTCTGCAGCATCTTCTTCAGAGGGAAATTCCAGAATAGTGTGGCAGGTGGCACTGGGGAATTGACAAATATCTCATCCCCGTTTCTTCCACTGGATTGAAGCCAAGGATTCAGTTACTCAAAAAGAGGCAGTGGCAGGTTTCCTAGCAATAAACAAAGAGTTAAATATATAGCATCTTCCATGTCTTCAAGCATATAATGCAAGAAATTGGGATTTGTGTTTTAGAGCATAACGTTTCTCCAAACAATACAAAACTTGTGTTAATAAGCTCTGCTAGTAGATGCTCTTCAGCAATGCAGTCATCAGCTTCCATCATATTAAATAACATGCCAATATTAAAATATTTTAGGAAGGGGAACTGTGTTGCAAAACTTGCTTTTGGAGATGTGGTCTAAAAATACCCATTGTTCGTTCTTCCATGTGTGTGCCAGGTGCAAGATCCTGGAGACTGCAATACACCTTTTAATCAAAGAAGAGATTCTTAAAGAGAATAAAGAGCTCTTAAACCAATTAGTCCTAAAGGCGCTGCCATTTATAGTCATAACCAGCAGTGATTCTAACTCTGCCGAATGGAAAGTAGCACTTTGTGTGGCAGATTCTGGTCTTTGCTCCCTACATCCTTTGCTGAAAGGCTGGCCACAAGGTAAGCCGTTAAAAATAAAAAGATGGGTTCCTAAAATAAGTGACACAGGCTTTTTGGTAGCATTATTCACAGTGGTAGCATTATTCACAAGATAACAAACTTACATTTTTCTTTTAAAAATGCCCGAAAAATGTGGCTCAAAAAGAAGCAAGATGTTTTTGGTTTAGTTATTTTTTTATTGTTCAGAAACATTTTATCAGTAAAAACTTAGGTTGTAGTCAAACAAAATTTACAATAGCATTTTCTGCATTCAGGGCATATAAAATTTTATTTTTAAAGTGTGCATGATACAAAGAAGAAAGGCTTTGGCAACATGGAATAACTTCCTACAGTAAGAAAAAGGCAGGGATAAATGTACAGTTGATATGACGTTAGAAAAACATCAATGACATTGCATTTTTGAACATGAAGTGAAGAAGACTATGCTGAAGGCAAAGGTTTTGCAGAATTTAGGCAGTCTGCCATTGTCTTTAAACATACTGGATTTGATGTTGTGTCTGATATATTAATGCTATTTTTTGCTTTTTGGTGAAATAGCTTTCAAAAAGGTGGTTAAAGTTTCTAAGTCAGAAGACGTGATAGGTGCATCTAATGCAAAACTGATCAGCCTCTTGTCAGAGAACCTAAATTCAGAGGATTCTTCCTTCACTTTACAAATGGTATGTTTGTAATTGACAATATTCTTTCAAATAAAAAGCTGTTATTTAAGTTGTATGACCAGTAGATATAAAAGATGCTTGATCACAGGCATTATCACAATAAAGCAACTCATAGATTGGGAAGATGCAAACTGTAGTTATTGAAACCCAGATTGAATGATGGACACGGAATACTTACTTTGCACAATTTGCACTGCCTCACATTGAAGGAAATATGCAGAACAAGCATATGCGAAGCTCCCTTGAGCAAAATTATTGTCCCTGATATGGTCTGCTCTGAACAGCAGCAACACCCCATGGTCCCTCGGGCCATTTATTTATTTTAAAAAATTATACCACCTCCTATTTTAAAAGCTCTAAGCAGTTTCTATAAAAATGAACGCAACAAAAATCCAACAAAGTTCAGTAACATTTCCTTAAAAAAGCAAAATGCCAGTTGTATCTCACAAATAAAATTGAGCAGTGTACAAAGACATGTTAAAAATTAAGAGTTACATTCCAGGGAAACTTGTGTAAACAGATACCTTTTTAAGAGGGCTTTAAAGACTTATCACTGTTTGCCTCATGAATTACCGAAGAGAGAATGTTCTGGAGACTGGTTACTAATGATATGAGTGATGGCCACCAACTTGGAGGACTTCAAAAGAGAATTAGACAAATTCATGGAGGGGAAAGGATACTAGCCATCATGGCCGTGCTCTGCGTCCGTAGTCAGAGACAGTAACACTTCTGAGCACCAGTAGCTGAGAACCTCAAGAGAGGAGAGTGTTTAGGTCCTGCTTGCCACAGGCATCTGTGAGAACAGGATGCCGGGACACTGGCCTGATCCAGCAGGCTATTCTTTATGCTCTTAAAACACCTTCCCATCTGTAGCTCATTTTATATGTTAAAACCAGGTTCTGTATATGGCATGTGGATAGGGGAAATACACAGAGAAGCCAAAACGCAGATATTGGCCAACCTTCTTTCTAAAGAACTACAGTGGTACCTCGGGTTACATACGCTTCAGGTTACAGACTCCGCTAACTCAGAAATAGTACCTCGGGTTAAGAACTTTGCTTCAGGATGAGAACAGAAATCGTGCTCCAGCGGCACGGCAGCAGCGGGAGGCCCCATTAGCTAAAGTGGTGCTTCAGGTTAAGAACAGTTTCAGGTTAAGAACGGACCTCTGGAACAAATTAAGTACGTAACCAGAGGTACCACTGTAATGTTACAAAATATATATATATATGTAAAAGAAAATTTACCTGTGTTTTCATTCCCTTTCAAGGTGGAAGGTCTCATCAGTATTGCTGAGGAGTCTCATTCAGGGCTACAGAAGATAACCGCTCACATTATCAGCTCTGTTCTTGTCCAGTCCTGCTGCAGTAGATCGCAAGCAGAAGAGTGTCGTTTGCCACTGGCTTTGAAGGTCTTCTATCTTTTGAGGAGAAAAGTACAAAAATTTGAAGACACTTACCATGCGGAGGTGAGGACTCCTGAGTTTGTAAGCTTGACTGAAAGAAACTGAGAATTAGGCAGGAAACAGAAGGGATGTTTGTTCTGTGGTAGATACTTCTAAAATCTGTTGCATAGTAGTAGGCAGCTGCATTAAGACTTACCTGTATCACTTCAGCTTTCAATGAGAAGTGTTTTTGCTTTCTTTCCAGTACAGCTCTAAACTTGCACTGGTGTATGGTTACAATGCTTAAAACTAATCTAAAACAACCTTGTTTTGGCAAGGTGCTCCTTGGGCAGTGCGAAGGAAGACCTGTGCCTAGCAAAAAGGGGAAGGGGAAATTGTAGGCTAGAGGAGCATACCGAGGTCCTTTCCTGAAAGTCAGATGTTTGCATCTTCAGGGAGAGAAGCACACAGTGGAATTGGAAACATGCATTCTTAAGTTTTTAGGATAATTAACTCAAGGTTTATTTTGAATAGCAACATTCATTTGGGGCTTCTGAATTTAAAGACAGGTGTTTCTGGTATGCATTGCTCTTTAAAAAAAAATGAAGGCAGAGGGAGTACCGCTACATATAAAGAGCGATGTTTTCATTTTCAGGCATTTCTCTGCGATTTCACATCTCACAGTGACCTGCTCTTAGAGGCATTAACAACATATATACAAAAGTTAAATGCTGGAGAAGCTGTGGCTGTAGAAGATTCTGTCTTGCTCGTCGTTTGGCTCAGAAGCTTTATTCAAGGCCTGCTGCCTCCAGATTCCTTTTCGAAAGGTGACTTTTTGGTTGCAAAATGATACTTTTAAAAAAGTCCTGTTGTAATTGCTATGCTCACTGCATCACTGCACATCGTTTTCTAAAGAATGTGGATCGTGGAATGGTGACCAGTGCTAGATTTATGGCCTGCAGAAGGCCTTGTTCTGTTCTGATCAGTCTTTGCTCCCTTTTTCTGTGCATTCATACAGATGAGTTGTGGTGGAACCCTGAAACTTTAAGTGAAGCGAGCAAAAACTACTTACACCTGCTGTTGGAGCTCTTTGACATTCTGGTCCGTGGAGCCAGTGAGGGAATCTATGCTGATCATTTTCGTGCAATGATGAAACTTCTGTTTCAGGTACCTTGTCCCTTCCTCCACCACCCACACCCTCCCAGCCGATTTAAATCCATATATCTTAGAACTTTTTTTCTGGTTTTTAGTCTAATTCATGCACTTCCAATACATTTATTTAAAATACAGTGGTACCTCAGGTTACATACGCTTCAGGTTACAGACTCCGCTAACCCAGAAATAGTACCTCAGGTTAAGAGTTTTGCTTCAGGATGAGAACAGAAATTGTGCTCTGGCGGCACGGCAGCAGCAGGAGGCCCCATTAGCTAAAGTGGTGCTTCAGGTTAAGAACAGTTTCAGGTTAAGAACGGACTTCCGGAACGAATTAGGTACTTAACCCAAGGTACCACTGTACTCATTTGGTCGAAGTTTTGCTGTAAGTTAGTTCCAGTAAAATGAAATGTAGGCGTTCGCCCTGTCAAAACCAGAAGAAAGCAACAAACGACTGATGGGTTTGTGTGTGCGCACACACACCTGCGCACATTCAGGACTTTCCTTTTTTAATTTGAAGGTACATTTGAAAAGTCCAGAGCATGAATTCAGATTCCTCTCAGTCTTATGGACGTACAGTTACAACCTTTCAAATCAGCTGAACGTTGTGATGGATGCCGTGCAACAGACTCGGGCTTTGTACATCGGGCACGCCATGCTTGCATCGCAGTCTGTGCAGAGGAAAAGACAACTGACACCAGCAAACTCCCCAGGTACTGCGCACTGGTCTTTTTGTCATATTTTGCAAGATTTCCTCACCCGTTAGGTAGGTGATTTAGGGGGGCAAACATGGCGCATAGAAACAGAGGGAACCTGGAAGGTGGGCATAGACAAGGAGATGTAAATTAGTCTGTGGAGGGCAATTATCTGCAAGGACCTTCATGCAAACCTAGCCTGTGCACTTAATTCAGTAAATGTGCTGAAATCCTGAACAAAGGCACCACCCTTGTGTTACTTGCCTATTTATTTACAACTGTTCATCAGGATTCTCACAGAAAGATGGGGGTAGAATGTTTCTGAAATGCAGCAATTGGCTAGATAAATCAGATTTCTAATGGAAAGTTTGTTAGCAAGTTATTGTTGTTGTTGTTGTTTTAACAATTGTTAACCATCATTTTTTTAACTGTTTCCTTTTCTCCCTTTCCAGTGGTCATAGCTTTGCTGATCAATTTGGGAAGTCCTGTGAGAGAAGTACGAAGAGCTGCTGTAAACTGCCTTCATTCCTTAAGTGGAATAAAAGAATCTGTATTTCATCAAATCATTCATAATTTAGTGCAGAAAGCTGAGGAGATAATATCTGACCAAAATTACATAATCCAGGTAAGCCTCGGTGGCAAAATACTGTGTTACCTGTTTTGAATCGGACATTCACCATACTTGTTTGTCTCCCAGTGATTCTGGCACTGGATGATATTACCATCTTCAGGAGACAAGTTTTTCAAGAAAACTTCGGACAAGGGTTTGACTAGGAGGCACCACCCAACTTCCTCTCTAAAGCCATCCTTTTTCCTGCGTTGGTTAGAGAAGGTTATAGATGACAGTAGCCACATTTGAATGATTAAATAAGATGAGATGTGTGAGGTTTTTTGCATCCACATTTGGGCCTCTTGCTTCTGCTATGAGAGTCAAGCCAGGAAGCTGCAGCTAGCCATAGGTGACAGTTGCATCCAAAATAGGAAACTACGGTTATTGGCTTTCAAACAGCTAGAATAAGAAGTGATGATTTAAAGTTGGCTTCCACTTTGTGCTTAAGAAGTGGAAACAATGGTTAACAGGAGCTTCCTCACATGAAGGGAGGAGTGAAGTGGGAGTAAAGGGATTGCATTGAGGGTTCATAAAGATGGTACATGTCTCAGCTTATTAAGCTAAGATTTGATTGTCCAAGTAATGTGAGTAGTGTCTGACTTTCTCATTGGGGAGTTTAATGCTTTTATCCAGCATTCCTACAGAGGCACTGGTCTCTGAGCCCCCAATGAGCTCCATCTAGTTGCTGACCCAGATCAGCTCACTGGTATCCTGAGGAACTGAGGATGGTGAAATGGCAAAGTAGGCATCTAGGGTGCAGATGGCAGAAAACACGTAATGACTCACTGAACGCTGGTGTGAGCCCATTTGCAGTCTTACTCTGTGGCAGCATTGTCAGCTGCAACAATATACTTCTTTATCACCATTCCATCTGCTCAGTAGCATCTGATGGTGAAGGGGTCTTGGGAAAAGTGTTTCCCGGTCTCAAACATTCCAATTTGGGGCAAGGGGGTGGTGTCCAGACTACTCAGAACTATGTTGGATAATACTGATTATACAGCTATTGTGCTGAATAGTTCCTGAATGCCTTCCTCCCCTTTTGTTTTATAATTTAGTGCCTTCATAATTTGTTTGAAGTACAACAAACTCAACACAAGCAAAAGACGCAGCAGCAGAAGTTGTCAGGAGCACTGGAAGCATTACTTAAGTGTGTGCAAACCACCAAATGTCCTTCATACGTTGCAAGGAACCTGATGAAAATTCTTCTTGAAGTCAACGGCCAGGTGTGTGGAACGCATTATGTCAAGCGTTTGAAAATGTGCTTGCCCATCTGGAAGCATTTTGTTGTGGAGTGGAACCTTGCTGTTCCTAAACTAAATCATGATTTAGATTATTTTGTTCCACAAAATGTGGAATGTGCACATTTCAGCTACACGTGCATATTTCAGCTACAGTCAAACCAAATGGCTCCATTTTCAAACATTTCAGCTCCCTAACGCAGAAACCCCAGAAATAAATGCTCCAGTTTTCGAATGCTTTTCGGGAGCCGAATGTCCAGCACGGCTTCCGCTTGAGTGCAGGAAGCTCTTGCAACCAATCGGAAGCTGCACCTCGGTTGTCAAACGTTTTGGGAACTGAACTGCCTTCCAGAACGGATTGTGTTCAACAACCAGGGTTTGACTGTAAATGCAAATTTTGCATTCTAAACTAAGATGTAGAAATATGGGGGCGGGGAGCTAAGATTTGTTCTGTCTGTTCCTGCAAATGCTGTATTACTACCTCAAATCACTGTGTGGTAAACTGTGATGCTCCTTTGGAGGTGCCCTTTACATTGCAAATTAAAATCCAAAGTATGGAAATTTGGGTGGGTGGGTGTGCTTCTAATTTTTCCATCAGTTTGCCAAATATGCCAAACTGAAGCATATGTAGCAAGGGAATAACACATGTGTAACTTCTTTGGGATCAGCCAACCTTGACCCTCTTCTGAACTTTTCTCTTAGGAGTCTACATCTGGGGTCACCAGCATGGCACCCCTGGACCCATATGTGAACTCAGAGACTTCTCTTACACCCACAGGGTCCTCTCCACCTGCTGAAATAAGCCTTGAAAGAAACATTCTTTTGAGTGGGGTGGGTGAAAAGGTGTCTATGGCAGTTTCTTCATTTTGAAGATGTTTCCATGGGCTCAAAAGGGTTGATGACCCATAAATATTTTGCCTTCGGGTACTTCTGTTGCACGACTCTATGCCCTTCGAATGTAAAATATATATTTCTGAATGCTTGTTAAAGAGAGAGTTGATCTTGAACACCTTTTCTGCTTTCAGGTGGTGCTTTCTCACCTGCTGCCTGTCCTGGATCGATTATTGGAGAAAGCTCTTAAGGGATCGGAGGGGATGTTAAAAGATGAAGCTCTTCTTCTGCATCTCATCCTTGGGAAGTACAATGAGCATTCGGCTGCCCTCCTTTGCACAAATCAGCGCTGTCTGGATTTGTTCATCAAAGCTCTGCACGTCTCACAGGAAGTCTACAAAGGATTGACTTTCCAGATTAGAGCTCTTGGGCAGGTGAGAGAGGGACCGATTGAGAGTCCCCGTAGTTCTTCCCAGTGGAATTCAGTATGTTGAACCTTTAAAAATGGGAGAGTCCTCTTCACCCGCCCCCATTTATCAACAAAAGGTACCCACATCTCTAAAGTGGGAATAGCACTGATCCTTTTCTTTCAGGATGTGAGCAAAATGCATACAAAGGAATGTTTTTACACAGATTCTGCTCTTTTTGTCATTTCTAGATTACAAAACCATTCTTTGCCGCATTGCCAGATGGGAAGGTTCAACAAAAGATATTGGGAGTTTTGTTTGATTTACTGCTAAATTGCAAAAATCCACTTTGTGCACAGACAATCGGCAGTGTTTTTAAAGGGGTAAGGTGGTCTTAATCTCTTGGGATGATGAGAGTATCCTCTTGCTATTTGGAATTAGTCTATATACAATCATGATAGGATGATTGTGTTTACACTGTATAAATTGCATATTGCATTGCTCTCAACTTGGTGCTTCATGAAAACTAACTAATACATGAGTGCTAAATTATGAGATTAAAAGCATGGAACAGTTATTAGAACGATAGTCCAGAAATAGTCTTGCATATTTGAGTGTGTGCATATGTGTCATTGTAAAGCAAGAAATAATATTGCGGGGAAGTTTTTCATAGCAGTTTCTCTTTTCAAAGCAAATAAATATAAATGTATTTAACAAAGTTGCTGTTTCTATATAAGTATGGAGTTCTTTGGTTGTCTTTGACTTGTGCTCAAAGAGCAAATCTTTTTTCCTTTTTTATTTTAAAAAAACATGCTTTTAACTAATTTTCAAAAAGAACATAAAAATATATAGTGCCTTCCTCCCTGCCTCCCTTCCCCAAAATGCAAAGTCTTACAGGGGAACATTATTCTAAAGTTGTAAGTGTGAGTCCAGTGGATGCCACTGTACTTTGTGTTCTGTTGAGTATGTGATGAAGGGATACCATGTCTCTATAAAATCATCCAAATATTTCTTTCTTGTATAATGTTTAGATTTCAGTTGATGCTGAGCAAGTTAGTGTGGAATTGGAACCTTTACCGAAAACTAAGAATGTGGCTACTGTTCACCAGACAAGAAGGCAGAAGATGCAGCAGCAGAGGTACAAGGCAATAGAACTCGAAAAAGCCATTTGCAAATCTGTGTGCATTCATGAATTAACATGATTAATATTAAGAATAATTTATTAATCACCTTCTACACAGTTATCTCAAGGCAGTGTGCGATACAAGCAGCAAAAAACAGCTAAACTAAAATAAAATAGACAGGCATGGCAATGATCCATTTATCTAGCAAGGAAAGCCCACTGGAACAAAAACGTCTTCTCTTGTTTCTGGAAACAGGCAGTAGGTGCCTCCCGAATCTCAGCAGGATTGGAGACATTGGGCCAAGATTGATGGAGATCCTACTCATTGAGGTGGTCCTTGCATTGATTCTGAGGCTGCTCTGAAAAACAGCACATATATTCAGGGATATCTGTGCAGCCAGTCGGAAGCCACGCTTTAGTTTCCAAACGTTTTGGAAGTCAAATGGACTTCCAGAACGCATTCTGTTTGAGAATCAAGTAACAACTGTACAATTAACTGGAAATATTGTCCAGTTGCCTTTCTTCCCATTTGTGACCCATCTACTTTTTGAGATTATTGACATTGCTCACTGTAGTGTCCCCAACCTAATAGGACTGATTAACAATTTTTAGATACTGTGAACACTTTTGTATCATGCAGGCATCCAGTCCAGTCTCGACTACAAAGAAATTTCGCTTTGGTGTGCTAGTTCTTCATAGACCATTATTTTATTTTATATGGGTTTTTATTCAGATAAACAGTTTCTTTTAGAATTGATGGGCTAAGCTTCTATAAATGGAATTAAATCTCTTCTTTTTCTCCATCCTTCAGAAAAGTTCAGGACCAGGAATGTGGACAAGAAGAAAGCAGTATGAACTGGCACAGAGTCACGCTTATCCTGGAATTGCTGCAACACAAGAAGAAGCTCAAACACCCACAAGCACTGATACCTACTCTCTTCAGCTTGCTGGCTAGGTAATGATTTTTACTTTAGAGGGTGGCAGAACCATAATGGGGGACCATCCAGCCCTTACATGTGAGGGCCTCATAGCACCAGAGTGTCCCTGTGGAGACTGGTCAGAAAAATAAAGGGACCTGATGGAGATTCTCTACTTTGCCCCCTGTCATGGATGTGTCCCAAACCAGTATATATGTACCTGGTGACTCAACAGTTGCCAAATAGCCACCTTCTGATCGCTACCCTGCGAAGACTGTTGTTCTCCAGCATTGCTTTTTAACTGCCTTTCTGAATTACCAGATGCCTGGAACCTTCCGCAGAACATGAAAATCTGGAATACACAAAGCAGCTAGTACTTGGTGGTCTGTTGAACATTTGTCAGAAACTGTCCCCAGATGGTACCAGGATAAAAGCAGGTAAAGAAAAAAGACGTTTAGTTTTGGATCCCATGTATGTAAGCTTGCCCCAGGCTTTATATACACTTACTCCTTTAAAAAATAAAAAAGGTGGTTAGTACGAAAACATCATATATTGGCATGTGAATATAAGTTTAACAAGGCTTGTTTCTAATATTGAATTAAGCCTGGCTGTGCTTTCAGTCTTTGCTTTGCTTTTCGAGGTATCCTTGATGAAGAGAAGTTCAATGTCGAGCTGGTAGTCCAGTGCATCCGGGTTTCAGAGATGCCTCAGACCCATCACCATGCTTTGCTCTTGCTGGGTGCAGCTGCAGGAATGTTTCCTGTGAGTACAGGCTCTGCCTTTTTCCTCCTCCTTCTCATGGCTGTTATCAGGGAATGGAATTGAAATTGGTTTCTAAGAAGAAGCAAGACTCACCCCTCCACTCCTTTTTTTTTTTTTTTTTTTAAAGATAATCTTCTGGTGTTCCTCTGTGCATTGATTCTAAATCTTATCTCTTTCCTGAGCCATTCCTATGCTTGAAACAGCTTCCCATTTTTGCTTTTCAAGTTGCCTCCTTCAAATCTGATGTCATTGTCACAGCCTTCTTTGGACCACTCTGACCTCCCCAAACCTCACTCTCCTCCACCCCCGTACTCCATCAATCCCTGAATTCTCCCAGAATTCCCATTGTTTTTGTTTCTGGACACAGACTTGTCACTTCTCTGTTCTGAATGGCACTTGCCTCTTAATGATGCAGTGTTGAAGAGCTACTTTTGCTTTCTTCTGCTTCATAAGAAATGCTGTTCTCCTCTCACAGCAGCAAGAAACTCAGCAAGCCTTGTATTGGTAGCTGGGAGGGCCCATCTCTATGCCACATATTTCTGTGTTTACCCAGCAGCACCTATGGTGTTTTTTTAAAAAAAGAAATACAGAGACTTTTGCTGCCAAGATAGGTTCACTCTCTTGCTATGGGGTTAGAGTGTGAATGTGCAAATGTAGGAAAAGATAGCCAGTTCTCATAAAGCCATTTGGAACCACTCACTTAAGTTCTCAGTAGAAAGGAAGGCGTAATGGGTCATGAGAAGGGGTTTATTTCCTTCATGAGCATAAATCACCCCATGGATGAGCTAATCGCAGGTGCAAGGTCAGTCAGTCTTGTTGCTATGGTAAATAGCCTAGTGCCCTGACTATATCTGTGATTAATGTATGTCTGTTCAGTAGTGTTTGTTGCTGTGGGATGGAGTCTGTTTCTTGTTATGTCTTGAGTTGCTGGGGTTTATTTGGAGCAACTGATACTTTGTACTTGTATATATCTGCATCTGTGAAAGCCCACAAACTGTATATGGCTACGTCCATAACTGGCTTACTTAGCCTTATCTTCCGCAAGAGTAAACTATCCAAACCTTTCTCTCCTTTCATGTGGTGACTGGTACCAGGAGCAACTTCCACTGCGTGTCTCTCTTACCTAAGGTTCCCACCATTTTTAACTACAAAACAAAAGTGCATTGCAGGATTGAATACTTGAAAAAAACACCCCACAAATTCTAATGTGTTGTGTGAGTGACTGATTTCTCTTCTCCAGGGTAAAGTGCTGCACAACATCATGCCCATTTTCACCTTCATGGGGGCAAATGTCATGCGACTGGATGATGCTTACAGTTTCCAAGTGATTAATAAGACAGTGAAGATGGTCATTCCTGCTCTTATACAGGTGAGCTAATTCAATCTGGGAATGGGTCACTGAAATACCTTAAGAAAGCCCTTGCTGGCTAACTTTCCATTAAAAATAATTTAGTTCGGTTTTCCATACTTGATATAGAACCCCCCAACCCATTTTCGATAGAAACAGTAAAAAAAGTATGGTGCTGAATGTACTTTTAGTGTTTATGTTTTCTATGGTAGTCAACCCAGAATAAAATTTTACATGGTATAATTATTGTACATGGTACAAGAATGGAGGAACTGTGCAGCCAGAGGGTAGATTATTCTTGATAAAAAGGATAGTGGTGGTTAAATAGCACAGGGCAAGTAACTTCAGGAAAACAATACATTGCAGTGTTCATATTACAACTTTCTTTCCAGTCATTCACTCTTTATGTCTTTAAGTGGCTACCTAGTCTAACCTAATCCAAACATCTTGCAAAAGTAGAACTCAAAAAACAACTGTTACTAGAAAACCATCTTCTGGCTTGAAATTGTACTGAGCCTTATGCCCTGCAAGTCCTCTCTGAAGGTTCTGTATTTTCCCAGTGCAAGATAAACATTAGGGGAAGTCAATGCGGTGCCCTCTGGGTGTTGTGAGTGGTCAGGGATGATGGGAATTGTAGTCCAACTGATCTGGAGTGCAAGACCAAGTTGGCTATGCCTGTACAGTCAAGTGAGTGCACCTGGGTATTCAACAAGTTATACTGTTCTCTTGAGTCCTGGATCAGGCCTGACTTCCCTTCTCCTACTGTCTTCTTGCCTCCAGGACTCACCATTAGCACATACAAGCGCACCGATGCCTTTTTAAAATGGATAATTCCCTCTCCAGGTCTTTTTGAACATGATGAAGTCTTCCTGCTGCAATTGCAACTTGGGGTTTTCCTTTGTGTTTGGGGAAGGCCTGTTTTTCTATGGCCTACAGCAAAATGCTGTTCAGGTTGCAGTTTGTACGTACAACATATTAATTCTTTAAATGTTTCCTTCGTAGGCCGAGGAGGATGGAGGTTCTTCAGAAACTCCAGGGAATGTGGAAGGGGTAGTGGTTAAAATAATCCGCGTGTTTGTGGATGCTTTGCCTCACGTTCCTGAGCATCGGCGTCTCCCAATCCTAGAGCAGCTAATAAGCACTTTGGGAGGGGAGCGGTTTCTCTGGATTCTTCTCGTATTGTTGTTCGAACAGCATGTGACAAAATCTGTGGCTGCAGTAGCCAACGGAGAGAAGGTAAGAGGTGTCTTCTGTTGCATATTCTTTGTTTAAAACCTTGATCGTCTGAAGGGGCGGTACTGGTGGCCCCTTTTGCCGAGCCTTTAGTGTGACAGTTTCTTCCCTGTGGAACTCCTTGCCAGTAGAAATTTGGCAGCAGGTCAGCCCTGATTTCTTTTAGACATTGTGTAATTCCGCTGTTCAGAACAGGCCTTCAGAACTTAGGGAAAAAATTATCAGCCAATTTTGTTGATGTGCCATTGATGCTTTTGCTGATATGATTATTGTAGAAGGGTTATGTTTTTGTGTCATATATACTGTGTGGGTTTTTTAGTGAAAGTGTGGTGTGGGTGGCTAATTCCTTTTTTGAAATAATGCAAGTTTCTCCCTTACTAATCATCTCCTACCCAAAATCTTCTTACTTATACAGGACGCTGTTTTGGAGACTGATACAGAATTCTGGATTTCCGTATGCTGCGAATTTAGCGTAATCCAACAGTTACAGAGTTTGATGAAAGTCCTGGGCTATTTAACAAAGCTGCCAGAGAACAAAGAAGGTAATTGCGGGGGGGGGGGCACCTTCCACGCCTCTTGCCTAAATACAATCCAGTTGGGCAGAACCATTGGATTGAAACCAGATGCAAGTATTCCTACTGACACTGTTCGTAATCATAAACTCACAGCGCAATCCTATGGAGTGGTGAGATTGACTCTGTCGTCCACCACATCCAAAGCCCTGTCTGCTCATACTGCCGCCAGCACCCTGTACTTTACAAAGAACCCTCACCATCCCAATGTGCACCAAGATAAGTTAAGCAAATAAAACATACGTACCTCAGAATTAATTCATATTACATATTAATTTTCAGAATTAATTCATATTACAAAACAGCTTTTCAAGTTGCGCATCTTTCCCCCCCAAAAGTGTAAGACTCTATGCCCTTCCTCCTATTGAGATATTTTAATCTAGAGTTTATAGGGATGTTAAAACTCATTTTCTTGTCTTGGAAAATCAATGCTATTTGCTGGATACTTTCACAGAGGACCCTGGGCAAAAGAAATCGAGGCCCCCCAAGAAAAAACCACAGAGGCAGGAAACGGAGCTCTTTGATGTGGAGTCTCACTCTGGCAAACAGCTGAGGCACTTCAAATTCCTGTCCATCTCCTTCATGTCACAGCTCCTGGCTTCACACAGTTTTGTGAAAATGGTAAGGCACGCAGATCTTTCGAAGGGCTTTCTGTGGTTCCTTTTCCAGTTGTGGATTTGCATGTAATCAATATCATTTTCTGTGAAACTCACAGAAATGTTTTTCCCCTCTTGACTGCAGCTTCAAGTTTGCTGTTAGGAACTGGAAGTGTACCTTGAACATTGTGCACAAAATAAATTCAGTAGTTATGCCTTACTTGCCTGTAAGCAAGGACTGCCAACCTAGCAGTTCGAAAGCACGTCAAAGTGCAAGTAGATAAATAGGTACCGCTCCGGCGGGAAGGTAAACGGCGTTTCCGTGCGCTGCTCTGGTTTGCCAGAAGCGGCTTAGTCATGCTGGCCCCATGACCCGGAAGCTCTACGCCGGCTCCCTCGGCCAGTAAAGCGAGAGGAGTGCCGCAACTCCAGAGTCGGCCACGACTGGACCTAATGGTCAGAGGTACCTTTACCTTTACCTAAGGACTGCTTACATAAAGAGAAAACTACAATAATAGGGGGGTTTCTGGCTGGGTGTCTTGGGAAGGGAGGTCAGGAACCCAAGCAAGGCACATACAGAGGGGAAGAATTCAATGTAGCACTATGGCAGTTGTTCCATTGCATTTCAGCTTGCTAGATGAAACAATCCCCCTTCTTCCCCCCGCTCCCAAGCTGTCTGGAGGTTCTGCCGACACACCCTGACCAATCTGGGGAGCATGCAGAGAGGAGACATCCTTGCACAGGTTTCTGCTAGCAGGACTTATTCATTGATTCTGGCCCACTGGTCTTCCCCTCTGATTTTATATTGTGAAATAGCTCAAAGGGAACCTCATTATAATGGCTTACGCAGCAGATCTGTTTTATTTCCACTAGCATGTTGATAATTTTCCTCCCTTCTTTATCACCTAGGTGGTTGAATGTGAAGACGCTGAGGAGTTAAAGGTCTTTGAGCAAAGGTACATTTTGTTTTCCCTTTGGGTGCAAATATAAAACAGATGTATAAAAGTAGGCAACTCTTAAGTGAGTTTTTGACTGTGATACAGTTAACATTACTATCTCTAGGCCTCCTCCTTTTCCAGGCCCATATATGCATCTACTAAATGACCTGAAACTGTAGTTGGTTGGGTAATGGAACATGGAATGAATCTTGTGCCACAGTTAGGAGAAGAATAAATATGGAAATTTTATTTTTAATGTTGTGTAATGAGTACATTTTAAAAAACTGTTTGCATGGTGTTCAACTTTTTCTCTTTGGCCATGAAGGACTGGAAGCTTAAAAAAAAAAGCTGTGATTGTCCTTTGGTTTTCATAGTATATATAATTAACCACCATAATTCAGTTCTGCTGCCTTTCTCCTATAAGGGGAGCTGAAACAGCAAAAGCCCCAGCTGAATTTCCTTCATCCAAATGGAGAGATTGCATTTGCTCATGGTGGTCATTATTGTTGTTTATCCAGATTGTTGGAAGAAGTTCTTTGCTACATCAATGCTGTGGCACAATCAGTGGAAAAAAATGCCGACACGCAAACAGCAAAATTCTGGAGGGCTCTGCTCAATAAGTCCTATGATGTACTGGATAAGGTAAGTTTCTTTGGTTGACGGTGATGCTGTTGTGAGCTGTCATGCAAACCAAGCAAACATCATCACACTGCGTGCCTATCTGATTCATCTATTGATCTCAGGGGGCTGGTTCTTCAACACTTAAAAAGTAAGGAGGAACCCTGTTTTTCCTAGTTTTTTTCCATAATGAAAGCAGTCCCGACACCTGTGGGAACTTCCCTTTTTTGGGCATGGTACATTTCACTGCTACTTCCTTTCCAGGTCAATGCCTTGATGCCAACGGAAACCTTCATCCCCGTCATCCAAGGCCTAATGGCCAACCCGCTGCCTTCTGTGAGACGTAAAGCCATGGACCTCTTGAACAATAAGCTGCAACAACGCACACAGTGGCAGCAATCACAAGTAACCCCCATTCTTCTCACTGATTCTTTTCCCTCTTACCATGGGAATTTGCTGTCTCAAATAACCAAATCCCTTCCCTACCCATGTGCTTTTAAAAATGGCACAAAGGGGAAGAGGGTCAAGGATTCTGAGAAAAGCATTTCACGGGCCTTGTAAGGGAAAGAAAATACGTCCATGTATAGCGTGACTTTGTGTTTGGCTTTGAAAATGGGATGTTTACATTGCCAGTCCACCCTTTATTTGTGCCTTTGGAGCAATGATACCTTACTTGGCACTGAAATCCTAGTCAATATTGATTTGCCTGCCTAATTCTGTTTTTCAGGTGGAGTTGCTGTTAGAATTGGTTCCCCATCTCCTCACAGTTGTGCGGCATGATACAAGTGAGGCCAGCGGGGAGCCAGAGCAGGCGATCAACAGGCAGACGGCGTTGTTCAGCCTGAAGCTGCTGTGCAAATGTTTCGGCCCAGAAAGGCACGAGCCATTTGTGCCTGTGCTGAAAACCGCCATCGATGTGATTTCTTCAGAAAGGAAAGAAAGAAACCTTGCAGGAAGTGCTTTGCTCTGCGCAGCTGAGGTCACCTGTGTGCTTAAAGCACAGGCCATACCTCACCTACCAAGGTAGCACTTTGAACTTGTACAGTAAATAATGCATCTAGCGTTTATGTAGGACTTTAGAATATTCAAAGCATATTATGTCCATTGTTTCATTAATATTTGAAGGAGCTCTGCAAGGTAGGCCATGGAATTTTATGCTCATATTGCAGATACTTGAGCTTAAAAGCTGAGAATAATGACAGATAGGGATGACTGAAGCACAATTTGACTTGGGGACAAAATTTAGTAACTACAGTCTGTCAACATCTGGGAACCCAAAGTTGAATAACTCTGCTTTTAAAACAACCTGTGGAGAAATATATTTGAGTTGAAAACTGTAGAAAGATCGTAATTTTTTTTTTCAGGAGAGCAACCTGTTTGGAAATAAGTGAATTAATCTTCTCTATATGTTACTTACAGGCTAATGCCAGCATTGCTGAAAATACTAAAACACAAAAAGGAGTTGGTTGCCAGTGAAATTTACTTGCTTAGCTCAGTGACGGCTCTATTGAAGGTTGTAGAAACCTTGCCATGCTTTCTCAGTCCATATCTCCAGGATATTTTGCTGCAGGTGGGTCTTATGTCTTTCTTCAGTTTATGATTAATTATGAACTGCTCAAGCAACATCATCTGTGCTGCTTCTCTGGCAGCTAATTAGATCTGCACATTTGCTGCCTTTTAGGTGGTCCGTTTGGAAAGAATTGCCATTGAAATGGGCCCTTCATCTCCTGTTAATCTACGTGTGACGTCTCTGAAAAACACCCTGGCAACGACACTTCCACCGAGAGTCCTTCTGCCAGCAGTTACGAAATGTTATGATGAAATTGCAATTGTTTCTAAGGTTAGATGTGTTCTGCTTCTTCACTTAAGTAGATGATGAAGATGATTTATTAAATTTGTATGTCCCTTAATCCGTAGATCTCAGGGCAGTTCACAACATAAAACTTACAAACGTAGACATATTTTATATTAACCCAAAAAACTGTTTTATAGTGCAGTTTTGAAACCAAGTGACTTTATGTTTAAGGAGGGGGATTTCTGTCTGCAAAGATCTGGCCTTACTTTCCAGAGGCTCTAGCTGTAATTTATATACAGTGGTACCTCGCAAGACGAATGCCTTGCAAGACAAAAAACTCGCTAGACGAAAGGGTTTTTTGTTTTTTGAGCTGCTTCGCAAGACGATTTTCCCTATGGGCTTGCTTTGCAAGACGGAAACATCTTGCAAGTTTGTTTCCTTTTTCTTAACACCGTTAATACAGTTGCGACTTGACTTCGAGGAGCAACTCATAGAACGCGGTGTGGTAGCCTTTTTTGAGGTTTTTAAAGACTTTGGTGATTTTTGAAGCTTTTCCAAAACTTTCCCGACACCGTGCTTCGCAAGACGAAAAAAATCGCAAGACGACAAAACTCTCGGAACGAATTAATTTTGTCTTGCGAGGCACCACTGTATTTCACTTGTGCTCTAACAGTCTCATATTTGGCAAGTGGTTCCTGGTTGTTGTTTTTAAATGCCAACTTAAAGGACTATGAAAGCAGATGGACCACCATTATCTTAAATAAGGGCAAACATTTCATAATTGCTAGTCACCTAAGAAGCCTCTGGTTCTAACATTTTCATACTGAATGCTCCTATACTGATGAAACCATGTTCCGGAAAGAAAATGCCTTTTCCATGTTTGTTTATTTCTATTATCTTAGAAAATACGTTTTGTTCTGATTTAAATATATGTCTATCATATACTTGGTCTTGTTTTGTTTTCTAGAACAATCTAGGTGCACTTATGGATATTCTGAAGGAGCATATCGTAATTCTAGAAAAAGACTCGCTTGCTGCCCATCAGTCTGAGCTAACAGCATTTTTCTTGAAGGCCTTGGACTTCAGAGCTGAGCATTCTCAGGTGGTGTATGGAAGGTCTTTGGGGAACATGCAAAACTATAATAATTGCCCATTACATGGTATTCAGCTTATTTTTTTATTGCTCTGGCCACAGTTCTGCACCCAGGCTGAGTAACTCACTAATTTAAGCCCAACTGTGTGCAGGATTGCACCCACTGATTCTCCATTTTTAGAGATGGTCACATATTGGCCAATTATTGCTATTGGGTTGTTTTTTTAAAAGTGTGTACTTAATATTAAGTATAGTAAAGACACAAGATGAGATCCAGTTGTGGCAGTCTGCTTGCACAATGGAAATTCACTTAAGCAACAGGCCTTGCTGTCCCTTCCAGCCTCCTGAGCTGATCCTGCTCAGGCCTGCAACTCTCTGGTAAAGATTTGGTAATTTTTTGGGGGTGGGGAGCAGAGAAAAGATAAGCCCTGTTGCATGATTGGTAGCCCACACTCACTACGTTGTATCTCACCAATAGACTATTAAGTGAGCATTGTAGTGTTGATTGGTACTGTCGGTTTTCATCTAGGATGACCTGGAGAACATTGGGAAGACGGAGGCTCATATTATTAAGTGCTTAATCAGCATGGTTATGAAGCTTTCTGAAATGTCTTTTAGACCATTCTTCTTCAAGGTGGGTGTTCTGTCCTATTTCTGTCTTAGCCATTTATAAGCCGCCCAGGCTATTATTATTTTTATTATTATACAGAAACTAAAATTCCTCTCTCTGTTTCAGCTCTTTGACTGGGCCAAAACGGAGGGTGCCTCTCGGGAGAGGCAGCTGACTTTCTGCCGACTGGCAGATTGCATTGCCGAGCAGCTAAAAGGACTCTTCACTCTCTTTGCTGGCCATTTAGTGAAGCCATTTGCGGACACACTGAACCAGATCAATACTTCCCAAACAGGTAGGAAGAAGACACTCTGGAATGCAGTATATAAAATACCGCTCATTTTAATTCGTTTTTGTATTTCTCTCTTCTTTTTTTTGCTGCACTCACACTCAGTAGTTTTTTGCAAGTCGAAAACCAGCCTGGAAAGTCAAAATTATTGAAGCAGAATACATCACAGGAATTACAAAAGCTATGCAAGTGTTAGATGATCGGCCTTGTATTTGGCAGTGCCACTTCTATTTTAAACACCTTGTCGTAATTTTCATATACTATATTACTGGAATGAAACTCATGAGATATTGCCAAATAGTCTAGAAAAATATTACTTAGGACTAGGATCTGTAGGGACGGATAGGAAGCTGTGCAGAATTGAAATAATATTCCTTTCCTAGCCATTCCCCAACCTACTGAGTCTTTAGGAGACCTTGCTCTCTAAAGCTAGCCTTAAGCACTAGAAACGTGTGCATTTTTGAAAGTAATGTTTATGCTCAAAAGGAAGAGAAGACTACATCTGCTTTGAGCAAAGGCAGAAAGAAGAGGGAAAGCACATTAAAATCATATCTACCTGCCGTGGTTGAATCAGAGGATACAGTCCCTCTAAGTAGATGTCTCCTGTCCCATGGCAACCTGAGAAGTGTGCTTTTTCTAAATGACTATTGTAATAACCAGGAACTTGATGCCCTGGATAATATACTAGAAGCCAGCTACAACACTGGCACACTGTATCACGCACTGTGGGTCACAATAGTTTTGCCATAACCAGTCATCAGAGGCTGGATGTTGCTTATACAGTGGTACCTCGGGTTAAGTACTTAATTCGTTCCGGAGTTCCGTTCTTAACCTGAAACTGTTCTTAACCTGAAGCACCACTTTAGCTAATGGGGCCTCCTGCTGCTGCCGCGCGATTTCTGTTCTCATCCTGAAGCAAAGTTCTTAACCCGAAGCAATATTTCTGGGTTAGTGGAGTCTGTAACCTGAAGTGTATGTAACCTGAAGCGTATGTAACCCGAGGTACCACTGTATCTATATAGTGAATAAATTAGCATTTTAACCATGGCCTGCCCATACAGCTAATGTCATGTGATATTCTCCTAATGAGGCTTGTGCAAATTGTAGCCACTGCAAGCGTTACTTTGGTAGTTAAGCAATGCCAATGGTGCCTCATTTCGGTCTCTTGTTATTTTTTGCAGATGCAGAGGAAGCTTTCTTTGACTCTGAGAACAACACTGAAAAGAGCTGTTTATTGCTACAGTTCATCCTTGATTGTCTCCACAAAATCTTCCTCTTTGATTCCCATCATTTTGTGAGCAAGGAGAGAGCAGAAACATTGATGATGCCTTTGGTCAATCAGGTATTGATAAACGTATTTTCGCTTAACTATTGGGCACTGCAGACATTTTTGTTGGGTACCTTTAAATGTCTTCCCTTTTATACATCATTTCATACATACATTTCATTATCGTTCAACTAACAGACGTATGGACATGAGGGGGGGGGGGGAACCTTGGCTGCTTCATAATTTTCCATTGTTGTCAAAGCACTATACCAAGTTTAAGCCATGCCCGTAGCATCCGTCACAGGAATTTGTCGGTCAGTAATCACACAGTTCAGAGATGGAGTTAACTCTTTATTATCAAAACCACAACCTCCACAGACTTGGTTGAATGCCATGCCTAATAAGCAGAGCAAATCATTCCCAGTAGTCTTCCTCCGTGAACATAAGTTGCCGAGACTGAAAGTCCCCACCTCTTCACGAGAGCTTTTCCTAAGCAATCAGAGACTGCCTACGTGTAGCCAAACTTTTCTGCACCCTTTTCAATGCCTCCTCTGGTTCTGGTTACAGCAGCAGTCTGTGCCTCTTCACCAACTGGACTCATCTCTGCCTCTTAGCCTCCCCCATCCCACTCTCCTACTTCAGCTTCTGCCTCCGATTCTGCCACAAACTCTCCCAGCTTACTAAGCCGTTACCCCTTCAGTTTCTGACACCTCCTCTTCCCAGTCCTCTCCCTCTGTCCACTCACTGTTGTCCAACCACCACTCCCCCCGGCTCTGAGCCCTCTTCCCTTGGGGGTTACCCAGCTGGTCCCTCCCACCATTCCTCTGCGTTCAACCAATCCATGACAGCGTTCTTGCTTAGTCCCATTTTTTTCTTCCTATTAAATGCAGCCGGGGTGGTGCATTAGTTGACAGTTTTCAAGGAAGAGGTGTCAAAGGATTCTAGAAACTGTAGGTGACTGGCAAGGAATCTAGGGAAGCTAGCTATCACAATATTGTAACTGTCTGAAACAAAAAAGGAAATAAATTATTTCACTTTCATGTGCATGTGATTTGTTTTCTCTAAATAGCTGGAAAATATGCTTGGGGGAGAAGAGAGGTTCCAGGAGAGAGTGACAACTCACTTGATCCCATGCATAGCTCAGTTTGCAGTTGCAATGGCAGATGACTCTTTGTGGAAGCCACTGAACTATCAGATTTTGTTGAAGATGAGGCATGCATCACCCAAGGTATGTGGCGGAGTTGGGTCATAAAATAATATTGCATTTAAGTCACCCTGATGTGACTAAGAAGGCAGATGACTGTCAGTGGTATGCAATTGTTATGTAACCTGATTTCGGATAGTTCCCTGCTTGCACTGCAGCGCCATGCATGTAGAGTGAAGTATTGCTATTGCAAACTGCTTTCTGCTTCTTCTTGCACAACCATTAAGATACAACTTTGTAGGTTTAACTTGAACTGCCAGTGGGACGCATTTACTAAAACATGTGACTAAAGTAAGGGAGCAGACTGTTGTGTGGTGGATGATAACTTCAGCAAAGCTGTGATTCTGAATTTGTGCACAGAAACTTGTTATGCTTAGCATTTCCTCTTCAGAAGTTTGGTGTTTAAATGCAGTAACATGCCCCACTGTGATACTACTGGCTGCTCTCTTTTTGCTTAGGTTCGATTTGCTGCCTTGTTAACTTTGCTAGAACTTGCACAAAAAATAAGAGAGAACTACATGGTGCTACTTCCCGAGTCTATTCCTTTCTTGGCAGAGCTTATGGAAGGTAATGTAGCATATATTATTGTCACTGTGAGAATTTCTACTTGGGAGTCTACTTTAAATGAAGCCGTTGCTGCACTTTTCGCACCCTTCCTCAGTGGGGTTCAGGATAGTCCATATGCCCTAATAGAAACTGCTCAAGTCTGTTTGCACATTGAGGTTCCACAAGCACTTCCACAGTGGTTTGTGCCGTGACTTGATGGCCTGTTTTCCTTCTCCCCACTAGTGCTAGGAAGAAATGAACTGCAATCCCTGGGCTTAGCATTCGTCAACTTGTGCACATTTAACTTAAATGATGAAAACTTTATGCGCTTGGCAACTGGCCAGCTGCAGTTGCATAAATTAAACACACCCTTAACAGGCTTCCAGAGCCTCTTTCATTGGGGAGGGAAGTTAATGGCTCCCAATTCCCATCTGCCCCAACCAATGGTCAGGAATGATAGGAGTAGCAATCCAACAGCACTTGGGAGTGCCAGAGATAGCTGCTCACTCCTGTTTAAATATTTCATAGTGGATGAAACTATTGAGTTCCTTTTTGCCAGTGACTTCATAGTTACTATGATGTTTGTCTGTCCCCCTCCTCCCCAGATGAATGTGAAGAAGTGGAACACCAGTGCCAGAAGACTATTCAGCAGCTTGAGGTTATTCTTGGAGAACCACTGCAGAGTTACTTCTAAGACTATCCATGGTCTTTTTCTTTTCATCATTCTCAGTAATATTTAAACATAAACGGTGAACATTTTTTTAATGTTAAACAAGAATTTTAATTGTATACATTTTTTTCCACTCTGAATTGTGATATTAAAAAACATTCATTTATAAACGGTTGGACACTTTATCCTTTCTCTGGCTTGCGTAAACTGGATGTGTTCTTCACATTAGGAAAGTGTGAGGTAAAAACACATCACCCAACTTTGTGCCTGAAGCAAAAACTCTTCTGTATCACATCCTACTAATGACAGGCAGCTGTGACAGCTGATACTTCATCTAAATTCTGCAGTAAATCTAGCTCTTGCCTCAACCCCCATGAGGAAACTAACACTGTTCTGGCCTAGCTGTTTAAATAAAATCTTCTGCCAACTTGGTGGAGCTGAAGAGGAAACTTCACTCACTACTTGGGCTTATCTCTCTGTGACCTAATCTCTGCTGGTGGCATTGTTAAATAAAAGGTTTCAGGTAGACCAGGGAAGGGGAATGCATGGGCCTCCACTTGTTTGATTATACCTCCTCATTCCTATTGGCCATGCTGCCTTGAGATGAAGTCCAACAACAGCTGGGAGGGCCACAGTTTCCCTGCCACTGCAGCAGGTCATTATAGTTCATTTTTTAAAAAGATAATACCATGACTTCCAAAATTCTTTAATTTTCTCTACACAGCTTCACAGAAGTAAAATTTTAATTCTGCACCCTTCAGAGCTATTCAGCTGAGAGAGAAAAATGGACCCTTTGTCTCTGATCCCTAGCCCTAAACCCCAAACACTTACCTGGTACAACAAAATAGGAACTTCTCCATTTTAGTCATGTTTTTGTGAAGAAAGACACCTCTAACCATTGAGACTAGTAATGGTGCCCTTCATGAGAATATGTATTTTCCAGTACAGTGCAACCAGTTGAGAGTATATACTGGTTATAATTTCTAGAAATGTTCTAAAAGCATGAGAAAGGTAAGAACATAAAGAGTTCTTTTGAATCTGCTGTACCTTCCATTACCAGCAGCAGAGTTAGCTTAACAATATAGTCTTCAAATTCACTAGTTGAATTTAGCATACACAATTTTAGTAACAGCAGCTGGTAACTATTTATAACTTAACATTACACTGTGAATGAACAGTATGTTTATTCTGCAAGCTATGGTTAGTTTTTAGATATTATGTCAGTTGATTTCCATGGACAAATACAGAAAGGTTTTTGTAAGCAACCTGCATCCAGTATATATGTATTTTTTGCTGCGGTAGATGGATCAAGTTTAATGCTGCTCAGTGTCCTCAAGATTAGAGGAAGGGATTCAAGGAGACCTTTCTAAAATCACTTTGAAAGGAACACACAAGTACTGCATCACGGTTACCAGCTCCTCACATCCAGCAGTCGAAGGTCCCCACGGATTTCCAGGATGCTGATCTTTCCAAGTTGTTTGAACCGGTGTTTGTACTCTATGGCATGCACACCGTTGATCGCAATGTTGTACTGATGGGCCTTGCAGAGTATTATCAACTGAAAGTTAAAGACATTTGACATCCTTAGTTAAATTAAAAACATTCAAAGTTATGGGGTGCGTAAGATAGGAGCATCTGCAAGGCGAAGGCTACAACCTACCCAACAACTAAGGATGGCCATGGTTGAGGAATCATTTACAAGGTAGGATAGTTCGCAACCGTAATATTCAAATGGTTTCAGAACATGTTTAGAAATAAAAACTTTTAAGACTATAGGATGCTGTGTGCTGAAACTACAACCTCTCCCTGTGCTGCACCTGTGAGCTACCTGGCAGCCTTGCAGGCAAGGGGAAGGGAATATGCGACAAAGGTTTGTGCTGTATTAAGTTGATGCACAGACCGAGGCTGGCAGAAATCTGTAGTGAGAGTCTAGTCATCCTATCACAGTTCAGTCCTTACAAAAATATTCCATGATCTGGGCAAAGGAGGTATAGATTCCAAAACATCACCATTCTTGCCTGAGTCACTGGGCATAGTGTATTTCTACATGAATCGTCCTGCGACTTCAAACATGTCCCTGCCATCTATGATAATCAGCTACCAAATTCTGCATGTCCATGGTACATGCTCCAGAGAAAGAAATATGGTAGAAAGTACTCATAACTGTCTAGAACTGTTGGGATTCCAGCTCCCATCAGCTGCCACCAACAGGATGGTCACTGATGATGGGACTTTAAATCCAAAAACATTTCAGAGGGCCAGAGTTTAGTCTGTGGGAGAACTAATGTTACACCATATTCTCCTCTACCCAGTCCAACACTATTTTTTCATCCCCTGCAAACGTCTGCATTGCACATACTGCAGCAGATCACTGCTGGTCTGTATTTGTTTAATTAGTTACCTCAAAATACATTCCTGGAGCGAAAGGAAAGTGAGGGATCTGCTTTTCTTCTTCTCCCCAGCTGCTGTCCAGGTAGGAATTTCTCACAAAAGATTTATCTCTTATTCGGGGATTCAGATGCAGAGCAATGTCATCTGAGTCACTGGCTTTAAGGTTAATGGCAAAGCTGTGAACAAAATAGTAATGTTAAGCTACTGCAGCATCGCTATCATACTGGACAGTGGTGGGAATTACTGAAAGAAGTCAGAAAGTACTGCTATTATGGTTTACAACAATGTGACAACAAAGGTTCTGATTAGAACTTGCAATTTTTTTAATGACTTCTTTTATTTACACACACCAACAAAAACATTTTCAAAAGCAAAATAAATCAGAAATACAGTGAAAGGGTTCCAAGGCGGTTGCTATGTTTTATCCAGAGCATGTAGGTTTCTGATTCTTAATACTTCTGAGAAGAACTTAGTCATGATACTTTGGATTATGCTATTAGTGTATTCTAAATACACACAGAGAAAGAGACCAAAAACAACAGCATGTTAAAAGAGCCTAAGAAAAATGACAAATGCCACTCTGATTTTACTAACCCATTTGCTTTTTCATTAATTTCTCCTTTTACAACAATTGTTCGCCCAGGCTCAAGAGGAGAATGAAGTCTTGCAATGTAAGGAACTACCTGAAAATGTAACCATGCTTAGAATTATTATTCCAAAATTAATGGACTGAAACGTTTCTCTCGAAACATGAATCCTGTGATCAGTTAGTTTTTACATCTGCCGCATTGTACATTCCATTTTTGGATGACAAGCAAACATAAAACAGGTTCGGATATCATTTGGAATGCCCCTCTTTATTTTGACAATACATTTATCCTTTTACTAATTCCTCAGCTTTTCATCTCATTGCCTTATTGATTTTTTTTAAAGAGTGTTATATACTGCTTAGTCTACAAAACCCTCCAAGTGGTTTACATCAAACCTTACATTCACTGGTGTTTTTAATGAGGTACTCTCCTACAAGATTTATTCAAACTTCAAGTGGCAATCACAATTGCATCAGGTGCAACTGTAGCTCCCACAGTAAACATGGGAAGAGGAATGCAGAGTGGGAAACTGCAGCCAAACAGTGCTTCCCATCACATGTCCTATGATAGTGAGAAAGACACATATATTGCATGTTTACTGCAGGAAATCAACTGGGGTAGCCATGGAAAAATACAGTTGCATAACATGGCTTGAAGAATAAGGATAAATTTATCAAGTGTACACTCTCTCATTAATACCCTAGCAAATAGTGAAGGGATGGAGAGACAAGACTTTACCTTGCAAAAATTATTTCAAAATGAATGGCCACTTAAGCAAGAATGAGGCTATACAATTCTGCATCAAGGGGTCATGTGAAAAAGCTCATCTGTGCCCACTCCTTAATAACTCTTGCATTGTGTTTCAAATGTGGTTTACATGCCAACTGATACTTACAAACTGTGACGCATCAGGGACTTCTTCCTGCTGGAAAGAGAAAGAGAGACTTTGCTATAACCTAAGAAGAACAAAGCTGTGAACCTAGCCAGATAAGAAGAATACCTACATTTCCTGCGTTTGTCTTTGTTGCCCCTAGCAAGGATGGCTGAGAGCCTTGCAAAGACTGCAGAGAAAAGACAGGTTGAGAGATCAACACTCATAGGTCACAGAAAACTCACATAATGAGCTGTCATCTCTGAATATCTTTCTAACTATGAATGTTTCATCAGCAAGCTGTTGAAGGAGAGATGGTTTTTCATTGCTTTAAAAACAGGGTGGGAAACTGCGACCCTCTAGAAGTTGTCGGATGAAACCTCCTACATCCCTGACCACTGACCATGCTGGCTGGGGCTGACGGGAGCTGGAGTTCAGCAACATCTATATCAGGCATAGGCAAACTCGGCCCTCCAGATGTTTTGAGACTACAACTCCCATCATCCTTGACCACTGGTCCTGTTAGCTAGGGATGATGGGAGTTGTAGTCCCAAAACATCTGGAGGGCCGAGTTTGCCTATGCCTGATCTAGAGGGTCACAGATTTCCCACCCCTGCTTTATTAAGATGGTCCTCAAACACATTAGCAAGTCAGTGATGATCCAGCAGGGGCAGATCGCACAACTTCTTTGTGTCACCACAGAGACACAAAGTCAAATGAGGTAGACTGACTACATTGCAAGGATATCTGCCACTTCAGTGATACACCAATTTGTGTGGAGAGAACGTGGAATCACTTCCTCAAAAGCAAAACAGGCTCTTCATTATTTCTGGACTCTCCATAGGCAACATGAAGACATCATGCAGACACATTAGGCCCCAAACTGTTCGTGTTAGTAGTTATATAAATACTGTGCTCAGGGTACAATATTTCTCACTGCCCAAGTCACTGGGCAATTCCTCTGTCAAAAATCACACACTGCTGCTGCAGGCAATATTTTCTCCCCTTCCTAGATGTTTCTGGCTGGGAGTGAAGCACACCGTCAGATCTATTCTGACCTATCCATAGTTGCTCTTTATGTGTTCCACCGCAGCATGAAATTGTAAGCAGCAGAAAAATGTCTATAATATAGACAGGCAACGTGGAGCCACTTTGATGCAGTGGTTAGAGTATTGGAGTGAATTTAGGGGGACTCATGTTCAGATGCACACTTGGCCATGAAGCTCACCAAATGACATTAGGCCAATCACTAGGCTTTCAACCCAACCTACTTAACAGAGTTGTGACGAGGAAAAATGGGGGTGGGAAATAAATAATATGTATCACCTTGGAGGAAGGGTAAGATAAGCTTAATACTATCTATCTATCTATCTATCTATCTATCTATCTATCTATCTATGCAATCCCTAAATAAGTTGCTGCGTTATTTAATAACTTACCGCGTTTGACACAAATCCTATCATATTGACTTGCACATTTCCATATATTCCAATTGTATCTATTTTTTCAAGGTTAAGCCTATGCTTGTAGATCAACAAGTGCTTTCCATTTACAGATACCTAGGAAAAAATAGAAACAAAAACACACAGCTATTTCACACAGTTGTGATGAAAATATGCTATCATCCGAACTTTATAGTTATTCATGCAAATGCATCTTAGTTTAAGTTCTTTTGGCATGCAACTGGCTTCCAACAAAGATGTTGGCAGTTTCTCATTTTCACATTTCTGAAAACAAATAAGGCGCCTAGATGCAATTTTTCACAATATTCTCTTATTCAACTGCCTCAAAATGGTTGGTCTGCATGCTCTGGAAGCCTGGCATGTAAGTTATTGAGCTGTCAGCAGTGAGTCCCAAGGACAACACAAACCCAAAAGCTGGAAGGACAATCTGTCTTCTAAAATTGTGTCCGCACACAACTAGTATCTTTCCATATACTAATTGCACAAGGTGGGAGCGCAATAAATCAGCACTGTATCCCCCAGGTTTTGAGCTTCGTGTCCTGATTTTGTCATGGAATGACATCTATCTTACTGCAGCTCTGCAAAGGTCTGCTGTTATTTTCAGTTAACGAAAATTGTCCATTTCTCTTTTTGGCTGCTTCCTTTGCTATTGGCACTTTTCTCTTTCTTTGTAATCCCCACCTGAGCTTGAGAATATCACCACTGTACCCATTCACCCAAACAGCTTATGAATTACAGCTGCCAGCAAAAGCTAAAACCCTGGTTACTTCACGAAACTCAGACACTACAGACACTTTATCATCTTCACATTTTCTCCCTTTTGGCAGTATACCGCATCCAATTTATCAGGCAGATGTATGGGCGCCACTGCAGCATTTGTTAATGTGAACAAAAAACCCTGATCATGCAGTTTTTAAGAGAAGGAATTATGCGTTCATGAAAATGCATGAACAATTTCTTCAACACTGCCTTTAAAATAAAAAAGTGACAGGTGTGCTGGTAAGAAGACAGCTAATGGCAAATTGTGAGAATATGAGACACATTGTGAGCAGAAATATTTGTTGTTACTTGCATTCAGCTCCAAATATAGTTTTTTGATGCCTGAATACAATCTTAATAGCAAGTGTTGGTTCATTAACCATTGCTGCCTCCCACTTCTTGTCTCTCTGGTTTACTGGAACCTACGCGCTACTATTAAACCAGTAGTTTTCTACATGTAAGACGGGAAAGAGTGGATCCTTGCAGGAAATGGAAAACCTCTTCTTCCTAGCTGCATGCTTCTTAGACCAACAGGTAAAAGTGCCATCCTGACCTATTCTGTACCATACAACTAGTCTGCATGGCTTACCCCTTGTCAAGAAACAGTGATACCATCCTCTTTTTCTATCATGTTTTACAACTCTATAATTCACCATGACAGTATGTTTTATTCACATCAACACAACTTCATCTAGAAGCAAAACAAAAACAAAAATTAAACCCTGCAGTGGCTATAAAGAGCACTGATCCACAAACACTCAAGTTGTTTGAAAAGGAGCAATTCAGGCAAAATTAAGCACTTCTTAAGTTCTACTAATTTCAGTGGGAGAGTTAAGCTCTTAAATCCTGTTGAAACCAGTGTGACGTCAATGCCTGACTTTGGCTGGATTGCACCTTCTGTGCTTTTGGGCATGACAGATTGGCTAAGGAAGTAAGTAATCAGCTTCTAATAACTCACCTGGAATTTATCATGCAGAACCATAAAAACAATCTCAAATGGCTTTCCTTTTCCAAAAGGCATTGTGTGAGTTATCTCTTCCCAGCCCCATCTTTCATTCTGTAGGGTATTGCAAACGATGCAACCAGATTTTTTGAAGCGGGGGTTGAAATGAAAGGCTACATCAGCCCGAGGTTTTGTGCTATTGCCACACTGGAAGTCTATCTGGAACCTAGCGGTAAATTGAAACACATGGGTCAGTTCAACCCTCCCATAAGCAACATGCAACAACTATCTAATGCAGGAGAGGTCAACTGCATAATTGCTACCTATGAGAATAGGATGCTTGCTCTATATTCCATGTCTGCTATATGAATCCAGAAGACTGCGCTGGATAATAGGAGCACCTAACTCTTAGTTTGGCTCATGCTCATGGCAACACAGTCACATTGGCAGAGGGCTTAGCCATAGCTCGGTCACTGGACTCACAACTGAAGATACCAAACTACTCTCAGCAAGATGAGAACACAAGCATCAGTTCCACTTTTCAACTTCTGATACTAAAGATGGTGTATGAAACACAGAAAGGCTCTTTGTAGTCTATATATGTCCATGTCATAGATGCAATGAAAGCCATTATTATTATTTTTTAAGTGGGTATGTTCATGGCTATGGCACAGGTCACTAGCAATTACCAGAAATACTCCCCCCATCCCCCCAAAAATCTAGTGAACATTTTAAAACATTATTTAATATACGCATACATTTCAAGTCATTGCATAAGCCAGACTTCTTGCATATTCACTTTATCATGACCTTCATTTAATGTTCAGATCTTAGGAGCAGAAGCCAATTACTTTCCCAAGCCATGCATTATTTGAAATTATTTCTGGGGAGTAATTTCACAACACTATCGCTTCCACCAGAAAACCTATGATGCGGAAGCAGCAAGTACTTCCAGCAATTTGTAACACTTCTCAAAAGCTTCAATTTCATACGGATTTGATGCAACCATTTCAATATGTGAGGGAACGTGTTCTGCTGTCATTTCTTTGTGTGCTTGCCTTCAACCATCACCTACCAGAGGACTATTTATAAATATCTTATTTGAACTCTTACCTTTCTGCACCCTCTGGGATGGACCCACGTATGACCACAAGCTCTCCAGGCAAAAGACCCCCAATTATAGTCCCAGCATATGGAATACTCTATAAAAAGGAGAGGGAAATGGAATTATTATGCTTCAGACTTGAGAAGAATAAAAATGAAATTTATACATAGTTTATTTACATTATTAGCCTTTCCTGTATTTCACTAACTAGGACTCAACAAAAGCAAGTTTTGAACAATTTTTATTTGGGGGGAGGGACGGGGGTCATAATTAGCAAGATCTACTAGTTTCGCCAATTCAGAGAAACTCTTTGCTGGGACACAGTCTAAGGCGGCTGGCATACCTATTTGTTTGAACTGACAGGTGTAAAACAAGAAATCACTTCTAGGAACTGGTGGGTGCATTATCCATATACAACAGGGGTTGCCAACTCCCAAGAGACTGCGATCTACTCACAGAATTAAAAACTGGCAGTGATCTACCCCCTTTTGGGGGGTTCAGCTACAAGTTGTTGAGCTTTTTTTAGGTAGGAGGAAAGCACAGATTTTTGTGAATTCAAGCCTAAACTCAAGGGAGAAATAGTTTACTTGCTGAGTAAACTCCGTCTTCCGTTCTGCAGATCATGCAACAATGGAGGGCGGTACCGGATTCTATTTTACCAAAACTAAGGAAAGGGACCCAGCGATCGACCGTGGTCTACCAAGACCTCCCGGGGATCTACCAGTAGATCACAATCGACCTGTTGGACATCCCTGATATACAACATGGGCTTGAGACCTAGAGCAGTCCCAGGACAAAGAGCAGCCATCAAATTAATCTAATCCTAACCTATGTGCCTTTCTTCTCCAAAAAGATAGATGTACACACACAGCTCCGAGACCTACTTGTCCACACTCCTCTAGCTGCTTCTCTCAGGCTGCAAGCCTAAATACTAGGAAGTAACTTTGAACCCATGGGGCTTCCTTCTAATTAAACTAGCTGCTATCAGACTTCCCCCACACCCTGGCCATTAGCTTCTCCTCTCAGCCCACAATCACATGGGACACTAGACTTCTGCCAGCCCTTCTTTCTCTTCATCCACTTTGTCTTTGACCTAGTTCTCTAAATTTTCGCTTCACTTTTACCGTAAAACAAGCTTTCTTTAAGGTGACATGACAAAATCTACAGGCATCAAAAGAAAAGAAGATGAACAGGAGATAGTTACCGGGTTCTGGACTGTCTTTTGAAAATTGTCCAGGGACATCATTTTTCCGTCCTCTAATCGAAGGAAGTCTTCAGGCTCGGCAGGACCCACTGTGTGGGTCTTGAATGGCAATAAACAGCTCCTGAAACTAAAACCATAGAGCTTTGGTATAACTGAACACAAGTTAAGAGAAAAATGGGTGCAAAAAGAGTATTTTTGGAGACAGCCTTCTGTAATTGGAGCACCATAACAGAAAAGGCCCTGTACTCTCTTGAACATGGGAGGTACGAGGATAAGGTCTCAGCTGTCAATCTCAGTATGTGCACAGGTTATAGGGTAGTGGGCCACCCTTCAGAGGACTGAAATGCCCAGTAACCAGGGGTATTATATTGATCCAGCACAAGGATTCAGATGTGTTCAGGAGAAATCCCATGCCTATTTAAATCAACAAGCTTCCGAATGGCTACCATGGTCAACTGTCTAAATAGAGGAATGACCAACATTCCATTGTGTATGTATATTGCACAATGTCCTATGTGCACCATGTTACCCTTTTATATATGTTCCTTGAGTACAATATAGTACAGTACTTTTCATACTTTGGCTCTTTCTGTTGTCTATATAGGGACCGTCACTGAAGTCTGTACTCTCCCTAATGGCCATTTCACACATTACATAGAGAATGTTTGGCTATGAAACAGCAAAGCAGTATATATCATTTCAGTGGAAACTGCAGAAGCCGTTTTAGGAAGTAATGGTAGGAAGTAACATATCACAAGGCATGCACATCATTCTCAGGGAAAGCAGATGAAAGGTCAAAGTCCAACTCGTGAATATTGAGAAGGGGAGTTCAGGGCAGAGAGATTCCAACCTTTAGCGGGGCAAGTGAGGTGCGCTAATCATCCTTTGCTAATTGCAGCCTCCAGTTGTGGGTGTCTTTGGCTACATAGTATATAGTACAACAAACTGCATCCAATAATAGCTTCCTGACAAGTATGCCTGGATGATGCACATTTGCAAATCCTTATTTACCTTATTCACACCATCAGTTTTAAGCAAACACTTTGAAATGCAGAGGTAGCCCAAACACAAATATATCTTTATTGTTCTTCTGCATCTTTTCTGGAAGAGGATTACCAGGATGGGAAAACATAATGTAGCTCAAGTCATGGATGAGCAGTCTAATATCTTGTTACCAGCATAAGTTCTCCTCTAGCTTGCACAGATCCAATCAGCACAGTTACACAGAAAAACATTTATTCAGAATTAGGCTTCACTGAAATCAATAGCTGTAATGAGGACACTAAAATAGTGTCAAGTCAAAAAACAAAGTGCGAGACTGGCTTCATTATTATCAGATAATGGAGGCATTTAAATTGGACAGGAAAATTGGCTTCCAGGTGGAAAGATCCAAATTAGAAACAGAATTGTTAGAACCCAAAACTAAGAATTTGTCAAGAATGTATAACTTGCTGCTGAAATGGAATACTCAGGATGAAACGGTAAAATCGGCTATGATTAAATGGGCACAGGACATTGGACATAACATTATGTTTGCTGACTGGGAACAGTTATGGACCACAGGTATGAAATTTACGGCATGTTATTCCTTAATGTAGAATATTATGAAAATGATATACAGGTGGTACATAACCCCACTCAAGCTTGCGAAAATCTATCACTTGCCCGATAATAAATGTTGGAAATGTAAAGAAACTGAAGGTACATTTTTTCACCTTTGGTGGACGTGCTCTAAAGATTAAGGCTTTCTGGGAAATGACATATAATGAATTAACAAAGGTATTTAAGTATACCTTCCCTAAGAAACCAGAGGCCTTTCTCCTGGGCATAGTCGGCCAAATGGTGTTAAAAATGGATAGAACTTTCTTTATGTATGCAACAACAGCAGCAAGAATACTCATCGCAAAGTATTGGAAGACACAAGAACTTCCCACGCTGGAGGAATGGCAGATGAAACTTATGGACTATATGGAATTGGCGGAAATGACTGGTAGAATCCGTGACCAGGGAGAAGAGTCGATGGAGGAAGATTGGAAGAAATTCAAAGACTATCTTCAGAAACACTGCAAAATTAAGGAATGTTAGAGTGATGTTGGACTGAAAATAAGTGGTTTCCAGCTGTACAGGTTAAAGTTAATGATAGACTAAGATTAAAGATTAAGATTAAAGATGTTTTAAAAAATGGAAATTTGATATTAAGAGGGAAAATTTTAATGGTATATGATATTAAGACCAAGGATTAGGTTTAAAGAAGTTGAAGTTATATATTTTAATATTTTATCAAACTAAAGATTGGGATTAAAAAAGTGGAAAAGAAACTGCTGGACAAATAATTTGGATTGGAATACAAAAGAGGGAGGTATGAGGAAGTCCAGAAAATAAGTAACTTAAAAATGGAAATGGAAAAGAGATATTGTTTTTAATTGTTATGTTTTTTGTTTTTTTTATTGTTGAATTTTGTGTTGTTTTTTGTGTGTGTTGTTTTTTTTTGTTGTTGTTTAAAACTTTAATAAAAATTACTTTAAAAAAAATAAAAAATAAAATAGTGTCAAGTCAACCATCCAATGGCAGAAATGCTACCACAGCATTTATGAGTGGCTTTTGAATTGCACCCTATCAACTCTATCCTGAATCTCCTCGGAAGAAAGTTCAACATATTTCAATGGAGCTTGTATATTTAAGATCTAGAAACTTTTGATAAAACAACAGGGTTTCAGCTTGAGAAATATATTGGAGAGTAACTGCAAAAGTAATGTGTAAATGAACTCCTTAGAAGTAAAAAGTAAATAAATTGCAGCACTTCCTAGAGACACGGATTTAACTTTTGCTGGATTTTAGGTACTCTTTTAAGGCACACACACATTTATAGAAACACACAAAAATCTCCCACCAAAAATATAATATTTCGTTTCCACAACACTACGCGCAGCTCTATAATGTTTGGAAGGAATACTCTCAGTTTCCTCACTTTACTTGGCATTATGTGCATCTTCCTCTTACCTTTATAAACCCGTATCCATCGGAAGCGCTCGGCTCTTGATGTTGTTCACGCCATTGAAACTCCTCGCACTGTTTAAAATGGTTCCTCGGGATTCTTCTATTTCCTGGATCACATACACCAGCATAATGACGTCAGTTACTTAGCTCCTCCTCCCCTTAAAGGACCATCGTCTCATTAAACTTCGGGGGGGGGGGGGCAGTAGGCTTCTCTGTTTTGACCCGGAGTGGTCGAATGATTAGAGAGGGTCTCTAACTAAATCCCCAAGACCGCCGACTCTCACCCGCTTTTAGCCAATCGTGTCATCCCTTATATTCAGGCATGGCCAAACTTGGCCCTCCAGCTGTTTTATAATCTTCTACGATGACTAGTTATAGGGACTGTTAGGAAAGTGTGGCTGCACCTCTCCGCCTTCCCCAGATTCTCCCCCTGACAGTAATTCCAGCACGATTGATTTCCTTCAGGCTAATATTTGTGTATTATTGACTTTGTTTTCATGTCTGTCTGTGTCGTATTAATGACAGTGCGACGGGAGAAGAGGGAGGGTGGAACACGCCCTTAAATTGCATGTACTAAATTTCAGTTCTTGAAGAAAAAATATTATAACTTCTTATGTGACTATATTTTCATCCCATTCAAGCTCCTGTTCCGTTTTAATGGGATTATGCAGGAAAAGTCAATCGTGGGTTGTTTCCAACAGTACTACGATCTCTCTCCATTTCTACAAAGAGAAGCATTCCCAATCTCCAGTTCTGTCTATTGACCTAGAATAAGTCTTCACTTTTTTGTTGGTCCCTTCCTCTCTCTGGCAAACCACTGTTTTGCTTTTTGGAGGAAATTTTGCGTTTTGCTTTTCTGCAGGCAATGCGAACAGGTGCACTTCGCATCCCCGCAATTACCTACCCAGTTAGTAAACATTGCTGAATGTGTTTGAGTTACAGTTATTATGATCGGCTCCACTGAGGAGCATTATGGTCTTTTGGGCGTCCGGTTAAGACTTTTCCCACCACCATCGCCCCCATCCTCAGCCTCCCCGCCCCAGTCCGTCCTCTCAAACAGCACAGGCTGGTCCACTAGGGCAAAAGGGACACTGGCCCTCTCCTCAGTCTGCAAACCCACAAAACTTCATCAAAAGATCACAGGGTGATTCACCAAAATACACACCTAATATAATGTAATATAATGTAATAATATAATATAATATAATATAATATAATATAATATAATATAATAATATAATAAATATAATATAATATAATAATACACACACACACACTTACTTTGTTTTTAAGGCAATAGAGCCAGTCTGGCTACTGAAGAACATTCAATATGCAATGGGTGGAGGCAGGGTAGAGGTCACATCCTCAGGCCATGATCTTAGGTGTGAGAGTTGCGTGAAATGTTGGATGGGTTTGGTATTCAGAGGTTATAACTGGAACCTGCAGTTTCTGATGTGGAAGCTATGCACTCAGTCCTTCAGGGTGGCAGGGCTGGTTTTTACTGTTATATACAGTGACTGCCTCAGGTAGCACATGTGGGGGGGGGGACCAGAATAGCCTATAAGCTGCCCCTCCCCTCATCCAACCACAGACACATACCCCCATCCATCTACACACACATTTCCCCCTTCTATTTACACTCCCCAGCCCTATACACACCGTCCACAAGCATGCACAAAATCCCCTCTGATCCATATACAAACTACCGTACATAGCCACCTGCGAGCACCACTGTGATGGAGGCTATAATGAACGGCTGGGTCCTCCTTTCAGTCCAGCTACTAATGGCCAGGCCATGTGCTAAAAACATGATGTTTAAAAAACAAAAATGGAACACAAATTAGACTTTTCAAAACAGGGAATTCTGCTTCCCCTACTATGGATTACTACTGTTTCCTCTGCAACCAGTGAACTCCTATTGCTGGTTGAGGAAGCAGTAAGCATACATCATTAGCCACAAATCTAGTTCTATCCTTTATTGGGACCTACTCAGAGAATATATATTAACTACATTCAACAATATATAATGGGTGGGGCTGGGGAGAGGTTACATCCTCAGGCATGTGTTATAGAATACTGTGTTTTCATGCATCCCACCCCCAAGCAAGCTTTGACCTGAATTGAGAAAAAGAATGGCCTAGCTGTGTTTTAAACCATTACTGTGTTTAAAGACAAGATTTACAATGCATTGAGGTTGTTCTTTGGATCAAAAAAATTGGATCAAAGTTTGTTGGGGGCTGGGAGCATATCTAATCACAGTCTGTGTACATATTACCTCTTACTCTGGCTACAGTGCGCTCCCGACATGTACACATGATATTCGCCACAGTCCATCTCAGTCCTGTATCTTGAGACATACGCTGCTTCCCTCAAACCAGCTTCCCTCTGATTTGACAGATACGGATTCCGTACACCACATCATCATGTGTATATCATGTGTACACCACTTCCCAAACCACTTCCCAAACCAGCAGCGGAAGTGCATTAGATGCAGAGTAAATAGGAGTACGCAGCCTAAATATCACTCTTGAAACCTGGAATCAGAAAACACACAAGAGTACCAAACAAACAATTGTCACCCCATATTTCCTCTCTCATTATATTTCCAAACACCAAAGATTAAATTATTGTAATACTACAGTTCATCAGTAGATGGGGTGAGTCTTCTTCATTTCAAGGCTTCTCGCCCAAGCCGATGCTTGTTTACTTTGAAGTACAGTGGTACCTCGGGTTACAGACGCTTCAGGTTACATACGCTTCAGGTTACAGACTCTGCTAACCCAGAAATAGTACCTCGGGTTAAGAACTTTGCTTCAGGATGAGAACAGAAATCGCACGGCGGCGCAGCAGCAGCAGGAGGCCCCATTAGCTAAAGTGGTGCTTCAGGTTAAGAACAGTTTCAGGTTAAGAACGGATCTCCGAAATGAATTAAGTACTTAACCCGAGGTACTATTGTATATCTAATTGAGTTCAGTGGGTTTTGCCACCAAGTAAACATTCTTAGCATGGCAACTCTATTAGAAAACACATCCCTTGAGACAGAATCAAATTTTCTTAGAACCCATAAGCCAATACCTAAAACAGGCATAGTTATTTTGTTTTACATTTTAAAGCATAAAAACATATATATCAAAGTAACTCATTTACCACTAAATCAGAACACTAGGTGAGCTCCCTCTGCCAGTATGGACTCTTCACCTCTTTAATTTCCCACCAGCCATTCTGATTTCATAGATACAGTACTGTTTGTTTGTTTGTTTGTTTGTTTGTTTAGAATAATATTTAAATACCGCTGTATCATAAAAATATATCAATGTGGTTAACAATGTAAAAATATAAAACTAAGCAATAAAATCACAAAAAGTTAAAAGCAAAAAGGAAATTAAAATTTTGAGGAGCACATGATAGGGTGAAATAGAAGCCACTTAAAAGTGTTGTATTTTTGTTGCTTTCTACTAAACGATGGAAGACATTATACGTTTTATTGGGTTAGCTTGTTCTTCACACTAAACTGGGACTTCAGTGGGAGAGGAAGGAGATTAAAATAGTCACCCCTGTGCAAACAGCCAACCTGCCTACATGCATGACAGACCACAGAATACGGTGTAACTCAGTGCTCAATCACAACACACTAACGGTAGTGTATTAACCCAACAGGGAGACCATATTTCAAATAACAGGGTGTGCTAGCCCTGTATCTTGTACACTTAGAGATCACAAGGGGGATTTCAGTGAGGAGAAGAGCACTGTGCACTTCCTGCCAGAGCCCACCCGTGTAGGTTGGCGCTCTCGGTTTATCTGAAATGTGGGTGCCATCACTTGCACAGTCCCTGATGTGCATGTTGTGGAGGTGTTTTCAGGGACACAGTGTGCGTGCCTGACATTTTCCCACCATTTTTGTTTTGTTTTAGCTGGGTCATTTTCTTCTCTCCAGCTGGGCTGAGCACAGTGCAGTGACTCTTCCCCCAGCATAGCGCTACCATATCTCTGGCCCCCACATAATGTGGGTATAGGATTGCTGCGTCTGTGCTTCAGACTTTTGTGCTCAACAGTTAAGCAGACGTTCCCTCACATTATTGCTTGGATTTTTAGCTTAGTGTGAAGCTGGCCCAGTTAAATTTAAAGTTATCAACCTACCCTACAGTCCCAATCACATCGGTCCAACATGGCGAAGTGAATGAAATGTCAGTACCATGTTGCATTGCACTTCATATATAAGATAACTAAGCAATGCTCTTCTGGGATGAGTTTGTGGGTTTGTGCCAAGAACCTAATTAGAGCTTGAATTGCTTGTCGGAGATAAAAATAGGCCTCACAGCCGAACTTTTGTATGTAATCTTAGCACAAATTAAGCCCAAGACAAAAAGGAGAGTAGGGGGAAGAGGAACATAAATAGGTTGGCATTTGATAGCTATAATTTTATCCTCTCAGAGCAGCTGTATGTTCCATACCAACACATAGGTAGGCAAATGGAAGAAGAGTCACTGGTGTGATGCAAGGAAGACTCTTTCTTCCTACTATGGTACTCAGTGGCATCTTATAATGCCTTTTGACATTTTTCCTTTCCTTTCCTTTCCTTTCCTTTCCTTTCGCTGTGAACAATCTCAATTCAGTGTCCCTAAATCTGAAACATCCAGAACATATATTCAGAAAATATTAAAATTTGAAGCATGGATTCCATCTAACATTTGATAAATGTTGAAGATGCAAGAAACTGCATGAAGACTCCTTGAATAGTTTTTGAAAATGCTCCTCCAGGAAACCCTTTAGTAGGCTTATCTTTTGGGACAGACTACAGTTATTACTCAAGACCTGAACGTGTCTGCTGCTTGGTTGTTTACAGAATATAGTGAATAATAGAGATATAGAAAATGTTTCTTAATTTTTAATAATATTTTTATAAAATGAGATCAATTCTCCACTCTATCAGCCTCATTTTACAATATATTGGATATCACTGTACTGATAAAACAATGACATTCTGTGAGCGTTCCTGGAGGTAAACAAATGCACAGTCAATTCATAAGATGCCATGATCAATGGTTGAGAATTGGAATAATAAATTTCACAAAAATGGCTCGGTTCACAGCTCAATCTAAGCCAAAGGCGGAAAATCTGTGGCCTGCATGCAGGCCAGACTTCGAGCACCAACAGGCAACCCCATTTAGCCCACGCTCTTATTGTTGACAATTACAGGAAGGGCAAGATTTCCAAGACTGATGAAATCCTTTCCTCTCATAGCCGCTAATGGGAGGCCTGTGCACACATGGTGCTCTCATCATTGGTTTTCTAGGGTGACCTCTAATGAATCACCCCCCAAAAAGTCAAAACACAGATCTGCAAAAAAAAAAGAACAAAAAATGCACATGCTGATTTAAGAAAAATAGTAACTGTAATTTAAATGGAAATACAATGCACCTCACCTTAGTTGGGAAGAATGTGACCAGGCGAGCTGTGTACCTGCTGTCTAGGTGGTAGTTGTTGATGGGAAACTTCTGGGCTCCTGCTCTCCCTTTTAATGGTGTTTTGTTTTTTACCAGACTTTGGCCAGATAATCCTTCAAGTACAGGACAGCCCTTTAAATGGAGAACTCTCTCTGTGTAAAGTAGGACACATGGCCACGCCAAGGTATTCACCCATTGTCTTCTAAATTAAGGCTGTTGAGTTTACACATCTTCCATTCATTAGATGGAAATGTTTGCCTTAAATAATTACAGCAACAGTAGTTTAGGGGGAAAAAACCAGCAGTGCACTCAGTCAAAATCTAATAAACAGGATTGGTTTCTTCTACTAATGTTAGAAACCAAGGTATAACACAAACATGTAACAGAGACCGGTTATATATACAGTAGAGACTATGTAAACACAGATCCATTACAGTAAAAAAAAAATACTTAGCAATTCTTAAAAATTCAGCATATTATTATGTGAGTAAAAGGAGTAAACACACTGCGGATGAGGTTTCACTCAACATTCAAAGCTAACTTGCCTCATCTGTTGAACTCTTCAACAAATGTTCTTGAAGGCAGCAACTCCGAAAGCTACTCAGAAGAATTTTCAAGAGCTTAGCATGTCTGAAAAAGGCTTCAGTCATAAGCATACCTACTTGGAAGTAAGTCCCATTCAATTTAATCAAATTGCTGCTAAGCATGAATACTTAGGGCTATAGCTCAACATTTTATTTTATATTAAAATAAAATGGTTTAGCCCTTCATTCTTTAAATACAGATCTTGATCTTATGGTTTCTCATTATCTCTGTTCCGATTCACATGTGTAACAAATGATCCCTTTTTCTATTCACACATGTAGCAAATGATTCATTTTTTCTACAGCATACTCTTCACATTTGTAATGTATTCAAAGTGTCTGACTTTTACCTCTGAATTGGCCCTCTGCCCACCATTGTGTCATGCTATGTAAGATTTAAACCAATGCATATTCAAGTGGCTGTAATTAATCTGAAAGTTAATTTCTGAGACTATTTCTTTCAATAGTTTACTAATAGATCTCTCATAATTGTTATGATAATATTGTAGAGATAAATGCTTTGTAACAGCCTCTAACACTAGTTCTCAAACTGTCTCTGAAAACATGTTGGAACAAATCTACTAACCACAGGGAATGAGCAATTCCAATTAATGGAATCACTCCAAAAATATTTCAATATATTGCCACATTTGAGATTTAACCACTTTAATTCAAAGAAGCTAAAAGATCTAAAACTACAGAGGAACTACAGTGAACTTGAATAATCTGAAACAAGCTAGAGCTACTGGCTCTTTACAATTCTCTGTGAACTAAATACCGTATGCAATTTATTTTACTTGCAATACAGGATTGCACACCCTAAAGGTGTTGCTTTATTTAAACACAAATTTATATAATGACTATGTTGTTTATAATACTTGCCCAAAATTAATTTATTAAAGCAGAGTATCTAAACAGCACACGATTCCAAATACAAAGCTGTTCCAAACATAAAATGTTCAGAGTTTATTTTCGTTATGCAGGTTAGAACTTGAAAGATCTGGATGACATCTAATACTCAAGAATACAGATGGGGGCGGGGAAGAGAAACCAACCTTAAGTCAAGGGAATGCAATTGCTGATCATAGCTTTCAGAAGCAACAGCAAAGGGAAGCTGCCACAATTTTCTGTGTCACCCACTCATAGTCCTTTAATTGTAGCAGTAAAACTCAATCTGTATTGACACAAACATAAGGCAAAGAGGACTACATACTCCCACTGTCAGCTCCAGGTTTTGGGAGACCCTCAGCTAGATGCCTTCAGGAACCGCACTTCAAGTAGTACCACGTCCTTCTTATTACTGTTGACATTGCCCATCCATTTGTCCTGTCCTTTGGGCCTAATCCACACCCTAAGGAAAGGGTGAGGGGATTAGAGAGTGCTGGTCCATTTCCTCCTTGCTCCTTTCACTGCCAGCTCACTCAGGGCTGCTAGATGGGTAGCGGCAGGATGAGGGGACTCTGGAGTGGTCAGGGCCCAAGGAAGCCAACCTTGGGTGCCCCTAGACTGCTTTCTTCAGAAGCACATGCCTTACTTCTGTACAGTTCACATATATCTTTAGAAGTACAAAAATATATCCCCACAGGAATTAGCGGGCTAGGTTAAATAAATGAGGATATTCCAGTTCTGGTATGGTCTGCTTTCTTCTCTCTATGGCTGAGGCAACTATGGTGGGGAGGAACAGGCCCCAGCAGTACAGGTATGGGCCCTTTAAAGAGGAGTCCAGACCCTTTGCCTTCTTCACTTTCATTATTCTCTCCGTGAAAATGGGAATTAATTATAGTTCAGTTTGTTTGAAGGAAGTAACTGTGCAGTCAGCCCAAATAGTGTACTGTGGTTGTCATTCTTCTTTTGCTGCATTGAGCTGATGCATATTTAAAGATCACCCGTGTTGTTGCAAAGGCTAGGTACACAGATACAGTAAACATTTTATGTCGCAAAAATGAATGTGGTTCCTTTCACTAACAAAGGAAAGCTACACATGCACACTTAGCAAACTGAACAGAGTTATGTTACTCTCTCAATTTTCCACCATAGAAGTAATGTGGACTGGACATTTTCTTTCATTTAGTAGTTGTTCTGATAGGTTCCATGCCGTCTCTTTGGCCATTCTTTTTCCACCCATTTCAGCAGCATTTTCTCAATATCAACTCTTTGATATAATTTACAGAGATCAATCAGCTGCTCCACAGTTCTGTCACTATTCCGTAGCAAAAACTCCAAGGTGGGGCTCTGTGGTTTCTGTTCCAGGAAACACAATTCATCGTAGGTCATCCCCCATTTGCTTGCAAAGTTTCTCCAGTTTTTCACTGTAGGGTGGGCGGGATCCAACTTTATCCTCATCATATACAGCAAGTCCTCATCATTGAGCAGGTCGCTGATGGTTGGCTGGCGAGACAAACATAAGGAGCAGGTGCCATTTTCTGTACATGACTTCTTCAGAGCTAGAATTACAATTATACTGGAGTTATTCCTTAGCTTTGTGGCACATAAAACTCAAAGTCCTCATTCAGCTGTACTGATCAATGAACTGTAGTTTATCAAACTAGGAATGAGTCACCCTCCTTCCCCTCTCCCCTCCACTGTGCGGATTCAACAAAACTTTATTGGGTTCTTAAGACACCAGAGCCAGGAAACGGAGATTTAAGAGTTCCCTTCAAGATATAGAGCTGCATTCTGGAAATAAAGCCATGGCTTATCAAACCCATCTGAATTGGGCCAATACATGCAATTCTGAAAAATAATATGCTTCAGAAACTAGGGTTGCCATATCTTGAAGAGCAAAAAGGGGTGGCCCCCTCGCCTCTTTCCCCATCTCAGGCTAGCAGTGACTGCGGTGTGTAGAGCAGACTGAGCCACCCAAGCCCTCAAAACCCAGACATTTCCTTTAAAATGTAAAAATCTGCCCGGATGGGCATGTTGGCCCCCCAAAAGAGGACATGTCCGGGGTTTCCCAGACATATGGGAACCCTACACAAACTGTTTCTGAAATAAATGAGCATATCTATGGTTTTCTTATGCACTACACAGAGAACATAGAAAGCATACGGACACAGAAAGCGGCCCTCTACTGAGATCATTAACCCATTGAGATTGGCATTGTCCATTCTCACTGGTAGTGGCTTCCCAAATCTCAGACTACTTCTGTGAGATCTTATTAACTGGAGATGGCAGAGGCATCATGTGTGCAACACATGTGCTCTACTGCTGAGCTCTGACTACCTAAATCCAACAGAGCTGATTATGCTACCATGCTACCTGATAAAGTGGCCTGGACATGCTGCTAATAAAAGTTGTATCAGAATGGGTTAACCTTCCAACTTCCCCAGTAAAAAAAAACAAAACAGGAGCAGGGGCCTCATGCAAGTTATCTGGACAAACAAGTTCAATAATAATATTAATTTTCTGCATGTCTCCACCTTACAGGATCACTTTTAAAAGACACCTTGAGCAATCACTAAACATTTTGTTAAAGTCTGATCTAAGAAACTGTGCTATAATAGAGCACAGTTGTGTAAGATAAAATTGTTTGGTTTGGGGTGTGTGTTTTTTTACAATCAGCGTAATAAAGATAATTCCCTTTGTTTGCTGGCGGTTCTAAATTCAATCCAGGCACTAAGTTCATTTGGCTAGGGGCACTGCATTACCTGTAGGTGATTCACCAGTACTACTTTGGCTGTCATCATCTTCTTCTGGCTGCAAAAAAAAAGTAATGTTGATTTAAAGTCTTGTTCCAGGGAAAGGAACTTTAATTTATCAACCTATGAGGCCTGAATCTAGAGTAATATGTATGTAGCTATTGCTTTAGGGGGAAAAAAGATGAGCAGTTGAGATTAACCATTTTATGCAAGGCTTTAAATGATTTGGACAAACATTTCTCAGCAGTAAGGTTAGGCCAAGAAGGACCCTGGCGATGGCAACAGATCAGCAGCAACAGCTTGTACTATTACGAAAAGGCTATAAACCCAGATGAAGCATACCCTTTCCCTGTTTATTTTAAGTTTTAAAGATTAGAGCAATGAGGGGCTTTCCCTTGAGATATCTTCAGGAAAATACAGTTGCCTTTTGTATAGCTTCATTCACCCAAGAGTATCACAAAACACTCTGGATCAGATCGTAAGTTGTGCATGCAAATACAGGTAAACTATGTAGTTATATAAGACACTGTAACCAGACACCTTGCCCACCTACGCTTAACTGCATCAGTAAATCCATTCCAAATAAGCTACATAGATAATGTATGTGCTACGGCCATGGCAACTATGCACACAATGCCTAATCTGTCTTCTGGGGATAATCAGAATCCGCAGAAGGGGCAGGCAGAATCCTACACATTTTTATCTCGGTTGAAAGTCAGTGTTCCCTGCACCACTCTCTCTGGTGAAATGTTACATGCTAATGAGAGAGTTGTAGTCATAATCAAGGGGCTTCTCCCTCACTGGATTTCTCTTTTCCAGTACTAAATAACTTTTATTTATATTGTCAGATTTGCATAAACCCTAGACACCAGTCAACTAGGGATTTCTCACTGAAATCCTTGGAAATGTTGCTCAGCTGATATCTGTATCCCAGGGCTGGGGCAGGGCAGGGGGGAAATTTACTACAGTCGTACCTCGGAAGTCAAATGGAATACATTCCAGAAGTCCGTTCGACTTCCAAAATGTTCGGAAACCAAGGTGCGGCTTCCAATTGGCTGCAGGAAGCTCCTGCAGCCAATCGGAAGCCATAGAAGCCATGTTGATCGTCCGGGTTCCAAAGAATGTTCACAAACTGGAACACTCACTTCCGGGTTTGCAGTGTTTGGGAGCTAAAATGTTCAACTCGCAAGGCGTTCAGGATCCAAAGTATGACTGTACTGCCATTACTGTGGTTTTTCCCAGCTCTCCTAAAGTTTTGGCATAGAACTGTAGAGCTGGAAGGGACCATGAGGGTCATCTAGTCTAAACATCTGCAATGCAGGAATATTTCCCCCAAAATGGGACTCAAATCCATGATTAACCGGCTGAGCTATTAAGCGCTACAACAAAAAAACAAGATAGGATACGATAGTGTGTGTTGCTTCTGGTTGCTGAGACCCTGGTGGACGTTCTTAAGAATAGAGATAGCAGGAACTGATGGAAACATGACCAGCACTGTAGGGAGAAATACTGGCAATCGATTTAAGGGGGTGGACAGAGAGAAAAGACAATGCCATGTGTTAAGAAAGCCAGAACTTCGGTGGAGAGTCAGCACTGCAATGTCAGTCCTTCTATTTCCAGTGTTCAGGCATGAGGGCTACTGCTCATTGTACCCAAAATGGCAGCACCCGTGCACAAAAGGGAGGTGTCAGCAGACTTGGGGAAACTCCTGATGTTTGCAGAAGCACAAAAAGTATTTAGGAAGAATCCTAAGTAGGGGACCCTGCCTCACCACCCCAAAACAGCCCAATGGGAACTCAGCATGCCCGGTAGTCACAGAATGCTAACTGACCATTGTAGGTAGGAGAATGGAATAGAATATCCTGGAGGCAGAGCATGGCTAACTTACTGGAACTGGGAACGGCAACCCTGCAACAGTTTGCTGCTGGTCCCAGTTGTAGTCTAGAATGCTGTCTGGAACGTTTAAGAGGATTGTGTCCTGAGGATTGTCTGATAATCCTAGAGGCCTGGAGGCATGCCCTACAGCCATTGGTTCTTTACTAAGGACATAAGGACCACCCTGCTGGATCAGAACAAGGATCCATCTAGTCCAGCAGTATGTTTTCCATCATCAGTCAGATGCCTTTGGAAAGAGCTAGACACTAGCTATCAAGTATCTCCTACTGTGACCAAGGAAGGCAACCAGCTATCAATCCTGTAGCAGATGAATAAATCCAAGATGAAACTCTAAATGGGTAATCTAATGTGAAAGGGGATGGCAACACCTAGCAGAGATTAGTGGGATGTATCCCTCTGTTTTCCAAAGTCAAGTGCATCATTGGCTCATTCTGTTCAACCCTGCTGAAAACTATGGCACCCCAAATTAACCTCTTTGTGCTCAAATGGAATTGACCTACCAGAGTCTTTAAATCATATCAACAAAAACACTGTACAGGAAGAATGAAGCTAAAGCAGGATAAAATTAGTATACCGTGTGCCAGATTGGCATTTCAGAGCAAACTGCAAAAGCAGGTTAAATATTGCTTTGTTTGGATTTACATTAAAACACCCAATTTTGTATAATATCTAAGAATTCTCGCTAAACCCAAGATGGCCCCCCTTTTTAGAAAAATGTGCAACAAGACAACAACATGAGATCCTCCCACTACAGTGTGTGCTGCCATACATATACAGCCCCCTGTCCCTTGTGGTAGTTTAGCTTTGTGTCTTGTGAGCCAGGCAAGCAGGCTGCAGTTCAATGCCAGAGTGGTAGGTAGGAGCTCATCTGTTCCTGTCAAGGCATGCCACAAACTCCACCAATTCAATAAAAGATTAATTCACATGCAATTACGTCTAAAACAACTTCAAATACAGTTGTGTCCATTTTGGTGCATGTTAGTCAGTATATGTTTATACTGTAAGAGAAGTAACCAGCTATTAAAACATTGCCATTTAACAAGATCATTTTTATTGCCTATTAATAAATTGCAAGACCAGACAGAACTACAAATTTGCCTTCCATGAGTTGGAAGATGAGAAAAACCAGTACACCCTAAAGGCAAAATGTAGCTTCTACAAATACACTGAAACATTTGTAAAGGGAAATCAGTTTCACTGCTTTAAAACACACACACACATACACACTTCAACTGAAGTCAGAAGCCAGTTTAATATGATGTGTTGTTTTGATGAAGACCTTTTGTTCCCTAAGGGTACAATCCTGTACTCAAGTTCAGCCAGCTGAGGGGCTATAGGATTTGGTGGAAGCACTACTGCATTGAAGAACTTGAGACACAACATTAGCACAAAAAGTACACCAGTGAAACCACACCGAATATGCTAATAGAACATTCTACTGGTGAAAGTACAGGAGCAAAACAGCCAAAATGGGATGTAGCCATGGGGGTGGGGCACAGAGGAGGACCACACCTGCACCAAATCCTCCAAACCACGACCACATCCCCATGGAGAGCACCACTTCACACCAGTCCCAAACCTAACACCAAAAAATGGCCTCTGGTTTACTTCCATGAGAAGTGGGTCAGGTTATGCATTAATGAGCGCCTCACCCACACTGCCATAACAGAGCCCAGAATAGAGTGTGACCCAGCATCTAATCGGACCAGTAGCTAAACCTCAGCATACAGGCTTCATAGTGACATCTAGTGATGCTTTCCTTTGAAGCCTCAATGGTTGGGACTTCAAAGCAAACTGGGGTTTTCAAACAGCCCTTTGCAAACATCCTCTCATGAAGATGTTCACAAAGGAGCTTTCAGACCCCCTTTTCCTCATGCATTTCTTCTTCAAATGAGGGGATGGAAGGCATGCTCCCATCCGCCCATTAACTAAATAATTGGTGGGAGCACACCTCGTCTGATCAAAGGAACAACTGGAAACTTTACGCTTATTGTTCCTTTGAAGACCCACCATTACCCAGCCCATGCCTGACATCATATAGGTAAGGCAAAGATAAAGGCAAAGGACAGTTAAGTCCAGTCAAAGGCGACTATGGGGTGTGGCGCTCATCTCACTTTTCAGGCCAAGGAAGCTGGCGTTTGTCCACAGACAGCTTTCCGGACCATGTTGCCAGCATGACTAAACCGCTTCTGGTGCAACGGGACACTGTGACGGAAGCCAGAGTGCACAGAAATGCCGTTTACCTTCCCACTACAGTGGTACTTATTTATCTACTTGCACCTGTATGTTTTCAGACTGCTAGGCTGGCAGAAGCTGGGACAGAGAATGTCAGGGGCAGATAGGTGTGGCTTCCTGAAAATGGCCTTGTGGGCCAAATGGGCAGGCCTGGAGGACCATGTTTGGTCCACAGGCCAGGAGTTCCCTACCCCTGCTACAGAGCCTCAAACAGGGTGGGAGTTTCTTTGAGAGCTGCTTGCTGCCATATGATCCTGACCACCTGTTAAGATCTTAACTGGAGACCCAAGGTGCCCATGCTTCAAATATGAGATAGGTGTTGACCTGGGATTGCCTGGGGGTTGAGGGCTTTTCCATGGCTTTGTGTCATCTCTTTCCTCTTTTTATCTTTTGAACACCAGACTAAAACAAGACTTCTGTTGAACTAGTAGTAAGCTGTTGGGACACAATAAATGTTAATTAAGCTTTATGTATCAGCAAAACATGCTAGTTTAACAGCTTACCTGTTGTATGAGACCTGAATCAGATGTCAGGCTCCTAATGTTAACAGATGCTATTTCCAATGTCACTTTTTCTGTTTGGTATTCATCGTCTAAAAAGGCAAATTCTGAAGTGTTAGTCACATTCAGCTCTCACCATCTTTGCTTACTAAAATTCAGCTAGATTATGACGACAATTTATATATCAGGGCAAGAAGCCAGCCTTGCAGTTCCACACATACTAGCAAAACCAGCAATGGCTTGCCAAGAGCTCTACATATTGCAAAAGAAGCAATTTATACCAGGGGGCACAACATCCGCTTCACTGGCTCGCCACAACATGGAAGCCAGGGATTAACAACAACAACAACAACATCCCACTCTGTGCATGTGCATTATGAGTGAAGAATCACCACCATTCGTTATGCTAGACACCTCTCCCAAAACATCTGTCTTACTCTTATTGTATTTAAAGTTGCATTTAAAGACCCGGTCCCATTTGATTTGCAAAAAAATGCTCTGTCTATCAATCTTGTCCAACTTTACACAGGATTTGGCAGGGAACCAGACTTTGTACTATTAATGCACAACTCCAGTCTTGCCTACTCAATTTTAAGATGCTGAGCTTGACACAATGAGAGAAGGAGGAAAAACAGAAGGCAGAGGTCACAACTGCAATAGAATAATAAAATGTTCTATGGTGTTGCTGAGGCACAGCACTCATTCTGCAGCAATTAATCCGATGGGCCAGCTAACAGGCACTTTAAACTACCGTATGTAAATCACAGCTGCCAGGGAGCAGGATTGTGCCTCTGCAGGTGGGCAGTTTAACTATCAACAGAAGTTTTCTTCTCAATTCAAACAGGAACATGTGGGGACATTTTTTTTGTCTGCACCACTGCATGTCCTGCTGTGGCCACAATCCTGCTCTCTATGCCTACTATTTGCACTAGAAAAAAACAAGCATTTTCATTGAATTCATGTACCTAATGTTACTTATAGTTTAATGTTACAGCAAAAGTGACACCAATGTTGCAATTCTAATCACATTTACTAGGAAGTAATGAAGCTCTTTTGGAATGCATTTAGAATGTGTCAAACCCACCTTTCAGGGCATAACCCAAGACAGTTTACATGGATTTTCTAAAACAAAATCACATAAAACAAAATTTCCAAACAACCCTCTAATTAATGATAACTTTTATTGGATATCAAATTAAACATTCTTGAATGAGGTCTCTTGATGCCCCAGGCTGTCTGGAGTGGTGGGAGGCCTGGTTGGGACTTGCCTGTATTGTGAGCTGTTAATGTTGCTGTTCCCACCGCAGTTCCAGACTCTCTACTACTCAATGGGATTCACCTCTGAATACTTAAGACATGCTTAAGCCTATACTGTCTATTGCCCTTAAAATATAATGCTGCTCCCTTCTGCTGGTGATGGGGAGAGTTCAAAAAATTGATGTACGTGTGTTGCAAAAGGCAAACAGGAGTGAGCCATGCATGCATTTTATTTTTAAAAAAAGATGTTCACAACTTCTGGTGGCACAGGGGTCGCTGGAGTGAAGAACAGGAGAAAAGGCAGGGCAGGGCATCTAGCAGCAGGGTGACTGGGGGAAAGGTGCAGCCAGAGATCATAATAGGCATAACACACTTTACACAGAGACAAACGTTTTGCACAAACACGCAAGAGTTTAGGTGGTGCATTGGCAGTGGGGGAGAGCATGGTGAGGAGCTGGGGGCGGAGGGAACAGAGTGATTAGAGCAGGGGTAGGCAACCTAAGGCCCAGGGGCTGGATGCAGCCCAATCACCTTCTCAATCTGGCCTGTGGACAGTACAGGAATCAGCGTGTTTTTACATGAGCAGAATGTGTCCTTTTATTTAAAATGCATCTCTGGGTTATTTGTGGGGCCTGCCTGGTGTTTTTACATGAGCAGAATATATGCTTTTATTTAAAATGCATCTCTGGGATATTTGCGGGGCATAGGAATTTGTTCATCCTCCCCCCAATGTAATCTGGCCTCCCACATGGTCTGAGGGATGGTGGACTGGCCCACAGCTGAAAAAGGTTACTGACCCCTGGATTAGAGGGTGGAAGGGAAAGAAAGGGAGGCTAGGAGAGGGGGAGAAAGAGCTTAAGGGCTGGGAGAGCAAGAAATAGTGAGCATAGAGTGGGCGGTGGAAGGAAAGCAAGGGTAGCAATGGGGATGGGGCAGAAATAGCAAGGCTAAGGGGTGGAGAGAGATATTTTAGGTGCTTCAAGAAAGGAAGCCATCTTTCTCCCAAGTGCAGCAAACAAGAAGAGAGGTCATTCCCTAGTCTCTGCTTTAAACCAAGCAACCTGCCTGCTCCTTCTGCTGCTTTCATCCAAAAGTGATGTGTTGTCTAAGCTCCTCTCAAACATTCCCAGCTCTACTGGGGATGGAAGCTGGGACCTTCTGCATTCAAAGCAGATGCTCCACTGCCGAGTTACAGTCCATTCCTCTGTGTGAAGGCACTTTCACACACAGATTGAGGGACTGCCAATTTCACTTCCAGCAATATCCCCATAGATTGCCCTGAGTCTCACTCCCACTCCCAAGTGGCATCTTGGGCAGGACTGCAATGAGAAGGGATAACCTGAATAACCCCATGTCATGTTCCATGTGTGGTCACTTGGTATTCAGACAGTAATTAAGTGTTTTAAAAACAAACTTTTCTACATTGGCTTTAGAGACATTGCAATGTATATTTTCCACATCAAGTGACAACCACACTTATTTTGCATAGTTTAGGAAAGTTTTAGACAATTACAAATATATAGCTACTACAATTTTCTGCACTTACCTTTTGGTAGTGCTGTATCTTGAACAGGGTACTTGTTTGTCTGTTCAAAAGATGGGGAGACAAAATATACAATCAGATATATTTTAACAAACTTAATGATTGTCGCCTTGTAAAACTGTCTTTTTTCATTCCTCTATATCAGGCTGACCAAACTGAACAGAGTGTGAACTGCCTTGTATGGCAGCTTGCTAGGTACTCCACAATCCTCCTGTTTCTGCAGTCCCAGACAGGAAGGAACATGGAAGAAATAAACAGAGCTTTGTTAAATCCTTTAGTGGGCTTCAGAAGCTAGGAAGCTGTCTTACACCGAGTCAGACCATTGGTCCATCCAGCTCAGTATTGTCTACACTGACTGGCAGTGGCTCTCCAGGGTTCTAGACAAAAGGGCTTGGCTTGGACCTTCTGAATGCAAGTCAGATGCTCTACCATTGACCCACGACTCTTTTCCCCATGGTGGTGGTCTGAAAGCTTCAATAACAGATGTAGAAATTGCAGAATCACAGATGTCATGGAGCTGCCACTGAAAACAGCATCCCTCTCTCCTTGTAAGGCAACTTGCCCCATACCTTGGCTTAATTATTCCAAGTGTTTCCCTCCCTGTCCCATTTCACATCATATGACAAGGTATCATACATAGGCAGGTAATAGAATTAGCTGAATTATGCATTGTGGTGGGAGAAGGGAGGATCTCAGTGGCCTGGTTCACATGTCACAGTAAGCCGAACTATGGCTTCTGAGAACCATGTGAATGTGCAAGTTCCCCAAACCCAGGAATAAGGTACAGGTCTGTCCTCCTTAACCATGGCCGGTAACCGTAGATCAAACCTCAGTTATGGTTCAAGGTTTAAGAGGAGAGACCTTAAGCACAGTATCAGGTCCAGATTACACACCTTGGCTTAGCTGCCATGCTTCACTGTGCTGAAAGTGAGTATGAACAGCAACTTCAAGATCCAACAACGTTCCCATAGTCTCAGTAAGCTATAATATGTGAACTGGGCTTATGTGTGGTTGTTGGTTTTGGTGGCAGCCCCCTATATTTTAGGATATCTGATTCTATTCTGAATTCATCCATTGCATACAGTGGTGCCTCGCAAGACGAAATTAATCCGTTCCGCGAGTCTCTTCGTCTTGCGGTTTTTTCGTCTTGCGAAGCACGGCTATTAGCGGCTTAGTGGCTATTAGCGGCTTAGCGGCTTAGCGGCTATTAACAGCTTAGCGGCTATTAATGGCTTAGTGGCTTTAAGAAAAAGGAAACAAACTCGCAAGAACTCGCAAGACGTTTCGTCTTGCGAAGCAAGCCCATAGGGAAATTCGTCTTGCGGAACGACTCAAAAAACGCAAAACCCTTTCGTCTAGCGAGTTTTTCGTCTTGCAAGGCATTCGTCTTGCGGGGCACCACTGTTGTTGGTACAGAAACATTTCACCAAATGTCCTGAAATACCAGGGATTTATGAACCTGTTCTGACAGTATTAAAAACTATAAAATGGTAACCAACATTTACAATAATTGAATTAACGGTTACATTTCATTTCACTACAATACATTCAGGAAATTACATACTTCTTCTGAGGATAAAGTGCTAGGGTCTGTATCTTCTACTGGCTCTTTCATTGCCTGATCTGCTGGAAACAAATAAAGGAAAGTTTTAATTTGTGTTTCTCAACATCTCCAGTCTACTTTAATTGCCTCCATTGTATATATAGGCAAGTGTTAGTTTGTAACACAAAGGAATGTTTCACATTCTGGTTTTTAAATTGTTATTCTAGCAGAATAAATAATCATAAAATCATATGCACTTACATTTTTCTATAACTTTAATGAAAAATTATCATCTGCCACAAGCAGTTTTCACCAAGAGTAACACAAGTGCATTTTAGATAGAATAAACCTATTCTGATAAACCATATTTACCATGTTTGTCAGATGAGAAAGATGACATGTGCCTGCACACTTCCTCTTTGCACCTCCCATTCTCTTCTCCTATTTTTTTTAAACCACAGTTTCCTGTGACATCTGAACTGCCAAACTTAGTTTATAGTATTTCTTATATCATTTTTAATCATCTATGTATTTTTTGTGTTGTCATTTTTATTTATCAGCTAAGCAATCTTATATTCTACTTAAACCAAGAGTGCGAACAAGCCACTGCTATGCCATGAATAGGGCCAGGGCGCAGACAGAAGGGAACAACAGACCACATTCTTTCTAGGGTAGTTCCAGACCACAGGCTGAATTTTCAAACAAATAGGTCATTGGCAACGGTTTAAAAAACAGCAACAAAACATTGTATTTTCCCCAGAAAGGGTAAATCTGGATTAAAGGGGGGCGGGTAATGGGCTGCAATTTTAATGACAACATGTGAATGCTGCAAAATACCTGCATGCATGAGGAGCACCAATCCGACTTGTCACTATCAGAAAAGTTGCGGCTCAAAGGGAGGGGCAGAAAAAAGAGTATGGAGGGGTGGCTGGAAAGAAAGTCTCTCCCTCCCAGTTCCTAGCCATCAAATTTCTTGGGCCTGTCACTTTCTCTCAGCCTGCCTCAAAGGATTGTTATGATGACAAAAGATTATGTACTTTCCTGTGACGACTGTACTGTGTGCCTTGTTTGCTATTTAAATTGGATCCAAAACCAGACCTAAGTGCCAAGGGAAGTAAGGAAGAGTCAGGTATTACTTTGGCAAACAGCCCAATCCTGTGCATATGAACTTCAAATGAAGTCCCCTGAGGTTTGAGATGTCTTATTCCCGCACAGACTATCTGGAACACCAGAATCCATAGAAGTGGATTTCTGCTGTATGTTGTGATTTAGTTTCTGTTCATTAGCAACATCCCTTTGTACTGCATAACCGTTTTGAAGTTGAAGCAATTGAGAGCTTGGATCAAAGAAATTCCATGCTCATCATCCTATCAAACTAATTATAAAGTTCTGAAAGCCAGCCTGAAAAAGATAAGCAAGAATAGATAAGTATCACTCAAAGCTAGAAGTATTGGATATTTTTCCAGTCCTCAGTTCACCTCTAATTTCCTGGTGCACTACTAAGCTTAAATATGGCTCCAGCTCAGCGGTATTAAAACAAGCACCGGAGCAAGAATTATCTTTACTTTGATACTTTCAGATGAGGTTCTCAAACAGGGGAAGAAGCATCCAGGAGGTGGGCTGTTCTGAATAGTGGGGTTGCACTCCTGGAAGAAGCAGGTTTTTGTAGCTTGTGTGTGGCTTTAGTAGCTTGGAGTACTCAGGCCCTATTTCCTGCTCTGCTTGGTTCCCCAGCTTCTGGCCTCTTCTGGACACAGATGACTAGGCCACAGTACTCCATGCTGTGTTAACTTCTAGATTGGATTACTGCAATGCAATCTATGTGGGGCTGCCCTTGAGGATGACTCCAAAACTTTAGCTAGTCAGATTATTGGCTGTGGTTTCCATTCAAACTTATATAAGCCCTGTTCTAAAACAGCTGCGTTGGTTGCCAGTCTGTTTACAGAATTAATGAAAGGTGCCCTAAACAAGTTAGGCCCCAGATATCTGACAGACTGCCCTTCCCTACAAACCCTTTTGAGTGTTTGGATCAGAGCCCTCTTGGTAGCTTCACTGCCCTTATTTTATTTTTTTTATTTTTTTTGTGGGGTGGGTATCTGCAGTAGCCCTTAAATTGTAGATTTCCCACCGCAGAGCATGCCTCTGGCACCTTCTGAAGAGATTTTGGCAAACGCTGGACACACCTCTTTTAGGCCTTATGTTGTCCAACAGCATATGCTTAAAATAAAGTTCCCCGTTAAAAAAAAAAGTGTGTGTGTGTGTGTGTGTGTGTGTGTGCTGGTCACTTGTGCCTCAAGTGTGTGACCTGTACAACTGCATTCTCTTTCTCACTTAACTTGAAAAGCGTTTATAAACTAAATTACGCTCGGGACAGGTAGAAATTTGTTCTTGCTGAAGGATATAGGGAGCAATTCTCAAAAGTTACAGGATAAGGCAACTTTTTGCAACAATTTTGTGCACTTCAGAGGGATGCTGCAGGGCTTAATTTCGTTCGTGCATGAGTGAATGATTCATCAAGTCCTTTGAGGGTGAGGTGCTACAGAAAGGGCTTTTTAAGAATCGCTCCCGGTGCACGAAAAGTACAGGAGGAAGGAAAGCCTCGGACACACGCTCTCTTTCTCTCCACGCAGCACTGCGCGTGCAATGATTTTCTGCAATGGGTTTGCGGGAGTCGGGGCTACCAAGACCCAGTATCGCGCCTGTCGGCGATCTGCGGCATGAATAAGACCAAGGCGAGGCCAGAGGCGGAGAAGGGCTCGAGCTATGGCTGCCTCCGCCTCTCGCCTCGGAGCTGCAAGCGGAGTGGCTTCGCAGCGGGGCGAGGGGAGGAGGATCAGTGTCCACCCAGGGAGTCCGCCCTCCGGCCCGCCCCAGCGGCCACTCCAGGATCCCGCCTCCCTTCCCCTACCCAGCCCAGCCCCACTTCTCGGCGGCAGAGCTCGCAGGCTCCCGGCCACAAAAGACGCCCAGCCCCTCGCCTTTCCCACCAGACAGATCCCAAAGCAGGCGCCCTTTACCTTCGGGCAGAGGAGGGTCCCCGGGAGAAGCCATTGGGGAAGGGGAGGAAGAAGCTCCAGGGGAACGTCGGCCCTTGCGACCGGGCAACCCCCTCGATCCCTTGATCCAGGCTCCCCCGCGGTGCTTCCTTCCCCACTTCCTGGTCTGGTGCTGATCGAAGCCCTGGCTCGCTTGCTCGCTCTCCCTGCTGTACGCGAGGAGTCTCCGAAGGGAGCGGAAGCTGCAGGTAAAAGCCCAAACTTAGCAGGGGAAGAGCCATGTGCGGGGCGGGGGGAGAGCTGCTCTCCCCACCCCCAAGCTGCACTTCATGCTAAACAGTCCTCTCTCCGGATTCACCTTCGTCTGCCTCCCCCCCCCCCTTTAAAAGCACCTCCTGGCTAGATGGGGATGCGGATTATAATAATAACTTTGGGGAAAGTGTGTTGCACCTTAAGAACTGAGACGCCTTCGCATCCGCTGAGAGAGGCAGCGGGAGGAGTCATCAATTAACTTTAAATCTCCGCTTGAGGAAACATGTTGATGACTTAGTAGTAAACTTTACTTCCATAAACTACTCCGCTAATGAGGAACAACCCCAGATGTGATGTTAGTACATAGAAAGGTAGTACCGATTTCCGTAAAGATGGCATCACTTTTTTTAGTTATTTGAAGCTGGGGGGAGGGGGGCGGAAATCAAAGGGTTCCATAAGCACGCCATTAGGGTACACAAATATTAACCAACTTGCATTTATTTTTGGCACAAAATATTTTGGCTACAAGCACATGAGTGGTCAGATTTTACTTTCAAGCCAGTTCTATTAGAAAATGGGTTCTTTAATTCTCCTCCAGTGACCTGGGGGCAGTAATAGGTAGGAAACCAAAGTATGGGTGAGTGAGTGTTTTGTAGGCACTGTCACTTTCCTGTGACTGCTTTTTATGTTACCCGGGATCATTGCTATGCAAGTCCTGCCTTTCTTTCTTGCTACCCCACTCATTATAATGAAGTGTTACTGTAAAACCCAAGTTCCTATCAGGAGTTTTACGCTGAATAGTTGAGGACTGAACTTGAATGTTATGCTCTGAAGTTCCCTTCCAGTCCCTCTAACTATTCTTTATTCTTCTCCCTCAGAATTTGCCTTACACTTACATGGAAACGGAAGATTCTGACTGTATTTCATTAGATGAAGAGGTTTTCACAAAGAAAAACTTTCTCGTCTTGGGGAGGATAACCTTGACGATACTTTACTAGATTATGATTTTTTCAGGCCCTCCCTTGACAGCAGGAAAGTTTGAAGAATTGCAAACAAAGGATAGTAGTTTACTGGCCAGCCAGGATGCTGCCCCTGATGTTTAAGCAAAAGCTGAGGAGGTATCAGACCCATGCTAATGACAGAGTTTGTCCCTCTGACTCCTGTCCCAGGGATTCAGGGAAGTGTTCTGCATCACAACTCTCCCATTCACTGTTTATTTACATTGCATTTACACCCCACCTTTTTCCTCCAAGGAGCTTAAGTTACTGTACATGGTGCTGCCTCATTTCATCCCTGCAACAACCCTGTGAGGTAGGTTAGGCTGAGAGGCAGCAACAGGCTCAAGGGTACACAATGAGCTTGAACCCTGGTCTTCCAAATCCTAGTCTGACATTCTAACCACTACACCACATTGCCTCTCCTAATCCCACAGTTGTTAAGTAGAATGATGCTATGATTCCAGTACTGAAGTTCAGTGTTGAAGGCTCAGAAGATAAAGCCAAAAGAGAACTCCCACATCATTTCAGGGGAGTTTTTAGATTTAGCTCATGCTGAAATGATGACAATATGTTGTTGGCATCCATCTGTCTCAAGAGACAACGGAGTGAGCCTCTGGGGGGTCAAGTTAAACTGCTGTGTTAGCAGCACCAAAGTGACTTCCCTGGGTTGCAAGCCTGGGCAGTGTTTATGGAAGGTCTTTGGGATAAGACAGGCTTCCTCAACCTTGGCCCTCCAGATGTTTTGAGACTACAATTCCCATCATCCCTGACCACTGGTCCTGCTAGCTAGGGATCATGGGAGTTGTAGGCCAAAAACAACTGGAGGGTCAAGGTTAAGGAAGCCTGGGATAAGACCTCCCTCTCGGCCTTGCTGATGTGGTCCAAAGGAAAATGGAGCAATACATTTGGCACTAGCTTGGCTGCAGGAGTTGCTGGAAGGGGGTGTGCAAGGCTCCATCCAACCATATTAGGGACTGCAGATTTGTGTAGGGTTTACTCCTTAGCCTTTTCTTCACCCGAAGATATCCCATACAGACCATATACAAACCAATTAACCTAACATCTACTGATAAAACACATATATTTCTAAGCCCTAACTTGCATCCTCCTAAAACTTCCAGCAATCCAAACTAGTTAAAAGCTTAGTATTTATTTTTTTTTGGGCCATATAGCCCAAAATCCAAAACTGCCTTACAGCTAACAAGTGCTTTAAAGCTAACAATCCAAGCAGGAATCTATGAAACTGCCTTCTGTAGGCTCTGAGGAGAAGCTGCAGAACATGAATCCAGTGTATAGGATCCAGAATGGTACCAATGGGAAATAAGTTCATGTAAAAATAGGGGGAAATGTTTTAAATTGGAATAGTAAAGTCTGAGCTTCACAAGGGAATAAATAGAATAAACCAAAATTAAAAGGATTTTTGGAAGGAACAAAATGATATAAAAACTGTATATAGTCAAAACCATGCACACACCAGACGTCTAGACCCCAAAAGACTAGCTCACAATAAATTGCTAAAGTAGCTTCTAAAGCTGGAGGAAGGACATGCCCAAAACAAGAAACCCCTTCTCTCCGAGAGAAGGCAAAAAGGCAAGCTGGGCTCCAAAGACCTCAACAAGCAGAAATGTATTAGAAAACAAAAATAAAATCAAGCAATGTGAGCTCTAGCACTGAGGTAATCTCTTTCTGATCTCTCTGCACACCTTCATTTTCCTGTCTTCTGATTCACTTTTTTCTTACTAAAATTCAGTTCTGTATTAGTAAATGACACCAGGAGAAACTCCTGTAGAACAAGTGTTTTGTTTTTATTTAATTGTTTGGTTGGACTAAATATTCTTGAACCTTATTGGGGTACAAGGAACCTCATAAAGGCCATTCAAAACTGCCAACAAGTCGTCTTCATCCTGGGGCATGATCTGAGCTTGACTAAAGCCTTGCCAGCCTAGTGCTGCTGGCTGTGGGGAGTAGCACGCCTTATATCTTCTTTGTGATCTCAGCTTGTCTAAAGCATTGCCAAGCTTTCCATTTCTCATGATCCAGCAGGGTCCAGGCAGACACAGACATTTCTGCCTTTAAAGCAAACGTTCAGGCATGCTTAAACGATGAGCCAGAGTCTTCTTGACCAAGGTTTACTTCAATTCCATTCCACAGCTTCTGAAATTATCGCCTTCACCAGACACGTAGATGGGCCCACCAAACTGAGAAGAGCAACAATATTCAATACATTTGTGGCCTGCATAGATGACCAAGCAACTCTTGGGTGCAGCTGTGTAGCAAATTATGTGCTAAAATGATCATCAGTATCTGCCTGTAGGTTTGCAGCCTCTTGGAAGTTGTAGCCCAATAATATCTAGAGGGCCACAGCTTCCCAATTCATTGGTCTAGGCAGATGTTGGGCTGCCTCTTCTAGTTCCCTGTTGCCTTCTGGATACAATTCAGTATCTTGCCTTCGGCATTAAAAAGCCGCTCGTGTCCTGGTACTACCATAAACATTAAGATCAACTGTCAGCATCTTATTGCTTGTATCATCCTGTACCAATGGTATGCTTTTGGTGGTTGCCCCATATTTGTAGAACTACTGTTCTGTAGTAGAGATCTGTCAAAATCTGAGCTTTTCTGAATATTTTCTGGAACAACTATTTTGGCTGGTATTCTAGCTGCCAGAGTTAATATAGCAAATGATTAGTTTAATTTACTTTAATAAAAAAACACACCCACTTGAAACAACACAATTTTGTTCTAAGACATGGTGTTGGTATATTTGATTTTTATTACATGTATTTATTTTATTTTGGAAAAGGTGGGCTAAAAATGAACCGGAATGATCCAGTCAGTGTTAAAAATAAAAAATCCTATTGATTTTAATGGGAGAGTTTAAGCGCATGTTTAAGCATTCCCCACTGAACTGATATAGAACTGCATCACTCTGATCCTGCTCTAATTAAGCAAATTGTTTTTGCTTGTCTTTAACCTGTTTGAATGTTCCCAACCCTCTGGCTAGGCATCCTCTGCATAGGATGCATGGTTGGGAGAGCTTTCCTTCTGAAAACTTCTTTCTGTTCACACTTCTTAGGATCCAAGACACAGACTCCTCCTTCAATGAATGGTCAATCCTGTTTGGCTGATGGTGCAACTCTAAGCATGTATACTCAGAAGTTCAATGGAACTTATTCCCATGAAACTATGGACAGGATTGCAGCCTAAATGAATTTGTTTGAAAGATCGATGTAGAAAAAAACCCTTATTGTACAATGATATAAAGAGACCTTTGTATCATTGTGCAATAACATTGTTTGCCCTTGGCCTCAGGGCTTGATGGATGACAAGTAAAAGGAATAAATAAACTACAGATTCCTATCACAAATCCTACGTTTTATAAATTTCTTGATGCTCCCTTAGAACCACCAAGCTGCTCGTTGATCCTTATAATATCCACTTGATGTTTGAAGTACATATCCATAAAACACAGACTTTCATGATCAAATCCTTCAGGGTTTAACCAGAAATAAGTTGGCTCTACATTCAGTTCATTTAGAATGATGACTTGTGCCTACTGAGCTGCGAAAACTTGATTTAGAAAAATCACATGCTAGAGGCCTCTTGGGACTCAACCATTTCTGAATACACATAGGGAATGATGCCACTGGGAATAATTACCCCTCAAAAAATAAAATATATCTCTGCCCACAAAAACCCAACTTCTCTGAAGCTGTCAGTTGCTCAAGAAATCTTGTATTTCTGGCAGCCCCCGTTTTTATTGTTGGCATTCTGTGTCTTGTGGCTTTCACTACAGCTAATTGTTGATAACGAGTTTATGTTTCAATATGACAATTCTTAGACAATAATTTAATACACCCACCTGTAAGTTTCTATTGACTATCCAGAACAGAAATCTGAGGTATACATTTGACTCCCAAGGTGACCCATCTGCTGAACAGGTATATCTGGAGGGACAGGAAAGTACCTTGAGTAGCTGAAGAGACATGGTAAAACTGTTTAATAAAAACGAGCAAAATAATTAAAGATGAAGGAAACCCCAGTCAGTATGCAGAAGACAAAGCAATTGACAGCAAGAAGAACATAAGAGCCCTGCTGGATCAGATCTAGGCCAACACACAGCCTCTGAACCTGGATACAGGATATAATTACCTAACTAGTAGCAAGTCATAGCCTTAGCCTCCATAAATTTGTCTAATCTGCCTTTTAAAATGGAAATGTGGATGGCAACCACTACAGATTGTGGCACTGAATTTCTGAGAATGTGCTCTGTGAAGAAGTACAGTCTGATGTTCTCTGAAAAATTAATGAACCTTACCTATAATTCCAGATGCACTAAATACTTACATGAGCATTTTCTCAGGTACCAGTTATGACTGAAATGACATACAGAATCATGTTGATTTGTTACTAATCATCACATCCCCCCCCCATTGTTCATACTAGTTATTAAATGTGGCTTATACGCTGGCCACAAATGGCATCTTTCAGAAGATACCCCAGTTTCCAGATAGATTCAGTGTACTGTACTTGATAGTCAAACAGTCCTGCATAGTATAAATATACCACAAAATAATAAAGCAATTCCCCCACCTCTGCCTGCCCATAGGTTCCTTTACAGCTGTTCAGAAAAAGAAACAGTGCCCTCTGGTGATTCCCACCCTAATAATGTTGCTGCCAAATATAAAATGTAATAGGGACATTTTGAGAGCAAAGTAAAATGTTCCTTTCATGATAGACTATTAAAAATAAAATTAATCGAGCCACGATTAACACTATGTGATTTTGTTTCTTTTCTATATAGCATTTTGTATTGTTAATAGTTAATAATAGTAAGGGAGGTAATTAAGATAATTAAAAGCAAAAAGCAAAAATCCAAAGAATTCCTAAACTCAATTATAGCTTTGTGAGAACTCTATTTAAAATGAATGTGGTTTTCTAAAAAACAATTGAGTAAACTCAAATAAAAGTTAAGCCCCATTTGTTCTAATGGGAGAAAGTTAAGCACCTGCTTTACTTTCTTACTGAATGACACCAAAAAATGCAGGTTGCTTTGTTGGTCCACTAGAAAAAGAAATGGAAAGGTTACACCAGATAACATCTTTATTAGGGCCAACTAAAATGTCACTTTAAGGCTTGGTCACTGCAGTGTGACCTTTTAGTTGGATAGCCTACTGTTCCTGACCTCAGTAAAAGTTTTAAAATGGTTACTTTGTCTAGATTGTGCCTACTGTGGAAAGGAAAAGGGAGTATTGTAGGACTAAAAAAACATTTTCAAACCCAGCATATATTGGCAGCCACAAACCCGCCCTACGTTTCACACCACCAAACTGGCAAAAATGCATGTAATTTTCAGCTCCTAGTCATCTATATAGATCACAGTGACTATAAAAGCTGCCTCAAAAATAGCATTCAAAATATTAACTGTCACTTGCTACTATGTTAATTAACAAGTCAACAAAACCAGCAATTAGAGGGCAGAACTCTAAATCTGATAGTATCTTACAAAGTAAACACTGGAAGGTAGTTTCACTGTGTAATACATCCTTAAACAATGCAGCAATTTGTCTACTCGCATCATTACAGCTTAGTATATAGTAGTTCTAGTTCTGCATTACTAAAACTGCAATATTAAAAACTTACTGGAGGCCGTCCTACTGAACTCAATTAAACTTCAGAGTAAGTATCTTTCTGATTATGCACTATTTCTGGGACAAAGTGGCAACTGTAGGCTTCTTTGATAGCTAGCGTCTGGGAATAATTTAATAAAGATAGATTAAATAAATAAATAAATAAATAAATAAATAAATACTGTATGTACAAATCAGAAAGGCCAAAATATTGAATTATAACCCTGTGAGTGGAAGAAAAACACTATTATTTGCACCCAGAATTTAGTTCCTCTCCACCAGGACTTGGAATTGGCTGGCTTGCTATGACCAGAAACAACATGATCTTTCCAGTGCTGTCTTCAGGAAGGTTGTGGCTGCATACACATATTTTTAAGCACCTTTCCCCCCTCAAAGAATTGTAGGCATTGTAGCTTACTCCTCAGAGAGTCACAATTCCTAGCAACCTTTAAAGAATGACATGTGCTTCAAATGTGCTTTGAAGGTATGGCATATACATAAGGCTGCAGTTCTGTATACAAAATCCAAAGCTGGCCAATACATTTGCTAGGGGCAGTCAGAAATGTCACAAAGAGTTGCAAACTTTTCAGTACTTCAGAACACTTCATCAGGCAAGATGTTATATGGGGAAGTGGAGGAGGAGGATTTAAGAAAAAATACAAAAAGTTAGATTGACTGGGAGTAGCCATAAGGTCAGCTTGCAGGTTACACAGGGAGCTGCCTTGTACTGAGTCAGACCATTGGGTCCATCTAGCTCAATGTACACTAGGGATGGCCCACCCATGAGGCAAGGTGAGGTGACCGCCTCAGGTGGCAGGATCCACATGGACAGCAGATCCAGCCTCCAAGAAATACACTGACCACTGCTGCAGCTGCGATGCCAGCAGCAACTACAGCACCCACTCTTATGCTGCCTTGATAGCATCTCCTCCCACCCTTGTTCCTGATGTAGATATTTATTCCTCCCTTGTTCCTGATGTAAATCTTCACTCCCCTCTTCTTCCCTGGCAGAGAGGTGGGTGTCATTTTGTGGTTCACCTCAGATGCTAAAAGATCTTGAGCCAGCCCTGGTCTACCCTGACTGGCAGTTGCTCTCCAAGATTTCAGGCAGTGTTTTATCCCACCTCTACTTGGAGAAGCCAGAGATTGAACCTCGGAACTTCTGCAAACAAAGCAAATGCTCTCCACTGTACAATGGCCCTTCCTGCAAAGATGGGGATTGCGGGCTGAATAAATCTCTGCTAGGTGCAATAAGTAATATGATTTACAGTGAGTTATAGCCATTCAAAACTCAGAGGTCTGTACACCCACACATCTGTCCATCCTCCAACCAGACAAGCAAGAGGTATCCCATTTCAACGACACATTCCAGCCATGGAACTCAAGTACACCTGTATAGGACTGCACTGTAATAACTGTGCTTCTGTTCTGTGAATTGTATTCTTTGGGATTATTTTTAGTTGCCATTTTAATTGAACTTGCATAAGATGACTTTTTATATATGATCATAAGGAATGTATTGATAACCAAATAAACTGCCAGGGAGATAAAGTCCATCATGGCCCCCAAGCCAGCTGCCGGACGATCCATCGACCTCCCGTAGTCACGCAGTATCAACAATTAGCGACATGAGTTTCTAGAAGATTTCTTGCCACATTCCAGAGCTCATGCACACTGTATCAGCAGATAATGCACAGCCAAAAGTTGCAGTCAGGAGAGCATTATTTACAAGTTTATTCAGCGTTGATCAGAACACAGAAAAACATGACTGACTGCTTTAGTGTCTGCGACACCAGAGAGAAAACGAAAGCAACAGAAAACATAAACATCCTGTGAACAGGAAATACGCAGACTCTGACTCACAAAGCCTGCTCCCTTTTAAGGTGGAACGGAAATATCCTAACATCCTCCCCTTTCCGTGTAACCTGTAGTACCTGTGGTTCAACCCAATTGCAACTTTTGTACATAAACCTTAAGTTGTTCTCTGTTAACAACCTTAGACAACAGATCAGCAGGAATTTCATTTCCTGGCATGTAGGACACCTGAATGAGTCCTTTCTGAATACACTCCCTTGCACGATGTAGCTTAATCTGCAAGTACTTGGTCCTTTGCTTGCAACTCTCCGAGTTCAGCAAAGCCAAACACGATCTATTGTCTTGATACACTTGTACAGGACATTTCACAGAAACTCCGATGTCCTTAAACAGTTGCATCAACCATTCACAATCCATGAGTGAAAATGACAGAGCATTGAGTTCTGCTTCACAGGAACTTAGGCTCACTGTCGTCTGCTTTTGCACAACCAGTCAAACAGGCAGTGGTTGTACATGTAGCATACTCCAGAAGTGCTTGTACCATCCGTGGTGTCACTTCCAAAACTTGCATCTGCAAAGATTTCAAGACCTCCAGTCTTCTGACTGGTGAACCTCAGCCTGTAGTGCATAGTCCCTTTCAAATAGCGGGTTATGCGCTTCAGAGCTTTCCAATCCTGAACAGTAGGATTGTTGGCATGTCTGCTAAGCAGGTTACAGCTTACAGCAATGTCAGGTCTTGAGCATCTAGCAATGAAATTCAACTTGCCTAGAATGCATCTGTACAGCGTAGTGTCAGAAAACGCTTCAGCAGTACTATCTACCTGGTAACCTGTCACCATCGGTGTGTCTGCTGGGTTTGCATCAACCAAATTCAACCTGGTTAATACATCAGCAATTTTCTGTGTTTGGTGTACCAGAAAATTACCTGCTTGGTCCCTCTCCACCTGCAGAGAAAGATAGTTGGATACCTCACCAAGATCCTTCATGTCAAAGTGCTCCTTCAGCTGAGCTAGGGTGCTTTGATAAAAAGCCTGATTCTTCCAAAACATCAGAAGATCATCAACAAAACATAAACAATACAGTTTGTTTTGCCCCTCCTCCTTGACGAACACACATGGATCAGCTTTGCCCTGGTGAAAACCTAGAGAAAGCAATGTCTCAGTGAGTTTTGTGTTCCAACACCTGGCACTCTGCTTGAGACCATATAAGGATTTCCGCAGTTTACAGACCATTCCCTTCTGTATCTGCATTCCATCAGGTGGAAGCATAAACAGCTCCTCGTCCAAAATCCCGTACAAAAAGCTGTATTAATGTCATGATGGGAAACATGCAGTTTCTCCTCTGCAGCTATCTTGAGCATCAGCCGAATGCTCTCATATTTGACGGTGGGTGAGTAGGTCTCGTGGTAATCCTGTCCTGGTACCTGTGAAAAACCTCTGGCAACCAATCTGGCTTTGTGTCTGACTACCTTGCCATTCTGGTCTGTCTTGGCCTTGAAGACCCATTTGCTGCCAACCAGTCTCATTCCTGGGACTACCGGTACCAACTCCCAAGTTTGGTTCCTATTCAAGGAATCAACTTCAGCCTTCATGGCATTAAGCCAAGGCTCAGCATCTTTAGAGGTTAACTCTTGAACCTCTTTGAAGCTTGAAGGTTCCCACACCTTCTCTGAGCTACCAAGAACAGCAGTTGCCATCTTAGCAAACTCATCAGCAAATCTCTTTGGAGGTCTGCCCTTTGTGGCTCTTTCTGATCTGCGTACTAGACGCAAGTCTTCTGGACTCATCTCCTCTTTCTTAGGAGAAAAATGACCAATGGTGAACAGTGGTTCTTCCAGTTCATTGTCAGACGCATCAGATGGTCTGACTGAGGCCTTTGCGCTCTTGTAGTCTGCTGTGTCATCACTGTCACCGACATCAGCAGCAGCGCCGCCCACTGAACTGGAATCCGAACTCTGATCATCATCGTCATCATCATCCTCAGCAGCTTCCTCAGCTTTAGCTGCTTCTTTGACATCACCTTCATCCTCCTCTGGGTAACTCTGGAAAATTCCCACATTTTCCCCCCACTTAGGATTGTACTCAACACTCTTTGTGAACTTAATGGACTTAGAGTTGGTCATCCATACCCTGTATGCACCTTTTCGTACCCCATGAACAAACCATGTGCCCCACGCTTCCCAAGCTTGTTGCTCTGTGGGGTGTGTACCCACATGTCAGAACCAAAGATTCTCATGTGCTTGATGTTGGGTTTCTTACCAAACATCTTCTCATAGGGGTACAACCAATAGGTGATGACAATCTGCGATTATAAGTGTAAGCAAAATTCGACAGAGCCTCCCCCCAATACTTATCAGGGAGATTGGCATCATGCAACAATGTTTTCATTCCTTGCAGCAACGTTTGATTTGCTCGCTCCGCAAGCCCATTCATCCATGGCGATCTAGGCGTTGACAAGTCATGCTGGATTCCCTTCTCAGTCAGGAAAGCTTCAAACTGCTGAGAAGTGAACTCCCGCCTCGATCAGTAAACAGACAGCCAATACGTTTACCGTGAACATTCTCCAACCAAGCACAGAATGCCTTGAACTTAGGAAACGCTTGCGATTTCTGCTCGAGCATAAACACATGAATGTACCTGGAAAAAGAATCAATTAGAACCATGAAGTACCTTGCTCCACCCAAAGAGGGCGCAAGTGGACCAACCAGGTCTGCGTGCACTAGCTGGTAGGGTTTGGAAGCCTGCCTGCTAGACTCCTTGCCTTTTGGAGCAACCTTCACCTTGTTCTCTGCACAAGATACACATTTCATGTGAAACTTACAGGGTTTGATGTTCAAACCCTCAACCATCTCTGGCATCTTGGCCAGCGCCTGCCAAGACATGTGACAAAATCTTCTGTGTGCATCATGAATGCATCCTGCATGAAGAACTTTGTTAGTTTGTGCAACACAACAAGAATCAGCATTAGACACAACAGCACCATTGTCATCATAAGTTATACAGAACAAGCCATCCATAAACTTTGCATGCAAAATGTCCTCTTTGCCTTTTCTGATGACACAGACGCTCCTCTTGAATGAAATCTCAAAACCACGCCCAGTCAGCTGTGGGACACTGAGCAAATTGTCTGCAGCGCCTGGAACATACAGTACATCTTTGATGGTCGTGTGCAGACTTGCCAGTTTCACAGTCCCTTTTCCCGCAATTCGCAAAGTCTTTCCATCAGCCAGGTGGATCTCACCTTCTTGAGGTTTGAAGGAGATAAAGAGGTGGCGGTCCTTTGAGACATGGCGGGTACAGCCTGAATCAACAACAAACCTGGCTGTGACCTTTGGAGCAGTCTTTGCAGCAAGCAAAACCTTGTTTTCCACCGGCGTGGGCTTTTGCAGCTTGCCCCCCTGCTCCTGGCCATCAGACTTGCCTTTAGCCTTTGGTGAAGCTGTGCCAGTAAACAAAACCTTGTTTTCCACTGGCGTGGGCTCTTCACCCTCCCTCTGCTTCTGGCCATCTGCAGGCGTCTGCCTCTGTTTACCTTTGCCCTTCCGGCCTCTGCAAAGGCGATGACCTTGGCTCCCACGAGAAACAGAGCTCTCAGCTGCCAACTCCTTGGCTCCCCCTGGAGGCTGGAATGCTGCCTGGGATGACGTGACAGTCAGCTCCCCCTGCAGCTTGCAACCGGTGCCCTCGGCATCCCTGCATTCACTCGCATTCTGGGAAACAGCCAGGACCTCCGATGCAGTCAAACTCTGGGCTGGGATGACTGGCAGATGGGCTATCTTCAAAGCATGCCACATATTACGTGCAGTCAGATTGCCAGCTAGCGTCTTTATTTCCTCCAGAGAGACGGACAAGACGATTACGTCTATCGCCCTCAAATTCTCGGCCTCCCATCTATCTGTCAGAGGAACTGGAGGGGCTTCAGACACAGTATGCCACACTCCAAACTGACGCAGCAAGCTCTCACACCACACAGCCCAGGTCCCATAATTGTGCCGATTTAACTTTGGGCACTCAGCCTCAGAAGCCTGGAAAAACTCCATTCCAGCTTTTTATTTGAGCCGTGAGTCTTTAAAAAGTTCTTATTCACTTCAGAGATGTCTTATCTCGGCAGCTCATAAATCTTGAGGCCTTTGGCGCCTTTGGCGCGGCTCCCAGATCCATTAATCTGCCGGAGTTCAAAGGCCCTTGCAGCGGCAAACAGAAAAGCCTTACTTTCGCTTTTCCTCCACATACCTTTCAGCAGTCTGTCGCAGTCTTACTCTCCTGTAAGTGCCGTGAATCTGGGCCCGAAACCTGTTGTTGGGATACTGCCAGGGAGATAAAGTCCATCATGGCCCCCAAGCCAGCTGCCGGACGATCCATCGACCTCCCGTAGTCACGCAGTATCAACAATTAGCGACATGAGTTTCTAGAAGATTTCTTGCCACATTCCAGAGCTCATGCACACTGTATCAGCAGATAATGCACAGCCAAAAGTTGCAGTCAGGAGAGCATTATTTACAAGTTTATTCAGCGTTGATCAGAACACAGAAAAACATGACTGACTGCTTTAGTGTCTGCGACACCAGAGAGAAAACGAAAGCAACAGAAAACATAAACATCCTGTGAACAGGAAATACGCAGACTCTGACTCACAAAGCCTGCTCCCTTTTAAGGTGGAACGGAAATATCCTAACATTCATCACCATGGGGTTGGAACTCTCTTGCTAATGTTAGTTTGGAAGAAGAGGTAGATTTCAAAATGAAGACAGAAATTTATCTTTTTATGGTCCAAAGGCCTGTTATGGGGCAGGGGAGTAGCAGAAGCACAAGACAGTGCTCTGAGAACAGCTGCATGTCTCTGATCCAGAGGTGTCCCAGGAATATAGAACCTGGGAGTAGGCTCCTGACTGGGCCCTTTGCCTTTGAAAATGTTGAGGGGGTATACTAGCTGTGGAAGCAGCAACAGTGAGTAGAACAGCAGAAACTGCTGTTCACTGAAGGCAGCAGTTCCAATAACTCAGATGTCCAGAGATGCACAAAGTAAGATTTCCCCAACTTGGCCTTTTGCTGTGTTCCAATCTGGCACTACAAACTGTACTAATAAAGAAGCCTGTGTATTCCCCATATGGTAAAATTTGGAGATAATCTGTTTATCTCCATAGACCTAACTATTGTCTCAGAGCCATTTTGAATGCTTCTAAAAAAAATAAAGTTAATTTTTAGTGCATGATTATTCATTTGAGATATTAATAGCTCTTTGTACTTTTTTAAAAAAATCTTTACTTTCTCTCTTCCCTCCTCTTCTAAATCTGATCTTATCTCTTCCATTAACTGCATGACTTCTTGTTTCCTGCTCTATATCTTTTTATTTTCAGAATATATTTGTGTGCAGTATATATTTTGTGGGTGAACATATCAGACAACACAGCGATTCTTCAAAGAGCTCTTGTTTATTCTCAGGCCAGAACAGAACTGAACTGAAGGGTTCAGCCAGCCTGCTTATATAGAGCTCCACTACAACACAACTGTAACAACTTTCTGTAACTATCCAATCACTGAACGTCACTTTCAATCCCTTATTTGCATATGTCATAGAATCATAGAATCATAGAATCATAGAATCATAGAGTTGGAAGAGACCACAAGGGCCATCGAGTCCAACCCCCTGCCAAGCAGGAAACACCATCAGAGCACTCCTGACATATGGTTGTCAAGCCTCTGCTTAAAGACCTCCAAAGAAGGAGACTCCACCACACTCCTTGGCAGCAAATTCCACTGTCGAACAGCTCTTACTGTCAGGAAGTTCTTCCTAATGTTTAGGTGGAATCTTCTTTCTTGTAGTTTGGATCCATTGCTCCGTGTCCGCTTCTCTGGAGCAGCAGAAAACAACCTTTCTCCCTCCTCTATGTGACATCCTTTTATATATTTGAACATGGCTATCATATCACCCCTTAACCTCCTCTTCTCCAGGCTAAACATGCCCAGCTCCCTTAGCCGTTCCTCATAAGGCATCGTTTCCAGGCCTTTGACCATTTTGGTTGCCCTCCTCTGGACACGTTCCAGTTTGTCAGTGTCCTTCTTGAACTGTGGTGCCCAGAACTGGACACAGTACTCCAGGTGAGGTCTGACCAGAGCAGAATACAATGGCACTATTACTTCCCTTGATCTAGATGCTATACTCCTATTGATGCAGCCCAGAATTGCATTGGCTTTTTTAGCTGCCGCGTCACACTGTTGGCTCATGTCAAGTTTGTGGTCAACCAAGACTCCTAGATCCTTTTCACATGTACTGCTCTCAAGCCAGGTGTCCCCATCTTGTATTTGTGCCTCTCATTTTTTTGCCCAAGTGCAATACTTTACATTTCTCCCTGTTAAAATTCATCTTGTTTGTTTTGGCCCAGTTCTCTAATCTGTCAAGGTCGTTTTGAAGTGTGATCCTGTCCTCTGGGGTGTTAGCCACCTCTCCCAGTTTGGTGTCATCTGCAAATTTGATCAGGATGCCCTTGAGTCCATCATCCAAGTCGTTGATAAAGATGTTGAATAAGACCGGGCCCAAGACAGAACCCTGGGGCACCCCACTAGTCACTCTTCTCCAGGATGAAGAGGAACCATTGATGAGCACCCTTTGGGTTCGGTCCAGTCAGCCAGTTACAAATCCACTGAGTGGTAGCATAGTCAAGACCGCATTTTACCAGCTTCTTTACAAGAATATCATGGGGCACCTTGTCAAATGCCTTGCTGAAATCAAGGTAGGCTACATCCACTGCGTTCCCTTCATCTACCAGGCTTGTAATTCTGTCAAAAACGAGATCAGGTTAGTCTGACATGACTTATTTTTCAGAAATCCATGCTGACTATTGGTGATCACAGCATTCCTTTCTAGGTGCTCACAGACTGTTTGCTTAATGATCTGCTCCAGAATCTTCCCTGGTATTGATGTCAGACTGACTGGGCGGTAATTATTTGGGTCCTCTCTTTTCCCCTTTTTGAAAATAGGGACAACATTTGCCCTCCTCCAGTCTGCCGGGACTTCGCCTGTTCTCCAGGAATTCTCAAAGATGACTGCCAGTGGTTCTGAGATCACATCTGCCAGTTCTTTTAATACTCTTGGATGCAGTTCATCTGGCCCTGGAGACTTGAATACATCTAAACTAGCCAAGCATTCTTATACTATCTCCTTTGTTATTCTGGGCTGTGTTTCCTTTGCTGAATCATTTGCTCCAAATTCTTCAGGTCGGGCATTGTTTTCTTTATCGGAGAAGACTGAGGCAAAGAAGGCATTGAGGAGTTCAGCCCTTTCTGTGTCCCCTGTTTGCATTTCACCATCTTCTCCTCTGAGTGACCCCACTGTTTCTTTGTTCTTCCTTTTGCTACGAACATACCCATAAAAGCCTTTTTTGTTGCTTCTAACCTCTCTAGCAAGCCTGAGTTCATTCTGTGCTTTAGCTTTTCTGACTTTGTGTCTACACGTGCTGGCTATTTGTTTGAATTCCTCTTTGGTGGTTTCCCCCCTTTTCCATTTTTTGTACACATCCTTTTTAATCTTAACTCAGTTAAAAGTTCTTTAGATAGCCACCCTGGCTTCTTTAGGCACCTTCCATGTTTCCGTCTCATTGGTATTGCCTGACGTTGTGCTTTTAGTATCTCCCTCTTAACAAACTCCCAGCCATCATGAACTCCCTTTCCTTTTAGTAGTACTGTCCATGGGATCTCACCCAGCACTTCCCTAAGTTTTATGAAGTCGGCTTTCTTAAAGTCAAGAAATTGAGTCCTAGTATGCTTGGCTGCTTCTTTCCGCTGTATAGTAAACTTCAGAAGAGCATGATCACTCGCGCCTAATGATCCTTCCACTTCTACCCCACTAACCAGGTCATCAACATTGGTTAGGACCAGATCTAAAATGGCTGTTCCTCTTGTTGCTTCTCCCACTTTCTGGACAATGAAGTTGTCTGCAAGGCCAGTGAGGAATCTGTTTGACCTTATGCTCTTGGCTGAGTTTGACATCCAACAAATATCCGGGTAATTGAAGTCCCCCATTACTACTATCTCCCTTCCTTTTGCATGCTTGGCCATCTGTTCCAGGAAGGCATCATCTATGTCCTCCGTTTGGCTTGGGGATCTATAGTAAACTCCCACAATGAGGTCACTGTTATTCTTCTCTCCCTTAATTTTGACCCAAATGCTCTCACTTTGGCTTTGAGGTTCTAAATCTTGGATCTCTTCACAGGTATACACATCCCTGACATATAACGCCACACCTCCTCCTTTCTTGTCTGGTCTGTTTCTCTGAAATAGATTGTATCCCCCCATTATTACATTCCAATCGTGGGACTTATCCCACCAGGTTTCAGTGATGCCTATTATGTCATATTTAGTTTGCTGTACCAAGAGCTCAAGCTCATCTTGTTTATTTCCCATGCTTTGCGCATTAGTGTATAGACATTGAAGTCCATTAATCATTTCCCCCGTGTCTCTTATTTAAGGATTTTTTCCTCCCACCACTAGGTCTGCGTGCTGTTTGCTCCATTTGGTCTATGACATTTGGATGATCATCTTCATCAATTGATAGACTCCTACCTTCAGGAGCACTGTCTCCCTCCCCACATTAGTCAGTTTAAAGCCCTCCTGATGAGGTTTCTGAGATTTTTGGCAAAAACATTTCTCCCAACCGTTGTGAGGTGCAGCCCATCGCTTGCCAGAAGTCCATCTTCAAGAAACTGCAGTCCGTGATCTAAGAATCCAAACCGTTCCTGTTTACACCATTTGCGAGGCCAGCTGTTCACTTCCGCTATTTTTCCCTCTCTCCCTGGGCCACGTCGTTCAACTGGGAGGACAGATGAGATGACAATTTGTGCATTTAATTGCTTCAACTTCCTGCCCAGAGCCTCGTAGTCTCTTTTGATCTTCTGGAGGCTATTGCTTGCAGTGCCATTGGTTCCCACATGAACCAAGAGGAAGGGGTATTTGTCAGTGGGTTTTATGATTCCTTGCAGTCGTTCAGTTACATCTTGGATCTTATGTGGACCTGAGTGAAAACTATCTACAGTATCCCCCTGCTGGCCCAGGGTGAGAACTTCAGTACATAACATATTTTTAAGCTCCTACTTCATCAGGTGGTTAAAAATCATCATTGAAGACAGCAGGACGTCTTCAAATAGTACATATTATTGCTTAATACTTAACAATTGTCATACTCCCACTAACGATTTATTAGCCTGAAAGTAACATACTGATTCCCATTGTTTACTACTAACTTTAAAGCTAAAGAATTAAAATACTGATTTTAAACCTCTTTTAAAGTTTAAGGAGCGAAAGTTTTCAAAGCTGGCAAGCTTTTCAAAGCGTCCAACAACAATTACCAGATTCTGGCAAAACTTAACTTTTTTTGAAAGTGAAATTGATATGATTTAAGAAATACTAGTTTACAGATAATAATTCAGGGCCAGGTATATCTGGAAATGAAAAAAATTAACTCATTAACAGTTTCAACTAAAGTGTAGATACAATATTGAGACATTATCACCCCAAACATGGAATGTTTTTGGGAGTGGGGAGCAAGAAAAGGCCATGCCCAATAAAATACTTATCCATTGACAGGATGTAAAGAATTGGTACAGAAGTGGCTTAAAATATACAACCATTCACACTTTTTCAGGTTTCATTGCACTTCAATACCATGCTTCTCACAAGTGCATCCATGAATTCAGATAGAATGTGCACTGTTCAAATTCTCTGGCATAGTGGAACTAAATGAGTGCAGTTACACTTGGAGACTTTCATACCCAGAAAGAATCAAAGCATAGGACACTACTATATTTTGCACATACCGCACTGATTATGAGTAGATTAGGATTGTTCTGTTCCAAGGAAAATAGATATGTCTGCATCTCTGTACTAATGCATTTTAATTTTTCCTATTAAAATTTAATTAAATTAGTTATGTAAACTGCACCCCTCAAACAGCATTGAACATATATAGTGGTACCTCGGGTTAAGAACTTAATTTGTTCTGGAGGTCCGTTCTTAACCTGAAACTGTTCTTAACCTGAGGTACCACTTTAGCTAATGGGGCCTCCCACTGCTGTCGCCGCACGATTTCTGTTCTCATCCTGAAGCAAAGTTCTTAACCCAAGGTACTATTTCTGGGTTAGCGGAGTCTGTAACCTGAAGTGTCTTTAACCTGAAGCATCTGTAACCCGAGGTACCACTGTATATTCTAAAATTATCCAGGAAAGATGCAGTTATCTGTGTGTATCTCTAGCTTTATTGTTTTGCTTCTGTAACTTGCATCATGTGACAGTGCTTGTGTCCTCAAAGACGTAAAACAGAAAATCAAACCATTCTAAGGATTTATTTTAATATATTTTCCATTATTACCAAAATAGTTTGTATTACATGAATTAGAGGCAAGTGATTCTTGGAAATACTGTTTTATTTTTTATTTTTTGAAACACCATAACTAGTTTGACAACTTGCACTTTGTGTTTGTACCTTAGAAAAGGTTGAATGCTGATCTCACTATAATTAACAGACAGTTTTCTACTGAGCTGGCAGCAATAGCAGCACCTGAAACTGTTCCCAGCTAATTAGTATAAAGCTCTGCTGAGTTTCAGTCCTGGGCATAATGCAATTATATAGCAATTTAAACAGTTGCATGATTCAAGAGTTATTAAAAATATTCTAGTCATTTGTCATAAAGGCACTCTAGAGCCTTCACTTGGAAAAAGCACCAAATCCTTTATAACAGAAATATATCAACCCCCACCCTATCCTCCACATTTGATTGCAATGCAATTCAGAGCCAAATATATTAAAAATATCCACACGGGAGCGCTCCTGGAATTGTACCACTTGTTTGTTGGTGCACAATTATTCAGTCTGACTAATACTCACAGACTAGCAGCACAATCCTGTGCATACTGTTGTGAGTTTTTGCAGGGAGAGGTGGGAAGCTGTATGCCCGAGTCCCTTCTAATTCCTGGATCCAAAAAGAATTCCTTTGCTGGAACAGCCAGGCAAGTTTATTGGTAATGGTCAAGAATAGGTTGTTAAGGTAACAAAGGAAGAGGTCAAATGGGTGGTTCCCCCCTCCCTCAACTGTCTATTAGTTAGAAAGACAAATGCCAGAGTTGAGCTAGAAGCTGAAAGCAGGCTAGGCAGCTGAGAGACAGAGTCATGCTTGATTTCTACTTGAACCCAAGGCTGCGACTATGGGAGAAACAATACCTTTTTGGGGTGTTAATGGTAGATATGTGTAATTAAACCATATATCATAAAGACACCACAGTCTCCACTGTCTTTCATTCTAAGGAAGCAAACCCTGGGTAAGCAGCTGGACTCTTGCACTGCTCAGATTGGGGTGGCATGCAGCAGTATATATACAGAAGGCACTTCAGTAGGGTTCCACAGCAAGAGCTACAAGAAGATTCAGCATGTCAGACTCCAAGCATACACAGAGAATGCACAATACAAAGGAAAGGGAGGGCAGATATTTCAATATAGCACCTAAAGAGAAGACAAGTGAACATGGATTCAAGATTATGCCAGATAGGGAAAGGGAAGGACTAGGACAGGCAATAAGGGAAACCACATATAACTTCTTACAGGAGCACCTAGATACAGGGGGTCAGTTTAAGCCCCACCATGGGAAATAACAAGGCACAACTAGCTTATTGTAAGATAAAGGTAAAGGACCCCTGGATGGTTAAGTCCAGTCAAAGGCAACTATGGGGTGTAGCGCTCATCTCGCTTTTCAGGTAGGGAGGCGGTGTTTGTCCACAGACAGCTTTCCGGGTCATGTGGCCAGCATGACTAAACTGCTTCTGGCACAGCAGGACACCATGACGAGTACCAGAGTGCATGGAAATGCCGTTTACCTTCTTGCCACAGCGGTCCCTATTTATCTACTTGCACTGGTATGCTTTCAAACTGTTAGGTTGACAGAAGCTGGGACAGAGCAACAGGAGCTCACCCTGTCACACAGATTCAAACTGCCGGCCTTCCAATCAGCAAGCCCAAGAGGCTCAGTGATTCAGACCACAGAGACACTCATGTCCCCAACTTGCTTTTTGTATGCCTAGACAGCAATAATCATACCAAGGCAAAAGAGAGTGCTGTCATGGCACAAATCTACACTTTATACTCCACAGAGCAGCTCCCTAGACAGCCAACCAGCCATTTTAAATTATTGTAATTTAATCAGATTTTTAAATAATAAAGCTTTATAATATTTCTTCAGTATTTCATATCTGTAAGTCAGAAATAGTGGTTTAGCCTCACACGTCTATGATGTTTTAGATCTAAACTCTCAAAGGGCTTAAACAAACAGTCATTATTTGGACCACACCTGTGAAGGGTGTAATTGAGATTGTTCTATAGTTATAGAAGTAACACAGGGAAGAAACATTGAATAAAACTGCATACTTGAGGGAATTTTCGATGTAATGAGTCACGCATTAGGGACTGCAACTGTTTTGGATAACAAGGAGATGCAGGTAACCGAAGCTTATATACAGATGGTATCCCAGAATATACTGCTTAATAATGAAAGCTTCAGGTCCAGAGTAACTGACCACCACTATAAAGATTTAGAGAAAGAATGTAGTATTGCAAACAGGTAAGGATCAGTCCCACCACCAGTCCCAGACCCTTACAGACTCATCACAGGAAAACATCCAAGTCTGAACAAAGCTATAATTTCTCCCACATCTTTAATCTGTTAGAATAATTCTCATCATATACCCACAAATGGAACCTTAACATTATTTTTCAGTTTTGCAACTATCGGACCCCTATGCCATTTAGATGAAGCTACAGGTGCATGCCTGCATGCCATGTAGGCACCAGAATCAGAAATGGGCAAAAACAACAGAACTGGAACACCACCACAAATAGAGAAACACAGCAGTATTCTTTACTTCTTCCTGGACAGTACAATGGAGATGTGTGTTTTTTTGCATAGCTGCAAAATGAGGTATTCCATCATAAAGTTAATCTTTAGAAGAAGGAAACATAGTGACCTATCAGTTCAAGCAGCACAAAAGCTACAATTTCTATTTGCTTCAGGCAAAGCTAAGAAAGGTTTCTAAACAGATCAGAGTCACAGTTTGTTTCATTGTTGTCAGCCTTTAGCAAAACACTAAAATTAAGTATATGATCCCATTTTCCTCTGTGACAGATGATCAATCATCATCAACAATTTCAACATGTTTTACTGCAAATAAATTTTGAATCCTCTTGTTGTAAGTTGAATCTTGAAATAAACTTGCATTTTGGCTCCCAGTGATCTATAGGGCACACCACTATATACAGTACATCAGTATTCACTGAGAGCTTTCCAGGAGCCTTATGATAAATGGACTTGGACTTACAAGGTGCAAAACATCATACCTAAAATGCCTGGTTATGCCTTTGTGAAGATTTTAGTAATAACTATTATGTTTTTCCAGTCAAAATGTGATTTAGTAGTCTGTACCCAGCAGATATAACTTATATCCTTTCCAAGTCTCATCCTGATAAAAAAGGAACATTACTGAAAGAACCTACTGCAGACAAATGGGTTAAAATTAAAAAAAACAAGCTGCCATCTGCTCTATGATAAAGCATTTAGCCTGGTTACATGAGTAGAGCCAATAATCTCCACATAGCAATATATAATTTATCAAGTGCACACATGGCAAATTCCTCTGAAATATAATATGGCAGGTGAACTTTTTCCCAGACATGAGGCCCTATAACCTATTCAGAGAGGCAAAACTAAGCAACTGATTTCTAAGTAGCTCATTTATTTGGGAGAGCAGTCACTCACATACCTTTTCTCATATGGAACCCTGCACAAGTTACCTCCACTTGGATACCATAAATTAATCCACCAAAGGCCAAATTATACTTCTGATACCAGTGCTGTGTACAAGCATTCAAGTCCAGTTTGAGGGCTTCCCATAGACATTGCTTCCCATGGGCCACTGGGAGAAGAGGATGCTGGACTAAGTGGGCCTTTGGACTGATCCAGCAAGTCTTATGACGAGAACTATTATGGTTGATCTGAATGCCGAGGTGCATAACTGCCTCTGTCATGGTGTAGAAATCCAATTTTAAAAGCAAAGGGGTGAGTTGATGAAGCTTGCAGAGCAACTGACTTCACTACAATCGGTGGGCACTGGTTTCAGAAATTTGGCTGAGAAAATGGCTTGAGCTTCCATGGGTCTCTCTCACACACAAACACATACAATGCAAGGCAGCAAGGAAGATTAATGATATTGTGACTGGAACGGTTTCCTTAAGCACAATGAGGAAGGAAGCAGGAACACCCTTGTCACAGCCCCCACAAAAACCTGAACATTGCCTCAGTATATTTACAAGAAATGTACTGATTTCATGATTACATTCCTTCGACAGAAATTCAGATTCCTAAAAAAACTGTGGCGTTCCTTTTTTTTTTTTTTGAGTGCTACAATTTCCTTTAATTATTATCTTATAAAAAATAAGATTCCTCTTCCCCAACATGACACATCAGCTCATTGTCAAAGGGCCTGGGTTCTTAAAGCTACAAAGTGAAAGACATCCCTCCTCCCGCTTATTCAGGAGGCGCATATGTGCATAGAGACAAAAATATATACATTAAATGCTGCTTCAGGGAATTTGAGCGTGACGGGTTTGCAACGCAGGAGGGGGCGAGCAACACACCTCTACATATTAACGCTAAGCGCAATTGTGGGAGCAAAACGGAGTTACGAGGCACAGAAGCCTTTCTCAAGTGATGGTATTGCATCACTTTTTTTTTTAAACGCCTTGCCCCTTCCTCCTCTCACTGCGCGCGGGCGCCACACATCAGCCCCTCGAGCGCCAACCCCCGCCCCGCGGGACCTTCCCCTCCTCGTGACAGTTACAAACTGCCTCCTCTTGTTTTGAAGGGGCGCGTGGTCCTTCCTCATTGGCTGCGGCCTTCGTCCCTCCCCTTTCGCCGCCCGCCTCTGAGGCAAGAGAAATGCAAGAGCGAAGGCTGACGGCGTCGCACTACACTTCCCGAAACGCTTTGCGCGGCAGCCGAGAGGGCAGCCTCCGCTGTCGCCCCTTCTCCTGTGGCAAACGGGAAAGTGTCTAGCTGGGGCGTGCGCTCTCCCTCCCTCCTTCCCCGTGCACAACAAGAGCGGCGTGGGGGCTGCGAGGAATAGGAGGAGGAAGAGCAGCAGCAGAGCGAGCGCTGAGGAGGCTGAGGTGAGCGCGGCGCATTCGGCCGGCCGCCTGCCCGCTCGCCCGCCCGCCCGGCAGGCTCCTCTTTCCCAGCGTCAGTGGCAACCTCGGGGAGAAGGCAGGCATCCTTCGGTGGTTCCGGTGCTCCGGGCTGCCCTGAGGCGGTGGCGAGGGGCGCCCTCTGCCCCGGGGCGAGCGGGGAGAGGGTTCTGCAGCATGAGCATCAGCAGAGTTGCCCGGAGAACTGCAGCGGAGGCGGCGGCGCAGCTCCTGCTGGCGGCAGCTACCGTGGGCTGCCTCTGGTGCGCGGCAGAGGCCCAGGTGAGAAGGGCTGGCATCATGGGGAGCGAGAGGCGGCGGCGGATGGGTGGCTCGGTGGGAATCTGCCCGTGGGCTTGTCAGCCAACACTTTCCATGCCTCCATAGCAGGGGTTTCCACCGTGTTGCCCTCCAGATGTGGCCGGACTACAACTCCCATCGTCCCTCCTGACGGTTGGCCATGCTGGCTAGAGCCGACGGGCATTGCAGCCCCACGTTCGGAGGGCACCATGTTGGCTACCCCTGATGGACCGCATCTGGGACGGCAGAGCTGAAGGGATGCTCTCTCTGGCCTCCCAAACATAGGGCCACTCGAGGGCTGCACCCTTTCCCCACCTCTCAGGAAGATTGCCAGGGCAAGGGGGAGGTCAACTTGGCCCCATCCTTAGGTATTCCAGGGCTTGATTTTCTCTTCCCTCCTTCCTGTTTAGTAGACTGTGACCCTGGACGCAAGGATTGTGCTCTTTTTACAGCGCTGAGAAAATTTCGGGTGCTTTATGAAGCGTTTATTAAGATGTCCAATTCTCTGGACGGCCTTCCAGCAGGTGTGGGCCTGATCCTGCCTGTTCAGTGGCTCCTCTTTTTAGCTGTGAGAGTAGAGATGCAAGCAGCTTTAGTGAATCGGAGACAACAGCAGCATCTTTAATAAGGGTTTCCAAATCCTTCCTTTCCTCAGTAAGATACAGTTGAGGTCTTCCTTGGGGAGATGCGATCAGTTGTGTTTGCTCTGCCTTGGCTTGGCAGATGTTTGATGCTAATTTGTAATTGAGCCAAGAGTGTGTCAAATGGGATTATATTATATCAGGGGAAATAACATGTGTATAGAGATGTTTTTGCTAGCAGGAAGAAGCTATGTGGTCTTTATAGTGTATTTCAAGGTAAATAAGATGGAAATTTTTCCTAGCATGAGAAGAAATGCTTTGCATAACTGGCATATTCCCCCCCCCTTACTGTTAAGAGTTACATGCAAGCTCTAGGTTGATTTGTCGTGGGAAACAATATTTCAGTTTGGTTTTCTTTGAAATTATACAAAAGGTTGAATGGTATCAATTGTGTAGAGTATACCTGCACTAGAAGATCAGAAGCAAACAACTGTTAAAATAATTGTGGATTTGGTCTACTCTTCAGAGTTGGGTATGAAAGTAATACTTGCTTCTTGCTGATTATGATGTTCGTTGTTATTACAGCTTTTGACGTTGCATAACCATACTCTGTAGTATTTCAGACCACAATGTTTAACTTAAATGTTTTCAGCCCATTTTCTCTCCACCCCCTCCCTGTAAAGCAACATTCTATAGCTGAAGTGTCCTTTTGGTTTTCCTTGTAATAGTTAAGTTCCACTTCTGGTTTTGAAGATGTGCACTGCTCCTTCTTATCGGTTGCCCTTATAGATGATACTTAAATTGTACCTCAGATTGTCCACAAAATGAGCAGGTCTGGGGAAAAGAATTATTCCAGGAGCCAATTTCAAGTTGTTATGTGCTGTCTGTTCACAAAGTGGCATGGATTTGAAGTTCTTGGGCAGTGACACGTACTCCTAACTTTTAGATGTCCAGTCATTCAGCCTCCTGATACGGATCCCAAAGGCAGTTGCACTGGAAATGGAAAACTTTTATTACAGAGCATAGTCTCACTTTCCCTCCAAACATTATTCATGTGATTAGTGGAGATGATGGTAATTCTTTTTAAATGTTCCCATTCTTATGGGAGATACAGTGGTACCTCGGGTTAAGTACTTAATTCGTTCCGGAGGTCTGTACTTAACCTGAAACTGTTCTTAACCTGAAGCACCACTTTAGCTAATGGGGCCTCCCGCTGCCGCCGCGCCACCGAAGCACAATTTCTGTTCTCAACCTGAAGCAAAGTTCTTAACCTGAAGCACTATTTTTGGGTTAGCAGAGTCTGTAACCTGAAGCGTATGTAACCCAAGGTACCACTGTACTATTTTCGTGTAACTTGCTCACGTCCTGGGATTTCCAAATAACTACTGACTATTTTGCATGCCTACGTACAAGAACAGGAGAAATTTTCCAAGCGACTTTGTCATTGTGCTGTTTACCTGATATAACACTTGATTGAATTATTTTATTACATTTTGTATTATAATATTACTAATAAGGATAACCAGTGTTAGATCATCAGTATTTTAAATGTGCTTGATTTATTTTAAAAAATACAAGACTTAAAACTGGACTTCATTCCATGTACAGTATCTCTAATATAGTTCTTTTAGGGGGGAAAGTAAAGTGGATTTTTAATGTATAATTAAAACAAGACAGTTTTATTTTGAAATACTTATTCTCATCTTAAAAGCATTATAAAAAGCATGTTGGCCTCCTTATAGAATCCTCTTTTATAGATTTAAGCTTTATAGGCTAGGAGTTAAATGAGACTTAATCGTAAGTGTATATGTGGTTGTAGCCTACAAGTTACAATATATACTGTTCTGACCTCCTTGAAAAATGCACTGCTGCTTTTTAGTACTGGCAGCTATAGAAATAAAATGAATAGTTCTAAAGCTTAGACTGAAATTCTGAATATAAACGTATCCATCAGATTTAATGAAAAGAATTCCCAAAGTGAATATAATTCAAGTACACTTCCAATCTCAGCAGTTTTATATGATGGGAGGAAGCTCCTTTCAGTTTCACAATGCTTTGAATTTTTTTCACTTTCATAATAAATAAATATTGCAGGGTTTTTGGTTGCCCTCTAAGGAAATGCAGTGCATTCTTAAAATATAGTGTTGAATACTGACAATGATAACCTGTTTATACAATGACCTGGTTTTCACATAACGCTAAGCCAAACTATGGGTAATTGCAAATTTTCAGGTGTCCAGAGAAGCTTGGCTGCTTTTCTCCTCCTCCAGTCCTGCTGCTGTGAGCTAAAATGTGAGCTGTAAGCCACAGAACAAACATTGACTACAGCTCATGGTGTGCCTAAACTAGAGCATGATAAACCAGAAGCTTGGGTTCATACACAACCCGACACAACATGCCAAACCATCACATGGCTCACAGCAGCAGGACCAAAGCAGCCATTGTCTTATCTTGGAGCTTGCAGTCTTATATGATGGGAGGAAGCTCCTTTCAGTTTCACAATGCTTTGAATTTGCTCCCATAGTTTGACTTGGTATTATGTGCAAACTGGGCAACTGAAAACGATTGCTGAATTCCAATGGCACACTGCAAACAAAACATTGGGGGGTGCTTATTGTCTAATTTAACATTCTGCTAAAGAATGATAAAGGATTCCTTGCACAGAATTTAATTAAAATCTAAGCTAATAAAAGCAAATTCTATCAATATTTTAGATAGATTAAGGAAGGATGGTAAATGTACTATTAATATACTATTAATAATTCTGCTAGCTTTGTCCCATTGCATTCAAGAATAAGCTCCTGAAGACTTACCCCACACACCACCCCATTACTGCACAGGTGGCATTTCCACATAGAGAGTCACATGAAATGTGTGTAGATTGTGTATCACAAATGCAAATGCTTGTTTTGCTATAAGTTTAAAAAAAGTGTTACCTTGCCCATATGTGTGTGGGTTTCATGTAAATTCCTGCAAGCAAATGCCATTTGCATTGCTCTTTATGATGATTTCTCTCTGTCTTCTTGCTCAATCAAAAACTTTTAGCTATAAGTGATATTGCCATTTAGTCTTTTTGTTTTGTTTTTCTAGTTATCAGGAGTGCTTGATGACTGCTTATGCGACATAGAAAGCATTGATGACTTCAACAATGTTAAGATCTTCCCCCAAATACAGAAACTTCTAGAACGGGACTATTTCAGATACTACAAGGTAGAGTAAAAAATGGCCTATTACTATATAGTTTAGTGCAGACATTCTCAGACTCTCTGCTCCTTGGTCCATGTGAGTGAGCTGAAAACCCACCATTTACAAACTGGTGGTGATATTTTCTGTTGATACCTAACCTCTCTTTGGAAATTACTAAATTCTATGCCATAGTAGTTTTCTTGTGGAAAGGAGTTCCATCATTCAGACTTTTATCTGGGTGTTATTTGCCAATACAAGACTCTAAATGGAGAAGGCTTTTTATTTTATATCCACCCCAGCATTCTCTTTAATGTCTGTTTACTCTATCTGCTGTCACTTTTTCTCTTTTCCTTCTTAACCTAGCCCGAAAGTGTTAGTTTCTTTCATCCCTGCTCTTTTACATTTACTTCTCCCTCCTTTAACAACTTTCTTCTTGTAACTCTTTCCCCTCTCTTACCACTTTGTTCTATTTTTTAAAATAATGTTTTATCTCTGTTTAAATTCCTATGGGAAGCAAGACCTCTCATCTCTCTGTCTTTCTCTTTCCCTCCTCCTGCTCCCAGCTTCTATCCCTCAGTCACCTTTACTCCGTATGCAGGGAGTTGGCATCCATCCAACCAAAAGGCTACAGTATGATCAGGGATGGGGTGGGTAAGGGAGGATGCACTGCATTGGCAGTGGAAAGAGGATTAAGTCCCACTGGTGGTCCTGGCTTATCGCTTGAGAAACACTGGCTTAGTGAAATCGATTTTTCTTTCTCTGTTCTCCTACGAAGTAAAAGAAATACTGGGGTTATAGTAAAACTGTACTAAAAATGAAACCTACTTCAAAGCTTCAAATTAGTGTGAAAAGGAAATACACTGTGGGTTGGAAGAGCAGTACTGTACTCTGAAACACTGTATACCATTGTTGGATTTCTTACCTCCCCATTACCATAAGGTCCCAGAATAGGTCACAACAATATAAAAATACAAAATTGAAATTAGTTAAAACCTTTTACAATCACAAAACATAATATGTTCTGCTAGTTTTTGGAAAAACCACCCTCATTTTGATGTAACTGCTGTCTTTAGAACCTGGAGTTGGCTTCAGATAAGTTAGCCTTTTCTTTCTTAATGGAATTGGTTAAAAACAAAAATGGAAAGGATTTGCTGAGACAATTAACAACTAGAATACAAAAAAGGGAGGTGTGAGGAGGTCGATGAAATAAGGTAATGACAGTTAAGGATTTGAGAATACTGGATCTGCTTTTAAATTTTTTTTGTTTAATTCTGCTTTTTGATTTTGATGTATTATGTGTTTTGCCTTTGCTTTTTGATTTTGACTTTTATCGAATTGTATTGTTTAATTGTTATCTGTTCTTTTTTCTTCTTTTCTTCCTTGTTTTTCTTTGTAATCTTAAAACTCTCAATAAATATCATTTAAAAAAAATAAAATAAAAACAGTACCTGAAGAATTAAATGAAAACCTTACCAGGTACTTGAGCAAACAATGATGTCCAAATGTGGCTAAACGTCCTTCAGCATTGCTTGATCCAAGGTGTACTATAGTGAAAGTAAACTAATGTTAGATAAAAGCTGTCTTCTGTGAATGTGAAGCAGATACAGTCTACACCTGATGGTTTTGGAATTTGCTCTTGATAAGCTGTATAACTGAAGGTTATAACATTTAATGTGGCCATTTCTGTTTCATACAGTGCTGTATCAAAATAGTTGTAAGTTTATCATCCACCCTCTCCCCTCTAATCTCTCCCCCTACCTCCGGATACCATATTGTCTTACATTGAACGTAACCAAAAGACTTTATAATCTGAAGAATAACAACAACAAAAGATATTGTATGTTCTTTTGTAGTTCATGAAAATCTCTAATATTTTTTAAAAGAATAAAAGAAAAATTATTACCCTTTGTAAAGTATTCTGTTGTCCAGCTACCAACTTCATTGGCAATTGTGCTAGAAACTTTGTTAACATTTAGGATTTTCTGTTTTATTGTTCACTGCATCTTCATATATAATCTTTTGTTCCACCTGTCCTCTTCCCACTCACAGAATGGCCAAATATAGCAATTTTTATTTATTTTATTTTTGCAACCATGTTGCAAAAAAAAAAAAAAGTGTTTTAAAAAGGGACTTCCTCTTGTGCAGGGCAAGTTCCCTGAATTCTATCCATCTTTCACCATCCCGTGTAGGCCTCTGAGTCCCATCTCATTTTATTACAAGGATCATTGGTGGGATCCAGAAAGCCCTAGCACGCAAGTAGGGGTCATGCCTCTCTGGATCCAACCCTGTATTTTTAATAGTAGCTGTGTAGTCATTATGAACAACTGGCTTAGTCAGAAGGTGCCTATTAGAAAATGTAATGTTTCTCCCCAGTTCCCTGTTGCTAAAAACAATTTCCTCTTTGACTCCATCCCACCCCAAAAAGGGTGCTATGTATTACTTCGATTCGACTAAAAAGATTTTAACTTTATCTTGCTTATGACATTTTTCGTATCCAGCAGCAGTTGATAAAAATGTTGCATAAGCTATGAGTCATTTGTTGGATTACTGTGTGAACTCTACACATTTAAAAGTAGTTTAGGTTTAATTGGGAAGGATTTGTCCTAATTAAAAATTTGAAACAATATTCTAAACTTTCTGAACTTGCATGTGGGATACGTGCACTGTAGTAGCTGTAGCTCACTTTTTTGCAAAATTTGAGGCCTGTGTATATTAAAGGAAACTGAAACTTTTCAGTTATCAAAGTGTGGAATAGAAATGAACTATTTTAAATGTAAGATGCCAACAGACCAGGTTTGATTTAAGTAATGCTGTAATCTTTTAAAGAATATCTAAGTGGTGCATATCAGCTGTGGCTGCAATTGTATGTTAGATAAGTCCTTGTGCTATGGTTGAAAGAGGATTAAGAATTTTTGATCTTGGAAACTGTCTTCCTTTGCACTGATACCGTTAATACTGTTGATGTAACTTGAAGTGGGGGCTTGCATTTTAAAGCTTAAGCTTCCTGGAAGACGTGTGATTCCTGTTTAATCTGGATGTGCTGCATCTGCTTGATTGCAAACAACACTTGTGAGGTTATTCTGTGGAAATCTTTGGCTGAATCTTTTTTATATTAAATATATTACAATAAAATTGCACAAACAAATCTCTAGCACACCAATAAAACAAAACACAAGCAATAAGGAACATTTTCAACATAGGTTCATGCAACTATATTCACTGCAAGACATCAACATTTGACAAGTAAATTATTCGATTATGGGTGTTCCTATTTTCATTATCTTGAAAAAATTAGAAGATTTAGCAGTGTTAAAAAGTATAATATTAGTTCTTTCTTAGCAATAGGTACATAAGAATTTTCAAAAGACAATGGATAGGATTGTTTTGTTCTTTCAGCCCATTTTATTTAACTGTTTGTAAAGCTTTATTGGCACATCACTGTGGCTTCCCACTTCCCCCTTTGATGAATTGAGTAACTTGCAGAATTCAGGTTCAGCAACTTCTCTGATCAAGAACTTTTACAAAATAGGTCAAGTAACATCAATCACATTTTGTACTGATCATTCATGTGAGGCCAGAGGAGAAGGCACAAAAAAGCACTGGACTGTATTTTTTTCTGTGGTATTGAGATGTTGTTAATGCAATCAAATCAAATTATTCCCAGAACAAAGCTTCAGAAATTGCTTGTGCGGGCACCCCCATCCCATGCTTGTAGCTGGCTCATATTTTTAAGTCAGCCGAATAAATGAAAACTCTAGATATTTGTTTGCTCAGCCCTAATCTTTCACTTTTTTTTTATAAGAAAGCTTATTCTATTGAAGGGAAGTTTCCCTATTTAGTTCAAAATTAATTGACTGACAGCATGTATATGTTTCTTGGTTTTAAGGTTAATCTGAAGAGACCATGTCCTTTTTGGGCTGACGATGGCCATTGTTCTATCAGAGATTGCCATGTAGAGCCTTGTCCCGAGGTATGTTTGCAAATAAAGGAGGAAACCAGAATAGTATTGCCTTTGTTGAACAGAATAATATGGAACCTTACTTACTGCCATTTTTGCAAGAGTTTGCATAACACTGATATGATTCTGTGTTGATGGGAGTGGGGGTTAACATACTTTAGAGTTGCAGGAAGTTTGACAGCTTTTATTGGCAACACATTGACTGCTGTTGGAAAGCTACTTTGCTAGTGAAATTTTAGTTTTGTGTAAAGATAGGCAACTGTAGTTCAGTTTAAATAGCAGATAAGATAACTTCAGAGCTCAAAGGGTACTATCTTTCAGTGCTATTAATGACAGTAATACGACAGGGGCTTAAAGAGTGTTTAGATTTTTGGCCATCATATTATGAACAGTTCTGATTTAAATGCTAACTCATCCTAAGCTTTTCATAGAGAAGTTCCACTGAACTTTTTTCAATGAGCTTGCTTACTAGTAAATGTGCATAGGGTACCCATAGCAAAAATGGTCAAATCATAAATGAAATGGAACTGTATCCCAGCGTGGAGTATTGATGCTCAAACAGTTTTTTGCTGGCGTGGCTCATTGATTTAGCAATCTTCAGTTAGTCAGTGTTGAGAATGAGTGGGTTGCGAATGAAAAGGTTGAATAATCATGTAACTTGTTTGCTTCTTCTAGAGTAAAGTACCAGTTGGAATTAAAGCTGGGAGTGCTAACAAAGTGAGTAAGCTCTTCTGAAATAAAAAATATGGACTTTTCTGCCCCCCACTGCACTAGGAAAACATCTGACTGGCATGTTGCATTTGCCTCAGATGCAAGTGATAGCTATCCACTCCTGCTACTTTAGCAGCTAACATAGCATTGTGCTATGTGAAGCATGATGGTGCATTCTAGGTGCTGTTTGTATAGGAGTGCATTTCCTCCCCTCCTATGAGAGAAAATTGAAGCTGGCAGCAGTGCTAGGAAGTCCCACTGTGTTTCCTTGCCATGGATACAGTTGATGAGGCTCTCTGGGCTCCCCCCCTCCCAACCTTGTTTTCCAAGGTGAGCAGAAGCTAAGTCGGCCAAACCTGGTAGCATGGGCAGCTGGTCAGGAGGCTTTTATAATGTAGCTTCCTGTTAAACAATCACTTGTAAAATTGCCTCTGGGGGAAAATGTTAAGCAAACACTGAAAATACTTCTCCTTAATGCATACTTAAATCCCAGATATGCATATATAAATAAAAAATAGTGATAGAAGAATTTATGGCCTACAGTACCATAAATGTGCATAAGAATAGAAGCTTCTGTCTCTGGTCCAGAGAATGGTAATACTTGGAAATATTAAGTGCATTTAATGCTTGTGAGGTGTTACCTCGCTTGTCAGTCATGGCTGCATTGGGTAAGTGACAGGCAAATGCCCTAAAGATTTAAAACGAAAAATATATTCGTTGGTGATATTAAATATCATATACTCTGCCTTGCAGTATTCAAAGAAAGCAAACCATACCAAAGAACTCGAAGACTGTGAACAAGCTAACAAACTAGGAGCAATTAATAGTACATTAAGGTAAGCCCTTTTTTCATTGTTAACTGGAGTGGCAAGGCTTGATATATTTAGCTCTTTTTGGACTTTTCTCCATACATACTATTCTTGTAAGTTCTGTGGTAAAGAGAACATGCCAGTGTTAGATTTCACTTACACAAAACATATTTATTTGTAGCTGTTGGTCCAAACATACTTTTATCAGTTGAACTAAAAAGACTAACATGATGAATACAAACGGAGGAAGCAAGCTGTTCCAGATATTGACGCCTAGTTTTTAGAACTGTTTCTCTGCTGGTAGTACTGTACGTAGGCATTAATTTTGAAATTCACTTGCAGATTCACTTCCTCCATTTTCTTTCAACCAAGTTCTGTGTGCTAATGCTGGATAAGGAGTAAGGATTAAAAAGTGATACAGCAGCATATAAACATGTTTGTTAGCATGATGGTCTCAAGGATAGCTATCTAAACAAACTAGTGCTATGTATCTGGGCTGAATATACAGTTCTAGTGTTAATTGTAAACTAGTGCTGTATGAAAGCTTGGCAGTTGATTACTTGCCGTGTTACTTTATGAGAAATTAGTTGCACTTTATGCTCTTACGACAGTTTCATGTAGTCAGTGTTAGTTTCATAAGATTACTTTTATCTAAAAAAAAAACCTTTTCATTTTTATGAGCTTCCTTGAAGGTCCTTTTGGGATGATGTTGGTAGCAATCTCTGTTTTTAAAAGTGATGGGAAAACATAAAAATGAGAAATGAGACCATATTATGTCCATTTACCACTAGTCTATTTTTTCTCCTTTCCACAGCAACCAAAGTAAAGAGGCTTTCATTGACTGGGCCAGATATGATGATTCACAGGACCATTTTTGTGAACTGGATGGTAAATTTGTTCATTCTTTTGAACTATGTTTTATTAGGCAATGTGTAGCTAAGTCAATTGAAAATCATCTTCATGTACTTCACAAAAGAGAAAGTATGCCAAAATATTTATACTGTGCTCTTAAAAAACAGCCTCAGTTCTGATCTTCCAAACCAAAAGGAACCGTGGGCTCATGCAATCCCCGTCTCTTAGTTTTAGCACTAAACATAGTTTGCTGTGAAGAGTAAACCTATTAAAGATCAACACCTCCAATTGTGGATCCTGATATAGCCAAGACAGTACCACCTGTGAACTAGAGGAAGGGTATCAGCAGGATCCAAAGAACCCAACTCTTTTCAGAAGCAGAAATATTTCTGGGAGAAGAAAAAACTGGGACTGAGCACATTCAGTGGCAATGAAATTCTGACTTAAGGGTGGTGGAAATGATGACACAGAATTCCAGATGTGAAGGACAAGCATATGGAGTATCTTTGAAGATGGCTTGGCTGGCTGGAATCCTGAATAGGCATCCTCTACATTGCCACATTTGGTTGCAGGTCCCACTTGTACAGTCCAAATCTTCAAATACTGTTAATAATTTTAAACCAGAATAGGCTTAATTTAAATAAGAAAACTAAGCCAGGATAAGAAACCCTCTTCAAGCCATGACTTCTGATTGTGATTTGGAGCACAAACACTGGTAATTATTTACCAATTTGGACATAATTGAAAGTCACTGTGAACATTATATGGGAAACGGAGAATGGGGCACTTACTCAATATTTTTTTCTAAAGGCAAGAAAGAGCTAAATCTCTTCTTGTTCATAATCTACCAACCTATGATTTGCAAGATCATCTGACCTGTACCCTAGTATTGTGCTTGGAAAGTGTTGAATCAGCTAGTGTCCAAAGGCCTCAAATTGCAAAAACAAAGCAAAAGCCCTAACAAAATGTTGCATTCAAAGTCAAAGAGAGGAGAGAGGATGAAGGACACTCAACAGCAAAAGTGCTGAAAACAGCTCTTACAATAAATATTCATTCTAGAACCAGTTATAAGCCCATGTATACAGCTGCCTTGTCTTCTAACCCTGGGTTTTCTCCTTTTTATGTGGTTATAATTAGTATTAGATAAACAAGTTAAATTAAGAAAGTTAAAATGTGTCCCCCATAACTGGAAATTAGGCTCCTTTAATAAAATACTGTATTCACATGTGTAATTGTGCATGTTTGAAGTGTAAGTAATGAGTAACTTGGTACTCCTGTTCTATCTAGTTTCCCAGCATTTTGCAAATAATGAAGAGGGAAGTAGCAGTAGGCTACCTGCTGAAGCATTTTACTTTGTCTAAATAAGTCTCCTGTTCCAAGTGTAGATAATAAAGGGCAAGATGTAAATAAGGTGGGGCAATTTGCCATCTGTACAAGCATCTAGGTAATGTGATCAGTAGTAATGATGCATTTGACTTTTTACATTAGCCAAACTGTTTTATCTTCCTGTGTATGTGTGTGTGTGTGTGTGTGTGTGTGTGTGTGTGTGTGTAAATTCACACACAATTGTACAATTAATGCATAATTAACATCTCTATTTCTTCTTTAGATGAGAGATCTCCTGATGCTCAGTATGTGGATTTGCTGCTGAATCCAGAGCGTTACACTGGATACAAAGGGCCCTCTGCATGGAGAGTATGGAACAGTATCTATGAAGAAAATTGCTTCAAGTAACTGGGAAGGGCGGGCAGAATTTATTTTGAAACATTTGAGATTCTTTGGATTACAAAAACATATTTCTAATCTCTTTTCCTTTAGGCCACGATCAGTGTATCGTCCACTAAACCCTCTGGCACCCAGCAAGGGTGGGTCACTAAATACTTTGTAATTATAAGAATGGTTTTGAAGGTTCAATACAGCCATGCCATTTAGGAAACCAGTAAGGATTTAATGAATGGAGATGGCCCACTTAATTAGACTTGCTAATGTTCCTTCCCCCTCAAGCATTAGTGTTTGTTTATATATTCATAAGATGCATATCTTGCATTTTGATAAGTGCCCTCAAGGTGGCTTGCAAAACAAATTATCATCATTAATGCTACTTTTACTAGTTAAATGTATTAATTGTCTACAGCCACTGCCTCTAGGCTACATACAATAAAATGTTAATGGGCCAATATTCAATACAACTATTACTCCACTATTACTAATATAACTATTATTCTCCTGACTGGATTGAGCTTCTGATTTAGCACACCCACTGCCCCTCCTGCTTGAGTGGACAAGGGGAAATAAGAGTTGTGTGTCATCAGCATATTGGTGATAATGCCCTCCAAAATGTAATAATACACCAAATAAATACACCAGCAAAAACTACAGAAGGTAAAATAACATGCAAGCAGCAAGAGAAAAACAGTAAAGACTCAATGCCATTCAGAGCCTGTCTAAAAGATAGCAGTGAAAAAAACAGGCCAAATGTCTGTGTAGATGACACAATCTCCTTGGTAGCCACCTATCTAATATCTGCAGATGAGGGGGCGCACAGAAGGACTAAAGAGGTCAGTTCAGCACTTTGAATTGGGTTCTGAAACATTGCAACAATATACTTACAGTATTCCATACCAGTTAACAATCTGGCCACTTCATTCTGCATCACATGAAGTTACCAGGACTGACATACAACTCACAAAAGTAAATTAGCGTTGATGGTACCACAGCATTGATAATTATGGCTCTCTCTCCAAGACGGGATGCTGCTAGCACCTTAACTATACTTTTCAAAAGGCACCATGAGCTATGTATGCCACTTGTGCATCCATCAGCAATACTGGTTCCAAAAAATAATTTGTTCTGGTTGTAATTACATTTCCCCTTAAATAACTGATCAAATGCAACTTACGTTTTATTTGAAACTATTTGCCAGGAATAAGAAAGCAAAGCTACAATTTGCAAAAAAAAAGGGGGGGGGAGTTGTATGAAACTGAGATCCCTGTACAACTCAGAAATGTAGAATTGCTTTTCAAAATATCAGTAAAATTAGCAAATGCTGCAACATTATTTGAGTTTGTTGATTCTCTATATTGCATTTAAATGTTTATCTGTGTTGTACAGTGTAAGATCATTATTTTAGTACATATATATTTGTGCCTGAACTAAATAACTGATGGGTTGAATCACAAATCAAAAAGTTTATATATTTAAAAAATAACAGACGTGTGTTTGATTTTCGGTAGAGACATAAGAGGGGAATAAATTGTTCTCATCTTCTGCAACTTTCTTTTTTTTTTTCAGGAGAGGATGATGGTGAGTCTTCATAATATTCTTTACAAGTTCACTTTTACCCTTAATGTCAACTAAATACATTCAGTATGCTGGATATACAGTATTTTTCCGTGTATAAGACTAGGTTTTTCCCCCCTTAAAAATAATGTCAAAAATTTGGAAAAATACGGTACATCTTTAAAATACCTCAATACTGAATACTGTTGCTGAATTACAATAGAGGGTGAGGGAGCAAAAAGTGGGCAGGGAGGGAGAAAGAGAATTAAAACATACAGAACATGACTTAGTTAGGATTTGGAACACACTTGTCCATCCTTTTTGGTGGGAGGGGCGGTACTTGCAAAAATGGTGCTACTCTGATGTATGATGTTGAAACTTGCCCCTCAAAATAGAAAAATCAATGCTTCACAATTTAAATTGTGTGAAGGTGACAGATGGAGAATCAAGTCTTTAGCAGATTCAGGTTTTCCTTAAATCATATGCCCTGTGTTTTGGTTTCTGTCTAGTGTGTTTTAAAAATCTGGAATTTTGTTGAAGCTACTAATGTGAATTTATTTCTGTGCTTACAGGAGAATCTTTCTATACATGGCTGGAAGGTGAGCAAAGTACCTTGTTCATTAGCATTTCTATACCTCCAAAATAGAGGATAGCTATGTTAGTCCAGCTATGCAGCTATGAAAGTTCATTTCACAGTAAGTTCATTAGTCTCCAAAGGTACTACAGGACTCTCTAGCTGCTAGAGAGTCCTGTAGTACATTTGGAGACTAATGAACTTACTGTGAAATGAACTTTCATAGGCTAGAGATAAGAATGCTGTAGCCCATGAAATTTCGTACTACAGTTAGCTTGTTAATCTTTAAGGTTCCACATTACTTTCTGATTTTTACCTCCAGATAGATTGTAATGCATCTGTACAGCTAACACTGCAGGGTCACTTTAACTGGAGGTAGGAACTGTGCTCTTACACCTTTTGGAAACTGTAAGAGCTCAGATTGAATAGGTCTCATTAAAATAAATTGTTTATAAAAGTATTCGGAACAGATTATTTCCCCAAGCTTACCACTCATCCCATAATATGCTCAAATATGCTATCCATTAGTGCCTTTCACCAGTTTCTCCTTTCCCACACCCTCCATGCCACTTCTGTACATTCAGATCCAACCTAGTTCAGACACAGTGAGAAATTGTGGGTTTCTACTACACAAATGAATCACGATGAGCCTCAAGTTTGGCTTCTCCCCTCTTCCTCTGGTACACAGTGAAAAGGAGAGAACCACTTCCCATTTTAAACAAATCACACTTTGATGTCCAAACTTGTGGGCTTGGTTATTGAGGAATAGTTGAGTTTGGAAATCATTCCTTTATTATGGCCATAGGCAACTGTGATTTGTTTACAATCCAACCAGAAAGCTTCAGATTTCCTTATGAGCTTGAAGAGGAGGGGGATTTTAGCCCAAGGCTCACTGTAGCCCATTACTTAGCAGAAATGCAGGCCTATGAATCATGCTTTCATCAGTTCACTTTTTAATAATGCGTGTTCTACCTAGGTCTCTGTCTTGAGAAACGTGTATTCTATAAGCTCATTTCTGGACTTCATGCTAGTATCAACATACATCTTTGTGCAAATTATCTACTTGAAGGTATTTTATATTTTTAATACTGTGATCATCTCCATTATTGTGGGAAGATAATTTTTATCTCTGTGCAAGCATAATTCAGTTTGTCTAAAATTGTTTTTCTCTGATTAGAAACTTGGGGGAGACCTCGTTGGGGATCCAATGTCAAAGAATTTATCCATCGCTTTGACTCCAGTGAAACAAAAAGTGAAGGTCCAAGAAGGCTAAAAAATTTATATTTCTTATATTTGGTGGAACTACGCGCATTGTCAAAAGTCGCATCATACTTCGAGCGTTCAATTGTAGATCTTTACACTGGAAATTCCCAAGAGGATACAGAGACAAAGTCCCTCTTGTTAGAAATCTTCAGGGACACAAAGTAAGTGTGCCTTCCCATCCCCATATTTAATGTGCAACTAGATACAGCTGCTTGAACAATATTGGATTAAAAGAAACTACAAGAAATTGCATCAAAGGGATATCTGGAGTGTAAAATATAAGAGGAACATTTCTTAACCTTTCCGAAAAGAAAAGCAAGCACTGGAAAATGGAAAAAAAACCCCTCCACCTAGCTTTTGTCACAGTTACTGTGGACAAGAGGAAGTTTCCCTTGTGTGTACAAAATTGGGGGGGTGGGGGAGCATGTAGCCTTTTGAATTTCGCCTATTTCCTGTCCCACTTCTTCCTTCAGTCTCTTAGCCAGTAATTTTGCACTCATGAGATCTAAGCAGACAAACTTCCTTGCAGAATTGCTGGAACATAAGTCACCTATTATGTATAAAGTTATTTAATTGTCTGAAACATGAATAAAATGAAATTCTAAACTTTTTTATACAGTTTTAAAATAAAGGGTCTCAGGTTTGTCAATTATTCCAGTGCCTTTGTATCCATTGACCCAACACGGGAAGACGTGAGCAAGTTTACTGCATAGTGAACAATTGAATAGAATCCTGGCCCATACCCATCTTTTATAGCTCTACAAGTAAAAGCTTGAAAATTCAGGAACGGAACCAGGACTATTGTAGGAGGTGGGACAGAGAGGTCTTTGCCAAGCCTGCCTTTGGATGTATCCTTGTCTCCCCCTGCTGTTTCTGTTTGTATTTCTTCTTTAATACTCTTTTGTCAATTGGCACTCCCTGATTCCCTTGCTGCAAGTTGTCTTCTGCTCTCTCAAAGCACCTCCTTTCCCAGACCACTCTCTTCACCAGTCCTGTTCCATGCCCTCCTCAAGTGCTTTTGCTTGGCTGGAATGTGTTTTTGAACAGCGCTAAAATGTATTTTGTTTGCCTGGATAGAGGGAGATTTGTATGTAGAAAGGCCTGATTTCAGTATGCGTAAGAGTCATATGCATTTCCGTGGCCCCTGGGAGGTTCTCCATGAGGGAATGTGCCTTTCAGGCTCCTCACCCCTGCTGTGGAGGGCATGTAAAGGAAGATCTGACTCAGTCTCAGATCACATGAAGAGTGCCTTAAGTCAAGTGTTCTGCCATCCTGTGCTGTGACTTATGATTTGCCACTGAGATATTATTGAGAAATCCTACAACGTAGATCCCTTTCACTTCATTCTAAGCAGTAGATTGAGAGTTTTTAGATTATTTTTGATCATTGACATATTTCATTCACTTAGGTCGTTCCCTATGCACTTTGATGAAAAATCCATGTTTGCTGGAGACAAAAAAGGGGCAAAATCTTTAAAGGTAAATACAGTAATGCCAGTGAAATTTTTACATAAGCTATTCAAACAAGACAAAAAGTCTTACTTAAAAACTAGGTGTTAATCTTTGGGGGGGAGTCTATAGGTGTTTTGGGGACAGATGAAATTGGTTTGGTTAGAATATGATTCAGAATAGAGAACTGCTTAGTCTTGACTGTGGCTTCAGCATGAGAACATCTCTAATTTCATTTGAGTAAGACTCCTCACCAAACCCTAACCTACTTCTAAATTCTCACACATTTATGAAGCACTTAAGCAAATTACTGGAAACATGCTGGATATTCCACTGACCATAAAACTTTGGTACATTGTTGCTAATGGGCTGCATCACTGAACGCGCCCTGTTGGTTTTTTGTTTTAGACTAGTCATGGTATTTACTTGCCTAATTTTAGCACCATCACATTACATTTGGAGGTCACAAACAATGGTTCTTTCATTTACCTTAATATGTTGATGTTTTGCAAAACAGTACAGTGGTACCTCAGTTTATGAACTAAATCCATTCCTGAAGCCCGTTCTTAAACCAAAACCGTTCTTAAACTGAGGCGCACTTTCCCTCATGAGTCTTCCTGCCGCCGGTACCCTTCCACCGTTTGGATTCTGTTCTTTAGACCGAGGTAAAGTTCTGAAACCAAGACACTATTTCTGGTTTTGCGGAGTTTGTAAACCAAATTGTTCTTAAACTGGACTGTTCTTAAACCAAGGTACCACTGTATTAAACATGGTTTATTATTAAAGCAAATATTTCCTATAATAACTGGTATGGTTATGTAATACTGCCCTATCCTAGCCATGATTAGAGGGTTTGGACTTCCCAGCTGGCTTTATAGTCTCCTAACCTTTCATGTGCAAATTAACCTTTTCCTTTTCAGAGCTGACAGTGGTTAGTGTAGAAAGTACAGTAACCAGTTTGCAGGCCTTGGTTAGAAGGGGGTTTGTGAACTGCACTTTGAGCTAGTGAGAGCACCAGTGCAGATTTAACACCACCTGGTGGTTAGTACTGAAAAGAGAAGATGAATTCATACACATGGATGGGGGTTGAGGGGCGAATCCACACTTTTTATTGTATCTTTAAAAATTATGTTTTGTTTTTATTGGTAGGAAGAATTCAGGTTACATTTCAAGAACATATCCCGCATAATGGACTGTGTTGGATGTGATAAGTGCAGGTTATGGGGCAAATTGCAGGTATGTGATTTTTTTGTGAGTTAACATGTTCTGGGGCTGTGAAATGGTCTCCCATGCAAAACCTTCTAACACATTCTTCTGATGCCAGGAGTTTGGGGTTCTTGCCTTGCAACAGGCCCAGAACCCTCGGGTTGGGACTCTGCCTTTTGTGGCTGGTTCATATCAGCACAGTGGTTCATGTCACTACAAAGCCCCTATTTATTAGCCTTAGTATGCACTCACGTAATTTCAGTCTTTGTTTATACAAAGACTTGTACCTTGAATTCCAGCTTCATAAACTGTACTTTGTTGTTGCTTTGAGTACAGTACATAGTCTTACAATGATAGGAATATTTTTAGTAATTATAAAATATAAATCATACCTTGTTGAGACTTCTATTCTTTGTATTGCAGTTATATATTCATCAAGAATAATGGAAAAAAGCTGGAAAATAGGGTTTTATTATTTTATTGAGAATGGTTTTATTAATATGAACTGAAAATAAAATGGTGAAGGACTAGGAGACTGCATGTATTACTTTGTGTAAGGTTGGTGGCAGAATGGCTTTAATTGCTGCATGATAGCTATATAAAACCTTTCTGTTATCAGTTGGGGGTTTGGGACTAGGAGGTCTGTATTCTTGCTGTTTTACTGTGTTCTTTTAGACTCAAGGTTTAGGAACTGCTTTGAAGATCTTATTCTCGGAAAAGGAAATAAAAAACCTTCCTGAAAATAGCCCATCAAAAGGTTTTCAACTGACACGACAAGAAATAGTTGCTCTTCTAAATGCATTTGGAAGGCAAGTTATATTTTTACACTTAATTCTTTTATAGCTATGTAGTTATAGGCTATGTATTTTAATTCGTCTGCACCATCCCTCCCCCCCATATCAATCTGCTACTGGGATCCAACAGAAACCCTTAAAATCCTAGCTTAAAATAAAGCTGTAATTTGATTTCAGAATAACTCCAGTTCAACATTAAATATTGGGCTTATAACAGAAGAGAAAACATTAACAAATGAAACATCTAGGTGAAATATTAGGCTCATAGTGAATGATGGAAGGGGTCCAATGTATTCCAATAGCTGAATGCAGTGGTGGCGGGTGGGTCTCTTTACCAAAGGACATTACAAATGAGATATCAGTGTTTCAAGTTTACATTGTGAAAGTGTTAACATAAGGATAATTTGGAGCAGAATTAACCCCCTAAAGTCAAATTACTTCTGGGATCTGGGATCCAGTGCTTTGTAATTAGGTTTTTTTTTTCCTACACACAAGAATGTAAGAGGGGAGTTATAAAAAACACCAGTGCTCTAAGTGCTACAACCTAAAAAAAAAGCAAAAAATATGTGATACAGGCCAGATACTAATGATGTTGCGCAACATTTAAGCAAGCAGAATTCTTCCTTCCCTTCCTAAACCAACTAAAGCATATTTGGGGGACAACAGAGGGTAGGAGAACAGGAACTACTGTTGCACAAGCAGAAATCCACTCTGATTGCAGATGGGTATATTTGAATATTGCACTCATTTTTTCTTCCCTATTTAGAGCAGTTGCTGGGACCCCAATTATAGTGGGGTCGTAATTTCACTTTCCCATTCATTTTAAGAGTAGTATATTAGATTCCTGATGTCAGGGAAGAGTTAGAAGTTTTCAGTTTATCAGAGGGAGAAAGCATTCCCCAAGGGGGAAGGAGAGCAGTGAATCTAACAGAAGGGAGCAAGAGGAACAACAGGGAGGGACCGGCTGTTCACAGGAAAGGCAAGGCTTCAGTTCTAGCTCAGATTTGGAGGAGGGTAGATACAGGCCAGCTCTAGCCAGGAGGTTAGAAAAAAGAGCGGGAAAACGAAGGGAAAGGCGCCTTCGCCATTTTGAGGGTGGCTGGTCACGGAGAAGCAGAGCTCAGAAGGTATCTGAAAGAAGTGACTCTGAGGAATAATAGTTAAGAACTGTTTATAAGATTATTTTGTTAATACACAATAAAAAGTTATAAAAGAACAAGAAGCGTTTGTGTGGTGATCTGAAGAGGACAACGACCAGTCCTGACACCTGATAGCTTCATTAAGTTACATGAAGCAGCACATGTTGATGGTTGACCCGATGATTGTTGAAGAGTACATGGAATAGGAAATGGTTCAGGTTTGCTTTAAAAAAATCTACAAATATTTCAAACAGCTGCTAGGGTTGAATCCACAGCAACCACACTGTTACAAAGGTCTCTCCTAATACGTTTTCAAAAAGAACATTTTTATTTTGATCAAGATACTAAATATATATTAGCCACATGCATGAGACCAGCAGTTTCCGCACTGAGAATAGAAGTTTCAGCGTTCTGGATTTCATCTTCAGTTGCACAGGACACTAATCCTGTTTTATAGCAAAGTATTGATTCACACAAACATTTCAGGTGAAAAAGTAATAATGAAGTTACTTTTTTCTTCAGCATTTTTGGCAAAATGAACCTTTTTGAAAGAACACTGTGAGGTTGTATTGCCAGTCGTTGTGTCGTGAAAAAGGTACTGGACTGTGAGGAATGAATTAATTTCCAGTGCCCTCAAGGCAGAGACTCTCAAACTAGGGAGTTTAGTGTTTCTAACTTGAGATTGATTACAATGTGCAATCTTTTTAATCTCAATCTTTTTTTTCTGCTGCATCACAGGCTTTCCACAAGTATACGAGAACTGCAGAATTTCAAAGCTTTATTACAACAGAGAAGTTAACGAAGGCTTTTCTACTTAGTGGTGGAAGCAACCATTCATTTGACATTGGGAAAGACAAAATCAATCTTTATACAAACTGTTCTAAGGGGGGCGGGATATAATACCAACTTGAATATTTAAGGTAGGAAAGGTTAGTCATTGGACAAAATATTTAAGTATGAAGTACCTAACTTTAAACATGTAAATTATGTTCATCCTTCCACTGTTCAGTGTGTTTATCTTTGTACATCTCTTGAACCATCATTTGTTATGAACTTTTATTATTTTGTCTATTCAGAGACCCTTGATTTACATCAAACTGCACTTACTACGTCAGGTGATATGGAAAACCTTGCAGTGTTGCTCAAAAATAGCTGGTGGTCATATTTTTAACGTTTGCTTGTATCTGAAGGACCAGGTGCTGTTAAAATATTTTCTGTGTTTTGATGTCTGTTAACAGTAGCTGAAATGGCCAGTAAATTTTTACTAAAATAAGCCCCTTGGCACCCAGGGGAGACCAGCATTCTTCAATCACATTTTGTTTTATTTTTGTACTTGCTTCCTTTCCTCCTCCTTAATTTTCTGTTTCTCCATATCACCGTTGCCTTCTCTGTGAGGAGACAAGACTGGGTTAACTGTACTCCAGAGTCCCTCAATTCCTGTTATGCGTGTCCACTGAAGGGGCCTTTAGAGTGAAGTGCTGCTAGCTTGAAATGCTTTGCTCAAGCCTGCTGTTGGCTCTTTACCATGTAGCCAAAACCTCTCTCTCAATTTCTAGAGAGCTAAGAAAATTTTAATTATACCACTTGCAATCTTTCAAGATTGACACCCATTCTCCCTGTTCTGGTAAGCCCCGTAATATTTTTGTGAGACTAAAAGCAAAATACTCCTAGACAAACACTTTAAAAATAGTGTCAGTTCTCGGAATTCAGTACTGCATATCCTGCCTATGCAATCTCCCATTTGTACCTTACAAAAAGATACACAATGTCTGTACTAAAACGGGTATGCTCTGCAGAAATTTGATTCTCGATCATTTCTTGCAAAGGGGACTTCCATTTAGTCACTGCAGAACAATAGCAGAAAACAAGTAATTTTTAAAATTTTAAATACAAAGGAAGAGAAGTTCTGTAACGTGCGATGGAGCAGCTGACTTAGAAGCTGTCTGTGATGTAATATTTGTATTTAGTGAGGGATGTTTGAGTACAGCATGAATGTCAATGTTGGTACAGTATATAGATTTGTACATAAGTTTTGCTTTGATAAGTAAAATAATCTGAATTAAAATGAATTAAAAGTGCTCTTAAACACTTCTAATCTAAGTAATTTTTACTGTGGTTTGCGTTTATACAGTTATGTTGCTAGCTTTGTGTTACACCACTCCATAACTTTGCAGCTGAAAATGTGGGAAGGAACATGAGTGGATGGTTATAGCACTATTTTTGCTCAAAACATTTATATTTTGCTTATAATGAAAGTGCTTTCACAGGAGGCTTTTAATATATAGTTGCTGTGCCTCATTCATGCATTTTATAGGGTCCCAGACAATGTCACAAGCCAATGGTAATCCTCTCATATTTTTCCATTGCTTTATCCATCTTTTTTTCTTATAGCAGAAAATCCCTATACCCGCAGGTCTCAGGGCTTTTCACAGAATAAAATCAGAATATAAAACCACAAAATATATAATGAAAAGAAAAACAACAACCCAATAACACCCCCCAAAAAAACCCCTCACATTTTAAAAGGGCATAGGAGGTCAATCAAATCAACCAAAGGCCTGGTTAAAAAGGAACGTTTTAACAAGACTATCAAGCAGAGTAGGTCACACCAGCAAGTTTTCTAGCCAGGTTCTGAAACTGACCCGATCACCTTGTCTGATTAGATCTGGTTGTAGACATGTGTGTGGTTTGAGGTTTCCCCCTTAGCTTTTGAAGCAGCACAACTCCAAAATCAAAAGTAAACTCAAAGGAGTTTCAAATATTCAGGATTGTAGAAGAATCTTGAAAACGTTAGTGATCATGGAAACCAGTAGTGAGGCTTCATTTTTCTGGTTAAGACTAGTGAAATATTGACCTGCTAGTAATAAGGTTTGCTGCATTTTGTTTGAGGTGCACCGAGAAATTCTGAAGCCAACCTTCAAGTTGCATAATTTCTGCATCCTAATTTACAATGTTACTGTGCTATCATGGAATACATGCTGGTCTGCCCACAATCCTTGTATCTTCAGCTCTTTCTTGGTGCATGTTTGTTGGAACCTAACAACATGGGCATGAAAATGCTTAAATGCTTGATTGCAAACAGTTCCTTGCAAAACAAGGTCAAATAAAATGGTGCTCTGTTGGCAGGAGTGGCTTAAATAGACAAGGGTCAAATGTAAGTTCTCCAAATTCAAGTTCAAATAAATGTCTTCTTCCCACTTATGCTACTTTGACTATGGAAAAAGTTGGGGGGTTACATCGGGTAATTTCTTGTCTTTTTGCAAGGAGGTATAATGCTGAATCCAAAAAATGATTGTAGTCATTACAAGGCTGAATTAGAAAGTCACTTATGTACAGCTAAGATCACAAAGGCTTCTACTGGGTTAACTGGTGGTGAACATAGGAAGTATGAGTAGCGAACAGGTTTAAGGGTCATGTAGGGAGAAGAGATGGGCAAGGAGAAATCCTCATGGCGATGGAACAATTTGCTTAGTGCTATGTTGAACACTACCCCATTGTCCACCACCCAAAATTGGGAGTGGATATAGAATCAGTTGGGTGCAGATAAGCAATTGCTGAATGAAGATTACACAGCTGCATCAATACACGAGTTGCTGGGCCCCAAAGAGCTAAGGCACAGGTTAATATTTTCATTGCAAGTTTGTAGTGTGATAAGCTGGCAAAAATAGGACCTGGAGGACACTGTGACACTCATATTTTCACTTTGCATATGTAATCACCCAGAAAGGTTTTTAATATCTGCACAGGCATAGCAGAGAGGCAAAACTGACAAGTGCCTTTGGTGCACTTGAAAAATAGCTGTTGCGCTGCAACCCTAAGAGGAAGAATCTGAAAACTGTTTTAACTGCATGAGCATGACAAAAACGAAGTCCGAGGAGTACTCTGACCCTCCTTTGTCTGTTTTACATTGTTTGAGAACAGTGGGGGGGGGGACAGGAGAAATTTTAGACTGGCTCCTAAACTAGTCTAAATCTCTCCCTGCTTTGGGAGCATGTCAGAGTCCTGGAATAGCTTTGGATCCAAGCCATTGACCAGTTTTTCTGTAGCATGCCCCCCACATCACATTTAGCCCTACTAATGCTATAGATCTAATATCAGTTTGGCCATTGTATCATAATGGCGGGGTGAGGAATTCAACCTCAGATCTCCCCCTCCGATGTCAGAGTTCTACCTTTAGGCTGGAGAGGGAGAAATGATTTAGGCTTTGTACACATTACGGACTTTAACTGCAGGTAGGTCATTCTTTGTCTCAATTCTGATCAAATTTACTTTGGTGGGAAATGCAGCATTTCATAAGAAATGACAGGATAGATCTTGCTTGAGGCTTATGTGATGGGAGCCAGTGATGGAAATGCACTGGATGCAGTCTCAATGGGAGTGTGTACACAGCCTTCTGTGTGCCCCTGGGACTGCTTTTCTAGGGCCATGGGATTGCAGTCTTAATTTACTGAATGTGAGGGGAAGAAAGGGCTGTTTGTAACAAAAGTTAGTGGTTTTTATTTGTAGGGCAAATGAGAAGTTTATACCAAAATTGTATTGAATAGTATGGCACACTTGATTGATAAATGCAATGAGAGACAGGCTTTTATAGCTTCTAGCCCAGGAAGGCCTCTAGGCTTCCTAGTTTTACTGTCTGCCTTGTAGGCTATCATCGGTGACTTTTGGCACCATGTTTGTTTGCCTGTTGCAAGTCCTGCAGGCATGGTCTAGATGGAGGCGAAGGCGAAGTGAGAGAACAGGCACTTCATGTGACTGTTCTGAGTGGGCTGCAAACATACTGTTCTTTCTTTGCTAATGAATGTCTCAAGTAATTGACTTCAAAAATGAAGTTCCAAATATACGTGGGCAGCAATTCGATGTACACTTAACTGGAAAATAAACTCATTAAATAGTAGCTAGGTTTGGAAACTCAGTAAACACCAGATTCTGCCAGATATATCCCAGTCTACCTGGTTTGGTTCTGGTCCTATTGTGGGGCCCCGTGTGACTGAAATCAGAACCTGACAATCCTACTGGGCTAAAGCAGGTCTTTCAATTTGTGGGTATAGTTCCCGACCCTGTGCCTGAAGCAAAATGAATTCTGCAAAAAGCAAATTTGTATAATTTAGATAATAAGAATCATCTTTCCTTGGTGCAGCTTCTTTTGTTGTGAGGATAGGGTGGCTATAACCTTGATATTCTTATTTATAGCTGGGCAAAAGCAGGCTCCTATATTGTACCTATTGAGCTTAGTCAACCAAGCCATTTTTACCCACTCACTTCATTTTTTTCAGTTGCTGTGGTATACAGGCTACCTATTTGGTCTGCATTCTATTCACTAGATCAAATGAGTAATACTTGAAGTAGATATTAATGAAGGAAGTGGTAACATTTTCTTTAAGACTGCATCCTGCTAGGAACAATAATTCCCTTGTTAATACATCTGTTTACTCATTTACAAAACCTTCTCCCAAATGAGGGACAAAGATTACCCCACCCCATTTGCCCTCTCTTCTCAAAAATGGGCCTTGCACTTTTCATATGCTGTCTAAAAGTGTCATTGTACAGATATACAATGTAGTTTGCGCCAATGTACCTGCAACTTTGAACAGAAAATGTAAATGAAGCCTGGATTACCAATAAAAGGCAAAGAACTGAATTTGGCACCTGATCTTTAGATGATCACTTGGTGTTCAGCTGACTCATGAAAAATATTGGCAGAGCCATGGCTAGTAATTGGAAATGACAAACACAAGTAATAATTAATGTTGGACAGATATCTTATACTGGTAAAAAATGGACTCTGGACTATATACAGTGATAAATACTAATAAAACTTTTGGTTTTCTATTAAGACTTGGACAGTGTTTATTCTTAAGCTTACATACAGATCTGTTGTTTGCTTATATCAAATGATGAACTCCTATCAAATGCTGAGCTCATAGGTATCGTGGAAGCTTTTTATTTTATGTCTATTCTTTCCTCATGGTAGGATCCCAAGAAACTGAATATAAAATTAGCAGTTTCTCATTAATCACAACTGGCAATACTTACATGTCATCCATTACATACATGCATCAAGTAATATTAGACTTTTTATAATGAACGTTTTGTTGGAACTAGGAGTATTTTTAAAATGTTTTTATATTAACATTGTCAAAATAGTTTGTATGATGGTCACAACTCATCATCATCATCATATCCTACTGAATACATTACAACATGAGACACAAAACTATTTCTGTACATATAAACAGTGACAATATAAGAAAAGGGCTATAAATTTATAGCAGTAGTTTTCCAACATAAAAATAGATAATACAGAATACAAATATTTTCTCTTAGACTGCAGTCTGTAATAACACCTCTGTATTTTGTCTTCATTATAAAAGGAGACACAGTGACTTCAGTAGGAGTACTCCTATGTATAATTAAAGTACATGTGCAAATCTTTGCAAGATCACATCCTAAGCAAGGCATATTGGAATGAAAATATAACTATGGTAAACCTGTATGGTTTAACTAAGTAAACCTATAGCTTGTTTTTACTCCTATGTTTTTCCATGGGCCATGCTATGCCCCTGTAACTTGTGCCTTATTACTGATGTTGATTTTTTAAAATCAACATTGGTTTGGTGCTACATAGGGCTTGGTCGTTCTATCACTGTTGTATAATCCTGCTGCAAGGATCCAATGTGAGGTATAAAGCTGTTGGTTTGATGTCCCCAGTCATAGTAATCGGGGGAGAAACTAGAAAACAAAATTAAAGAGAAATTAACTTGGTAAAATATAGGCAATAAACAATACTTCAGGTCATGTGTTCCTGTGAAGTTCTAAGCAGGCACTAGACAGCCTTTGGTTCAAGGAATTGTGCAGACATGTTTGCTGCAATCCTGTGGTTCCTGGAATGAATTCCTGCTGCAGCTAGAAAGGAATTTGCTAGAGGGGCATAGGATCACACAAGAACATAACACTGTGGCTTGGCTTAAATTTTATACTTAGCTGTTAATCCAGGTCATCAAGAGTTCTATGCTGACAATCCCCAATTGTACTGGAAACTAAATCTGAGTACAACTTTCATTTACACGCAACATATTTTGATGAGACACATTAATAAAGATTCCAACAATAACTTCTCTGCATGTTTGTGGCATTTATAACCTGTTTAGCTGGTTGTCTTCCCAGCTTTGTGTAGAATAATGAATTGTAGGAAGTAATTCCTGTTCGTCTGGTGTCTCCCAGTCCTGTACAATTTAATAATGCGGGGCATTGGGGAATGAAACTCAAATTTCCATGGAGTATACAGAAAGAGGTTAGAATCACACGTAAACTTGAGTGATAGAAGCTAGGTGTCACAGAAGCATGGCAGAATACTGTAAAGAAGAAATTGTTGTTGTGGCAGAATACTGGGCATAATACAGCCAAGTAGAACATTTGAAATCAATAGGTCCCCCTTGAAATTAAAGGGTGTTGTACAATTGTGTCCCTCTGCTGACAGAAGGCTCTTTAAAGTAGCCTAGGCTAATTACTCCTTCCCTCTATAAGCCCTTGTGCCCCTCCACTCTGCTCTAGGAGGACCCTAGGAGGGACTACAGGAGAAAGGGGGAAATTCTGAAAATTACCTCTGCTCAGGTCACAGAAGCTACCAAAGCTAGAATTCTGCCACAACTGGACACAATTCCCTTTGGCTCTGTTCATCAGTTTGCCTCACCTGCCATGTATACTGTGCGGTGATATACTCCATGCCAGATCATCATCACTGTCGTATCTGCGAGGATTGTCAAAGAAATAAGATCTTGGACTGAACGCATGAGTTGGTACTATCCCTGGGTTTGTCTAGGGATGAAAGAGAAGTTATTTTGCATTGCACCAATTTCCCGTTGCCAAGTTTTGTGATTTGGCATCTGTCTTTAAAGAGAAATGCAGAGAATTCTAATCACTTTTCTCCTATCCTGTCTCATGTTTCTGTGCACTCATTTACATGCTGGCCTTCTGGTAAACGTTTCTGAATATAGCCTCTGTTCTTTCTCCTTTTGCTTGGAGAGAAATGATGGGAGCGAACAGGAACAGACAATATAAAGTTAAGTCTTGCAAAGTTTCCAAAGCATAATGAGAGTATCATTAGTAAGCAAATGATCTGGCTTATCTGTTCTAATTTACACTCTGATTTAACAAGCCACCCATTCTCCATTGAGACATACCCAAATTATCTCGTCTTTTGTTATCTGATTTGACATTGAATCTTTGCAATTTCTTTTTGAACTCTAATGTCCCAAACTAAATACAGGGGCCCAAATTAATAGAATCAGAGAATTGTAGGGTTGGAAGAGACCACAAGAGTCATCTAGTCCAACCACCTGAAATGCAGGAATTTTTTGCTCAATGTTGCACAATCCCAAGATTAACAGTTGCATGCTCTACCAACTGATCTTTTAGTCAACAGCTATTATTAGGTTGCTCACAATACCAGTATGGTCATTTTTTTTTAAAAAAAAGCATACTAAAATGGCCATAGAATTATATTTGCTCATTGTTATCATGAAGAAACTGGCTTAGCTTGGCATTATTTTGTCATCTTAGATTTGAGAGGAAACCATTTTTCACCCAGTGTCTCACATTGTGAACCGTATAGTGTCATGAGAAAAAAAAAATTAAATTATGAGGATCTTCTTTAAATAAGATATAAAGTAATACAAACTTAATCAAAAGAGTCTCTATTGCAATTTAAACTGTCATTTAATTCCCTGTTAACAAAGCTCTGCTATGTACTTATATAAACTTCCAGTCACATATATAGTACAGTGTATTACTATTTTTTTTTGGCTATTACTCCCCTCTAGTGGCTAATTTCCAGAATATCCAATTCCAAAATCCATATTTGGGAGATACTGTGGTTGGCCCAAAAAGTATCACAAAACAGTACGCAAGCTTTAGAATTCTCCATAATGCTTCATCAGGCTCAATGATAAACAAAGCAAGGGGTGCATCTTGTAAGAGCCTTAAGGTGGGAGGAGGTAGCTGGCATTCTAATATGGTTATGCAGGCTAATCTTTAGGATTTGAATTGAAGATGAGAAAATGATATTTTTTTTTCAATTTTATCTTAATTTTTAAAGAACCTTTGATTTTAAAAACAAATGTTTTTGTGTATTTCCCTAATTTTCCAGCCTGGGGAAATACCAAAAAAGTAAAAAAGGCTACATCAGTTACATACAAAGATTTTGGAACACAAATATGCAAAACAAGAATCTGGTTTAAATAAAGTGAAGCTCTATACACTGATCTGTCCCCTCTCCTTTGTAACATTTTGCAAACTTCTGCTTTAAATGTAACTTTAAAAAGATGAATTCTTAAATGATTTCATAGTGAGTCACAATAAATTGAGAATGAGGCAAGCAAATCCTTCCTTATCATAAATATTTGCAATCCAGATATTTTGAGCCAACAACCCTGCGCCACCTTCCCCCTGAGAGCCCCTAACATCAGGAAATAATTGCCTTTAATGACTCTAGAGCAGAATGGGCTGAGCGGAAGAATAATTATGCAAAAACAAAGGGTGGTGTCTGTATTGATCAATAAATGTGTGCACTCAGATTTTAGAAGGGACATGTGACATTGCTAGGACAGGAGAGGCATTTCCTTTTAAAAAAACAGAATATCAAGAAGTGGGCATATGTTGAATGCGGGGAAAATATAACTTACTAGGTCTTTTGTAGGGTTTCGGACACGGAAGAAGAACACCACTAAGGATGTGGGCAGAAGTTCCCATACAAACAGGATTACTCCAAATACAACATATCCAGCATCACCCAACTGACATTTCAAATCTGCCTGTTGCAAAATTAAAGTTAAATATGTATTAGATGTACAACTAAATTCAGCATTTGCTAGCAACCCCACAACCTCCATCTATTGCAGAATGCATAAGGAAAACATTTCTGCATGCTGAAATGCAACTCTTTCACCATTCTCTGTGAAGATCAACTGGATAAAATACATTTCTGGGCATCAGAGATGGCCTAGATGCATCTACAATTTTCTTGGCCCAAATAAACAAAGAACCAGCATCTATGCAGCAGGCAGGTTTCAGAGGGATTTTCTGACCAGCAGATCCCACTAGTCAGGATGTCATGACCAGTGGGCACCTTAAACATGCTGAACTAAGTAGATGGACTCTTCCACAAGCTGTTTTGGGGATGTACTTATAACATGAGAGACACAGTGTGCAATTTTGGCCTAGTTCTTAGTCACGCTGGAAGGGTTATACCCATGAGTCACTCGTGGATAAACTGACCTGGTTGGATTTCTCGGAATGAATCACAATTGGGGCTAAACTACATGTGATACGAAATGTGTCACTTGAAAGCATGCCAGTTGTTTAGTTTTTTTAAAAATGTGCAAGGGGCAGACAAGTGCAGCTCTTCCTTTTCTGCCTATGAGCAAAATGAACCTTGCACCATGCTGCTGCTGCTACTACTTGGTTGGGCTTCCTGTGATGATTTAATTACAAGAGTAGCTCCAGTGAAATCTGTAAAATCTAAAGACCAATTAGACTTAAGACTTGCTGGCAGATAGAGCTTCTTATAGCCTAAAAGGAATGCTTTCTTAAGGCTTTTCCATGGGTTATTTTTTTATGAAGTCATCATACCAAAACCAGGCAGATGCACATGGTAGGTTTCCTCAAGATAATTTCATTATTTTTCTGCAGGACAAAGTGGTTATACTGCCTTACTCTCCTCCTTATATCACATTCCTGGACTACAAAATGCATTTAAATGAGTCCTACATATAAATGGCTCTCCAGCTAAGCTTCTGTAGCCTCTTTTTTTTAAGGTTACAAAACTTTGATATCTAAAAGCTTACATATAGATCTGCACAAAAATTTCTTACCTTGCAGACCGAGCACAGCCTGACGTAAGCAGAACCCTTTGTGGCAAATTATTATTAATTGCAATGCATGTCGGATAAATGGGTGGAGAGGGTCGTTCCTTTTATGCAGTCAAATATCAGTGCAAGAATGGTTTTAATCTTGATATCACAGGAAAGTACTGTACTTGCCTGATCAGATACATTGTACCAGTCGTAATCAAAAGAATTCTTGTTTTGAGAAAACGATAAAATGAACAGGTTGTAACAGGCTCTTGATGTATAAAGTAGTATAACAATCACTCCTACAGTAGTTAACTGGCATACGGATGAACCCTAAAGGAGAGATTAATACACACATCTTAGTATACTTGAATTTGGGCTTGGAAAGTGAGCACTGAAATGCCATGATTCTAGGAGAATAGCACAGCTGGACATCAAGTTACTTAGGACCATCCCAGATGATGTTTTGTTTAAATCTACAGTTTCTTTTAGTACTGTCAGATGAATAGTGCTCATACTTACCCACATTCTGCAGCTGAGTTCTCATAATAATTCAGTGCCATACTATGCATTGTTATTAAGTAAGAAGTCCTATCATGTTCAGTGGAATTCAGTCCCAAAAAAGTGTGCACAGGATCACAGCCTCTCTTATAGACCTACTTTTGTTGTTTGTTTATATGTTGGGTTGGATCTAAGATGATATATCTTTCTAGTATTTGAGATTTTATTCCCATCTAGTCTAATTTCCAAGATTTAAGCACATTTAAGCTGTCTGTCTGAACCAAGAACATTTAAATAAGCACATGACACTTTGCTGATCCAAGGGCTTGTGGCATTATTAAAGGAACTGAAATCAGGAAAAAGGATCACGAAAACTGTGGTGGGACAGTTTACACACAGCAGACGACACTTAAAAGAGGAAATCATTGCTATGTACATATTTGCATTAGAGATAAAACATTGTTGCTATGGTAGTCTGGGAGGAACAAGCTGAAATAAAACTTCCCATCCTATTACAACCAAGTCTAAAAATGGAACTATATAGCTGGCGTTTTCAGTATGGTATTTCCCCAAATTAACCAACTGAGACAGAGCAGTTTTATGTGGCCTTTTACACTGCAGTTTCTCTGACCTAATAAACACCATGCTTCCTAAGATCTTATATAGATTTGGATTTGAGTCCTCGTTCAGCTCATGAAGCTCTCTGGAGAGCCGTGGCCCAGTCATGCACAGCCTTACCTACCTCACTCACAATGTTGTTGGGAAGGGTGTAGCCCTCACCCATGAACCCAGCCCTAAGCCCCATGGAGGAAAGGTGTATGTGTCAGTCCCTGTGCAGCCAGTTCATTGATTTCTGTAGATTTCTGTGTCATGAAAGAAGGAATAAAACCAAACAGAAATCCTGCAAAAAAAGGATCATTGCCCTGTTGTGCTTCTGCTGAAGTAATATCCAAAATAGCACTTTCCAAATTGCATGTGTGCAAGAGCGAACACTGTATATTCCAAATATCTGACAGATTTACCACTTGTGGTGTTATGACCCCAAATCCCTGATTTGTTACTTTTTGTGCTGAAATGCATTGATGTGATACCAGGACATTTGAGTATGGTGGTGGATTATTTCAACCAGCTGCAGTGCCACTCTAAATTATTTATACAGGAGTGCTGACACATAATATGTATGCAAAACAGAATCCAATAAAGCAGAGAACCTCTTTAAATGTGGCAGTAATTGTTTAAAGAAAAGATATTGTAACATCACTAAACAGGGATTTCTTATCCATAACTACCCAACCATAACTCAGTCAGGCTAAGGCATGAGTAGGCTAAGGCATGAGTAGGCAAACCCGGATCCGGCCCAATCGCCTTCTAAATCTGGCTTGCAGACGGTCCGAGAATCAGCATGTTTTTACATGAGTAGAATGTGTCCTTTCATTTAAAATGCATCTCTGGGTTATTTGTGGGGCCTGCCTGGTGTTTTTACATGAGTAGAATGTGTACTTTTATTTAAAATGCATATCTGGGTTATTTGTGGGGCATAGGAATTCGTTCATCCCCCCCCCCCAATATAGTCCAGCCCCCCACAAGGTCTGAGGGACAGTGGACCAGGCCCCTGCTGAAAAAGTTTGCTGACCCCTGAGCTAAGGTTTTTGGAAGAGGAAATTAACTATGTGTGAATCTGTTTTTCACTTTGATTATTCATTTTTTTTTCCTTTTCCAATTATATCCTGCCTTTCTTCCATCATGGAACCCAAGATACTCTCCTGATCAGGCACTTAACATACCCAAACTTGTTTAGCTTCTACAAGGTGCAGGCCTTATGTACCTCAAAACATGTCCTGGGACCGTATTGTTTGTCCTTTCATTGCTTGTGCCTGTTTCTATAAGGACAAACAATACGGGGGGGAAATGGAAATGTGCATTGGAAAAGAGTGTGCTGTTCGCTAGTCACCACAGGGTGGTTTCATGAGGTAATTCATTTTCACAGACAAGCCCCACCCTTATTTCCCAGAAGTCACAGCAAAGCAGTAAAATCTATGCTGAAGATTTGCAATCCAGTGCACACTTTCCTAGGGAAAAAATCGATAGTACCTATTCCTGATCAAAAATGTATAGGATTGCACAGTAGCAAATAAATCGTAGCAAGCGATGTTTACTTGGAAGGAAGCCCCACTGTGTTCAATTGGGGTTATTAAAGGGAGACTAAGCACATTAAATAATTACATAAAATTCTTTAAAATAACCAAATTACCATAGGAAACTAAATCAGCATGAAGGACTAGCACCAACATAGAACAAGAAGTCAGCCTGTGGCATTTGTCTGACAGAACAAGAGACATTTTTCTAAAAGTTCCCAAATATGAGTCTTGGTGGGTCTTGATCAGGAAGGAAAGCAGGTATGCTCATCAGACTATTAAATACCCATAGGATGGAATGCCGACATCTGAATAAAAAGAGACAAGTGGGAACACTGAAAGAAGAGAGGGGAAATGAAGAGAAGGGAGACAGCCGCCCATAACCTTTGCTACGGAAATGAACTGAGAAGAATTATATTATGAATTTTGTTTTTCTGAATCCCTATCACTTTCCCCAACTAATGGGGGAAAGGGCAAGAATTAAGGTAAAAACATAAGCACTTAAGGACAATGTCGTTTCTGAGCCTAATTCCGCTGTCGCAAAAGGGAAAGCAAGTAGCCTTCTTCTACCATTAGGCAATGAGGGGAGTGGCATCAGAAAGAAGTAAGGCCCCCGGCATTCAATGGCACTTACTCCCTGGTATGTGTGCAAAGGACTGCAGCCTAAAGCTAATAAAATGAACATAAATTCATATTGACTTAATAGAAAAAAACAGTGGGTTTTTCTCTCATGAGTCACATACTGTGGGGACAGAACTAGAGATACTTCCTTGGGGAAAACCATGTCTGTTTGAAGTGATATGATACTGCTTTAAATGTATGGGGCCTTGTTCTTCAACGTATACCACTCACTTTTCCTCACAAAGATACAATTCCCCCAGAAGTTGTACAAATGTCTGAAGTTGTACTTTACCTTGGATTCCAAGTAAATATTTGCTAAGGACATCTTGGAAATCTTGTAGAGACAAACGGAGAGCGAGATGGCACATAGCACAAACAATGAGTCGTTTATAGCAACCCGGATCAATACAATGATCTTCCTTTCTGAATTCTCTATTCTCACAAGTATGGCACACGTTAGATTCACCAGGAGGAAAAGTAGACTGACAACAAATGACACGAGATAAAGAGGCAACCTAAATGGGGAGAAGGAAAACATTGCTTTTTAAATGATTACCTTTTTAGCAAGTGTTAATAAAATGCACAGGGTTATCCAAGAATATATACCCTCCACTACAATTTCTAGAGGAGTAGCCATGTTAGTCTGTCACACATAAGCAATGAAGAGTTTTATGGCACCTAACAAATGTCCTTTTATAGGATTGGGGTGGTGGTGGTGGTGGTATAGATGGCATCTGGGACAGGGTCTCCTCAGTGGTGGTTCCTCATTTATACAATGCTGTCCCTCATAAGGTGAGAAAGGTGCATCTCTCTCATTGACTTGCAGAGGTTATTTGTTTGTTTGTTTGTTTGTTTGTTTGTTTAGTATACCACCCTATACTGAATGTATACTTAAATACATTCCTGTTTACCCAGGCATTTGATAGCTGAGTAAAACTGGCCATAGCAAGCTTGAAATTAGTAATTGGGAGGTATGTTCTAAATGATTTTACATGTTTTTAGATGGTTTTTCATTTTTTAAAAAATTAATTGTATTTTTGTTTAAATTGCATAGTTTTAACTTTTTGATGTTTGCTGCCCCGGGTTTTTTGAGAGGGGCAGGACAGACATAATAATAAATAATATTTGGGTCCTCACCAAGCCTGTGGTTCTGTATCTGTATCTGTATCTGTAAGATGGGATTCTGTAGAAGTGGTCAAACCAGTTTCTTTGTTAATGGCCACAGGCAAGTCTGTTAAGCATCTTTTTGCTCGACTAAAAGGAGTTGGCCAAATACAGGTGTGCTGCCATAGAAATGACTAGATAATGATGTTTCCAAAAGTAGGGAACAGGCCTCCCACCCTCACTTGGCAGGTGGCGATATCATCCTGGGTGTAGTCGAAGGGTAGGCCAGGAGCCAGTCTGTTCTAGTCACCTTTGGAGCTGGAAACACACAGAGACTTCACTGTTTGAAGATCTGTTGGAGAGTTAAGGCTGTGAGCTCTCCCATCTTATGCTCAGTGTAAATAAAAGACATGATAGTCTCCAATGATCTTCGTTCCAAGGAAACCCAACTCAAAGGATGATCTGCACCCTTGAAATCTCTCTCCGCTCAGAGATTGGGCTGCACATAACAGTGTAAATGGCCAGCTTTTGTGGACTACAGTCTACTTCATCAGATGCATGAAATTTTATCCCGAGTTATAGGAATACTGTATAGGCACATAGCTTCGTGGGATGGGGATCATTGAGGTCAGAAGGAAATTAAATGCAGAAAGTACAGGTGGTGATAGTTATGTTATTAACAGCTACCAGTGACAAAGCAATTGTTTAAAACACAGACATCCTGGCATTGGTAAACTAATTAATTCATGCTGTGTGATTTTCTTTTTTAAAATTCAGGCCACAAGTGATAGCAATGAATCTTTTGGTAGATTCATTGTAATTCAATGGTTTCATGATGTAATCTTCCTTTGAAGCTCCTTTTTTCAACAATTAATTTCCTTCTGATCTTACAATCTGTAACTCTCCTCTTCTCCACCCCCACCCCCCATGTTCACCCCTGTAACTCAAGATAAAACTTGTCATGTCTGATGAAGGGAACTGGAGACCTGAAAGCTATGCCATAAATAAATTTGCTAGTCTTTAAGGTGCTATGAAACTCTTCATTGTTTCTCCATGACAAAATAGTTCCTTAGCTTAAGGCACACACCATACCTTTGAAGCACACTCTTTCTCACAAATAATTCTGGACACTGTAGCTTACACCTCACAGTTACAATTCTCAGCAACTCTTAACAAGCTACAATACTCAGAATTATTTGAGGAGGCAAATGTGCTTTAAAGGTGTGTATACAAGTTGGTTTAATACATTTTGCTGCCTGAGGCAAAGGAGAAGATTGCCCACCACCCGCCAAAACACACAATTCCATGTACAGAAGTCAACCAAAGTGGCAGTGGAATCCCACTGCAACACTGGTGATGGGACCAAGTTCTCCATTTCACTTGAGGACAGCAGTCTAGCAGTACAGGCCATGCAGCACACAGGACTCTTGTGTTCAACATCTCACTGTCATTCGCCCACCAGGTGCCTGCTCACTCCCCACTGCAAATGCTGCCATGTGTGCAGTACATGATAAGCCATTATTAAAGTTTCTGCACGACAACGTTTGGTAAAGTAGTAGTATTTAGCAACTGGCATTATTGCCATTTATAAACGTCACTTGATCACCATAGATTCAAATTACCCACAGAGAACCAAAGGTTGTTGGAGTGGAAAGTTACCTTGAAGGCAATCCAGTCCAACACCCTACAGAACCAGTGTGGTGTAGTGGTTATAGCCGTGCCAAATTTAGGGTGTTGCAGGAGGTTTCCCTGCACAGGGTGCTGAGCCAAGGGGGCACATAGTAGTAGTAGTAGTAATTTATTATTATTATTTATTATTATTATTATGGTAGCTAATCAAAGTACTCAAAGTAATTATTGTGAAAATAATAAATATTTGGAGCGGGGCGCACCAAATTTTGACCTCACTCAGGGTGCCATATTACCAAAGTCTACCCCTGGTTAGTGTGTTGGACTGGGACCCAGGAGACCAGGGTTCAAAGCTCCACTCAGCCATGAAGCTCATGAATCGCAAGCCTATCACTTACTCTTAGCCTTACCTACCTCACAGGGTTGCTGTGAAGATAAATTTGGTGGTGGGGAGACCTACCTATGCCACCTTGCACTCATCAGAAGGTGAGATATAGAAATAAAAACAGCAATCTGTTTTAAATGTACTAAAAAAGTGGCATTCTTTGCTGAAACTGATCCTGAACAGACTGCAGCATTTGTACTTCGGAAAGTAAGTAGTTAAATGGTTGCACAGTAACCACAGCCTGTGAACTTGTTCCATGGAAATCTGATTAAGCATCACACACTTTCAAAACTCTTGTAGGGAGAGGCAGAGTACAACATGTGTTTGTGAACACATCCAAACAATATGCTTAAGCCATGAATTAAAAACACTCCTGTCAAATACAGAAACGGAAGGTTTTCTTACTTTACCATGTTTGCTCAGAGAAACAGAACCACAGTTGCCTCTCATGAAGGAAAGTCAAGGCAACCTCTACCTGTGGATATGTTCACTTTACACCTTTCATGTTTCATACCTATGTTTAACAAATGGTGATCAATGCACACATATCTATTTTGCTACATGCATGCACTGTAGTCCAACAACAAATGAAGGGCTACAGATACCCTACCCCACTTCCAAGGGGGTTGTGCACTTGGAGAGGTAAACTTGGAGGACATTAACTGCAGCTTCAATGCAAGCAACTTCTTGGTTCCCTCCTGTCTTTCCTGAGTCTTAATAACTGCATATGACCAGGTGTTATGTGTAAAAGCTCTCCCCAGGCTCTCAGCTTCTACTAGGATCCTCCCTAAAGAATCCTGGCACAGGGTGAGAAAACTGGCATGACATGGAAAAGCAAGGCATCCTGATTCTGAGGCAAGGCTCGTGGTAGCCTAAAAAAATCCTTATGTGGGCATTTCAGGGCCTTCAAGATTTAACTCCAGTCCTCTCATGTTCATTGCTGTTGCTTGCACATACTATGCATAAAGAAAAGCCCAACACTTATTTCAAAGCACGGTAGGCTAAAGTGTTACCTGCTACGTTGCAGGATCCCTTCGGGAGAAGAGAAGGCTAAGAAATAAACCCTACACAATTCAGGAGTGGAGTCCCTAAGATGGTGGGATGGTGTCTTGCACACCTTCTTCCAGCAACTCCTGCATTTAAGCTGGTGCCAAACGTATTGCTCTGCTTTCCTTTGGACCACATCAGCAAGGCCGGGAGGGGGCTCTTGTCATCTGGGCAGCCCAGGACCTCCATACACACAGCCCAGGCTTGTGCTACTTTGGTGCTACTAACACAGCAAAAACAGTGCAGGAGGTAGCAGTTACAAGCTACCATTCTCTGGAGCCACAACAGGCACTGTGATTCTCTAGTGGTTTAACTTCATTCCCAGAGGTGCACTCCATGGTCTCTTGAGACAGATGAATGCCAACAATAAACAGACTAAAGTGCGCCTCAGAATCACTAAAACTCTCAAGAAAATGTTGCAATGTAATTATTACTTCTTTCAGTAGGTGAATACAGTTCCTATGGAGATGTATTACAATATGGCCCAGCCAGCAATGAACGGTTGTTTTTCCTTTTATTCATTACAGGAAAGGTGTTTCTTACCTGTATTTAAGTAGTTCTGGTGAGTATTTTGATTTAGCTTTGAAAATCACCTGTAATAAAAATGAAAGTGCATATTATACTTACACAATTGAAGCTTCAAATATTGTTAACACTTTCTTGTCCCTTTAATAGAGATGGGCCTTTGCTGAGCAGGCTTGGCTTATTCATTGAAGTTTGCTGGGCTGTGGGACTGAGAACACTGTTGTTTAATGTGGATACTAAGCTTCCTGCATCTCCATTGTCTATATCATGTTCTCCAAATCACTGCTTTCCCACACTTTCCAGTCCCTTTGTCTGGATTTTCCAATACCTGAGATCCTCCAAAAGGGAGAACAAAGAGCAGAATGTCATATGGAAGCACATGAAGCTCACTTGACACATTAAATGATGGTATGGATGAGCCCTCTATCACATCCCAAGTAAGTTGATTTCCCATTGCTCAGCTGCTTTTACAGAACATAGGTATTTCCTGATGACCAATTTCAGCCTGCTTGGCTGAAACCCAGTTGCTTATTGTCCTTTTTCTAGGCTGTTTTACACATAAAAGTAGAAAAAGCAAGTGCCTGATATATATTTAGCATGTGCCCACTTTCACACTGTAACAGGTGAAATGATTAAACATCCTTCTTGTTAACTTTGTGTAAACTGCAGATATGAAGAAGCAGCTGAGATCACTGTGGTTCCCCTCAGTCTGTGTCTCCACACCAGGTGGGCACATGGTAGAAAATAGTGGAGTCAGGGTTAAAGTAGGTACCTACTAAATACTTAACAGCAGGAGTAGCCAATGTGGTATCCATCAGGCAATGGTTAGGAGTGATGGGGACAGGAGTCAAACAACTGTATTGGAATTATATAGTACATATCTATCCTCTTCTATTGTAATGTGTGAACATCCCTAAGGAGCCCTAGTAGAAAAACACTTAATATAAACCAGGGGTGGGGAACCTCCAGATGTTGTTGGATCCCATCTCCCATCAGTCTACCATAGTCCAATGATCAGAGATTATGGGAGCTGCAGTCCAGCAGACGGGTTCCCTTCCGCTGTTCGAAATAGAAGCCTTTAACAGTGCAGTTCTATGCAAGTCAGAAGCAAGTCCCAGCTTATTCACTAGGGCTTACTCCCTAGAAAGTGTGTTTAAAGACCTGGTTGCATAAAGACCTGAGAACTGGCACATTCCCCATTTTTTTCTGATCTAAAAATATTCTGTGCCACTTCCTCTTAACCTTTTCCACATGCTACAAACTTGCTAATATGTTCCAAACTTGTTACTCATATTCATCACTATCCTCTAATTCATCTCCATTTTGTTTTCATCCTTGTAAAAATGTGGTGCTCACAGCTAATCTCAATAGTCCAAGCCTAAGCACATCTGTAAAAAGAGCGTGGCTCTCCAATGTTAAACCGGGAGGCAGGAAGTAGAATAAGCAAACACTTGGAAAAAGTATGCATGTCTTCTCTTGCACTCATATGGTGATGTAAACACCAAACAATGGCCATTGATACTTATAATTGCCCCATCTTGTGTAGATACACAATATGCTATTTGCTTAGGCTCCAAAACATAAAGGGTGTCTTTCCCCTATTTTATCCCTGTGAGGCAGGCCAGGCTGAGAAATAGTGGGTGGCAGGATGGCGCAAGCCTGATGTGAAAGACAAGATGGTGGTTCCTCTAGTCCACATATAAAAGCTGACCAGACTGACAGCTGAATCTGATTTTAAAACACTGGTGACAGGATAGCACCCTCCACCATATCCTAGGGCAGTAAACTAGCCTTCAGTTTCTTCGTACCAAAATGAAAAGCAGGGTTTGCAGTCCCATAAAGTAAGCTTAAATATGGCTGGCACAAACAATCAAATTGCTTAAAGTTGTAAAGATTTTCAGCTCCATCTGGTAGATTACATCTTAACAATGAGTCTTTTCAGCATCAAATACCAGTATGTGTTGGCCATGGTATAAACATGTGTTAGGAATACTTACAGAAAGAATTTTCCTGAACCGATTTGCATTCTTATTTCTTGTTTCTAGGCATGTTTTTGAAATACCTTTGCTAACTTCTCTTTGAGGATAAGCATTGAAAAGTCAAAGATGTGATTACCCTGATGGAATCATCATAATTCCAAGTGTTGCAAAAAACAACTGATAAGAATACACAGATGGCTTGTTTACTCTATTCAACGTTTTTTTCTTTTCCCCTGTGAAGATCGCTGAACTAATCAGGATGTGGAAACAACACTTCACATACCTATGTCACAAGAACACAACTGACAATAAAATGAAAGTGATCAGTGAATGTAAACCTGTGCAAGGAAAGGTGCATACAATACAGAATTACAAAACACAAGTTAAACAAACTGTGGCCACTGTATATACAAATAATACAGATAGTAATTGACAAGATATCCAGGATTGTATCTTATATCATATTCCTTCTGAAATGAATTGGAGAATTATTCATGGGTGGGAATCATTAATCCCCTTATAGCTTCAAACTTTTCTCTCAAAAGTGTGTTTTGATACACAAGACTTAACATAAATGATATATAATCCGAATGTAAAAACTACATAGACCAGAATGTTCATTTACATTACAAATGTCTCTCTTTCACTCTTACTTCTGCATCGACTTTCCAATGGCATTTGCATGTGAGGGAGCTACAGAGGCCATTCATACTTCATATATGAAAGCACCCTTTGTGCTGAGTATCGGCCACATTCCTTATTAACTACGTGTAAAACACAGCCTGAAAGCAGATACATTTTGAGAGCCAAGAGGAAAAGCTACACATGCCAAGAGAAGACAGAGAAATCTCAGGATCACTAAAGGTAAAGGGACCCCTGACCGTTAGGTCCAGTCGTGGACAACTCTGGGGTTGCGGCGCTCATCTCGCTTTATTGGCCTAGGGAGCCGGCATACAGCTTCCGGGTCATGTGGACAGCATGACTAAGCAAGCCGCTTCTGGCGAACCAGAGCAGCGCACGGAAACACCATTTACCTTCCCGCCGGAGCGGTACCTATTTATCTACTTGCACTTGACGTGCTTTCGAACTGCTAGGTGGGCAGGAGCTGGCACTGAACAACGGGAGCTCATCCCGTCGTGGGGATTCGAACCGCTGACCTTCTAATCACGTCCCTGGCCTCACAATCACTAGCCAAGCTGAAAGAGACTAAACACTGAGCAGGAAACAAAAACCATTCACTTCGAAATCAGCAGCCTTTAGGACACTGCTCCAGTTAGGGTACCCTTTATTGCATATCTAAGACCCAATAAAATGTAACTCAAGCATTATTGCATACACCCGGTGTTGCATTTAAACTGGGCTCTGACCCATTAGCATGGCAACATAGGACCTGCCTACACTACAGAGCCCTCTGTTGCATGTGTAGTGGGTGAGGAGGATCAGATTAAAAGGAATTGCCTGGCATGTGCTGCACCACGTGGGCAAGTTCCTCCTCTCCAGGTTTATAATATTTAAATCAGGCCTAGTTGTGGCAATTCTGGATATCACAAAGATAGGTTAACACACACACACACACACACACACACACACACACACACTTCTCTCTCTCTCTCTCTCTCTCTCTCTCTCTCTCTCTCTCTCCATGTGTGAGACAGACAGACAGACAATTTCCTTAGGCTAGTAGACCAAAACAAAGCCATGGGGGGGAGAATCAAAAGGCCTCCCTATGCCCCATACTTTGCTCCTTCATCTTAGACTATTTAAGGATAAAATCCTTAGACGGGTTATGCAATTTTGTTCTTAATTAGAAAGATGTATTATGCAGTGAATCTCACCCAACGGATCAAGATAACTGTTCCTTTGAGAATAAATCCAGTGTTTTGTATGGGAGTGACTTGTTGAAGCACTATGACTCAGAGTGGAAAGGCATATTACGCAGCAAAAATGGAGTTCCATTCCATTTGTAAACCTAATATGGGGGTGAAACAGGGAATTTACAGGAGAGAAGTGGCAGGCAGGAGTGAGTTTTCATCTCTTCCAGCTTTTCTCTCTCACCCCCCCCAGCACCCCCCAAGCTCTTAACCCAGCCCAATGGCTCCAAAACTATAAATATAATTATTTGGGGAGGGGGAGTCATGGAGGCTGGGGTTGCAAGGAAAAATGAGAAGGACAGAAAGTTCCAAACCCTCCCTACCAACAAAGACACATATTTGGAAAACATCTGGTTCCATCCTGAAAAGTTTGCAAGAAGAGACTCTGAAGGATTTGCACTAGAGCTGTGTTTCCCAGCTTGTGGACCCACAAGTAAAGTAAAACCAAAATAATTATTACTTTAATCCTTAACTGGTATGATGAATTCCTCTTACAACTTTTTGTTTTGTTGGCATATTACTGTTGCATGCCACCCTGATCTCTGAGCAGTGCAAGATTCCAGGGGTTCGAGGCGCTTAAGCAGGGTCTGTGTTTCCTTTTGGAAATGAGGCACATTGGAGACTGTGGTGTCTTTATAGAATCATAGAGTTGGAAGGGACCAGGAGGGTCATCTAGTCTAACCCCCTGCAATGATGGAATGTTAGCTAGATCATACATAACAGGTGTACATTCCACCTTCTGCTTTAAAACCTCCAGGGAAGGAGAGCCTACCACCTCTCATGGGAGCACATCCAATTCCTCCTGCTGCACCCCTTCTTCCCCCTTGCCTTCAGCTATTGACTGCTTGCAGTCCTGCCCATCCACACTCTGGATCTCTTTGGCCACCCCTTCCATCTGTGTGCTCCTGGGTCACTTTCAACCCCATGTAGAGTCTCATCTGGCAGGGCCTTCACCTCGCATGGAGTCACACTTTCCTTTCCACAGAGCCTTCTCACCCACTCTGCTTGCCGCTGCCCCATCCTGGTCTCGCTGCTGGATAATTTGCTCAAGCTGCTGGCTCTGCTGCTCCACCTGTTGCTAGATTTGCTGCCAGAGCATCAACCTGAACAGCTCCAGGAATGCTGCTGTTACTCCATCCATCTTGACTCAAGACACACCTCGCTCATTGGCCCTCTTCCAGAAAACACGTATCCAGACTTTTGACACCAGTGTTGCACGCCACCCCAACCTCTGAATGTTGCGAGATTCCAGGGGGTCCAAGCACTTACCCAGGGTTCATGTTTCTTTTTGGAAATGAAGTGCAGTAGATACTTTGTGATATATGGTTCATTTACACATATACACAACCTGAGCCTATGATGGAGGGGTCCACAGCATCAACACCCAAAAAGGCTATTATTTCTCCCATAGCTGCAGCCTTGGATTGCAGCAGAAATCAGGCATGGCTCTCTTTCTCTGCTTGCTTCTGGTCCACATCACTGCTAACTCTCAACTCTGGCTTTTGTCCTTCCCACTATCTGTGATTGTTAGGAGAGCCTTAGTCCTCTCACAGGGTTTCCTGTTAAACCACTCTGGGAACTGTTGCTCTGCAAGGGACACAGGGGTCTCGTAATAACTCTCAATGCCCTTAACAAACGGCACACTTACGTAATCATATGTGTTCAGAATGATTTTTTTATAGCTTGTGAAGCAATATCCTTTAATCAGATGGTTGTTATTCTTACATTCCCATAAGCACAACAGTGAATAACTATGTAAGCACTATAAACATTCTAACAAATTCCACATTAATAGGGATTTATGGTAAAATTCTTCTTGGATGGCTTAAGTAATGGTTATGAAATCGGCAAACTTTAAAATGCACAAAACGAATGGCTGCCAAAAACCTACGGTCCAAAATTCATGTGATAATAAATCTATGGCTAATCATACCAAGTAAATTTGGACTAGTGGGCTGCTGTACCAAAAAGGTAAAGGTAAAGGACTTCTGACAGTTAAGTCCAGTCGCAGACGACTCTGGGGTTGCGGCGCTCATCTCGATTTACAGGCCGAGGGCGCTGACGTTTGACTGCTCCGCAGACAGTTTTTTTGGGTCAAGTGGCCAGCATGACTAAGCTGCTTCTGGCACAAAGGAACACCGAAACCAGAGCAGCACACGGAAACACCGTTTATCTTCCCACAGGAGTGGTACCTATTAATCTACTTGCACTTTTGGGTGTGCTTTCGAACTGCTAGGTTGGCAGGAGCTGGGACCGAGCAACGGGAGCTCACCCCGTTGTGGGGATTTGAACAGCCGACCTTCTGATTGGCAAGCCCAAGAGGCTCAGTGATTTAGACCACAGCACTACCCGCGTACTAAAGGAGCTCATAATTACAACCCCCATAACAGAGCCACACCCACAAGAGAGCCCCAAAATGCAGGCAAGTATGCCAATCCATTTTTTTTATTGCAATGTCTCAAAGAGCAGAAATACCCATTGGATTAGAATCCTATGAACATGAAAAGCCCTGTTGGATCACACCAAAGATGTAATTTGTCCAGCATCCTTTTTTCACAGTGGCCAAAAAGATGCCTCTGGAAGCCTTGAGCACAACAATACTAGCCCCACCTATGATTTCCCAGCGCCTGATATTAGGAGGCATACTACTCCAACATACCGTAGAAGATAGTATGTAACTTTTCTGGCTAGTAGCTGCTGACAGCCTTAACCCTCCATGAAATCGTCCAAACACTTGAAAAAATCATCCTAGATGGTGCCCACTATTACGTCTTGTGGCATCAAATTCCATAGTTGGACTTCGGCTGGAGAGACCTTGGTTCAAGTCCATAAAGTTAACCAGGTAACCTTGGGCCAGTCACTGTTTGAACCCAGCCCAGCTATCCAAGCAATTATGTGACAGACCAGACCTGTCCTCCATTTCCCCAAGTTTACAATGCTGGCAAATACTGATAAAACAGATGGCACCATCTCTCCTACTTTGAAAAAAGCACCAAAAAGTGGAGGAGGTTTCAGCTCCTCTGCTTGCGGTTGCTGTTAACATGCTACTAACATGCCAACCTGCTGCCCTCCACCTGTTTTGGACATTGGCATCAACCCCAGCCAGCCTTGATGGGAGTTGTAGCCCAAAACAACTGGCGGGCTGGCAAAAGCTGTACTATGAGGTCCAAGATAGCCTCTTGCTTTGCCAGTGCTTTGTACATGTTAGTTTACTGGCATAATTTCAACTGATTACCTAATGTATTTCTCCTGCTCAGCTATCCTAATTAATATTATGGGCTTTCTCTTTACAACATGTTCAGCTACAAACTTATATTTTTTTGCTAGTATTCAGTAACTTTCCTTCACACCCAAGAGGCTGGGTGTTATGCATGGTGAGGCATAACCAATCAGAAGCCTTTCTTATTTTTATTTGGGTGAAAGTTGCCTCTGGACAGAGTGATCTCTTCTCCTCCCTTTCCACACTTGCCCTTGCTTGTCTTCTGTGACAACGTAGATGTGATTTTAACAGGGCACCCTTTGACAACATGCTGAATTACAAGCCAAACTTGCCACCTCCTGTATAGAATCTGAAGCATCCACTCAAATACGGTATTGTTTCCTCAGAATCAACCCCTATTGTATTTAGTGGAGATTACTTTCAACTAAGTGTGTGCACAGGATTGCAGCCTGTGTGTGATTTATTAGCATGGATCTTGCAATTCTTTTATGTAGTTCTCCTTCAAAGGTTGACCTATTTTCTCAACTCTTCTTTTATTAGTATTATTGGGGGCTTTTCTGTACAAGCAAAATCTGCCACAAATTTATTGTTATGATATTGGGGTGCTAAGCTGTAGGCCAGACTCCTCAGATTCGTGCATCTAGCAAGTGTTAAAAGCTAATCAAACGGTCTAAATTCTGGAGATAGCAAAGCTAGCTTCCTGGTGAGCTGATGGGAGATTAAAGGGTTCAGACTACAAATGGGTGGGGGCCCCTCCCTCAACAAGCAAAGGCAGAGTTATGGTAGAGTGTTGCAGAAGAAAAGCAACAAGCTGGAGAAAGAGCCATGCCTGATTTCTGCTGGAATCCAAGCAGAAACAATGCCCTTTCAGGGCATTAATCCTATGAACCCCTCCATCATAGGCTCAGGTTGTATATATGTGTTATATACCACAGACTCTACTGTCCTTCATTCCTAAAGGAAACACAAACCCTTGATAAGTGCCTGGAACCCCTGGAAACTCGCACTGCTCAGAGATTGGGGTGGTGTGCAACAGTGTTTTAGCTTTTGTGTGCTACTTCTTTTAAGTTCATCAGTATAATATCTCATCTGCATTTAACAAAAGATTTGCAGGCTTTTTCTGTTTTTCAAAAATGTAATTTTATGTTACTTATAATCTGCTTTGGAAGGATTTGCATCCTGGAAGGAGGTATTTAAATAACTGCAATTAAAAAATAAACAATGTTACATTATATTATACATAACATATAATATAAAGTTTTGATCCTATGCACATATGTTGGAAATAAGCTCCACTGAAGTCAGCGGGGTTTTGTTCCAAGTGAGCATGTAAAGGAACACTGCACAAGCCATTCAGTGAGTTCCTCGGTTCTGTATACCTGAAGGAGCGTCTCCACCCCCTTCATTCAGCCCAGACACTGAGATCCAGTACCGAGGGCCTTCTGGCGGTTCCACCTTTGCAAGAATGAGGTTATAGGGAACCAGGCAGAGGGCCTTCTCGGTAGTGGCGCCCACCCTGTGGAACGCCCTCCCATCAGATGTCAAGGAAATAAGCAGCTATTCTATTTTTAAAAGACATTTGAAGGCAGCCCTGTTTAGGGAAGTTTTTAATATTTAATGCTGTATTGTTTTTAAGACTTGATTGGGAGTCGCCCAGAGTGGCTGGGGAAACTCAGCCAGATGGGCGGGGTATAAATAATAAATTAATAATAATAATAATAATATCCCAAATGTGTTGAGATTTCAAAGCCTGTAGAAACTTTGCATTGTATGGCATTTTTAATAAAATATTGCAGCTGCTCTGCCCAGCTTCTTTAAAAGGCTGATAATTTTATATTTCCTGCTTGTGTTTGTATATAAAGAAAAAAGAAAAGTAAAATATTGTTTAGTACTAAATATTTGGTCCAAATGATCAAATTGCTCAATGGTATTAAGTAATAATGCTTAGCATTAGAGCGTTTCAAGTATTTAAAGCTCACTTCCCATGCATTTCTTTCACTAGCCCTAAACAACAGTCCTGCAAAATAGGCCTGAAGGTGAACTGAGGTTGAGAAAACAGTGAGAGGTTTGCCTAAGGCCATCTAGCAAGTTCCTGGCTGAGGTAAAAAAGAGCAGGCTCATTGCTTCCATTCTTAACCCTTGCGCTACACCAGTTCTCTGAAAGAATTTTCCTGCAGATACTTTTGCATAAGTTTTCACTTGACAGGACCGAAATCAAAACAGAAATAACTCTTGCAATTAAAATAAATGGCCAGAGAGATTTGGATCTCTTGATAGCTAGCTTTATTAATACTAACCCATCTCTATGGCAGTGATATCACAGAGCTGAGATCCAGACGCTTTGCTGAACAGACAACATGTGTGAGTTGCAAAACCTTACTTTGTTTTGTTGGTAAAAATCAGATGACCTGCTTAGTTTGATGAGGAAGCAGTTTCCCTCCCTCCTTTTTCGTTTCCTTATCAGGATCTATTTGAGGATCGGCTTAAGCATTTCAGGTTGGGTTTTTAAAGTATCCCCCACATATCCAATACAAGGACAACTTCTACTGACTACTACAAGTGTGCAACAAAGGTTTGTGTAAAAGTAACATGGCTCTCGGTGTATGAAAAAGCACGACAAGTTGCATGATAGTTTACTAACCGAACAAGGATGTCTTATGGTATTTCATTCAATGCTAAGCTCCTAGGCATGAGGAATGCTATCTTTGCTTCTCCCACTCCCTGAGATTCAGAGACAACAGAGAAACACTCTTTTTGTGCTCTGGTGGGATTCAACTACCTTTTACTCAGAGTAGGCCCACTTAAATTAATAACTTAGTCATGTCCATCCATTTCAAAGCTAAGACTTTCTGAATGATTTCTGCATGTACAACTTAGTTGAATGCCACCCTCAAAAAACCAACAATCCTGGCACAATCCAGACATGGCCATTTCCTTACCTGAGTGAAGTAAAGATTCATCAGTGTCAGTGTAAAAAACTGGAGGCACACGGGGAAGCAGTAAAGCAGCCAGAAGGCGAAAGGGCTGAGAGAATTGGCCGTGACAAAGTCTCTGAAGTAAAAGGAGAAGAGCACCGTCCGAAGCGACGCCCAGAGCAGGCAGAGGAACAGAAAGACCGTCTGGTAGCTGAGCCTCTTGTGCCGGTAGTGAAGGACCAGCCAGAGCTGGATGTAGATGAAGACGAAGAGGAGGGAATAAAAGACCGTGTAGGCAATGGTCAGCCCCAGCTTCACATAGGGAGGCACCGCGGGGCTCAGAGTGGAGGGGAAGGTGTCGTTGGCCAGGGAGCTCCTCCACTCGAGGGCTTCCATCCCCGGCTAACTTGGCCTCCTGCTTCGGCTGCCTCCTCCTCCTCCTCCTCCTCTCATCTTCCTACAGCAGAGGAACTCCGAGCAAGAAAACAAGCCGCACTTCCTCTTTGGCGGCTCACCGAGGGCTTGCAGCACATGATCACAATCCGGAGTGATTCATGAGGACTGCCTCTGTCAGCATTTGACAAGCAGCCACTCAGAAAGGCCGATCTCGGCGTGCCTTCAATTGAAACCGCCTCCTGCCCATTCGCCGGTGTTCCGCCCAGAGTTAAACGACGCTATCTCTTTAAAAAATAAAGAACAAATGCTTAAAACAAACCGGGCTCTAAATTTTGATTTGTGCAATTCCCCGCTCCCCTCCCTAGTTGTTGTTTTTTTGTACTGAAGTTACAGGCATCTGTGCTGTCTCGTCTGGTTTGGCCCAAGCTAAGTTAGGGAAAGCTGGGAGTTTTAGCATCCTTGTGTATGGCAAAAAGGAGTGTTTCTGGGGTGGGAGGACGGAGGGCAAATCAGCACTCTGCCTTCTAGTTTCGTCAACAGAATCTGATCCTTATGGCAGCTGCCTCGATGATCATACTCCCCTTGTGACCATCTTGGTTGCAATTGCTGGCCATGACAACTGGAAGCTATGAAAATGCATTCCAATATATTTAGTATACATATATCTTAAGTATTTTCATACAGAATGGGAAAATAATGAGATCTAGTGCTGACATTTCCTAAGTCTTAAAGTCTAATAGTCTAATGCATGGCTACTTAGAAGTAATCACATGAAATATAAAATTGCACTCCTTCATTCCTCAATTTATGACCAGTTTTCAGCTCCTCTGGTGGTCTACAGGGAGGTGAGGATGTGGGGAGTGCTTCAAAGAGTAGAAAACAGGTTGGGATGTTGGGAGAAAACTCAAAGGCTGCTCCACATACAACTCAATGTAACATGGTTTAGAGGCAGTTGGGAGTGTTATGCTGTACAATTACAGGGTTAGGATGTATGAGATGCATATTTCAGGGTGCAAACTCAGCCTATTCTACCTCACAGGGTTGATGCCTTTTTGTTGTATCATTGTAGTTGCAGGATTTTTTTTCTTGGTTTTTGGTGTCTATAAAAGCTTGCAGATAAACATTCAGAAGTGCCCATGAGGTTAGGTTATGTATGTCTTTGCATTTTGTTTGTCTGTGCATGCTTAAGTAGAAGAGAGAGGAAAAGTGAAATCTAATAGTGGTTTTAACTTCAGCTATGAAAGCTGCAAAACTGTTTTCATATCCCCATTTCCTGTGTAAATCCAAGTCACAGAAGATACCCTGTGGACACTTATGAGAACTACAAAGCTGAGAGCTAATGTGCTCTGTGGGATTTCTTTCCTATTGTAACATGAAGATTACATAAACATGTCCCCCAAATGACATGGCTGCCAATGCAAAACAAGTCACTAGTAGGTGCGATTCCAGGAGGCACTGTTTCTCTGAGACCTCCATTCATTTCAGTATTTGGTAGATGACGCCTTACGTTTCAGCTTCCCATTCTTGAACGAGATCTTACATGTAGACCAGAAGGGGCTGTTCTAATAACTACAGTTAGTTTACTGCAATGCCATTAGCTCATGACAGGAGAAAAGCAACACACAAGCAAGAATCATTATAAAATTACACATTTATTATTTGTTTGTTATTTCGTTTACTATATTTATTAGTTGCCCTATAATGCCCCAAACCACAGAAATTCAGCAAAAACTGAAGAGCACACTATGCAACTCAGCCATAAATAATAATGCAGAGGTTAAAACAAATTCAGCCATAATCATAAAATCAAAACAAGGAGAGGCACAAAATAGCTAATGGAGCTTAAATATATCATGATGACACCATTGTACATAGAAGTGCAGGAAGCTGCTCCTGAGTATTGCCCACACTGACTGGCAACAGTTCTTTAGGATCTCTCCCAGCCCTACCTGGAGAAGCTGGGGATTGAGCCCTGGGACCTTTACATGCAAAGTAGGGACCAGGTGGGTCCCTCAAGGGAGGGCATTCCACAACCGGGAGGCAACTGCTGAAAACACTCCTTCCATCAATGGAAATGATAAGGTATTGGTGTGATGTGTTTGTAATGTATTGTCTAAGTTAGAATTATTAGCTTCATATTACGTTGCTGAACTGTCTTCAATGGCAGCCCATTTGGCACCACAGAAATTATTTGTGTTTGTAAGGACAATTATGGATCCAAGAGCACCCCTGGGTTATGAACTTGATCCCTGTTTAAGGGGAGTTCAATCCCCTCCAGAACAGGTTGAACAATGGAAATCTGAAAAGAGCCATCCACTAAAATGGTCTCTGTCTTACCTGGACTGAGGCTCAATGGGTGGGCCTTTACTCAGTGCACAAACATACCCTCCAACACTTCTCCAATGAAAATAGGGACATCCTACCATACCCTCCAACATTTCATTAAAATAGGGACATCCTAAGCAAAAGTGGGATCTGGGATCAAATCGTAAAACTTGCCTAGAACAATGGGAGTTTCAAATGCTGGTGGTTACTTACACGCCATACATCTGAAATACCAAAGGGGGGGAGGAATCATGGGAACTATAGTTTGTCCCCCACTGGGCTATAATTTCTAGCACCTTTCACACATTACAGTTCCCAGGATTATTGGAGGATAAGTGGGGGTAACTGTGCTTTATTTATTATTATCATTTATGCATTTTCCGGTTTCTATTTAGATATCATATTTTTTCATCATACATTGTTTCTGTACAGACTTCCCAACCCATCACTCCATGGCATTCTAAGTATACCTTGTTTTGCTGCATATCCGTTAGTTTTCCCACCCTATTTTCCTCCCATCAATTTCCTTGTTATGTTAACGGTTGCTCAAAGTATTACCCCTACTTGTAGAAAAGATTTAGTGTTATATCTTTTTAAGTACTCTCTGAAATATTCCTACTCACCACTTTTTTGTTTCTCATCCTGATTCCTTATTTTGGCTGTTGTATTTGCTAGTTCTGCATAGGGGGTAACTGTGCTTTAAATGTAGGATGTGTATGCAGCAACAGACTCTGTTTAAACTGCTGCATTCGTTGCCCTTGTGATTTTTAAATTTTTTGTCTCTGTTGCATTTTTTATTCCTGTCAAGTCAGCCCTAAGAATATCTGGGCCTGCCCTGAAGGTGCTGTTACACCCTACACAACATTTCCTAAATTAATCATACCATCTTCACTCAAGATTAAGCCTCTGCATGGAAAGCATAATGCTGGTGGTAAACAAAAAGGGTTTAAAGACTCTCTCAGTGCAAATCTAAAAAAATGTAGTATAAACGCCGACAATTGGGAAACACTGGCCTGCGATCACTCCAGCTGGAGAACAGCCTATACCAAAGGTGTAATGGACTTTGAAGATGCTCGAACTCAGGTTAAAAGGGATAAACGTGCTAAGAGGAAGTCATGCTTGGCAAATCCACACCGTGATCAACTCCTGCCCGAGAACCAATGTCCCCACTGTGGAAGGGCGTGTGGATCCAAAATTGGCCTCCACAGTCACTTACAGCCTTACTGTTAAGACCATGTTCAGGGAAGACAATCTTACTAGGCTACAAGTGATTGCCAAAGAAGAAGAAGAAGAACATTGTCCAGCAGATGTCGCTATAGTTTCTTTTTATGCACTGAAACATGGGGGAGGAGAATTCCTCATGTTTAGGGACTGTGTGTATTTGCAATAAATAGTTTTTATGCTGAACAGAAGTTAACAAATGAATTGCATTTCTTTCCTGAAAATTCTTTTTAAAGTTGCTGACCCTGGGAAAAATTGTGCAGGGATAGCACAATTAAGTCGATGCAGTAAGTCTCAGTGAAGTATCAGATGTTACCTAGCTGCAAAATAACAGGATGAGTCCATGTTCCCTATTCTTCTGCAACAACATGCCACCTTGGAAATCCGTAAACTTATGAGTCCTTGATAAGACTAATTCAAATATATACTACAGTGTAGTAATTACACGGTTGGTCAGCAAAAGTGAAAATATGGGAACCTCTTAGTAAATAGGTTTTTCCTCAATGAAATACAACAGATTAAACTGTTATTGTTGGAAAAAGGGACTTAATTGGTTTCCTTGTCTCAAGGTAGACATGCTGAATTTGATGAGTTTGTCCCTGTTCTCCAACCTGTGGCAATCTGATCTGCAATAGGACTCATTCTGATAATCAGTTGACCCTGCTTTTGACTTACCTAACAGCCCAGCAGCTGGAACACGGATAAGGAACTTGTGGCCCTTTAAATGTTGCTGGACTCCAACTCCCATCAACTCCAGCTACTGTGGCCAATTGCCAGGGAACTGTAGTCTTGTAATTTGAAGCCATTGGCTCGAGTCCTACCCACCAGAGCAGGAGAAAACAAGCTTGTTCCATCTTCCATGTGACAGCCCTTAAGATATTTGAAGATGACTGTCATCTCCTCTCAGTCTTCTTTTTTCCAGGCTAAACATACCCAGCTCCTTCAAATGTTCCTCATAAGGCTTGGTTTCCAGACCCTTTATCATCTTGGTTGCCCTCCTCTGCACATATTCCAGCTTGTCAACATCCTTTTTAAACTGTAGTGCCCAGAATTTGACACAGTATTCTGACAGTGATCTGACAAAGGCAGAATAGAGTGGGAGTATTACCGGTACTGCCCTTGATCAGGACACAATACTTCTGTTGATGCAGCCTACAACAGCATTAGCTTTTTTTTGCTGCTGCATCACACTGTTGACTCATGTTAAGCTTGTGGTCCACTAAGACCCCTAGATTCTTTTCACATGTGTTACTAGCAAGCCATTTGTCTCCCTTCTTATATTTGTGGAGCTGGTTCTTTCTACCTTACATTTGTCCCTATTGAATTTCATTTTGTTAGTTTGGGCCCGGTTCTCCAATCTGTTAAGGTCATATTGAATCCCAATTCTGTCAGTTTGGTGAGCACCCTCTCAATTCCTTCATCCAAGCTATTTATAAAGACATTGAACAACAACGAGCCCAGGACAGAACCCTGTGGCACCTTACTTGTTACTTTTCCCCCAGGATGACAAAGAACATTAATGAGTACTCTTTGGGTTCAGTCAGTCAACCAGCTACAAATCCATCTAAGTTACCTCATTCAACCCACATTTTACCAGCTTTCTCATGAGGATATCATGGGAGACTTTGCATGAACATTTAAGTGGGAATTTACTACGACCGTTCCTCTTTGCTTTGCCCCCATGTGGAGCAGGAACATTTTGGCTGTTCAGTATTCCCTTGTATTGAGTTAGA